GAGCGTCACACTCAGTCGCGCGTCTATCCGCTATCCGTGCCTGCGTCGAGCACAACCCGACTGCCGTCCGCTCTTCACCGCAGCGCCTCCGCTCAGCATCTACCATGAACATGCATCTGAAGCTGGTCTGCCTTCACAGTCCTTTTCCTCTTCCTCCTCCTCAGCCCGCCGCTGCTGCTGTGTCGCCTGCGCTCCAAGTCAATTACCACGCCCAATATGCATGAAATTTTGACGCTCCAGTTTGGGCAGCAGGCCAATTACCTGGGAACGCACTACTGGAACACACAAGAATCCTACTTCACCTACGCCGGCGAGAATGAGTCGCCCGTCGACCACGATGTGTCCTTCCGTCCCGGCATCGGCGCTGACGGAGGCGAGACATATACCCCTCGCACGGTCATCTACGACTTGAAAGGCGCATTCGGCACGCTGAGACGTGAAAATGCTTTGTACGAACTGCAGCAGCAAGAAAATCCGGCCTCGGACGGGCAATGGAGCGGGAGGACTGATTCACTTCGACTGCCGCCCATTACTCCCAGCCCGTATCAAGTGGCACTGGACGCAGGCCTTGAGCCCCCTACCTTGAGCACCGAGAGTGTTCGCTTTTGGTCCGATTACAACCGTGTCTTCTACCACCCTCGCAGCATCATCCAGTTGAACGAATATGAGTTGAACAGCTCGCTCATGCCCTTCGAGCAGTGGTCTACTGGCGAAGATCTGTTCTCCGCCTTGGACCGCGAGCACGACCTGCTCGACCGCGACCTTCGCCCTTTCCTGGAGGAGTGCGATCAACTACAAGGCATTCAAGTCTTTTCTGGTACCGATAACGCCTGGGGTGGCTTTGCGTCGAAATATCTGGAACGCATCAACGATGAGCTTGGCAAGGGCTGTCGGTGGATGTTCGGTTTGTCCGACACTCAGCGGACCGCGAGAGACAGGCAAGGTCAACAACTCGCGAACACCGCGCAGTCACTATATGCACTCGACTCATCTGCAAGCCTCCATATTCCGGTTCAAAACGTGCCGTCTTGGTTACCTGACTATGTGTCCTTGGATGCAGCAAGTCCCTGGAGTACATCGGCATTACAGGCAGCAGCGATTGAATCAGTCACGCTGCCGACACGCCTTCAATTGACCCAGTCGGGCAGAGCGACATTCGATACTTTCGAGACGACACTGAACGGCGATGGCAATCGCCGCATCGCAGCTTTCTCCTTCTCCGCGAAGATTGACACAGGGGTCAACGGCCACGACAGCGCAACCCACGGTGACACACGAATGACCAATGGCACCACTGCTGACGAGGAGGACCACGCGAAAGAGGAGGATCAGCTTGACGTCGAGCTCTTTCCCCACTTCTCGCTTCCAAACCGATCAGACAGAAGTCGCCGCCCACCTCGGCGTCCTCACGTGTTCAGTAGAGTGTCATCTTTACGAGGCGCCTGGCTGTCAGCAGCGGACGAGGACTATAACGACCCTGAAGTCCGGCGGCGCCAAGCTAATGGACCAAGATCATCGACACACAGGACAAGCCTATGCTTCCCGATGCTTACATCCTTTCCGACCGTACTGCGGTTCCCGGGTGAGCCTCAAGCATTAGCCGTTCAGACCTCACTTTACACCTTCACCGACATTTCAAACTGTTTAAGGACTATCGGTAGCGTTGCAAGACGCATGCCTTCAATTGATGAGCGTGAAGCTCTCTACGATGGTCTGTCGGCGATGGCAGATGAGTACGAGGAAGGTTGGATGAGCGACAGCGATGAAGACGAAGATTGATTCACGGATGTCTCTAGTGTAAATCCACCCGCATCAACTTCAGCCTCAACTTGTTGAGCGACTGCGGCGGCTTCCTCCAGTCAACATATTTTCCTTGCACCACCGGCTTCACATGATCAGTCGTGTCGTATACTGGCCCAGGAACCCCAGAACGACGCTTGCTCCCACGAACCGGGAGCCCGGTCCAAAGCACCAAGCACAACTCGCAGGATCCTCGAGATCGACATACCATAGCGTCCCGAAAAGCGATAGCGCGCTTCCGCCGCAGCCGATGACGTAGTAGACCCAGTTCAAGTCGCAGGAAAGACCTACTGCCAGCAGCAAACCGACTTGCACGCCGCTGAGTACTCCCAATCCGAACTTGGTTTGGTCTCCTAACCGAACAGCAAGCGACTTGACCCCAGCCTTGATGTCATCTTTGATATCTTGATGTGCGTAGATCGTGTCGAAAATTATGGTCCAGAGGGTGTTTGCACCATAGAGGCAGAGCGAACCTCTCCGCAAACTTTCTGTAGCTGGTGCCAGCAACGGATCCGCTCTGAGCGCCGCTGAGCACAGGAAAATCGGCACTGCGAATGCAAAGCCCAGAATGACCTGTGGAAAGTCCGTGATCCGCTTTCCAAAAGGGTATATACCCAAAACGATGGTCATAGCTCCCGCGTATACTAACACTGCAGACGGGAAGCAAAGCAGCATCACTGCACAGACCACCGTTTGCGCAGCGGTGAAGACATGTCCCTGGCGTGTGCTGACCGCCCCACGAGCTATAGGTCGATTTTGGCAGCGCGCGACTTGACGATCAAATTCCTGGTCAATGTTGTCATTCCAAGTGCAGACCGCACCTCGATAGACCAGGACCCATGCTGCCAGGTATCCAGTGTGAGCGCAAACGTCCACCGGCGACGGTTCTTCGGGCGAAATGCAGGCAGCGAAAGCGATTCCGATAAGATAATGCCAAAAGAACGCGTAGTATCCAGCTGGTCGATCCAAACGCATCAACTCGGCATACGGTACGAAAGTGGCTGGAATAACCCGAAATATGCCAGTGGACGGGGCAACATAAGCACCAGTTGATGACTTCGAGGCACCTGTGTTGGCGCTCTTCGCCGACTTCGACTTCGCTCCAGCCATGGTAAGATCGGCTCTGTTTGATGCAATACAAGGTAGAGTCAAGCAAACTGTGAAGAAAGAAGGGTTGAAAGCCAGTTTGAAACTTTGCACTCCTAATGAGACATGGGATCCGCGTGCAGTGCACTCGACTGCAGCGATGCAGTACAGCTCCACCATGAGCTGGCATCTACGCCGAGCATTGGCCTACCTAATCGCCAATGGCGAATCCTTCCTGCCGGCTTGCTCTAAGGTAACAAGATTTCGTCCGAAAGCTCTTTCAAATCCACATCACTCGATAGCATATGCGTAGTGGCCACCCGACGATTTGACAGCTGCACGCTATTGCCGCGGAAACGGGTCATTGGGCTCTCCTACATGCATGGGTCGTTGACAACACATAGCGCACTGAGCTGTGCCTCTCAAGCGCAGACACGCTTGGAGTCAATTCAAGCTTCCGAGAGATATCAGACACACTGCTATGCATTTGGCATTGGGCGTTTGTGATTTGTAGGAGCGAGCCACCCGTGCGTGGCACATACCCGAGAGTCTGGAAACATATGCATGAAGTGCAATCCTCCCAGAACTTCACCTCCCCGCGATCCTCAAAAGTGCACTCGACCGATTGAACGCCAGGTCCACCTGCGGGTCCGACGAAAGTCCACGAAGCCTGCATGATTAGCGGCTATAGCCATCCTCGTGATTGGGATGGGGAGACGACTAGTGAGTAGGTCCTGCATGAGTTAGCGAATCTTACCGTTCGACCTTGCCTCTCAGCCAGGGAAGGCATTCGACGTTTTGCTTTCCATGTGGCATTAAAGTAGCCACACGTACTGAACGAACCTCCAATAACACTAGGATGTCAAATACTTTCCAGGAACCTATCGGGCCGGAGGCTAACTGGCTACCTAGTCTAGTCACTAAGGTAGCATGCACCTATCTGGGAGCTCTCCGCTTGACTTGACGGCATAGTGGAAGTTCCGGATCGCGATTGCAGTCCTGGTTCCAAGAGCAGAGCTCCGCACAGGTTCGTATTGGAGCATTGCTGGCCAAGAGGATCAATCGAAAACTTCGCTTGTGTTAGCACGAAGCAAAAGCTGTTCGACGTTCCGCATCAGAGGGATGTTGCGCACTCAGAACGATCACTAAACCGTTCGCGTGTGAGACAATCCAGCCCAGCTACCTCAGACATAGGTGCCGCATCTGACGTGAGCAACAGAACCTGGTCTTGAGTGCGACCCTGTCTGTGCTCGCAGGTTGTTAATTCTACCACACGACGTCGAAGAATCAATCAACAGGACGTATGAACAATGCAGTGGATACTCTCCCTGATCGCGGCCATCTGCTTTCTGGTCGCTGCGCATGAGCTCATCCAGCCCATTGACAAGAAATGGAGCTCATTCCGGCGATACAGGCTTCCAGCAGGGCCCAAAGGCTCTCCTATTGTAGGCAATATGCTTGAATTCTGGAGAAGTCGATCAGCGGGCACTCTGGGCAAGACTTTCTTGGAATTGCAGAGCTATGGCGAAATGGCCACTCTACACATGGGCTCGACCCTGTATGTGCTCCTCAACACTAATCGAGTGACGAAAGAAATCATCGATAAACGAGCGAAAGTCACACATGAGAGGCCTCATATGCCAATTTCTGGGACTTTGATCAGCAAAGGCATGAGGTCTGTCACGCAACCGACCAGGATTTGGAGTGAGCTCAGGAAGCAAATGCGGCCGCTGCTGAATGATGTCTGGACTAAGAAGTTTGAAGCATGGCAAGATTTCGAAAGTATGCATTTGCTTCGCTCGTATCTGGACAATTCGTCTCAATGGTATTTGCATAACTCGCGTTATGCCACTGGCGTCATGTACGGAGTCATCGCTGGCACGCGTCTGACCAAGACCGACGACGAGATGACCTTGTATCGGAAGACAACGATGGAGTTCCTGGCAAGCATACAATCGACTGTCGTAGACTTCTTTCCCTGGCTTGAGAATGTGCCAAAGCCGATGCAGTTCTGGCGACGCAAGTGGGAGCTCATTGGCGATGACCATTACCGGGTCTTCATGTCCTGGTGGGACCCCATCAAAGATCTCGCCACACACGAAAAGACCTCATCTTCGTGGGTCAAAGATGTTCTGCTCAGCAACAACTCACAATTCAGAGGCTCTGACGATGAAGCCGGGTACTTGACCAATACAGTCATTTCAGCGGGAGGCGACAATCCCCGGATAGCCATCAACACCTGTATTATGGCCAGCATACTACATCCAGACGCAGCATCGCAATGTCGCCAAGAGATTGAAAGCATTTGCTCCCAAAACGGCTCTATTCGCCTTCCAAACGTAGCCGATGTCCCACAGATGCCTTACACCTGCGCCTTCATCAAAGAAGTCCTCCGCTGGCGACCTGTAGTACCCATGGTCCCTCCTCACACCGCAAGCGAAGACTTCGTATTCGAAGACTGCGTCTTTCCAAAAGGCACCAACTTCCTCATCAACATCCCTTCCGTATGTCGAGACTATCCTGAGCCGGACGCTTTCGAACCAGAACGCTGGCTTGATGGGAATCAGGCTCGGATGACGTATGATTTCTGGGGGTTTGGTGGTGGGAGAAGGATTTGTATTGGGTATAAAGCGGTGCAGACCGCATTGTTTTTGCCGTTTGCGAGGTTGTTGCTTTGCTTTGAGTTTCTAAAGGTAAGTCTGAGACTGTGCAAAGCTATATTCACAAACAATATGTGCTGACCGCAGACGTAGGATGGAGATTTTGATGATAAGAAGGTGAATTCGTGGAGCTCGACAGCGCCGTTTCCAGTGAAGTTCCAGGTGCGAAGTGCACAGCATGAGCAACTCATTCGTGGGCTGCTAGTAGATTCAAGTTTCCCAGTACCGCAATAGGCAATTGAAGTGGAACAACTACATATCCTTTGGTCCATACGCCCAAGAGCTCTATTTAAGCAGAAGAGAAAGACGAAGGCAGGAAGGGGAATGTTTTGGCATTGAGAGAAGTGGAAGGAGCGATTTGAAGCGGCTGTCGGGGGTGAAGCTGTAGCGCTAGGGACATCAGCAGCGCGATGCGCATGCTCTCTACTTCCTCCCATTAATGTACTTAGCTTTCGAGCCCTTCCCACGTGCTTTGTCCTTTTCTCTCTGCTTGCTGACTTTCGCCAACTTCTTGTCCGACGACTCCTTGCCTTGAGTCGTGGCTTTCTTGCTGAGCTTCCACTCTCCGCCAGACTTACGATCGTCCTTTGCCTGAAGCTTCTTCTTATCCTTATTGGAGAGTTTGCCACCCTTCTTCTTCTTGGTCTCGACAGCCTCAGGCCCATTCAGCAGAGCCCGACCACGATCTTTCGCCGCCTGCTTCTCCTTCTCACTTTCGAACCAAGTCTTCTTCGGCCTGGACTTAATCTCGTCCTCGTATTTCACCATGTTGTCTGCTTTGCTCAATTGCTTATCGACCACATTAAGTGCTTTCTCTTCCTTCTCTTCACGCAGGACGTCCTCGATCTCGTCTGCCAAAGCTTCTATCCGCGAATGCCAAGCATCTGCCTCATGAGCTTCGATCGTGCGCTGCTTGATGATTGCTCCCTGCGCCTTGCCCGCCTTGACGGCTGCCTTGACAACTTTTCTGTCTGGCTCAGCAGCGAGCGTACATGCTCGACCAGTACGTCCAGCACGTGCAGTTCTTCCGACACGATGAAGGTAGATCTCGTGCGTTTGTGGTGCTTCGTAGTTGATGACTGTGTCAATGCCTTTGATATCCAGACCACGAGACGCAAGATCGGTTGCGAGCAGGAAGTTCGCTTTGCCTGTTCGGAAAGACTCGATTGCATTGATACGCTGCTCTTGAGACAGGGTACCATGCAACTCAGCAGCTTTCAAGCCGACCAGCGCGAAAATGACACGCACTCGATGTGCTTCTTTCTTTTGTCGGAAAAAGATGATGACCCGATCTGTGTACACTTTCTCGCAAAGGTGCAGCAGGTAGGCAAGACGCTTCTTCTCCCGGCCCGGTCGCAGACGTACAAATTCCTGGACGAGGCCTTTCACTGTCTGCTGCTTTGAGTCCACCATGAGTCGCACAGGTCGCTGCAGACCTGAACGAATGAGATCATCAACCTTGCTTGTCATGGTAGCAGAGAAGAGCATAGTCTGGCGAGACTTGGGAATCTTCGTCAAGATCTCGTTCAGTTCGTCCGCAAACCCTTCCTCGAGCATACGATCGGCTTCGTCCAGCACCAAAATCTCGACAGTGCTCACGTCGAATCCAGTGCTGTTTCGCTCAAGATCGATAAAACGACCTGGAGTGGCAATGACGATGTCCGGCCGAAGCTTTAGTGCCTTCTCCTGCTCGCGTGAGTTCAAACCACCGATTGCCTGTCCGAAAGTGATGTCGGTGAAGGCCGCCAATTTCTTCGTGACATTGAAACATTGCAATGCCAGCTCTCGAGTGGGCATAAGGATAACGACGCGGGTTGTAGCTGTGCGCTTCGGCCGAAACATGAGACGTTCCAAAATGGGAATGATGAAGGCTCCTGTTTTTCCTGAACCAGTCTCGGCGCCTCCGACCAGATCTCTCCCTTCGAGAGCAACGGGAATACTCTTGGCCTGAATCGGTGTTGGCTTGTCGAATCCGACGGAAGCAAGGCCTCGCAAAATCGGTCGGGAAAGGTTCATGGTGTGGAATGCAGTCGCTGTGGGTTTGGAGCTGTCCAGGTCGTTCGCAAAGAACTTGCTGCGCTTCTCCTTCTCCACGACATCTTCAGCTGCCTCGGATTCAGACCCATCTGCCATATCGTCTGGGTGTGGCACATGTGCTGCCACTTCCGCTTCGTCGCCAGAGTCTTCGCCTTCTTTGTCCTCATCGTCCTCACTGTCTTTCTCCCCATCAACCCCCTCATCAAAGTCTCCGTTCAAGCCTTCCATCGCCGTCGAAAATTCCTCCTCGCTGTCTCCGTCTTCTTCAGCACCATTTACAGCATCATCTTCTTCCTCTTCATCTTCCTCGTCATATGCTGCCGCTATCCCTTCATCTTCGCTGTCATCACTGTCGCTGTCACTGCCACTCGCATCGTCTTCGGCTTTCGCTGGGGCCTGCTTCGCTCGTTTTCGCGCAACAATCGCATCGATATTGCCTGGCTCGTTGATCGCTCCATTGCCAGCCAGTGCCCACGCATCCAGGTCATCTAACTCGGCAGCTCCACCCTCGTTCTCAAACTCGAAGTCAGAATCTAGATCCTCATCCTTATCACTTTTCTGCTTCTTGACAGCACTTTGCACTGCTACCTCTCTTTTCCGTTTCTTGCTTTGTGTGGCCGGCGTCTCCTCCACTTCCTCCTGCTCAAATTCCTCATCTGAGACATCTCCATCGGACAAAGTCCCTATCAAGTCGTCGAATGCCATGTTGCGAATGTGAGCGGGATCGGACCAGCAATAATATTTCAGATCGGATGCTCGAGAATTCCCAAAAGTTTGTCCAGTCGAGCTAGAATTTAGGCTTTGAAGTTTATCCGATGCCGATGCCACAACCTTGTCCGTCATCTCCTCCTCCTCCGCTTGCACGCTCGATCACCAATCTTGCAAGAGTTCATTGCTATTTACTGCAAAGTCGGGTGTGATAAGCTAACTAGGCCTACAACGTAAGGCCATGTGCAAAGTACAGTACATCATAAACCGCGGATCGCTTTTCATGCCTCCCAGGTCCTCCGAACAAGATTTTGGCACATTCTCAGACCAGTTCTACGACTAAGATGTCGCGTATTGCACACTCCTTCGAAGTATCTAATCTTATCATCACCAACAAAATGACTTCGATGCAGCAAGATGCGTCAAAGCTCTTTGCTGCAAAGCCATGATTCAGCTCCTCAGCGCTAGAAGGTACAGTACAGTTGCTATCTATTGCCCAGCCTCGGTTATGCTTCCCTTCGCGCGAAATGATAATAAAACATGGTTCGCTGCGACCCTTGAAATCTTGCCATCTGCACTTCTTCCAACGTGAACTTGATGGCGTATCAGCACAGTTTCTGGTCAAATCGCAAGATAATGCTTTAGAGGTTGGAGGAGTATTCCCACAATGGCAGTATTCGTCCGACAGTGCACAACGGCCATTACTCCGGTACTCAAGGCTTTCACAAGACGGTACTGGTGATGAACTTTACCAACTTCAACTGCAGAGGCGATCCTTGCGAGTTTGGGGTTTTCATTGATAGGATATGAAACTGCCACTCCGATTGCAGTGATGGAGCATAGTGAAGGAACCGAATTCGGCATGCGAATACGATCTTGCACCAAGATCTCAGAATCCCGGTCCGTCTGACAGTATGACAAAGCAATATCGAGGCTGGCATAGTTGCCTGTATGCCGAAAATCCTTCCCTTCGACTTTCCACGACAGCACAAAACGGCACATTGCTACCTAGTACTCGACCGTCTTGACCTTTTCTCTCGTCTCCTGGCTGAGATCCTCTGGCTTGATGAAGCCCATCTGCAATGCGTCGCCCCAGAAGAACATAGCCCGGTGTTGCGCATAACCAAGATAATCGAATTCCTCATCCTCAGCAACTGGCTCGTCCCCTTGCTGTTCCTTCAGAATCTCCTTGTACTGGTCTGCTCTCTCGCCAAGCAGGTTCTCTGGACTTTCACCTTCGCTTTCACTAGCTACAGCACTGCCATCGAAAAGCGGCATACCAGGAACTTTGGCTTGGATGATACCCCAGGCTATCCACTGAGCGGTGTTGGCTAAGCGCCACATTCTCGTCTCATCCAGGAGACGCTTCACTTCTGCGTCCTCTCTCTTCTTCTGGGCATCGTCTTCCGCTGGCACAGCGGCAGTCTGCGATGGAGTTCGGACATCAAGCATGAAATCCGATATGCTGGTCGTCGATCTTTTGATGGGTTCTGGCTCTCTGGCATCAGCAGAAGTTGATGTGGGAGCCAATTTCGGAGTCGACACATTGAACTGCGATCGATGGCGCACATAGGCACGGACGAAGCGATCTTGCTCCTCTGGCGTAGGATACATGTTTGCTTGCATTCCGTAAGGCTTCTTCTCGTCGTGGTAATTGTAGCACCACTCCGTGAAGTGGTTGGCGAATTCAAGGCCGGGAGTGTTGGCATTGGAGTACTCGAAATCGATGACGATAAGCTGTTTGTGGGTGTTCGATGGTAAGAGCAGTGGACTCTCGCCTGACGGGATCTGCCGCAAGATATTGCCATATTGCGTGTCGTTGTGTGCGAAAACAAGCGCTTCCTGGAGACGTTTGGTACCGCCATACTGCTTTTTCAGCCAGTCGCGGTACTGCTCAAGGACCGCTCTGAACTGCTTCCATGGAACGCCACAAATGTACCCACGACGTAGCCATGCTCGGTTCCCCACTGGCTTCTCGTCTGGCGACATTCCTTCGAATTGTCGATCCATCCATGTAACGATCTGTTCGACACGATCAACCCATTTGTCCCAGTTACGCCACACGAATGGTCCATCAGCGCGCTCCTGGTCAAGAAGCTCCACGCCGTCATGAAGCTCGCGCATACGTTTGGCGATCTGGCGACTCGTATCAGGGTCCCGAAGCTCTTGAGGCGTCAGTGGTTTTGCGTGGAAGAATTCCTCGAAGCGACCATTGGCAAAGGTGCCCAAAAGTCTCGGGCCAATTCTTTTGCGCCCTAGACGCCGCAGAATGGCCAGCTCAGACTCGCGATCAATCAGATGTCCCACCTGTGGTCCATAGATTCTGAGCAGAAGCTTTGGCGGGGCCTTCTTGACGCCGATGACATTGCCTTGCTCGTCATGCTTCTCAAGAGGAAGATCAGTGGGCGGAGAGACCACATACACAGCGTTTGTCAGAGCACCACTAAGTCTCTCCACGCTGATCGCAGCACTCCATTCCATGGGAACCTTTCGCCAGCCCTTGACACGTAGTGTATGTGTCAGGCGTGTGATTTCGAACTTGAATTTAGCCCATGCGTCTTGGTCGCGGTGAGACGCAATCTGCTTGAGCTCATCATCACCTTCCTCATCAGACAAGTCCGAAGCACCTCCTGAATATGCTAAAGTCTTGGAGTTGTCCAGGGAAACTTCGCAGCTCGGAACATGGAGTTCATTGTCTAGTGCCTCTGTGTCTGTGGCACTAGCTGCAGAAGACTGTTTGCGACTGTGGAGAAGCTTGCGAACGGAAGTCTTACTACCGAGCAACGAGCCTTTCCGAGCGGAGGTCCTTCTGATATTCAAGTTTTGTCGCACAATTTGCTCCAGCTTGTTGAGTTCCAGAGACTCATCGGATGCATCAGAATCTCGCCGCGTTCGTTGCGACGCACGATCTTCCGGCTGGCCAACTTCATCCGGTGTTGAGAGTGCAGCTGGCTCATGTCGACCATGCCGGCTAGCCTTGCGGCGATGTCGCTTCTCTCGCTTGTCTTTGATCCAGCTGGAGATCTGCGTGATCAAATGGTCATAATGGTCAGTCTCATCTTCATCCTGGTCCTCCTGAGTCTGGCCAGCTCCATCCGCATTCACACAGAGCGGCTTGTTGCAGGGACTCGCCGGAGGCCGTCCGGCCAAGCGATACGAGCGCGGCTTGACAGTGGGCTTCCTCGAACAGTCGCACTTGAGATCTTCGACGCTTTTCTGGTTGCCGAGTATCAGAGGAGAAATGGTCTCTGGATGTTCAGCGATCGTGACAGCTGCGAACGAAGCAATGAGCGTGGGTTCTGGCAACAGCAGAGGGGATATCGTTGGGGAAAGAGTCGACATCGCGGATGCCTGACCCGGTCGATTTGCAGGTTGTGGTGACAGGTGCAGAGGTGGCAGAAACGAGAGTCACATGACGTGCACAAAGTGGGCAGTGACTGCCGTGCGAGTGCAAGTGAGGGGAGCAGGACGTACATTTCAGTGGTGATCGCGGCGACACGGCACCTTGAGTGAGGCCAAGGTACGAGCTGGGTGAAGCGCACTGAGCAGAGTCGTGCTTCACTTCAGCAGCCTCAGGCGTGCTCTTCTGGGAATCAGACATGGCCGTTTGGCGGACGAGGTGAGGTCTGAGCAAGCGGTAGGCGTGGCGTCAAACGAGTCACAGTACTATGACGGAGCCGTGGTGGAGCAAGGGGGTGCGACGGCTGCACAAAACGAAATGGTAATTGCTAAACGGTGACGAGCGCGGCAGAGCTCACGTAAGGAGCAGAACTGGTGAAGGTGACATCGATGGCTCCAGCAGAATTTCGCACTCTCAAGTTTTTCGGACGACATGTCTCACGCACGCTCTTTCCATCGCTCGACTACGAAATCTTGATTTTCTGTCGACCAATCGAATCACGGCGTGCAAGCGAATCAGGCCCATCGGCTGGACATTTTTTCCGAATCGGTCCTATGTCTCCCATCTAGATCTGCCCATATCAGCTGATAGATGCCTTGTGACTATTACGAGGCATTTCGAGAAGGCAATGATCCATGTATCTGTAGTCACGACCAGGCATTATTGGAAACGAAGACTTTTGATTCTGTGCTTGCTAGACGATTTACTTACTACAGTGCGGCTGGGACTGTCACTCGCGCTCTGCCTTAGCGAATACAAGCCAGATGAGCTCGCCTGGTCTTTGAACTCGTTCTTAGAAGCCTTTGCTTGAAAGTGCTGCTGAGAACTTGGTCGACTGAAATGCAGCTGATCTCAGAGCCCTCGCTTGGAAGTGCTCCCGAGAACTTGAACGACTGAACTTCAACTCGTCTAAAAGCCCTTGTTTGGAAGTGCACCCGAGAACTTGGTCGACTGGACTCCAACGTTCACGTTTGCACTGCCTGCCTTAACAAGGGACTTGTTCAAGTTGAAGATTTTGGGCTGAGCGACCGACTCAGCCGTCAGGAAGCCTCCCGTCACTTCGCCAATGAACTTCTCGAAATCGCGACTCTCCTTAATGCGACACTTTCTCGTGTACTCGACGTGGCTCATGAGGGCTGTGACCTCGTCGAAACGCTTGAAGCACCACGGGCATCGAAACATCTTGATCCAGTGCATGTCACGGAAGTGCTGCTCGATCTCACGGGGTGTCTTATAGGTACAGTACATGGCCTCGTTCGCGCAAGCTGGGAACGGGCAACAGTACCCCTCCAGCAAGGGACTGTAGAAGCGCTCAGCAGAGTAGTTCGGGTCTGTTGGGTTCCAGAAATGGGTGTCGAGGATGTTGGGATTCTGCATGAGACGATGTTCCTGGATGGCTTTCCAGTCGCCAGCTGGCGGCGTGGGCTGCGCAGCAGGGAACAGCTTCTTGGTCGTGTTTTCCGTATCCCAAGCACTGGAAGCATTGGCGCGTACGACCTTGCGATTTGCTGAAGAGTGCTGCGTGGTCGCAGGAGAAGTCGGTACTGTGGCAATCTTGAGAACACCACGACGGCTCGTTCCCTGCGAACCTAACGACATCGTCCGAATGCCGTCCGAGAGGTCTTTCGGCGCCTTCTGCGGCTTTGGCTTCGGCCATGACCCCTGTGAAGCAGAGGTGGCCTCACCTGAACGGAAGTCCATGAGATCAACCTCGGGCTTCATCGGTCGGTAGCCTCCCATTTGGGCGTCGTCGTCCTGATCGATCAGAGACACGCCTCCTTGCTCCTGATCCATTGCTTCACTTCCATCAGTGACCTCGCGTAGGTCGAAGCTCTCGGTAGGTTGCTGGTACGCGGACAGGGCGTGCTGGAATTGATCGGGACCTTCCATGACCTGGTTGAGGATGTACTTGTGATTGATGCAGGCGTGAAGCATCCAGCGTCGGATTTCTTTGCATTCGTCACGCTCGATGTGACCGATCATGTGTGTAGCGCGGAGGAATTTCGTTTGGCAGCCAGGGCAGTCAATGTCTTGATCTGCCGGGTGCATCTGTCGTAAGGATGTGTTAGTGTTACTGCTGCGCTACTGAGATTATGAACTCGCATGGTCGTACTTACCTGAGTTCGATGTAACTTGCGGCCGTCGAAACTCTTGAAGTTCTCACCACAGAACTCGCACACGATATGGCGAGGCTTCTCGTCCCTTACCCTCTTCCTACCCTCGATGAAGGGGGCCATCATGTCGACCTTGTGTTGCAGGAGCTCTTCCCAGTCATCGCAGTCGACGTCGCACTTCTTGCAGTAGTAGTGCTCCGGGGTCTCGATTTTGTGGTTTCTCATCTCTTGTCTGCTGTTGAAGCGATGTTGACAGTCCGCATATGTGCAGGCGATGCCCCTCTCTCCTCGAGGCGTGTCTTCGGAAGTGTCCGACATCTTGATGGGCGATGTTGTGGGTTGTGGTGGGTGGAGCTGTGAAGGTCGGCTGTCAATGGAAATTCAAGGTGGGTTGGCTGTCGCGGTTGCCTTGTGAGCTGCGTGAAACGAATGCGCGTGCAGGTAGAAGTGAAGCTTCTTGGCGAAGCCACTGCCTTCACTTCAATGTGCACAAACTTGGAGGAAGTCGTGATTGATACATCGGATTACTCATAGGCTTATGCTTCTCAAGAATCTTGCAACGCTAAACACATCAGGTTGACAACAACGCTCATCAAAAATTGGAACCCTAGGGCGATGGATTGAGGATCGACACGATCGCGCAAGCAGCCAGCCAGCGCCTTACTGCTACAGAGTCCCTTCCTAAAGTGAAGACACAATTGTCAGCGAGTGCAACATGACTAACAAACGACAACTTACATCTGAGGATTTCGCACTATCGCTATCACTCCTTCGCTTTCCGGCCTCGATGGTGGTCCGGTTGCCAGACTCTTTCTCATCGGCATCCTGCGTAAACGGCGCGACTTGCTCGGCATTAGCCACAGAGGCTTGTGATCGCACGCGCGCGAGAATGCGCTGTTGACGTTCCCGAATACACGGAGGACGATCTGGACGTGCCTCGAACTGCATGGCGTCGAGCAGGTTGCCGCTAGGACTACGCACATGCCCTCCCTCTGGAATGTCGGCTGGGTCGATGAGAGCTGATAGCTTGTTCTTTGGTAGGGCTGAATGTGGCCGTATGGCGGCAGGTTGAAGTTTAGCGAGTCGGACTGTATCTTCAATGCTTGCCATAGCGTCGGGCCAGCCGGCCTGTGTAGGGTCGCGAGATCGGCGCGCTCTGATCGCTTTCCATGGTATGCAGTCCATGCGGTTGATGTTATCTATGTGGCCTTGCGACGAAGAGTTCGAGAGAGCAAGACGTGTTTCGTGCTTGAAGAGTGTTGGCAGCAATAACTTGCTCCCCAGCGAGCTTATGCACAGGCACCTTTTGATCGCTGTTGTTTCTCCCGGGCCTGTATCGAATTCTCTGATCAGTGTCAGGACACCGAATGCTAGTCTTGATTAGTATGAACGATCGAAAGCAATGTCCTGGCAAGCAACTCGGGACACGATGTTGAACATCGTGAACAACTGATAATGAGGATGAGAAGCCTGGCCTAGGGGTCAAGACAGCCTGCAGGCGGACTAGCTTGTCTCATCGAATACTATTGTCTGCCGTACGCCAATCGTCACGGAAGTCGGCCACCAAGCATGTGTCGGACCGGGGATCACAGTGTTTCAACCCATGGAGACATTTTCGAATTGGTAAAGCCCAGTGGCTGGCTCGTTAGTTGTGACGACCCCTCGAAACCAGCAGTTTTCATTGCAGCATATGCAAGAACTTCACGTTGTCAGCATTCTATTTAACGTTCGGCCTACCAGTCATCAAGAGACACCACGAAACATCCAATCGGCACCGCCGCAGGTGCATTGCCGGAGACCCTTGGCGAGTCGTGCGCGTGGTTTCGGAGGCCCGAACATGCGCTCGTGCGCGAGGGTGTATGCATCCCAGACATCCGTTCCGTTGTGTGAAGGAGTGACGCTAATTAAGTTGTCGCGGCAAGCCGAGACTGTATGTCGGCGAAGTGATCTGTGGCGCAGCTTGCTCGGTGAATGTCATTAGCACAAATATATGATTCCAGTCTGTTTCCGCACAGCAGAACGGAGTCCAGAGACAATGACACTTCCGGGTCTCTCGAGACCATGATTGTCTTACTGCCTGGCTTCGATAGACAGAACGCCTTGACTACGCTGCAGGAGGCAGAAAGATACAAGGAGCAACGACTCGAACCCGTCTGACAGAACATGCAGCATGGAAGGCGCGATACCGAAGGTAACTTTCTATTTTGTTCTTCGGTGGTCGTCTACCGTGCTGGTCTAGAAACGGGTATATGGTAACCTAGAGTGGTTTGAGCTGTCAGTCTCAGGTCTAGACACAAAAGCAATTCATGGAAGTGCCCATACCATTTTCCACGCAAAGTGATCTTCACCCAGTCGCCCTTATCGTCTGTCTCCTTTTCTACCTTCGTGGAGAAGGAAATAGCAGACATGATCCCATCTCCGAACTTCTCGTTCATAATAGCTTGGTGCAGTGTCAGCATACAACGTAAAGGCGAAAGAGCAGCAGGGTCCGCGGACATTTGTAAGCATAGCCATAGTTCTGCACAATCTCGTATAACCTGTACATCAATGGCTCACGAGGCGGCATCTCCATAGAACGGCCCCGGTCCGGCAACGCCGCGATTTCGGTCTGGAGTAGCACATCTTCTGGGATATCGAGAACCTCTGCGAGCTTCGTGATATCTTCTGGAGATGCATTGGCCTGACCATAAAAGATCGCGGCAGTCGAGACCTCTTCTCGTCCAAGGGCCTTCGCGATAGTTTCAAACGACAGGTTCTTGCTCTTTTTGGCAGCGAACAACACGGAACTGTGGGCTGGTAGCTTCGGCGCAAGATCCGCTGTGAGGACCGTGATGGGGTGGCCGCTGGATGTGCCTTGTGCTGCCATTGTGGTGCTGTCGAATGATCGTAATTTGGTAAGCCGTGTATGGGTATGCAGCCGCGCCAGTCGCAGAAACAAGAGCAGAGGCGCAGCCTTCTATACTTCCCTTTTCTATCTCCGCCTCTGTGATGCAAGCAGCTCCAGAGCTGCGAAAGAGGAGCTCCATCCCATGCTTGCAGGGTGCTGCTACGATTTCGGGTTCATGAGTGGCCAGTGAGATGCGGAGCTCACGCCTGCGTTACTCCACTGATGACATTATGTCTGCGTCGTAGTAGTCTTTATCTATCGAGTCGCTTGCATCCGCTTTGTGGCCGAAGCATGGAACGCGAGTTGCCTGGATGGCCGGGTGAAGCAAGCTCAAGCTGGCCCGGATCACGGCAGCGTGGGACGGAGACGTCTCGGTCTCTGCGCCATCACTCGTACTTCGCCGCGCAGGTATTCGCAGACGGCGACAGATAACGAAAGTGCCTACGAGATGAGATGAAGTGAATTGATAACACGAAGAAGCAAGAAGAGCAGATCTGTGTCGGACATCCGTTGACGCGAGGACGCTGCAAGTCTGCCGAGGCCGACCGCCCGCGACGACGCTTCTCGACTAATGAATCACGCCAACTACCTACACATAATCCGGCATATCGACGAACAACTTCGCGATCTCAGCTCTATACAGACTCGCCAACATCTGCGCCTCCAATTCACTGTACTTCCGCGTTTTCTGCCACCTCCCGCACCAAACCTCCGCCATACGATCGAGCTGCTCTTCAATCGACCTCCTCGACCCTAGCGTAAACGTCGCTGTCTTTGTCTTGGTGCCGTCCAAATAGAACCGAATGTCCAGCCTGCCGCGAGGATGAAAGAGCTGTCGTAATATTCGCATATGGTCCCAGTCAATATTAAGGGACACCGGTGGGCTCTGCTGCCCTTTGAAAGACGCCAGGCTTATGGTGACATGTCGCATTTCTCGGGCCTGTTCATGGCCTATCCTTTGCGCCCATGTTTGTATCTGCTCAATGACCTCGCTCTTTTGCTCGCTTTTGAGATACTCCGTTTGTATACAGAATCGATTGATGGAGTAGTACACTGGCAGTGTCTCCCATCGTAGTTGTCTGCTGACTGCAGGAAGACCGCGAATGAGTAGAGGAGACGCTTCGTGTTGGTCGGTCATGGGATAAGCCGCGAGGCCATCGTCCTGACTGCCACGGCCGAGGTATATCGTTTCGAGTCCGTTGTCTCCTTCCAGCAGGGTGTATTCGTAGATCGCATTGCGCAGCTCTGCCGGCAACCTGCTCAACAATGAGGTTTCCATACTGGGTAGTAGACCTGACTTCAGCGATATTGGGAATATGAGAGAGGGGTTGTGCGCTAGATCCTTGTCACGAGCAATTGTCCGCGTGTTTGGTTCTTGCTTGGAGTCCAGTGACACCTGTCTCAGATTGGAAGCAAAGAAATCATGTACTCGATTGAATGAATGGCAGAAGGTAAGCTCGAGACAGACAAGCCTTACACTACACTTCTAAGCCTAATCAAACTTTCTAGACATTCGGCAGTGGAAAGGGTGAGGGGAGACAGTCGCCTCGGACATGTTCCTGCAGGGACGTTTACTAGACATCGCAGACCTCCCTTGCCAGATCACGTTTCTGGATGGTCCACGCCGTTGGCGCATGAGCTGATTGGCGTGGACGAGTGACAGCAGGCACAGGATAGGAAGCAGCTCGCTGTTGAGAGGTGAACCCTGGCGCATGACTTTGTCGATCCATGCAGGGTCCTCGCAAGGCTGAGCTTCAAACCGAGTGTTCGGGTGGGTTTCTGCACATACCTACTGCCGGAAGGAATTGAGACTCCGTGCTCCTCTCTACTCCTGGAACTCGAGTGCACTTCGATCATCGTATCTCCGCCTTGTGCAGCGTAGCTCAGGCGATCTGTCTCGACAAGCGAGGCAGTTGCGGAACCCAATTGACGAGAGAGAGAACCAATATGCGATAATGTATTCTTGTTCCGCTTGCTAACATCTTCGCACGCATTGCTAAAGTTTACACCAGGTACCTTGATAGTCGCAAAGAAAATCAGAGTCAGGCCTCTTCCGCAGGGGTGTTATCCAACTCCTCTTTCCTATCGAGGGACATTATTCGTCCCGTTGTAAGCCTTGCTAGGCCCGCCGCAATAGTTTGTACAGACTGGCTCTAGCGCTGTCTTCTGGCCGCCAGGCTCTGAAGTTGGTTTCGGGTCATCAGGCTCTGGAGCTGGCTTCGAAGTTGGCTTCGAAGTTGGCGCTGCATTTTGCTTTGCAGTTGAAGTTGGCTCTGGAGTTGGCTGTGAAGTTGGCTGTGAAGTTGGCTCCATTCCCACACCCTTCGGACACATTTCTGGGCAAGGCGGATGCATGCAGCTTTCATATTTGGGGTTCCCCTCAATCTGGACTTCCCCTACTCCATAGAAATAACATTCTGGGTCTTTCCTGTAGCGCATCTTGCAATGGGCAGGGCTCCATCCAAACCACATTTTACTAAACGGGTGAGAACGCACCTGACAGCTAACCCAAGGTCTGCCTGCTATCGCTGCTTTCGTAATTTCACCTCTACAGGCCTCGACCGTTTTCCATGCTGGCCAAATGCCCAGGAGTCCCTTGAAGCCGAGCTCGAAGAAATTGCCGCGACAATACCAACCTTCGGTTCTGTATCCTCCCTTACGAGAGCGTCTGTGATGTTCCTCGTCGGTGATGCCGGGCTCTTCTTCATAGATGCCGTGGTACATGTCGTTGAGACAGTATTGGAGGTCAATCGCATTTGTCTTTTTGATATCTCTTGACTGGTCAAAATACACTGCGTTATCGAGGCCGTGAAATGTCGAGTCTATTTTCCCTCTGCCACGGTCGGGCCATGGCTGTTCGCTGTAGTACATCGGACTAAATTGTCCGTGTCCTCTGCCCGGATCGCATCTATAGTATGGGTTGTCCTGTGGGTTGTCAGGTTTGCCAGATGGTTCGTCAGAAGGGTCGTCAGATGGTTCTTCAGATGGGTCCGCAGAAGTGATGTTCAGCGGACTGGCGATGACCAGGTTGTTGACAATAAGGAGACCGAGGATGGCTAGGGTTTTCGCAGAAAGCTTGAAGAGATTCATGGTGAAAAGTTGTCACCGGTTGTGGTAGTGCTGTTTCAGAGACTTTTCTGCGCCACAGGTTTGCCTTTGGCCAGATCAGTGGGCTCAGTGCGTTTGACTATTCAGAGACAGGGAGAGGCACTTCGGCAGGGGGGTCGGCCTCACATACGGCTGCAGCAGACCAGCGCGTCGAAAAGATGTATGTGAGAAGGATAGAAGCAAGAGGAAGTTCAGCTGTCAAATCTGAGAAATACTCGTGACAGGTGTCCTGGAAAGACCTCCGGTAGGCATAAGCATACCTTCCGGTGAAAAAGTGCAGACATGGTCGTATCGAATGTCTTTCGAAGCTTCTGTTAGCCTTGAGAAACCGGATCCACTTATTGGCAAGTTTTCGTGTATTATCGGTCGGACTCACGCCTCTCACAAGAAATGGAATTACTGATGAGTGCCGTGCCGTGCGGGCTCTTCGCCAGTCCCAGCGGTACGCACAATAGCAACCACCTTGCCGCTATACATCTCACTTCCATCTCTGCCGACTCGGTCCGGATGTTCTCGGCCCCCACACCTTAACATTCTTCGCTTTTTCGCCAGCCTCTGTCTTCGCGCCGTAGATTTGAGCTACTCGGGCAATATCTCCCTCACTGATACCGGCTTTGCTCGGATCCGGGCTACCGCCCATGTACACGGCTTGGCTATTGTCTTTCCTGAAAATGACTTTCTTGCCGGGCTCGATTGCGCCGGTGTCGGAGCTGTATATCATTATACTGTCGAAGTCGAATCTGACTGAACCGTCGAAGGCCTGCCATAAGAGCGCGACTTCATCGTGGCCTTCGGCAAAAGTGCTGGACATGGCGTAATCGACGGCTTCGGGGAAGTAGTGCTTGGCTATGTGGCCTCGTCGTGCTCTATGAACTGTCAGCGACTGATGAAAATGCTGGGGTAGAACGGACCATACGCAATCTTGACCCTTTGGTCAATTGTCTGATCGTCTTCGAAGTATCCGCGCTCGTCGATGGTCACTCTTCGAATGGCTGCCTCATAGCCGTCTAGGTTCTTGATCTGATACCAGAGATATTGGTCACGATCCGCCCTCTGATGCTCGTGAGCCAACCCGATGACATGGCCAAGCTCGTGCATCATATACACGACGGCTTTCGCTTCCTGTCGATTTCTGTCCGTGGGTTCATAGCTGCAGAACTTGAGATAATGGCGGGAAGGCGCAGATGGCTCGCCTGGAGAGATATACGAGTAGCTTGTTGTCGATAGAGTCTGGCATGCAGATCCATCATTCCACTTGTGATCATGGTCTCTCGTTTCGTCCGAGATCGCGAGAGCATCCCTAGCCACATTCGAATTGCCGCAAAGACAGTATTTCTCATCGCCACAGCCGGGGTCTGGGATGATGTGAAGTGCTGAGAGGTAATTCTTACCGTCAGTCCATGCTGGACTCCAACCTGCAACAGCTCGAAGGACTATCTTGCCCAAGTTCTTTGCCGAGCGTTTATCTTTGAAGCAATATCGAACGGGCATCGTGTTGGGGTCAGAACGCGTTGCCGGCCATCGATATCTGTATGGAGCAACGTGCGGGCCATTTTTGGGCATGTCAGGTACACCAAACCATCGCTTTACCAGACCTTCGCTGGCACCTGCTTCACCTTCGATAGGCGAGCAGGGAATAGTGAAGCGGGGACAGCATGCAAGGAGTACGAAAATGGTAGCGGGGAGTCGCATATTGATAGCTGTAAGTGTCGCTGTAGGTCTTGTTGCGAGTTCTTTATTGAAATGCCATGCCGCGCAGGCCATGCTTTTGAAAGAATCTTGATACCACGCGATCGTGCGGACAGGCGAGATATAGAGTCAGCTGAATGTGGCTCAAGTATCGCCATGGTGATTGCTGCATCATCAACGACCGCGGAAAATGACCTGACCCTTTCGTCAATACCAGGGTCCGCGATGTCGGATAGTCGAGTGTATGGCTGGGGTGGTCCTCCAAGGGTTTGGAGTGTATTCAACCCAATGAAGAGTAAGATGTGGGACGGGAGGATGGGAGGACGCCTGACATGTTTCTCGTAGTTATTGACGCACACTGAAGCCGAGCAAAAGCAAAGTGTTGGGAAGGGTTTATATTATAAATCAGCTTCTGCAAGACTCAACATGAGGATCCACACACTGATGGACATGACTGACCGCAAGTTCAGCATTGTGACATGTGCACACCGCCACAGCACTACTGTGCATTCTTTCCAACCCGATGCTCGTCCCTCTTCGTGAAGTTGCTCTTGTTCGGAGGTGGCACTGCGACCCAAGGCCCATCCCGAATCTTGACTCGCATGCCCTGTGGAGACCAATCGTTCTCGCCTGTCTTAGCGGCTTCACATTGTGGCGTTTTGGCATCGTACAGATGTGCGATAGCAGCAACATCACCTTCCGTAATCTTGGCATGTCCGTCCTTTGAGCCTCCCTGCCAGACTGGCGATCCGTCGTCACGCCTCTTGAGAACCCATTTCTTCTCGTCATCTGGCTTGCCGATACCACCCCCGCAGGAATCGTAGATCATGATGCTATTGTAATCAAAATCCACAGAGCTTTCGGCAGTTCTCAGCGCACGTTCCAAGGGCGTTGCAGCAAATTGATCACGCTTTAAGAATTCGTACAGGATGGGCCAATACTTTTCGGCAATGTTGCCACTTTCGAAGCTTTATCAATGCGCAATCAGTTCGAGTTCTCACGTTCGAATGTGCTTCAATCACTCACAGTCTCACTTTCCTGACCCGGAGCGGCATATCTTTGTCAAAGATATTCTTGGGGTCTCTTTCCAGAGTCTCGTCAAGTTTTTCGTAGCCTACTAAGTTCCATGGCTGGAAGACCAAGAATTGGTCTCTATCTTGTCGTTGGTGTTCGTGTCTGAGGCCTAGTGCATGCCCTGTGCTTCTCATCAGCTCCCCATCACGCTCTTCTTACGGGCCCGTACCTAGCTCATGAGCCATTTCACGAACGGCGAACACCAAATTCCTCTCCTGGTGCCTCTGAGACTGTCCATTCCAGCCTCCAAATTTCAAGAAATGGCGCCATGGCTGAACGGGTGCATGCGGGGCAAGGTAGATGAAGCCGACCGTAGTCACTGTGCAGCATTCTTCACTATCGTTCCATTTGTCGTCCCCGTCTTTGGTCACGTCAGATATGACCAATGAATCAGTCTTTGCCCAACTGTTATCACAGATGCACTCGTCCGGATTTATGCATTGCGGGTCGGGGACGATTGACATCGAAGTCACAGCTATGGCCGGTGCCCATATTCTGATTGCGGCATCGAGGATTTCTCCGAGATTCTTGGCCGACCGTTTGTCCTTGAAACAGTAGTAAACAGGCTGTGAAATCCGCGGCGTTGTGCACACTACGGGCCAGGCAGACTGATAGGGATATCTTGATCCCTGAGATTCTTTCGTGGCAACAGAATACCATCTCTTGGATAGGGGAACATCGTCGGGGACTGTCTGATTGGTAGCCTCAAACAAGTGTGCGTGACCGAAGAAGCATCCTGCGAGTATCGAGGACAGCAGCGCTAAGTACTTCATTTTGCGGTGTGCGATAGGGCTGCGCTCCGCGGAGGTGCGTTAAGTGTGACCGATGTGCTCGCTCTTGGGATATGGAGAGCAGTCGTTCTTGGGAATGGGAGGAGTTTTATGTGAGACTGGGGCTTTGAAATACAGCTCGTCAAGGTCTTGTGAACGTTAGCAATCAGCGCATATGACTACAGGATGTGACGTTTGATGATGAGACCTGGAACGTGTGGTCTTTGCGTGAAATGGCCTAGTCATGAGGCTCAAAGCAATCACTGGGAAGCATGCTTCTCTCCGACGCGATATCGGAGACTACACTGCCTTCAGGGCTCCCGGAGAGCGGACGACTGGTTTCCGTCTAGAGTGACAGTAGTGTTGTGACTACTTCGTCGTGGCTGAGAGCTCTCATTCTGGGTCCATCTTCAATGCGGCCAAGCGAACCAGCAGTGAAGCCTCTATCGGACTGGACACGAGAGTATTTGCTTGCGTTTGCTTTCGAGGTAGAGTGGCGGGCGGTGTTTCGTGTCATCTTCTCACATTCGGAGCGCGGTGACTTGCAGAATGATCTGGATACACAGCCATTTGAACGACGATTGCGGTGTCGCACGTGTGGCACATGGAGCTGATTTTTGGTCAATCGCCTCACGGCCTCGAGTAGGCTATCCATCGAACAGGCCATAATTTGTGGACGCATGCTTCTGCCGACTGTGGCTCCAACGCGAATTCCGATTCCGCATGATCTTGGAGCCAGCGCTGGCTGTATTTTGAAGGACGAAGGAGAACAATCATGGCCGACGAGCTTGAATCAAATGTCCGTTGCGGCGATGGACGAGATGAAGTCTGCGGCTCGGCAGATGAGGATGGCCACTTGCCAGGGGGCCCTGCCGCCGGACCAGGTAGTCGTCGCGGAGGTCCCACCGTCAGCTGTCCCGCGGCGGGACCAATACGGTGCTGAGGGGGGCATCTCGCGAAGGGGGTCGTCGGTCGTCTTCACTTCCACCAGCGCGTCGGCGGGCGTATGGGCGGACGGCGCAGCAGCAGTTCGTTTGGTCGGCGGCAAAATTGTGAAACGATGAAACGACATGGGAACGCTGGCGCGCCGTCGACGTCATGCTCGAGCGCGCTAAGATTGACCAGCGGCAGCGCCAAGCGACAAACAACAACTCGGGCGCGGGCAGCAGGTTTGCGGTGAGCGCCAACCGCCAGCAGCATACCACACTGCAACGGGAGCGACCTCGAGAGCGGCGCGCGTGAATTTGACGAGTGTGAAAGAGCACGGCGCAGAGCGAGGACCACGCATTCCACGAGTCGAACGGCTACTGTACGAACAAACGGCTTGCTGAACGAGCCTCCGCCGATCGATCGCGTCGCACCTGCTCCATTCACCACCAGGAGAAGCACCACCAGGAGAAGCACCACCACCACCTCCTCCTCCTCCTCCTCCGCCCGCACTCCCGACAACACTCGCTGGTCGAGCTCCGCTCCCTCTCCTCGCTCGCGCCGACCTCATCGCCCCCCTGCGACCCTTCGCGCCTCGCCCACCCTTGAGTTATGAACTAGGCCATGGCCACTCCCGCCGTGAACACCTCCCAGTGCGGCGGCGGCTTCTGGGACCTGCTGACCTGTGGTGGTGGCAGCGCGGGCAACAGCGAAGGCCAGACCATCAACACTTTGCTGGCCTCGTTGATCGGTTCGTTTGCCTCGCTCGGCGCCCAGGTCCTGCTGTTCACCCTCCTCCGCCTGCAGCTGTCGAGAATCTACCGCCCGCGATCCTACCTTGTGCCCGAGAAGGAGCGAGTTCCTGCGCCGCCCAAGGGCTTGATCGGTTGGCTCTATCCCGTCCTCACCACCAGCAACCTGACCATCATTCAAAAATGCGGTCTCGATGCCTACTTCTTCCTTCGCTTTCTGCGAATGCTGGTCAAGATCTTCTTTCCCGCTGCCTTCCTCATCCTACCCGTTCTCTTGTCCGTCAACGCCACGGGCAGCGGTAACAACCGAGGCTTGGACAAGTACTCCATCTCCAACATTGGAGACCAGCAGGGCTATCGATTATGGTCGCACACCTTTCTGGCCTGTATTTTCCTGCTGTGGACCGGCTATGTCGTTGTACACGAACTGAGGAGCTACATTCGTGTCCGTCAGGCTCATCTCACGAGTCCACAACATCGCTTGCGCGCCTCTGCTACCACCGTTCTGGTGCCTGGCATTCCAAGCAAGTGGCTGACTTACGAAGCTCTGTCGGGCCTATACGATGTCTTTCCAGGCGGCATCCGCAATATCTGGATCAACCGCAATTACGACGCCCTCGCGGACAAGATTAATTATCGCAATAAGATTGCAGAAAGTCTTGAAGATGCCGAGACGGTGCTTATCAAAAAGTGTCGCGCTGCGCACATGGAGAAAGAGAAGAAAGAAGCGAAGAAAGCCGGCCAGAAGAGCAAGACCAAGACGGAGAAGAAACAGGAGCGAGCGGCCGAGGACGCCGCTGCCGACCGCATGGCCGAGAGCGAAGGCTACAGTGCTGGTGAACAACGAGAAATGCCCCAAGGAGTTCAAGAGGCTGTCGAAGAAGGCGATCATCTTGTTCACGATAAGGAGGGTGCAGATGGCACTAGTGCAGCGGATTCTGAGGTGAGCATCATGCTTAAGTACTCCGTCGACCTCGAGAAGTGGAAAACTGACCATTGCACAGAAACGATCAGCAAAGCTCGATGGTGCCCACTCACGCGCCAGCGACGAGACTCTGACGAGACCGTCTGGTGGCTCGAGACCCCCTCAAAACGGGCTGGAAATTGAAGAGCCAGAATCACACGGCAATCGAAATTCAGTGCTGGATATGTTCAAAAACAACGACAAATCGCTTCGTTTCCCCTCTCCGGAGCCTCACGCCGCAGAGGGCGACGACGAATTCCCACTTCACACAGCAAAAACCGCATCAAACGAGGCAAGGGCTCCCGAGAATAAGAAGACTTGGTGGCAAACGCTGGCTTTCTGGCAATCTGGTGACGATGTTCCTGTCGAGTATGGCAAGGCCTTTGACGAGCAATGGGATGAAGACCAGGATGAAGAACCTTACTGGCGCCGTTACATTCAGCCCAAAGATCGTGAGACCATGCGGCTACCACTGTTCAGTCCTACCTGGTGGCCCAGCATACCACTGGTTGGCAAAAATGTCGATCGCATCTACCACCTGAGACGTGAACTCGCTCGCATGAATTTGGAGATTGAAGATGACCAGAACCACCTGGAACGATTTCCCTTGATGAACTCCGCCTTCATCCAGTTCAATCATCAAATCGCCGCTCATATGTGCTGTCAATCGCTTAGCCACCACATTCCACAGCAAATGGCGCCCAGGCACGTCGAAATTGACCCCGACGACGTAGTCTGGGACAACCTGTCCATGACTTGGTGGGAACGCATCATCCGCACAGGCATAGTGCTGATAGCCTGCGTTGGGTTGATTATCCTCTACGCAATTCCTGTTGTCTTCACATCGCTGCTCAATCGAGTGTCAGATCTGACAGCCAGGTTCCCGTGGCTCGCATGGCTCAACGATGCTCCATCAGCGGTGAGTATCCACTGCATTGACTTCCGCAGTCATCATTATGCTAACGCCTCTACAGTTGATCTCCATCATCCAGGGTATCCTGCCACCCGTTCTCCTGAGCGTGATACTCCTCCTCGTACCTATGATCTTCAGGTTCCTTGTAACACATCAAGGCGTGCCAACGGGCAACGATAGGGAACTGGGTGTCCAGTCTTGGCTCTTCGCCTTCTTGTTCATCCAAGTGTTCTTGGTGGCAACGATCTCCGGTGGTAGGTGGATTATTTACAGCTTTGGACTACCCGCTGTTGTACTTGTTTGAAAACCAGCTGTGATGCTAACGCAGTGCACAGGTCTGGTCCAGCTGGCCGTGACGATTGCCAGGAATCCCGCAAGCATTTTGGAAACTATCTCCTCCTCGCTTCCGAAAGCGTCCACGTATTTCTTCTCCTACCTAACAGTTCAGGCCTTCTCGAATTCGGCTAGTGCCCTTATTCAGATCGGCAGTCTCTTAGGGTGGTGAGTTATTCATACGGCCTCAGAAGTCCCACCTTCACACAGAGCTAGTGCTAACTCGTCTCCAGGTTTATTCTGGCACCCATTCTTGACTCCACCGCACGGCAGAAATGGCGACGCCAAACGACGCTGAATAAGGTCCAGTGGGGCTCTTTCTTCCCTCTGTTCACGAATTTCGCTGTCATTGGCATGATCTACTCCATTATCGCGCCTCTGATCTTGGTCTTTGTGATCATCATCTTCGCGTTATTTTGGATCGTCTATCGATACAATGTGCTTTTCGTCTACCAGTTCCGGCACGACACTGGCGGCTTGCTGTTCCCGGTTGCCGTCAATCAGCTCTTCACGGGATTCTACTTCATGGAGCTGTGCCTGATTGGTTTATTTTTCACCTCGACAGACGAAGATGGAAACGTGTGCTACCCGCAGGCTATCGTCATGATTGTCGCGCTCGCCGCCACCGTTCTCTTCCAGGTGATCTTGAATCAGAGCTTCAAGCCGCTTTTCCAATACTTACCCATTACTCTCGAGGACGAAGCGGTGATCCGTGACGAACAATTTGCAAAGGCGCAGGAGAGCAAGTTTGCGGCGCTCAGGCAGGTACAAAGTGCAGAAGAACACGAAGAAGATGAACATGCGGCAGAAGAGATTGTCAGAACCGAGTCTGAAGGCGCTGTGGGTCGGCCATCTTCATCCAGGCCACGGCCCTCGCATGACTGGAAGAATCGAAATACGCCGCAGCAGTTGTTCAAGACGGAAGCATGGAAGAAGGCTGCACCGGAAGCTGTCGCCCGGCTGCGATTTCTCGCTGACGGCAAGAGAACAAAAGGGATGGAGCCAAAGCACGATGTCGAAGCACAGCACACCGTCGGCGACGTCCTCTTCGGCGATTTTGCGGATGAAATTGAGGATCTGACTCCCGAAGATCGCGACCTTCTAGTTCGTTACGCGTTCCAACACAGCGCGCTTCGAGCAAGGCGGCCGGTCGTATGGATCCCCCGCGACACACTGGGTGTCAGTGATGACGAGATCAAGAGAGCCAAGAAAATGTCCACGGTAATGGTTGACGGAAAGGAGACGACCAACATTTGGATGAGTAATGAAGGTACCGCCATCGACGGCAAGGGGCGGGTTGTTTTCCGCAAGAGTCCTCCCGACTTTAGTAATGTCGATCTGGTGGCTCTTTGAGCAGGGTTTAGCTGATTTTGCATCTACTCCAGCGTTCTTAGCGATACACACACAGCATAGGTCGGGCATGCATACACATCTTTCATCCGCGCAACGATTCGCTTTCAACAAGTATCTTTTGATGTACCATGTCACGCATGTCACCCTGCCCAGGATCGCGGACGGACGGACGGATCCACGGGAGTCAGACAAAATCGACTCATGATCCTCTGGCACATAACAGTGGAACGTCGAGCGAATCCGGATCCCGCGGCTCCAGCAGATCTAGCCGACGGTGTCCGATGTTTCGTAAAGCTCTCGGCACAGTGCCATAGTCACTTCGGTCCGTCCATGAAAATAGGCTCCTAGGCATCATATTCGGCTTGCTGTCTTGGAGAGACTCTGTCGCACATGGCAAAATTTGAGGCTCGGTTTTTTTTAAAGAAAAAAAAAGGAAATCACAAAGACAACACGAATGCCGCGTGCAGAGCTGAATCACTTCTCGAGCATGCTGATACTTGAACGATCATCTCTCGAATAAGAGATTAGGTACTGAGAGAACAAAAGGAGATAGTGTTGCGATATCGATTTTCTCGGTCACTCGAGCGACACTATCGACACATACTCCACGTCAGCGAAAATGAAGCTGAATCTGAAGCTGTCAATGTTATTCATCCTGCTGATCACAGCCGTGCAAGGCGTGTTGGCATGGGAAGCCCACCCTAACACCGCTGCCGGCGACATCAAATCGGTAAGCAACCTTTCCCAGCTGCACTGAACTCCAGCGATTAATCACCGCCATTTGGAAAACCCCCAGAAACCCCTCTTGCTAATCTCAGCGCCCCTTATAGAAGGACAGAGACAAGCTCCTAAAATGTGTCAACAACTGGGCTTACGCCGAAAGCCAAGTCAACGCCACCACCGGCTACCCTCTCGTCCACCCTGTACAAGGCGACTGGGAACACCTCCCCAAAGTCCTCGGCATAAACAACACCAGCGAACTCCGCAACGAAGACCGCTGGATATGCGGAAACCGAACTTTCCAAGACGGAAAAATTGGAACTCCCCATAAACGTCTCGTTTTACGAAATGTTTGTCTCAGAAGTATGCGTTCTGCAGCGCGTCTAGGGCATGATGCCTTTTATTGCCATTCTCGTACTCCCAAGGGGGGTCATATGTTTGCGGGATGGGCACCGATTGGTGGGGAGATGTGTGAGGATTTCAAGATTGGGAAGGAGGGTGTTGGGGGGATTTGTTCGGAGCCAGGAGGTCATTATTGGTCGCGTCAGCCGGGTGCTGCGGAGTTGCCGGTTGGGTTTGATCCGAGGAAGAAGAATCCGTGGCCGAAGACGAAGAAGCCGAAGAAGAAGCCGGAGGATCATGGAGGGAGGTAGGTGGGTGGGTGGGGAAGCTGGGGGGTTGGATTTGATGAGGAGGGGTTTGAGGAGAGAGATGGCGGTATGAAGTGGGAAGCGGACATATTTCTTGATTTGGCGTGCTTTTTCTTGGGGTCAAGATGTGTCTGATAGCTCTACATGTACGTAGAGAGATGATCTCAATGGAAGCTAAATTTGAGTGAAAAGAGGGAGCCCTCTGCGCTCAGCTTGACCTCGGGCAAGACTAGACCTGTACAATGGATAGGGAGCGAATCCCTCAATTGTCTCTACCGATGAAGAGCAGCAGAGATGCTGGCTCCGTACTTGATGAAGAGGTCGAAAAGTCTCGAACAGGGCCGCGGCGATTGCTTTTATGCACTACCCTAGTACCGCTACACATACCGTGTCATGAGCGTTGGTCTGCTGTTCGCGAGTAAGATACCTGTTCGCGCACGACATCTGCGCGATCTTGAAAGACCTTCTTGACCCTTGCTCTAGTTCGCCTCTTTGTCCTCTTTGGCGGCCGTATCGTCCTGCACACTCTTGCTTGGCCTTCGCTCCCTACTGTCTCGACGCTCCCTGCTATCTCGACGTTCCCTACTGGCTCTCCTAGGGCGATCGTGGCTTCGCTCTCTAGCACGCTCCCCTCGATCACGACTTCTGTCCCGGTCTCTGCTGCGGCTTCTCTCGCGACGTCGCGGAGACTCGTCTCCCGGACGCACGCGTTTGCCGCCCGGAATGTACCGATCGATATCACCTGGCCGATCGCGGTCCTCGTACCGTGCTCGTCGACGTGGCATATCACGCTCGTCGCGGATGATAGACGAAAGACGGTCGCGCTCTTTCTCCGAGTCCTTGTCTCGTTCACGGTCCCTCGGTGTCTCCTTTCCGTCGTCATCCCGAGTACGGCGTCTCGCGGGCGATCGATCACGGTCGTCATCGTCGGCGCGCCTTCGTGATCGTGAGCGTTCTCTTCGGCGAGGAGGCGAGCGGGAGCGTGTCTTCTCTGCCTTGTCGTCATCTTCGCGTGCTCTACGGGCGGCAGGGCCGCCGGGAATGTATCGATCAATCCCAACCGGACTACGGCTGCGATCATCCCGACGGCGCTCCCTTGATCGATCTCGCGAGCGTTCTCGTCGCCTCGCAGGGGAGCGAGTTCTCGTTCTGTCCCTCCTACGCGGTGGACTGCGGCTATCATCACGTCGGCCTGGTCGATATATGTTCAAGCCTCGGGGCGGACTCCGGCTGCGAGCAGGACGCTCCACCACTTCGCCTTCATCGCGTTCATCCTCGCGCTTCCTGTCTCGCACTCGGTCTCTGTCCCGGTCTCTGTCGCGGTCGCGGTCGTCTCTGGGACGTTGACGAGCCTTCCATGCTTCCCGCTCAGCACTAATGTCGCGGTAGAGGGTTTCTCGCCGATCCCGTGGGTCACGGGCATCACGTCGCAGTCGGCGATCATCGGGCGAGGGATCGCGTCGTCGGATAGAGCGAGCAGGAGAAGGAGATCTAGGCCGAGACGGTCTTGCTCGTGACTGATCTCTCTCCCGCTCCCGCTCGCGCTCCCTGGCTCGCTCACGATCGCGTGCAGGTCCAGTGGGAGCTGATGGAGGGGCTCGAGAGATTTCTGGCCGGTCGCCCTTCTTCAACGTGAGAGACGTGGGAACCAAGTCCCTAGGTCTCTCGTTTCGTGCTGAAGACGACTGTCTGAGACGGGGAGGTGGCTCCATGCTCTCGCTTCGCTCCAGCTCCGGACGTCTTGCTTTCTCTGCCATCACCTCACCCTCTTTGAGCAATGCTTCTAATGCTTCCGCCTCGAGTCGCTTTTGCTCACGCTCAGCACGCTCCTTCTGGCGACGTTCGCGCTCTTCCTGCAGAGCGCGTTCTCGCTCTTCGGCCTCCTTCTTTGCCTTCTCGCGCTCCTCATTGAATTGCCTGATTCGCTCTCGCTCGCGCTCTTTCTCGGCTAGCTTCCACGCTTCTCGCTCCGCGCGCCGCTTGGCCTCTCTCTGCAGACGCTCAGTCTCTTTCTGCAACGCTTCTTGTTTCTTCTTCAACATCTCCACCTCTTTGGCTCGCTTCTCGCGTGCTTCCTTCTTGCGACGAGCTGCTTCATCTTCCTTGTGCTTGACAGCACGCTCCTTCTTTCTCTGCTCAGCCTCCATAGCATAAGCTTCATCGGTCTTGCTTCCTTTTCGAAGCTCCTCATCCGCGGCCTCGTCGCCGATCTCCTTGCGACGGATGTCACGTAATGTGCGCTCCGCGTTTGCCATGAACTGATCGATGTAGTTATTGATGTCTTGCTCGGTCTTAACGTAGACTTCGGCACGCGAAGCAGCGCCTTCGAGTAGTGGTGCAGCAATGCGTCGGTCTGGCTTTAGGTATTTGATCGGATCGCGGTCGATTTCGTTGGTGGTAAAGCTGCGCAGAGCATTCTCAAACATGCCCCGATTGGCGCTCTCGTTGTACTGCTGGAACGCCTTCTTCCGCAATACGTCGAATTCGCCCTGTTTCTTGAAGGTGTGGAGCATGCCATCGATGGCCGAATGCTGAGTGCTCGACAGCGGCAGCTCAGAGATTTTGGGCTTCTTGCGCGCGGGCAATTCGAAGTCACCCGTGCCCGAAATGGCGACGTCTGTAGCCATGGCGGCTACGACGATTGTTGGTGGTGATGTTGTTCTGGAATCGAGGTGGAAGTCCCTTGGTGGTGCGTCGCGAGTAGGACGTCGGAGATGGCGCGTCCAGAGCCCCGACCAGCTGTGGCACAGCAGTCGAGATGTGGCTTGTCGGCAAGAACCGAGCAGTGCGCACAGAGCTTCACATGGGGCGCATCATGAGGAGTTGCGAGTTGCTGTCGGGAGATCCATTGTGAACTACTGCACGCCCACGCGACACTCCTCGTGCTCATCTGCGACACTCACCACCATACATACGGGCAGGTTCCCACAGCACAATCCCGTCCTGGGCCGTCTCTCCATCGCGCAGTTCCAGCACAACACGAGCCGTCATCATGGTCAACAAGATTCTGTTCTGGTCCGGCTTCGGTATGTTCGCACACACATCCAGTGCCATGGCTACTTGAGCTCTGTAGCAGTGACTGACCCCATCACAGGCCTCGCAGTGAGGTTCTGGCAGCTCGGAATCGAGATGCGTCCATTTTTCCAGCGCGAGAACTGGCTTATCTACCCAATCTACGGAGGACTCGGCGCATCATTCGGCTACTGGCTACAAGGCGTTGACGACAGGCAAATGCGATACTTAGGCGACGCGAGACAGAGACTGATTGAGAAGAGAAAGCGACGAGCCGAGAGGGAAGGACAGAACTTGGGCTCTGATTTCCAGAAGCACCAGGCCGGCGCACATGCTTCAGTGGAGGAACGGGGGGCAGCGGCATGAGGGAGAGCTGTGTGGTTATGGCACGGTTGTTGAGCGAGTAGAGGCTATGTGAAAATAGGTCGTGATTGTGGTGATGGCACGCGGCGCGGAACAGACTTCGTCGAGTGTGCGGCGGGAAGACCACCACGCACAGCTGTATGAATCAACGAAAATACCTTCATGGAAAGCGGCAGTCTGTCTACGGTATTATCGCCGATTGAAGTGCCTGCCTTCTTCCCCTTTGTACATAGTAGTGCTGCGGCAAGTTCAGAAGCAGCAATGGCTTCATCGAAAACGGCAGCTCCGCTCCATCTCGAGTCACGACCCATAACTTCCACGACACTTCAAAAATGCGCGCCGAGAGCGCTGAGGTCTAACTCTGCGGCGATTCTGCTTCGCAACCTCCAGACACTCTGACCATGTATTCCCACGATCTGGCCCTGCGATTTGAGCCTCCCAACTCGCGCTCGGCGTCGCCCGCACTTGCAGCAACGACACGAGGCGGCATCGTTGTCTTCTCCGGAGGAAGCGCGGCCAACAATCTCGTGGATGTCTTCAATCATGTCCGCGAAGCCAACGATACCGCTCTGAGCTATGTGATACCAATTTCCGACAATGGAGGCTCGTCGAGCGAGATCATACGCGTCTTTGGCGGCCCAGGTAATTCGGCGAAACGCATCCAGCGCGTCGAAACGTTAATACCTGCGCTAATACATGACAGGCATTGGTGATGTACGCTCACGACTTGTCAGATTGATCCCAGACGAGGGAGATGAAGCCAAAGCGATCAAGACCTTCTTCAACCACCGCTTGCCCAAGAGCTACGCGCCTGCGAGGGCAGAATGGCTGGAGATCATCGAAGCAACACATCCGCTTTGGCACGGCATATCCTCGCCGAAGAAAGAGCTCATCCGGAGCTTTCTCAACTCAATGAACTTGGAGATCGTAAAGCGTCTGCGGCCGACCAGCAGATTCGACTTTTCTGGTGCTGCAATCGGCAACCTCTTCCTTACCGGGTATTGTGAATAGCTAGCTGCATTAGTACCGCACATGCTAACCATGCAGACAGTGCTCGTCTCTTTACTGGAAGTTTTGAATCGGCGGTGTATCTGGTATCCAGTATATGCGGGATCTCTGCCGCCATTTCGATACTGCCTGTGCTCAACACAAACTTTGCGCACCACATTGCCGCTCGACTAGCAGATGGCACTATCATCACAGGACAGAATAACATAAGTCATCCGAGTGCTCCCGCAGCATCTGTCAGTCACATACCTGTGTCACCAACCCAGCTACTCCAAGCCGAAACCGAGGAACAGGACAAGGTCGAAGATGCCAACATGCCAGGCACGCATCCCGAGCTACGGAAACCCGCGATCGCTTTTTCCAAGGATGAAGAAGAAGAGCTGCCTTGTCGAATAGATCGATTGTTCTACATCAATCCTTATGGTCAGGAAATTACGATTCCAGCTAACCCTCGCGTCTTGGAAGCAATCAAGAACTCATCCTGCGTCATATACAGCATCGGCTCACTTTTCACGTCGCTGGTGCCCTCATTGGTGTTGAAAGGTGTTGGCAACGCGATCGCATCGCCATTGATAAGGTCCAAAATCCTGATTCTAAACGGAACTCTCGACCGTGAGACTGGACCTTCCACCAACCCTTTCACTGCAATGGACTTCGTCGCTGCCATTGCCAACGCGTGTGCCGCATCTCAAGGGCGGCCAAGTGCTCAAGCACATGACTACTGGCAATATGTGACACATGTCATCCATCTCGATGGTCCTACATCTCCGGTTGTTGACAAGACTGCCTTCAACAAAATCGGAATTGAAACAATGCGTGTCTATGGCAGAGCCGATGAGCAAGGCAAGCGAGGCCGTTACGATGCCAAAGCGCTGACTCAAGCACTTGAGGCTGTAATTGGCAGGAAGGATCCGCGCGGTGTGAGCAGACGAAATACAGTCGTCTCATGACGAAGGCTGGTGGGAGAGTCATCGTACTAGTCGTACTGGACATCGGCTACTGAACATTGAGCCTAGTTAGGGCAGGCGCGGGCGGTCTCGAGCGGGCAGTGCGGCCGCTGCGCTCCACAGGAACAGGAAAGTGCCCCGCCAATAGCTTTACAAAGTTATTACGTGGGCTTCTCACCTGCAGCGGGAAACAGTCACGACATTTCTGCCAGCACTTGGCTAAAACCCATCCTGCAAAGACATTGTCGCTAGCAACAGCATTCTATCGACATGGCAGCAAAACCCTTCAACGTCGCCGTTGTTGGCTTTGGTCTTTCTGCCAAAGTCTTCCACATACCATTTGTTCAAGCCCTGCCTGGCGATTTCAAAATCTACGGCGTTGTCCAGAGAAGTCCAACACCTGAAAACGATGCTTCCAAACTCTACCCAGGAATCAAGAGCTGGAGGTCAATTGACGAAGTCTACGAGGACCCCGAAGTGGACGTTGTGATTGTTACCACGCCGCCCGATGGCCATTACGAGTTTGCTAAGAAGTCTTTGGAGAGCGGCAAGCATGTGATCGTCGAAAAGCCATTCGTGCCTACTTCAAAAGAGGCCGGTGAGCTCGCGGCAATCTCCCAGCAGACGGGCAAGAAGCTGGCAGTGTACCAGAATCGGAGATGGGATGCAGACTTCCTTACATTGAGGAAGATCATCGATGATGGCCATCTGGGAGAGATTTCTGAGTTTCAAACGCACTTTGACCGACACAGGCCTGATCCTCCGCCGGAAAGCTGGAAGAATGACAACAAGCCTGCCCATGGAACCCTGTATGATCTTGGCACGCATCTCATCGATCAAGTGTACACGCTCTTCGGCCTCCCGAAGCGTATCACAGGATTTGTGGGAACCCAGAGGCGAGGTGTGACGGGAGGTGCTCCGGATTCCATCACTGTTTTGCTGCATTACGATGGGCCGATTCTCGTGACTGTGAAGGCAGGCGTGGTCAGTCCAGAAGTGGAGCAGCTCCGATACTGGGTGAGAGGCACGAAGGGGAGCTTCAAGAAGGTCAGTATTTCAGAAGCAATGCGCTTGGCAAGCCAACTGACTTGTGCGTTAGTTTCACCTTGATCGCCAAGAGGATCAATTGCGGAAAGAGAATGTTGGACCTGGACACAAGGACTTCGGTGTCGACCCAGAATCGCACTACGGCACCCTCATCAAAGTTGAGACCGAGAAATCGACGCCTGTGGTTGAAAAATACCCAACTGTTTCTCCACCAACATATCTCGAGTACTATCGGATTTTCGCGAGGGCCATTCGAGGAGAAGGCGATGTGCCAGTGAAAGCGGAGGAAGCACGAGATGTCTTGCGCATAATTGAGCTGATTGAGCAATCCTCTCGTGAGGGTAGAACTCTTGAGCTTTGATTCCCGAATGATGTATAGCACGGCACTTAATCGTGACTACCTCTAAAAGCAAATAACTCCGTGTGCAAGCGCAGGTCGCTAAGCCCAGCCGCAAAGGTTCTCATGGATCGAGAGCCGATCCACTGAGGCGCTTGCACTTAGAGGTAGTTCTATTCAAAGGTAGCCACGGTTATTTGACAAAAATGGATTGACGATCTCACAGCTCAAGAACCTGTTGACCCTTCGCCTGAGCGTTTGAATTGTTGCATTGATTAAGATTTTGCGTAGAGACAGCCGCCGCCACCGCAACCACATCTGGGATATGCACTACGGATTGTCACGATGATGAGGACTTGGGTCGAACTGTTGCATTGATTAAGATGTGGACGACGAGAGGATCATGCTCTGCAGTCACAAACCCCAGGTGCGCACACTGATCCTTCTTGCGCTCTTTACAAAGCTGGACCAGCTTTCCGGATTGCATGCGCGTGTAAACAAGAGACAGAGGCGAGTGCTTGACAGAAGCTTGCGACACTTAGCCCTATGTATTGTATATAGACTTCTGCAGCGACCGACCTGTTCTGTATAAGATAAATTAGACGAGTTTTGAGTCTTATGGTAAGCAGATTATAGCTCTTTAGAAGTAGGCTTAAGATCTTAAGAGAATAGTATAGATAAGCGTACGATCTTTGCACCCCACCGATTCATAAACGACTTTCGTACGCTGAACTCCGTAGGACCATCACAAGGGTCACATCTACCTACCGGAGCTCGTCGTTGAGATCATGTCCCCTAGCATCGGTACATTCTTAAAGGGATGATCCTGTGGTCTGCCCAATGGAATAAGCCACTTGCCAGACTTTGTAGGTTCAAGGCGTGTCAGTTTTCTGTCACTGCTCAACAGGTACGATAAAACACCAAAGGAGAAACCAGAAAGGTGCTGTGAAATGCAAGCAGAGGCAACTTTTATTCGTGCAGCTACAATCTAGTGCGCCGCTGCGGAATCATGCCATCGTGACGCTTTCATGCGACTGCCGGACAGGTCATCATCCCATCTACTATCTAGTAGAAGAAGCCAATGATCTTGCCAGCAACGTGCTTTCTCCTAGCCTCCTCGTGGTCCATGATACCGGCGGAGGTAGTCAGGACGATGTAGCCGAATTGACGCGATGGAAGGAGTCTGACGACCCACTTCTCCAGGTCGGTGAGCTGGACGTTGTAGCGTGGGGAGATGACACCGGTCTTGTTGAGACGGCCGTTGAGCTGGATGACGATCTTGCCGTTGCGGTGGTCGTCAACCTCCTCGAACTCGCCAATGTAGCCTGAAGACAGTCATGTCAGTGATTTGTCGCGACAATTTAAACGTGCTCTTTCAGCCATTGATTCCAAAGACGTGTAAGAATCCTCGCCAGTATGTCAATCTCCCGAGCACTTAAAGGGCGTTGGTCGTGGTAGTTTGAGACCATTGCCTAGTTATCAACCCGGTGCGCCGCTTGAACAACACATTTCACTCTTGCCCTCCTCTTGCGCTGATACGAGATCGATGGTGAGATGGGACATACCGTGCTTCTGCATGACCTGCAGGAACTTAACGATGACCTTGGAAGATGGGCGGATCATGACCTGGCGCTTGCCGGTCTTCTCGGCGTTGTTGATGGCATTGAGCGCATCGTTGAGGACGGAAGTCTTGACCATTTTGGCGGTGTGTGGGACAGGAGATTCTCAGGGCGCGAGAGAGTGCGGCTTGAGGTATCTGCGCGGGCTCTGGTCAGTTTCTCGAGGGCCATGGTCCGGAGCGCGAAGGTGCTTCTGCGAGACCACGAAGAAGTCTTCGGCTCGATGCTATCGAGGCAAAAGCGGTGTCATGGCGGGGACAGCCATGATCGCCATCCTCGTGGCCTCTCGAGAAGATGCGTGTGCCCACTTACCTCTGTTGTAGCGGCGAGCTGGTGGTTCTTGCAGCTGTTGCAGAGTCGCAAACTTCTTCGCCAGTCGTGCCGAAATTCAGAGGTGTCGGTGTTCGGAGCCACGACGGTCTTGGCGCCGGACAGACCCTCCAATCCGCCGCTTCGGCCACCTGGTGCCAGAGCCAGAATATTTCGAGCCTTGACCCTTTGCATCTGCCCCGCCTACCCACCTAATTCTTCTTCCACCCAAGTTCACCCATCTTCACCACCTCTTCACTTCACCCAATTCGTCCGAACCGCTCCTCACTCTTTGAAAGACTCGCTGCACACCCGTCAACATGATTATCTACAAGGTATGTGCTTATTGCATTGTCACAACTGGCAATTAGCGCCAGACTCGACCCGTCGCAGCGACCACCTTTTTTTGTGGAGATGCAACTGACACAACACGCCAGGACATCATCACTGGCGACGAGCTCATCTCCGACTCGTACGATCTCAAGGAGATCGACGGCATTGCCTACGAGGCCGACTGCAAAAAGATTACCCTTGGCCCAGTCGAGGTCAACACTGGAGCCAACGCTTCTGCAGAGGGTGGTGACGATGAGGGTGCCGAAGACACTGCCCAGACTGTCATTGACGTCGTCCACTCCTTCCGCCTCAATGAGACCAGCTTCGACAAGAAGAGCTATCTGTCCCACCTCAAGGGCTACATGAAGGCTGTCAAGGACAAGCTGAAGGCGAACGGTGCTAGCGATGAGGAAGTCACGACCTTCGAGAAGGGTGCTCAGGGCTTTGCGAAGAAGATCGTTGCCAACTTCAAGGACTACGAATTCTTCATCGGCGAGTCCATGGACCCAGATGGAGCGTAAGTCCCATGTCTTGAGCGAAAGAAACAATGTGCCGATGCTAACACTACACGTAGTGTCGTTCTCCTGAACTACCGGGAGGATGGCGTGACTCCTTTCGTCACCATCTGGAAGCACGGTCTGAAGGAGGAGAAGGTCTAAGCTGATACATTATGACGTTACGAAATGCCGCATGCTGCGTGGTGTTACAGGTCGAGGAGCAGATGCCTTCGATGGTATGGAAGCACATGTTTCGACTTCAAAAGCATGCTAGACTTGGATTTCCACGAGCAGCTGCAACATTGCAGCCCGAAACATACCTTACACCCACGATACCCTCGAACTAACAGCTTATGAGTTTGACTTAATCATCTTCGTGTCCGTACACTCACGTGCGTGCCTGTGCTCTCATCATGGCGCATTTTGAGCTAACATGTCTGGTTTGTCTGCTTGAGAGGAAGCCTTGCGACCTCGCTGGCGGACTGCTGTCCTTGAATCAAGGCACCTCTACGCAACGTTTTGACGAATGCCGCCTAAGCTGGCTGCTGGTCTGGTCTGCCTACCACTGAAAAGCAACACAGAACCTAGGGCAAGTCAACTCTGCCTTCGGTGCATGTGCTCTGATGGAGTGATTTGAGAAGACGCAGCGTTTCTTCACCCGTAATATCTCTGCCTGACGCAGCGTATTCAAGGCATTCTGTCTGTCGACGCACGCTAATCGGAGTAATCCAAAAGAACTCGAGTACACCTCTGCGCCTAGTATCTCTGCCTGATGCAGCGTGTCCAAGGGGTTCTGCCTGCCGAGATGAGATAATTGGGAGCTCGAGACCACGAGAGATCGAGTGTTCATGTGCGAGTTTCCGTTTTACTGTCCGCAACCGGTATGGCCTCATTCGAGCTCGTTCGTGGACGGTGAGGTGGCACTCAGTGAGTGCCATAGCAGCATTCTTGCTGTGATCAGAATGGCGTGGCCCACTTCTTCAACCTTTTCACTGCCACTGTATTTGTTCCACTCCCAGCGTTTCATTCACCACTCGGGCACCCCTCGCTGCAACATTGTCGCGAACTCACGAGTTCTGGCGTTGCTACGCGAAACAGGCAGCCGGCGCAGGGGTTGTCGCGTCGGCCAGTCGGAGCGTTCCTCGCGGACTGCCGTGCGGCGTGGCCGCCTACTTCCTAGCGCCCACGCTAAACTCAATTGCTCTGTATGTTTATGCCTCAGTCAAGTCGAACGTCACATTCGCACTTCTCGAGCGGAGTCGCACAATGGCATCGGCTTAGCAGGCCGAAGTCATCACCTCACTTGCGCCGTCACAGGCAATGGCGAAGAAGAGGAAGACTTCTCAAGTGGAGCCGTCTGTTGCGGCCTCTGAGCGAATGCCTGATCGAGCCGCAGAAATTCGGCAGCGATTTAGCGAATTATGCCGACAAGCTGGCCTACACATCGCCATTGACGGCGTGCCAACCCCGAATCAACTACAGCATGGAAAAGGCGAAAAGCTATGGCACTTGTACAAGTTTCTCTCTTGGAAAAACGACGACTACCTGCGAAGCGAGCTCGACACGTTCCTCAAAAATCTAAGGGACGATCCTCAGAGTCATTCAGAAGATAACAGGGCGAATCGACTGCTCGATTGCTTGGAAGGATGCAGGGCAGTAACGCCCAAGTCCGAGCGCTTCGTGAAGTTCCCTCGCAGAGAGCTGGAGCTACCTGCCATACCGGAGCCTACGCAACCGTGTTCTACTCAAGAAGTTTTCCAAGCGCCATCCTCCCCTACACCAGCTCCGGTAAAGCTTGCAGGCCAACAGAATCTTGCCGCCAAGTTCAAGGTAACAAAGGCCGGCGCGGGCATATCGCCCACGTCACACAAACCGACAGCACACACTCCAGTTTCTGCCAAGCGCGAGCCTACATCTTTCTCTGCTCAGAAGGTACAGAGCAAGCTTTCGTTCGATAGGCTTGGGAAGAATCCTCTACAGTACGGACCCGCCAGCAAGCCCGTCATTCCGGACGCATCATTCACGAAGTCCTTCACAAGCACGTCTGGGAATACCTCATTCGATCAGAATCGCTCGTTCTGGTCCAACCCAGGTGGCCAAGAATCTTTCCGGACAGACGCTACCTCCTTTAGCGATTACACACAACCACCTGCTCGTATTCGTGATCAGGACTCGCTTGGCGCGAGCTCCTTATCATCAGGCACGGCCGAGGAATGGATACGTTTTGCGAATCACGTGGAGTCATCACAGGATTCTGCAACTACCGACAAAACAATTCGGCCGCGGCAAGCGCACTCTGCAGGGGTGAACGTATCATCTGAGGATCCGAGTATCACAACTAACACCCGCGAGCCGTCAACGAGCCGGCGTCGAACGCCGCTCGATGATTATGCTTACTTGGAACGCACCTCTGACTTCTATGGCTCAAGCATTGGTACTTCGACCTTGCTTGAGTGGGAAGAGCTTGATCAATCAGTCGGCCAGATTGGAGACCATGTTATGATTGATAGTTTTCCAGATGAGCAACTCAAGGCTGAGGAAGCCCGATCCGCAGCATATGCTGCCTTGGAGAATAAGTATCCGCCAACGTCCAGCAAGGAATCGTTACTAGACCTCTCTGACTTTCAATCGTTCACCGGTTCCGAGTTCAGTGCACGCTGGGAAGCTGCACGGCTATTGCAAACAGGTCACATTACGCCCGATGCTCTTGACGCCCAATGGCAGCCTCAAGATTTGGAATCGCTGTATAACCTGGTTACTGCTCAAAACATGCCATTTCAGAAGTCGCCATTGCTCAAAGGATTGAAGTCCTGGGAGACCTTGACCAGAACTGCTCGTTTGGAATGGACCGGAGTCAAGAACAGTCATTTATGCAGACTTGGACTGCTGCCGACCCGCAAGGATATATCATGCAGTCTTCAGCGGCGGCTCGGTGCTGATCGAGTTCTGTATATTGACATGCCGGATATGTCGAAGCCGCCGAAGGTTCACAAGGATCGCGCTATTCAGAGCTGTCTTCGCAAGTGGCTATCAACTCCACAGGAGCTACTTGGTCGTGTGTGGTATCCCTTCTTCTTGCAACCGAACAAGAAGAAATCAACAGGCGAGGGCGGACACTCTACATCTGTATATCGTCTTGTACTGGTCTCTCCTAGTCATGGCATGTCGCTCTGCGACCTGATGGAATGGTGCCTTCCATATGATCACAATCAACATCAGGCCGCGCGCAAGGCGTACATGAGAATTGAGCTGTTGCTCTCACGCACTATTCCCGCGTTGGTACTGAGACCGGATGAAATCGCGCGCGTGAATGACCAGCTCGCAACGCCAGAAGAAGATGATCACAGATTCGATGATCCAGCATTACGCTTCCAGTTTTATGAGACATACGAGCCTGATATGGTCATGGGTGATGGCTGTAGCTGGATGTCTTACTGGATTGCTTATCAATACGCGAAGAAACTAGCTCTGAAGAGAGTTCCATCCACCCTGCAGATTCGTGTTGCCGGCGCCAAAGGGCTATGGTATGTTGGCGAGCCGCCCCTGGGAAATATGGATCAGAGACCTCAGGGACCCCTACTGAGCCTAGCCCCGAGTCAGGTGAAAGTACATCGCGATACCTTCCACGGTTGTGAAGAAGAAATCCTCTCAGTCAACGTGGTCAAGGCCAACCCCGGCGCGCGGCCATCCCTGCTGCACATGGGCTTTCTGCCGATACTTCTCGACAGAGGAGTGCCTCTAGAGAACATGTGCGAACTGGTCCATGGTGTCGTTACACGACAAACCGAGGAATTTCTGGAGGCCCTTGAGGCAGGATCGGTCGAACTGAGGCAGTGGATTTCGCGACACAATGAGTTTTTCGAAGCACGAAGGCGGGAAGCAGGCATAGACCTCCTTGCTGGCTTTCCAAGAGCGCTCGAAGAACGAATAATCCGAATGCTTGAGGCAGGGTTCGAGGCGAAGAACAACAAGTATTTGGCCGCATCGGTAAAACTCCTAGCAGCCAACTACTTCCAGTTGAAGAACAAGAGCTTCAAGATTGAGCTGCCAAAATCTACTACGCTTTGGGGTATTGCAGAGCCCAGTAGTCATCACATGAAAGGCATAGTAGATCCTTCTGGGAGCCTAAAACCCGGGGAGGTCTGCGTAGTGTTTGAAGAAGCCTTTGATGCAGGACTCGGCAACCGAGTCACTTTACTCAACGATGTAAACCTGCTGGTAGCTCGCAACCCAGCACTTGGTCCGTCGGACATCCAGAAGGTACGGGCAGTGTTCAAACCACATCTAGCGAAGTATGCCGGCACAATCATATTCTCCGCCCGTGGTAAGCGACCCCTTGCCAACAAGCTCCAGGGTGGAGACTATGATGGCGACTCGTTCTGGTTCACATGGGAGCCGCTCTTGACTGAGCCGTTCAAGAATGCTCCATCGCCATGGAAACCCCCCGAACCGGAGGCATTGTGCATCACGAGGGACAGGAGTAAGCTCTCTGATCACGTCAGCGATCCTACATCAGAGCAGCAATGGCGTAAATACCTCGCCACGATGGCAGAAAAGCGCATTGAGCCAAGTATGTTGGGCATCGTGACTCTGTTTCACGAGCGCCTCGTATATGCTGGCCGTCCCATTGGATCGTCAGAGGTCATGGACTTTGTTCATCTGCACGACTACCTTGTTGATGCAGACAAGCAGGGTTTCGACTTCAGCCAAGCTGATTTCGAAGCATTCAAAAAGAGTAGAAAGCTGCCTCCAAATCTGCCCGAGCCGAAGTACTGGCAATTCACCAAGGCAGATGACAAGATGCAGCAACAGGACGAGAGCAGAGGGCGAGTGATAAACCCGGATCCTGGGACAGTCAACATCATTGACACGATCTTCTTCGACGTGCTGCAGCCTGTCATTGAATCCACCCTCAAACGCGCAGCGATCATTCTCGATTCCGCAGCGTCGTACGACCATGACCTAGCCAGCTTCTGGAATGAGACCTTCGAGTCCATGTCACGTAGCTCAGTGCCCGCTGCTGAGTTGCTGAAACTCAAGGACGGGCTTCGTGAAGTTCAAAAGGAATGGGCCACAAACAGCCGCAAATATCCGACCTGGCCAGAATGCATACAGGCGCTTCGTAGCATGTACGACGCTATTCAACCCATGAATCCGACAGATCCGATAGTAAAAGAGTGGATGCGGAAGGTTGGTAAGGGTTATTCGCGCTGGGACGAGCTGAAGGCATCGTGCTTAGCTAAACACCACTTCGCATCGGGATCGCATCCTGGCTCGTTTGTCATGAACGTTGCTGGTGCTGAAATGTGCCATCTGAAGTTGGCACGAACAGTCGGACAAACATCTCGAAGTATGACAGAGGAGCAATATCGGTTGTTGAAACTACGACGGGTTCGCGCTGTCGACTCTGGCGACAGCTTCAACGATGGCGAAGACGCAGCGGCAGCAGAGGACACCGGATACTACTAAAAACCTTTTCTGCGCGGAAGCTCCGATCAAAGGAAGGTGAGGAAGCGCCAGCACCAGTTCTTGAGCGAGCGCGTACTGGTCTTGATATGCGGGCTTTGTTTTACGGCTTCTATCGATCAGGTGTGTGCCATACCTTGTCATGTTGACGAAGCTGCAGCGTCAGCACAGTTGGTCGACAGCAGCTCAGCTCATGTTGAATGAGCAATTTTGTTTCGTACTTGGGCAGGCAATAGTGATACCCTTTTGTTTTTCACTCCAATATGGGAGAGCTGAGAAGTAGATAAGAGAGCTGGAAGATCGCAGGCGTAGGCTACAATAATGAGGAATTTCCAAGCCTTCAAAGTCCGTACAGCAGCGACAGTTACATTCCTTCGAGCCTTGAGTGATGAGCTTCACTCAGCTTGATTTTCTGATTTGACTTGTACAATTATGAGCAGCACAGTAGTAGAGCATAACGTACTGCCTAAATACACAGGCTTCGTGACCATTTTACGAGAACTGTTGATCCGCAGCTTTCTCTGTTGAAGTGATAGAATTGTGAGCCGCCGTAGATAGCGGGACCAGGTCGAAAGCAACACCTGTCGCAAACGGAGAGTGGGAAACCACGGTCGAGGGCGGAAACCCCTGGGCTCCTCGATTGGACGTCCGAATTGTCTCGGTTTTTCATGCTTCCGATTCGATTCGCCACTGTTAATGAACAGTTTCCGCATTTACATAGGTTTACGATCCTGATGTGTGGTATTGAGGAGCTCATTCTTTCCAGGGTATTCAGATCCCAGCCTGAACGCAGAGAGGTGCTAATTAGAAGTTGTATTATATCGATTTCCAGCTCATCCAATGCCGCGTGAACGCTCAAGACATAACAACATGATTTTCATCCTCCCACTTACTACCGTCTCCGCAGTCCTTCGCTTGCTTTGCCGTCAATGCCTGTGCCTGGTGCTCCAATGGGCTCTCCGTTCAATTGCATCGATGGTGTCTCTCCAACGTCTTCTTGCCGGACCTCGTCCTCATCAACATCGGAGCGGTCGTCTCGCTCTTCGCCAGTGCGAATGAATCGTATCAAGATGCGACAAATCAGGAAGAACCAGAACAGGTTGACAGCCTGCAGACTGGCAAGAAGAACACCAGTAATTGCTTGAGAGATCCAGCATTTGTATTGCTGGGTCGTCCAGTTCAATGTGTAGGGCCCGATAGTCTGGAATTCTCCTCCGGGTAGCAGCGAAGCCAGAATTCTCAAATTAAGGTAATGGCGCAAATAGGCCCAAATTGCGATGAACGAAACGAAGTATGGCGGCGTAATCCAGGCATCAAGGTAGTTGAGAAGCTTCGAGGTCTACGCATTGTCAGTGGTGATCCGGACTTCCGCACCAGTGTACTTACAGCGAGGAAGAAGTCGGAGATGTCGTGAGTGATGTACACCGCGACGCCAATATATGTAAAGTGGAAACGGTAGCTCAGCCCGATCAATGACAATGTAATGATGTGATGCAGCACGAGCTCCTTGAAGTCCTTACGCGGCTTCTCTAAACCGAGAACCAGGACCAGACCTTGCTGCGCCCAGTAAGACGCTTGTAGCAGATAGTATGCCTTGAAGATCGCCTCGTGGGCTCTGTGAGGGAAGCCTTCATACATTCCTGGGACGTTGAAGTACCAGACCGGTGTCCTGCTCATCACGTATAACCCGAATGGCCCGAAAATGCCAAAGTAGATGGCGGTGTAAAATTGCTCCATGAATCGGGACTGCTTGTCGCGATTCCGTATCCCGCACCATATCGCAATTGGGCGGATCATGCGTTGCATCAGGAATTCTCGAGTGAACGAGAAAACAATGGTGTAGAAAGCCACGAAAGCCAAATCTTTCTTGCCCTTGCCATACTGCACAGGATTTCCAACGTGTGCTGGGATCGTATTTGTCCGCTCTTCTAACGCCGGATTCGCATAAGACAGGAAGATGGCAGATCGCAACGGGTTGTGTTCGCCAGGATTCGCGAAATATGCGCCGAGAATGATCAGAGCCAGGACTAAAGGATTTATCCAAGTGTGCCTGAGCGACATCCGCTTCCATTTATTGAATAGGCCCTTTGCTTTCTTGCGCTTTGAGGCTTTGCCGTGCTTCCCGCTCATGGAGTCTCCTCGCGATAGATGCGATTGTGACATATCCGTTGTTGCCAATGCCAGACCTCCGGTGTCTCCTCGCGGGTCTCCACCCAAGCTCGAGCTCTTCCTGCGTCGCGTACCGGTGGTGTAGCTAGATTGGCGTAGCATACTGGGTTTGACAAGCGGCGGGAACGCCTCGGTTTGCTCGGACGACGACATGGTGGGTGAATGTGATGGGTAAGGAGCGACTGGAAGATAGGAAAGAAGCGAAACACGCAAGTAATTCAAGTTCTTTGTGACGTGTTGAAACTTTAGGAAGGTAGGGGTGGTCAGCTCGCGTGATGACTAGCGCGTTGGCTCTGATCTGCACTGCACGACCGCTGTTCATCCCCATCCAATATATATAATATCATTTCTTGCAGCAGTTCATGTATCGTTTGCTGTGAATCGAGTATCTGTAGAACGTCAAGAGCGCGACTATGGCTTCGAAGTGAAATGTCGATGCTTCGGGTGACCTCAGAATGCCGGGATGTCCGGAGTATCAGAGTACTTTACCTCCGACTATGTAATCATTTGCACCACACAGTATGGCAATGAGTTAGATTGTAGCTCAGCAAGGCAGACAGATCGACTACGCATAGCTCAATCACGCATTCGACAATCCGTTCTTGCGTCTTCTGTTTGAATACCGAAGGAGCCCAATTTTCCAAGGCGAACACCGGCTCATCAGATCTGTGCTGGTACGGTATTGCTCAAACTGCTCTGGACATCGCACAAGATTGTCGTGAATTGCTCATTACTTCCATAATGTGTACTCACAATAAGACTTGTGTGGGCGAATAGTGCGATGCGAGACTGACGATCAGGTACAGTCTATCAGTAGTCAGGGGAGATGGGTCGCTCTAAGGGACTTCACCTAGCCGTAAATGGACCGAACTCGGGCTGATGTCACGATCGAAATGACCATGATCCACCAGCCCATTATTATATTTCTGTTGTACTTTTGCTGTCAACTTGTCTCCCACGGTGCTGCGCAAATGCCAGCTTCTGTGTCTCCCAGCACGAGAAAGCGCCAGACATGCATCGCGTGTTTTCTGACCACGGGAGTCCGCCGCGCAGCTAGGAGCTTTGCTGATATTCACAGCTGAGATGGACACTTGGGACTTGTTCTTGCCTCCGGCTGCTACCACGAGCAGACCGACCACCGCTATTGCAGAGCCTTGCTCCGCAGCGCACCACGGGAGCTCGTCAGCTCTTTGTGACACGGCTGTTGCGGTACGTTCTCTCGACATTATTCCTGATCTTGTGATGAGGCTATACTTCCGAAACTTGAGTCGCACTGGAGGAGTAGATCTATTTTGCCACTGATAGAGCGCAACCACTCATTCAATTCTTTCTCGGGAATCGTGATGAGCTATACGCTGACAGTCAGAAGTAGTGATCCCGGATCTTGCACTGCGATCACGATGATTGCCGATGAGTAGCTACTCCTCTGTCCCAGTGTCACCTGAATCCCGTCCCACGGGATTCGCGAGTCATGAGTGCATCGCTTGGCGAAAGCGCTTCTGTTCCTGCTCGATGTGAACAACCACACTGGTGAAAGGGCCTGTTCAAGAAGTTGCTGATCCTTAAGCGATGGTTTAGTCATTCCTACTCTACGACAACCGAATAGCCAGGATAACGATGACAGTCATGTCTCGAATGGCAAACGACGCTTCCAAAGCTTCCTGCCGATCGCGCGAGCTTGGCAGGAACGACACTTCCTCAATGCGAACAACAGAGCCACCGCCTCGAACGTCAACAACAGACTCGACTGCAACTGTGACCATTGACTTACGGTATCACAATGAACAGCAAGAATCCCACGTACTGTACTCGCCTAAATCTTTGTGGCTTCCTTGGACATGGACTAAAGCAGAGCGAACCGGGTCGTCGGGCTCTTCGTCGGGACATCCTCATCACGCACTCATCACATTCATTCGTTGCGATTTGCAGTTTCGTTCCACGGGATCGATTAGGAGGTGCGTGCGCCCGGTTCCAGACCGTCCTATACAATGGACACCACCCACGTGGGCGTCACCACAGGAAGCTAGAATCGCCGCCCCGTGAACGAAGCTTACGGGGCGGTATGGAAGCAGCGCTCGGATCGCGCGCTAATATCTAGAGTCGGTAGGGCTGGTACCCGCGATGAGGGTTGCGGTGGTCTACGACTCTACGATGGCGACAAGGTACTATCTACAGCAGAGAGATCAAATGCGTGATACCGCGCTGAAGCGACGAACCGAGCATAGAACTTGCAACTGTCATCGCCCACGAAACAGTAGGTGTTGCCTGTGAAAATTCCATTGAAGGCTTTGGCTTTCACCACTTTGCAAGTCGAAATGCGATCGAGGCAAAAATCACCGATGGAACGAGTTGTTGAGTAGCCCTACTCCAGTGTGAGCCGTCTGGACTCTGTTCGCGATAATGTACGCTTCCTTCACTACTGCGTTCACGAGTGTCCCAACGACACAACGACATGGGCTGCAAAGGACTGGACTGCTAGAGACCACGTGAAGGCGTATGCGAACTCATCATTAATGTAACTCGTGGTGGAGTGGAGTGCGCCAAGCCGAACTTTGATGTTGCGACTTCAGTGATTATGGCGTGCTCACAAGCCAAGAATCCAAGACGACAAGTGCAGCCAGCCTGCATCCACGCTCTCACATAGAGAGTTTGGCTGGACTCAGCGCCATCAGCCTCAGGTCTTATGCTGCAGCTTAGAGCGACGCCCAGAACCTAAGCAGATGCTTTCTACGCCCACGCCCAGACGGGCGATCATAGGCTTCACAGCAAAAGAGTGAGCGCCACGAGATGGTGCGATGCACTTGGCATGCCGCCATGTTGAGAATAAAGGCACGTCGTTGCCTTTTCTCGCATTCTGCATTCCTCAAAGAACTTCCACTTCTAAACACCAGCAACTATGGGTGTCCAGGAGTATACGGAGCGCGAGTTCAACAATGACCCCGAGTTCAAGGATAGCGGCAGCGATGAGCGGGCCCTTTCTCCATCCGTGGATTGGACTCCAGCAGAGGAGCGCAAGGCGAAGCGCAAGTGAGTCTGGCACAGAAGTCGCACGGTTGCGGACAATACTGACCGCGGAATCAGGCTCGATCTGATCATCATGCCATTGTTGACTCTCGGATTCTTCTGCTTGCAACTCGACAGAGGCAATATCGCGAACGCCATCACGGACAGCTTTATGGAGGACTTGAATATCACACAGGATCAGTTCAATGTTGGCCAGCAGATGCTTTCCCTCGGTATCGTGCTCTTCGAGATCCCATCCAACATGATTCTGTACCGCGTCGGCCCTGGCAAATGGCTCACTCTCCAGCTCTTCCTTTTCGGCACGGTCAGCACGTTCCAGGCGTGGCAGAACAACTATGGTTCATTCATCACTACCCGTCTCTTGCTCGGTATCACCGAATCCGGCTTTATTCCAGGTGGATTGTGGACACTATCGACATGGTACACTCGCAAAGAAACGGCTAAGAGAGTGATGATATTTTACTTCGGGTTCGTGCAATCGCTAGAAGGTATCTGCAATGGCATTCGCTAACTGGTGTGGACAGTAATCAATTTGGTCAAGCTTCTGCAAAACTCTTCGCCTATGGCATTCTTCACATGCGTGGTGTCGCCGGCCAACCCGGATGGTTCTGGCTGTTTGTGCTCATGGGTCTCTTCACTATTGCCTCCGGCTTTGTGCTTGGCTTCTTCCTGCCTGACTCATTCAAGAACCCGCACAGCACCTTCCTTCCAAAGTGGAACATCTTCTCTGAGCGCGAGATCTACATTCTCAACAACCGCATTCTCCTCGATGACCCTGCCAAGGGAAGGAAGAAGAAGTCGATTGGTCTGCCAGCGTTCAAGAAGGCATTCTCGAATTGGCGCGTGTGGATCCACTTTCTCATCACCATGTGTAACAACGGTCCTCAGCGTGGATTTGACACCTATGCTCCGTCGCTGGTGAAAGAGATGGGCTTCGCGGGCTTGACCTCTAACGCCTTGGCATCCGTTGGTCTGTTCGTGCAGATCCCGGTCTCTTTCCTCTTCAGCTTCGTCTCCGACCGCTTCGACAAGCGTGGCGAGACCGTCATCACTGGTCTGTCTCTGGCGACCTTGGCGTACGTTTTCAACCGCAGCTTTACCGAGATTCAGAATCAAGGTGCTCAGTACTTCGGAGTCGTCTTCACTCAGACGTTCGGCACTTTCTCTCATCCGCTCAACATCAGCTGGCTCTCGCTGACATGCACCGATTCCGAGGAGCGTGCGCTTGCCATGGCATTGGTGATCATGGGAGCCAACATTGCCGGTATCTACGGCGCTCAAATCTTCCGTGCCGACGACAAGCCTCGCTACCGTCGTGGATTTTCGATCGGCATTGCTGTCCTTGCGTTCGGCGCCTTCCTCGCTGTTGTGCGCCGAGTCGACGAGAGTATTAAGCGACGACGCGCAACGAAGGAGGGCCGCAGAGAGTCTGTCTTTGAGGACGTCAAGGCCGTCCCAGCAGAGATTCCGGCTCCTGCCCTGGTGGGCTCCGATCTCAAGCCCGTAATTTCACCCACTGTACGCTGAACGAAGAACACAAGTGAAATTGCATTATAACAAGATTTTACATTCCGAACAGTCGTTGGAACGGGACATGAGCAATGAAAATTAGTTAGATGTGATATACCAGCACTACGGTGCAATAATGCGATCATTTTACGTACTACCATTGTCCCAAATCATGTGTCCGTCTGTTTGTCACTTGACAAGGCAACACGTAGAAACGACTGTCAGTTGATTGCTTGCCTCCTGCCTAGCTTTGTCAAGCAAACGAACTCATGGCAGCCTGATCGTTCATGACTCCGTACACAGCAGAGTTTCTCCTCCGTGAATCTGTCCATGTGCAATCTATAGCACTCGAGTCCCACAATAGCTGTTACACGGGCAAGCAAGACGAAATCTCCATTTTGACGGTCCAATATCAACACAGAACTCATGGTGCAGCGACAGAGGCTTAGCAGCTCGCCAACACCTGACCGCGGTCACATCTACAGCCAAAGCGTCCCAGACATACCTCACGATGACTCGAAAGCGCGGCGGCCTCCAGAAGCAGGCACTCACAACACAAGCACAGACTGGCCTAGCACCTGCACCCATCCCGCCACAATTCCCCACGGTATAAACTCTATCAGCAGCCAGACACGCCAGAACGCCTGTCACACGAGCCCAGCCAATGCGCCCTCTATCGCCATTCCCACCACAAATCACTCATCATCAGCGGTCAGCCGAGCCGCCTCCGACCCTTTCGGCTCTGCAGCTCTGCTGGTCCACCAATCGACAATACATACCCTCACTGAAGCACTGATCTGGAGGCGAGCTGTCGGTATCATTGACGATAAGATCATCGCCGAGCTTGAGGATCGCTTGGAAAAGTTCTCGTTATCCGATCGTCAAATTGCGCTTTTTGCGGCTGAGCAGCGATTTCGTGCTATGTCGTGTTTGGTCGGTATGGAAGGGTCCAAAGAACGCATAACGGAGGCAGTTCGACTTGTGAGAAAATTAGCCGATATGTTGGAGACTGTGGGAGGCGGGAAGTATGTGGAGCTTTCGGAAGAGATGCATGGTTTGGTAGGAAGGATGGGGGCATGATTGCGGCTGGTCGCTGGAGTTCTTGGAGTGGATCTCTTGGAAAGCCGTGGCATTGGGCTTGCAAGGTGCTGTAAAGAGGTCTCGACTCGGCGCTTCTTGTTCATTGCATGGCAGTTCTGGAACGAGATTTGCAGAGGACGTCGTTGCGTAATTGTCACACCTGATCGCAGCAATGACCAAATATCACGACTGCTGCTTGTACAGGGTACGCGCATTCGGTAGGACGCTGGTAACCACCTGAACTTGTCAATGATTGAGAAAATTGTCGTTTGGTGTTAAAGGTAGAGCTGGACAGAAGGATATGCTGATCCACCGATGACAGGTCGGACTGTACAATATAATACAAGGATATCGACGTGTTAACGCTTGACCCAGGCCGGCATCTTGCGAGCCTTGAGCTTGCCAGGCTTCTTCCTCTCGACTCGTCGAGGATCGCGCGTGATAACGCGTGCTGAAATAAAGTCAGTGCCACGAAGTGCCAGCGAGATGCAACTTGCTCACCTCTCCTCAACGCAGGCTTCAAATCAGGCTCATGTGCCAGCAGAGCCTTTGCCAACCCGAGTGCTATCGCATCGGCCTGTCCTGTCGTCCCTCCGCCTTGCGCCAGAGCCCATACGTTGTACTTGTCCAAGCGCTGAGTGGCCTTCAACGCCCAGACCGCTGTTTCGCGATCGTGCAAGCGACCGAAGTAATCCGTTAATGCTTTTCCATTGATGAGCACTTTGCCCTCTCCTTCCACCACGAATACTGATGCCGTGCTGCTCTTTCTACGGCCCACGGCCTTGGATTTGCCATCCTTGTCGACCAAGATGGGCTTTGGCCTGTTGTGATGTGGCTGCACCAGTCTCTTGAACTTCTCCAGGGCTTGGGTCACCTCTGTGGGGATGAGCGAGGGATGAATGTAGTTCAACCGCTTCAGCAATTCCAGCAGCATCTTGTAGCTCTTCGCGCGCACAGGCTCGGCCACTTCGGCCTTGTACTGGTCGATGGTCTTCCATGCTACTCTCGGAGCCTCACCAGTGGGAAGGACTGGCAGAAGCTGGTACTTCCGCAGAAGCGCGGACAGAGCGAGCAGATCATCGGTGTATCGAGGTGTGGCGGTGAAATAGGATGGCGATGCAGGCACGATGCGTATCCGTCTGAGGATGGGGTGGTTTCGGGGGTCGTCTTGATTTCCTCCTCGCCGCGGTCTGTTCATTCCACCCCGCCCTCGCCCTCGGTCCATGGGCGTTTCGATGATTTCGGCTCTCGTCGCGGTCGGCGTCTGCCTATCGAGCACGAATTGGCCATTCTCCTCTGGAATCTCGGGTGCAGCGCGGATGTCTTCATTGATCGAGGCCATACACCGTCTCGTGGTGCGCAGCCATGATGGCGTCGATCGATATGCTGCGGCGACTCTCCGCAGGCAATGGCGGCCGAGGGTGGACTCCATGGCGAGTGCAATGGCAATGGTCTGGTCTTCGTCGCGCGAGGTTCGCTACACACGCTCGGAAGCAGAGCGCAGCAGCTGGCGAGCCTTGGCGTGCAGGGGCCATTTGGAACTTTTTGCGATGAACCCCTCCGCCAGTCACACAACTTCTGCTCCTCCACCACCACCACTACCACCCACACTACATTCTGCTTTCTACAGCCAACGAAGGCGCACTGTAATCGACACCGTCTTCTACAATTCACACACGCACAATGGCGTTTGGCAAGATCTACAGCTACGAGGTAAGCTATTGTCCGCCCACCATAGGCACAAACAACACCTTGACTGTAGCCACTCGGGTGTGAACACCGCTGACGACGTCGTACTCCAGCGCAACCCGCGCACCACCGCCATCCTCGCCGTCGCCAAGGCCAACGGTCTTGATCTCGAGTTCGTCGAGACCAAGCCAGGCGCTGATATCACCAATGACTACCGCAAGCTCAACAAACTGGGCAAGGTCCCTACCTTCGAGGGCGCCGACGGCTACGTCTTGACCGAGGCCATGGCCATTGCCATCTACCGTGAGTCCCTCGTCCTCTTCTGCGCTCGACCACTCGCACGCGCCGCATACGACCCCACATCCTGCAATGATGAACAACCACATATTCAATTACAGTTATCCCTGTCTGAAGATTACTGTTGAGAACGTATTCACACTCTGAAACGCACGCTACAAATTACTCTGGTACACAAAAGAAAGCGCTCGAATGGGCACTGACAACTGTCTCCAGTCACTTCGCAAAACGAGAAGACCACCCTCCTTGGCAAGACCAAGCAGGACTACGCCTCCATCCTCCGATGGATGTCCTTCGCCAACACCGAGCTCCTCCCATCCGTCGGTGCCTGGTTCCGCCCTCTGGTCGGCCGCGACCCATACAACAAGAAGAGCGTGGATGATGCACAAAAGGCCACCCAGGCCAACGTCAAGGTCCTCGAGGAGCACCTCACTGTCAACACATACCTGGTCAGCGAGCGTCTGACTCTCGCCGATCTCTTCGTTGCCGGTATCGCTTCTCGTGGCTTCGAGCACTTCTTTGACAAGGAGTGGCGCGCCCAGCACCCAGCCTTCACTCGCTGGTTCGAGACTGTCGTTCACCAGGACATCTTCACTGCTGTCTGGGGCGAGTACAAGTTCATTGACAAGGCCATCCCAAACACTCCACCAAAGGTCGAGAAGGCACCAAAGGCTGAGAAGCCAAAGGCTGCCGAAAAGCCAAAGGCCGCTGCTAAGCCAGCTGCTGACGAGGAGGAGGAGGAGGCTGCTCCAGCACCAAAGCCAAAGCACCCCCTGGAAGCTCTTGGCCGCCCAACTTTCGTCCTTGACGACTGGTAAGTACTGAAAATTGGCATACTCGAATTCGATATACTGATCATCATGCAGGAAGCGCCAGTACTCCAACGAGGAGACCCGCGAGGTCGCCCTTCCTTGGTTCTGGAAGAACGTCAACTTCGAGGAGTACAGCCTGTGGCAGGTGGACTACAAGTACAACGACGAGCTCACCATGACCTTCATGACCTCCAACTTGATTGGTGGCTTCTTTGCCCGTCTCGAGGCCAGCCGCAAGTACATCTTCGGCGCCGCATCCGTCTACGGCAAGACCAACGACAGCATCATCAAGGGTGCTTTCCTTGTCCGTGGACAGGAGGCTCTTCCAGCTTTCGATGTCGCTCCAGACTACGAGAGCTACACCTTCACCAAGCTCGACCCAAAGAAGGCCGAGGACCAGGAGTTTGTCAACGACCAGTGGGCGTGGGACAAGCCAATCACTGTTGACGGCAAGGAGTACGAGTGGGCCGACGGCAAGGTCTTCAAGTAGAGTGACTATTCAGCACTCTTGTGATGGACCATTTGTTCAGAACGTATCGACCGCCTAGCTTTGGCCATGGATTACATGATTGTATGCGTAGATAGAGTCATGACCGGCATGAGAAAAAAGCGATTCCTCCCACTCGTAGACGGAGAGAAATGATACCACAATTACACCACCCAGTTCGTTGCTACCCGTTCTTGCATCTTAAGTCACTTTCGGAGCAGGCAGCTCACTCGGTTTCTGGAGAAAGAGGCCCATGAAACTTTTACTTGCAGACTCCTAGACGGACCTGGTTTGGTTGTAGTCAAGCCGACGAGCATGGGAACTTCTGTTTCTCTGCACAGAACAGGTTGTTTTTTCTTTGGCGATTGCTCCAGAGGGCAGCTCACAACGGTCTGCAGGGTTCACCCGCTCCTTCCTTCTGAACGTCCTGGGTCACTGCTCTTGCCTGCAGATTGACGCGCGACTGGCTGCCTGGTTCGCGCCGTCACCCTACATCCGCCTCCCACTTGCACTGAACCAACAACAACCGACACATCGTCGTCGCCGTCGCCGTCAGCACGAAACATGGGAGACAAGCGCAAGGCTGAGGCTCCGCCAGAGGGATCACGCCGCAGTGAACGCCTGCAGACTGTCAAGAGGCAAAAGATTGCCGATGAGGAGGTGAGCGTGCGTTGCGTCTAGTTGAGCAGAGAGATGTTAACTCGTCACAGACTACTTCGCATGCCATACCAGCTAAGCCTAAGCGCTTCCATCGTCCGCGGCAGCGCAAGTCATGCCACCTGCTCAACTTGCCAGGAGAGATCAGAAACAGAATCTACCGCTATGCTCTGGTCAAGGCCAAACCCATCAAGGTGACGCGCAAAGGTCCCGGCGAACCAAGTCTATTGCGTGCGTGGTCCCAGTCTCGTCAGTGAGCATTTCTGACCTTGTGCAGGTGTGTGCAACCGTATCCGCCGTGAAGCTTGTAGTATCTACTACGCCGAGAACGAGTTCGAGGTGCACGTGGAGGACTTCGACGGCGAAGCTCTTGTCCCATTCAAGAATCAATACTCTTCCTTCTACAACTGGCTGAACGGACAGCGCCGTGGCGTCAATGTTACCAACCTGATGAAAGGCAAGCCAGACTGGGACAACCTCGTCGCGTGGGCTAAGGCCGATCGCTATCGTACAGCTTTCTGGCCAGACATTTTCGGTGCCTACTGTCCAACTCACCAAGTTGTTGCCAGCACCTTCAGAATCGTGGATTCTATGGATGGACTACCATGGTGTGAAGTGGAGCAGGCGCTCGACGCAATGCGAGAGGTACTGGATGGGCTGCCATCTCCGTGGGCAGAATTCCCAGGATGGTACTGAGCGTGGAGATGGGCGGAGAATGGGCATTCGGGGTACTCAGAGAGAGACGACATGGTTGGCGTTTGCTTTAGCGTTTCAGACTTCTGAGGAAAGTCGCGTTAGCTTGCACTTTGATGAAGTTTCGATATGCGTCGGGCGTATATGAAGGCAAGAACTGCATGCGAGGCCCGTTGCTCCTACTCCGGTGCATTTTCCAATGTTGTTTTGATTTTGATGCCCTTCGACACGTTGTGCGAGGTTCTCTTGGATTACTTAAGCTTTGCGCTCACAACTCCGGGATTGCTCCCAGTTGGAGTTTTGTGGAGTGCTTCGAACCTGTGCCGCTTGTCTTCCTTCCCGTGCTCGATACATCTATGCCGCCCTGCTCTTTGGTCGTCCACTTCCGACTCTTCTCGCTTGTGGGCGTTGAAGGTGCTCGGCTGGGATCCAGCTCTCATCGTAGCCCTTTGACGATCCAGAAGTAACAGCTGGGCCATCAGCACCGACAACAGAGACCTGTTCGCTGGGGTCTACTGGCTTGGAGCCAGCAGTCGAGCGCTTAGCACGCTCCCCGCCCTTACCACCTCGCTTCTTCTGTGGGAACAATGTGGTGATCCAGGTGTTGTAGATGAAGTAGACGGTTCCACCAAAAGCGGCGAGGAGGAACAGGTAGAGGAAGATGCTACGAACATAGTCAGCACATGCTAGAAGGTTGTTTGAGTGGTCGGGACTTCTCACATTTGAGGATCCAAGAGGGACGTTGGAGCTTCCACTACAGACACATTCTCGCGGAACACGGTCGAAGTAAAGACTGCTGGGCCTCGCGTAATGATTGCGTTGACCTCGAGCAAGATATCCTGAGGCTGCATGATCGTCGCATAAGCGTAGGTGAAGGTCTCAGAGGTGTGCGGTGCGATGCTCTTCCCAAATCTGGCAGCAGTCAAGTTGCGAATGCTCTGAGGCGGGTCAGGCGCGCCAACTTGGCCAAGTGGGCTGTATAGACCCGCAACAGCGGCCAAGACATTGATCTCGGTGTCCTCGTTGTTGGTGATTGTGATCAAAGTGCGTGTCGGACGTCCATTGACGAGCTTCACACCAAAAATCTCGGCCTCTGGGAAGGACACATTGAAGCTGGCCTTGAGCGGCTTTTGCTGCTGTTCTGCTGCCCACGTCTCTTTGCCCGATTCCATGAATTTTTGCATGTCCTCGATTGACAGGTCTGCGATATTGGGTTGTTCCGCATCGGCCGCGACATCTTCGACCTGTTCGCATAGCATCAGAACCGTGACTCGCTGGAGAGGTGTATTTCGCCAGCTTGCATACCTTGACATTGTCTTGAGCCAGAACATTGACAGCACTGAACGCTGCGACGGCGAGCGTCGCAAGCTTGAAGGAAACCATTTCGGCGAAGAGGGTGTGGTGAATGAGGAAAGTCAATGGCAGAAGCTTGCGGAACAGAGTCGAGATGGACACCTTGACCATCGCTTGCTCGTGCCGAAAGAGGGTCTTCTTGGCACGACTAGTTAGGTGCACGGACCATGATGGTGCAATGGACAGTAGAGAAGTGGTCGTTCAAGTTCACCTCTACAACATGTCATCTTTCTGGAACTCTACAAAAGCATACTTCTGTCAATTCAATAGCCAGTTCCTGCAAATACTCCCACCATGTACTGTTCAATTTCATCAACATATTCGTACTGCTTACTTGCCTCCACCGATGACTTGGCCCAGTCTACCTTTTGCGCCGAAAAGCATTCAAATACGGGCTTAGGAACCTCGTCGAACAGACCGAGCGCAATGACACTCAGAGATGGCTCCGTTCGCGTCGGTCCGCCCACTGGACTTCCACATTCGCCACAGAATGATCTCCCAACAGTTCTACCGCTTCGAGATTTTGTGTCGATAAAAGTCTTGAGTTTCCCCTCCGGATCATGGAGCTGGACCTGAGACGTAGGTAACATGAGGCATGCAAGCCCTGTCGCCGAGCCTGAGAATTTGCGGCAGTTTATGCAATGGCATATGTGACCTTGAGGTTTGGCATGGAGGTCGTAAGGCAGTGTAAGTACAAGGCTGATGGAGCCACAGAGGCAGGTTCCAGTGTAGGTCTGTGTTGATTGGGGTGTACTGTCTGCCATTGTGAAGATGGTTGGGAGTTCTGACGCGCTGACGAGCATCTGCATTGTGGTCTTTCAGCCTTTTAAAGAATCTCCTGCGTTTTCGTTTCTGATATTACGGAGTGGGGCCGATCACAGCTGAGAAGGAAGACCGCACCCGGTCCGGATGTTGCTGTAAGCCCTTCTCTCACGCCTGCAGCCTACGACTCAGCTGAGAAGCACCGGGCCTGACAAGCGGGTATCGATCAACCAAGCTGGGAACAGTCCTTCGTCTTATCTTGTTGTTCCCAACCCGGCCTTCCTGCAGCGTCTGGTAACACAAAATCACAAGCGGATGGCGCTTGGGAGAATTAGTGAGTTCCCCTTTTATTTTCGAGCCTCGTAACTGAGCTCAAGAGCCAACAAAGCTGTCGCTATGATGGCTCATTTCCTGCTGTCCGCGGATACGAAAACGATGACGACCCGATCGTGAGTTATGGTGCTGCCTGATTGTCGCCTGTTGATGAACGTTGTTGGCTCCACTTTAGCACCTGTGACGCTGTGAGCTCCATCGGTCCAGTGTGCAATGGGGAATCTGATACGAAGGCGGATGAGCTCTGCGTCTCAGTCGATACAGCGAATGAGCAGAGAATATAATACAAGCGCTACACAAGCCCTGCGTGGCACATAAAGTCGCTACTATGCTCCGAAACTGTACAGTCCATCTTGATCTCTTACAATGCTGGCTTTGCGCCGGTCTGGCCACCCGGCTGTGTGAGAAGCTGTGCATATCTGTTAGTATCCGTATGAAATATGCGATCGCCTCATTATCCAGTTTCAATGAGTGTTCGCTCACCTCGTTCGCACTCTGCTGCATTCTCATTTCCCGCTCCATCTCCTGCACTTGCTGCTCCTCGCTGAAAGCCAATGCCCACGGCACACCAAGCAGCAGTGCGCTCGTGCTAATCACCCACAAACTCTTCCCGCTGAATCTGGCGGCACTGGTGGCCCACGAGTATGATGTTTCGGCAATGTTGTTGATGCGTTTGCGATACGTCGGAGGAACAATGTCTTTGAGGGCGTACACGCGGTCGAGGAGCGATTCGTCGTAGGCATCATCGTCGTCGACGTCTGAGACTTCGGATTCCGCTGATGGGTTGCTGTCAATACCGATGTTCAACTGCAATGACAGAGACCATGCGTACCATCATCCGTGTCCCATTCGTCCTCGTCGTCCTTGGGGCCCTGCTGCGAGGCAAAGAGCTCCTCGTCGGGCACTTCTTCAAGCTTGACCATATTGACTGTGCTGGGCGGAGAAGTTTGAAGTGTTTCGGATGAATGCGCGTCGGTGCAGGATGATGAAGCAGAGGCACGTGTCGATAGTGTTCTTTGCTTGAAGCTGCCAGGGAAAGTTTTGGGAGAGACAGCCACAGCTTGCCCCGAGCGTTCTTGCGTCAAGACACCAAGTTCTATTCGAACATTATGAAACGCAAGGCCAATATAGGCTGCAATCCATATAAATACTATGTATACCCAATGAGGCGCTATCTAGCATCCAAACATGTCCCATCATCGCCGCAACACATCTCACTTCGAATGGAGTACGGAATTTGTGAATCTTGCGGACATTCAAAAGCAGATTCGTATGCGCCACACTAGCTCCACTTTTGACGCTCTTTAGCGTTGGCTGACTTGCGACTTCACTGCAGTGGTCAACGCCGAAGTTCTCTTTCCTACACACTCTGACCTACGAGTCATCACTGGAAAACTGTCCCAGACTGCCCGATATGCTGCGGTAGTTTCACGAGACGATGCCACACCAGGTCCGAATGCGACAGGCGCTGCTTTTCGGATTGTCGCTCAAGGACCGGCGGAAACTGACAGAAGATTGGCTGTGATGAAATTGCTTGACGATATTGAGAGAAGGATCGCGACAGAGATCATGGATGCTAGATAAGTCAAGGTAATGCAGGCGCTCGGGAAATCTTGGCAACAGCGTAATTGTGTATGATGATCGCCCGCAGGTAGTCCAAAGTGTTGGCGCAGCATGCTATAGACCAACTATAATCACTCGCTTGATGTTATTCCTCCTTGACAAATCTCACAAGTGGGGATATCAATGCAATGGCCTGGAGACTGGGGGTTCGAAATCTGGCCATCGGCCATCGAATGCCCACGCAAGACCTGCAAACATGCCAAAACTCGTTCATGCAAATCTCTGTCAGTCCTATCAAGAGGCGCCGCTATGATTGTAGCTCGCGGGAGGTCAACGCGTTTATCACTGAGGGCGTGCGTCCATGAAGTCCACAGCGGAGTGTCGCGCTTTGCACCAAACATTCTGGGTCGGGTCGTGTACTTTATGTACGCGAAGAGTGGCTCAGTGATAATGCAACCCAGCGTGTTCCGCTTTCGCGGGTCCGCTCCTTCTATCGTGCTGCATGAATTTGACTCCAACAGTCGTTGCACGCAGAACGCAGCGAGTTCAAATGGCTTTCTGCTAGGATTCTTATGTTTGGTGGTCGAAACGGCATGGAATTCTGCTTACAGTTGTGCGTTCTGACACTCGACACATTCTCCTCTGCACCGTAGAGAGATATTCTGGTCAAGGGCCTGCAAATACCCCCCAAGGAACACACAGTACACGCTGCCACTCATGAGTGGAACTCTCAGTTTGAATCAGGGCCTGCCATTGTACCTTGGTCCATTGCGACGACGCATAATTGCATATCAAATTGATATCGAGAGCAGCAGTCTTCGCACCTCGATCGGTAGCTCTCTCCGACACGATACGATCGAACAGCAGTAATCGACTGTAATCTGGTTTCATCGCCTCTCGAACACGGGTCAGAATTTCCCGTGCTTTATTCCCCGCCTAGGCATAGATAACGGCAAATTTGAAGTAAATCTTCACGCCCTTAACAGGACTCGTTTCGAAGGAATTGTGTGGCATCAGCTCGATTGAAGGGTGTAGATGCACAGCCGACTCTTGCAAGCCATGGATTTCTTCTTTCCGTTCTTGCAGTACCCCTCTCGCAGACGTCGGGCGAGGATCTCGCTGCAACGTATTCGCGCGTTGAACCAGGCCTACTAAGGTGGCCAACCTCGGGTCGTGCAGATTTTGAGGCAGCGCTGCGGCTGTCACAGCATGTGAAGGCCAGAGGGATCCCCCTTCGACTTCACTTCTCACAACCCCCGTTTGCTCCAGGCAGCCGTGCACTGATTTGAGCCTGACGCAGGCGTGGCTTTCCAATATTTGCAAGCCAAGCCCAATTCCAGCAGTTTCTGGTCGTTCGCACACCATGGATTCAGTCTTACTGACTTCGAACATCTTGAACCGCGGCAACACCACCAACGAACCTACCGTACTTGGAGATGGCGCTCCACCAGGCCAACCTGGGCGCCTCTGCTCAAGATCAGATCGCCGCCATTCTGGCCCGCGAGGGCTTTGAGAATGTCATTGTCACTTTGCACGCTACGTCAGTGCAAGTCCCAGCGCAAGTCCCAGAGCAAGTCCCAGCGCAAGTCCCAGCGCAGGCACAAACACAAGTGAAAACAACACTTGATCCAGTCTCTCATGCATCGACCAGCAGCAATGCCACGTAAGGTTGCACACCTTCGAATCGGAACAAGATGGGGCTGACAGCCCATGTTAGACAAGCCGAGCCAACATACAGTATCGCAATCAAGGTCGGATCGAGGGTGGAGGCATACAAGAAATGTACCGAGCGCTGGATGAGCTTCTTCCAGCACATGGCGTGCCAGGAGATGAGTGCAAACGAGCGAGCCGACTTCGAAAGCGTCCGAGGTATGGTGCAGACAATCAAGAAGATGGTGGAAGCGAACGGCAACCTCTACATCCCGCGCGAAGTCCGAGACGACATTAGGCACGACCTCTTCAGCCGCCGCACAGTCTCGGCGGAGTACTTGGGTCATTCAGCTGCCGTCCGCCCACACCCAGACTCCCCACTGGCGCATGGCAACCGGGGTCACGCCTACTTCCAGCGAGCTATACGCGAAATTGGCTGTCTGGTCGATGACCTGCCGGCATAGATCTTGAATTCAGAACTTGAATCCGGCCGAGGTGAATTGAATATCCAAGATTCAAGATCTATGGCCTGCCGGCGGGTGTCTGAGTGAAAGTCGCATGGCAGCGCTGGTGAGGGATTGACTTGAATCTTCGGGCGATCATGCGAGTCGTCGATGCAGCTCGTACGATGCATCATATTGAATCGATGCACGGAATACGAAGGAATAGAACACGAAGAGTAACAACAAGCGCAGTCGTAGAATCTTTGTCGAAGCACAAAGCTCATGTGTTCAGACATGTCGTTCCATGCGAAGCCGAGAGCGACGTCAGCAACCTTCCCTTGCCTTCCGCGTCTGCCACAACGACCACGTTGATTGCCCTGCAACTAACAGCTGTTCACTGCTGTCCCAACGCACGCGCATGCACGACCGAACATTCTCTCGCGCCATGATAGTCACACCATAACCCCACCGACGTTGCTCTCCGTGCCGCCGCCCTTGCTTCCACATCTCACCACTGCCTGCGCAGCCATGTCGACTACGGGACAGTTCTCCTCCAAGAACCCGACCATTAAGCGCATTCTCAAAGAAGCATCGGAGCTCGCTAACTCACCATCTTCCGACTTCCATGCTGCCCCGCTCGAGACCGATCTGTTCGAATGGCACTTCACGCTCCGCGGCACTTCGGACTCCCCGTACGAGGGCGGCATCTACCATGGCCGCATAGTACTCCCACCAGCTTACCCGCTCAAGCCGCCTTCATTCCGCTTCCTGACGCCCTCCGGTAGGTTCGAAGTGAATCGCGAAATCTGCCTGAGCATCTCAGGACATCATGAGGAAACATGGCAGCCCGCGTGGGGCATACGAACTGCGCTTGTGGCGATCCGGAGCTTCATGGATACCGATGCGAAGGGGCAAGTCGGTGGTATGGACGCCTCAGAAGATGCTCGAAAACGGTGGGCAGCGCAGAGCGGAAAGAGTAAGTGTGCAACATGCGGAAAGACCAACGAGGAGATTATGGCAGAACAAGACGAGGCAGTGAAGGAAGCAGGCGGAGAGTCGAAAAACGATGTTGTGCCGGACGAGCTACGCCTAGCATACAGAGAGGATCTCAACAAGCCTCAGAATGGAACTGCTGTCGACGCAAACGGAGGCGTTGCACAACCCGCCGCCAGCGCCCCACAGGTGATAGCCGCTCCTGCAGTCCAGCCCGTGCAGCCACCAACTCCTGCAACAGTAACAGCAGCAGTCAACAACCCACCAGCGCCTCAGCCTCAACTAGTTCAACGACCACAGGACGAAATGCCCGCCTGGATCGACAAGGCCATATATGGCATTCTCACAGTCCTTGCGTTCATCCTATGGCAGAAGATGGTCGGCTGAAGCCGGTGGTCCTGGTTATGTCATTTGGAAACAATCTGATCAGACATTTGAACGTCCAAGGCAATGAAGCTGAAAGTGTCACATGTCTCAAACTGATGTCCGGAACACAGCGGGGCGTCAAAAGATTGCGGTGTCTTTGGCTTTCCACCAGAGTAGATGAACCATACCAAGAGCTGTGTCTCTGATCACGAAATCTTGCAGACGCGGCGCCAGAGCTGCCGCTAGCACAGTCACGCATACCATGACCAACGGCTATGAATAAGGAAGGGTATCTAGTCGTGCTTCGGTCCAGGACCAATTCTACGTCGGAATGGTCTGTGCTATAGGTGAAGAGCGCTTCGGCTTCTGGCAAGAGCATCCCTGGTCGCAATTTCGAATATTTCAGTGTTCTTTGCCGGTTCCATTGAGAGACCTCTACATTTGGGAGAACAGCGTATTCTCGTCGCGAACGACTTGCCTTGGGTAATGGAGGCTTCAGCATCAAGTTAATATGGAAGGGAAGTGACCTGTTGAGTCGGTTGCGGGAACTGAGGCACGAAACATGAGTGAGATACCAACGAGGCAGATCATCTTTCAACAGCCGAAAGCGATTCAATAAGGTGTAGGTACAACTAAGCCGCCAATTGCAAATCTGCAAATAAAATCTGGGAGTCGGAAACGGCTTTGCTCGGAAGCATTCACTCAGTCTCATATGCACGCACTGCTGTCCCATACGCCACACTTTTTCCTTAGACTCCATCCCCTTCGGTCTGGGTACCCGATGTAGCATTCGACACCACGCGCTTGCTCGCACGACCTCTCAGCAGCCTCTCACGCACCCAAATGCCAGCCCACACCACACAATAGATGACCACCATGCCTCCCGCGTATGCCAGAATATGACCCATAATGCTTCTCCATTCCCATTTCGGGTCCATCCACTCATAGACATAGAATCCCTGGTCCACTTTCGTAACGTATGCGAGTCCCAAGTATAAGGAGAGTCCCAGTAATACTACCGACAGATGCGGGACGAAAGGAGGCGGCTTTACAGCACTGCAGATGATCTCGAGTATTGCGAAAATACCGTTGAGACCGTGGACTGAGATATTGATCCATCGCGTGAAGGCCTTCGTGCTTGACCAGGGAGGAGCGTACATGCTGCTCCAGTAGACGATACTGACCAGGAACGGGTAGGTGATAATTGTGGTGTGCCAGAGAGAGTGAGCGAATTGGAGCAACCGGGGCAAGTCATCGTGAAGGTGGCTTTTGCCTGTTGGAGCTCTTCTGGCATAGGTGAAAGTGTGCCAGGAGGAGACCATGAAGTAGAAAGCTTGTGACCAGAATTCAATGAACGTGAAGAAACTGAAGGACTTGGCGATGAATCCTCGATCGAGGATTTGAGTATAGGGAGGAATGTTGACATCGCGGAGTTGGTTGTGCGCCTGTTCGTATGCTAGCCAGGAGTAGGCGACGATGATGGTCATCCAGCAGTAGAGAGCGATGATAGCTCGTGCGTAGGCAAAGGTCTTTGGCGAGAGGAATTGTGAGCGGACGTATGTCGCTTCGGGGTCGAAGTCCTTCCTCGATTTTGGATATCCGAATGAAGCGAGTGACATTGCGTTGTACATTTTATGCCTTTGTTGCTCGTTTTGCGGTGAAGAACGGGGTTGGGAGAGACTCGGATTATAACGTCGAAGCAAGCCAAAGATGCTCGAGTGTTTTCACTATACCATAGAGCCAGTGCCATTTGGATTACCAGACAGCATGCCATGTTGTGACTTCCACGACAACATTCACTACTTGTCTTCACGTGAAACCCTGCTGCTTGCCCAACACATATCTGCCCCTGATAATAGCCGAAGTGGAGGATACATATAGAAGCTCGCGCAAGTAATATAAGAGTATTGGAACATAATATTGAAGTCGAGAGGCTTTGTAATGCAAACCATGTTACAGCGCGTGATCGGATAGTTGTACTTTCGTGTCTGTCCGGCTGAGTCACCGCGATCTTCTCTATCTCCGTTACACGTGGTTTGTCGAGACAAATGTTTGTCAATCTTTACATCCACTGGGCTGACTGACCGATTTGGTATCGGACAATAGGGGCTTGGTGAACCTGTACGGAACCACCGACAGTGTTCGCAACTGGTTTCCAATCGAGAAGCGTTTGACCATCAAGGGCGTCGAAGCAGTAGCACTGCTCGAGCAGACATTGATTGCGATTTCCGTGAACCTAGAGACCAGTTGCGGCTTGAATGGCTCATTGAGTGCGGTGTGCCGCTTGAAGTGCCTCGGCTCCTAATGCTTTCGTCGTTTGCATGGGGCGTATCGATGCTAGGCTAAAGCTGCATTGCCCTGTTTCAGCCAGTACTTTCTGTTGAAATACATATCCTAGACGACAGGGCTATCGTAATGCTGCAAGCTTGCCTTCCATAGCTCCCGTGAGCCAATTTCACACACGCTATCCGACCAGATAAAGTTCTTGACCTCCAGAATGGCCTGTTCATACGTCAACGGCCGATGGGAGAGATAACTCTCAAGTGCGTGCTCAAAGAACAGCCGATTCTCTGTTTCGTAGGCAGCCATGCCCGAGATCAATATTGTCCAGAGCAACAAGCTTTGCACACTGCTGTGCCAATAACTCATATCTGTCTTTTCTAGCAGCTTACGGATCTGAGCTGTGAGACGAGCATTCCAGCCATTGTGTGACGGCATCGGAAGCATTGCACCGTTGGAATAAATTAAGCAGGTCGTGCAACAGATCTTGTATAGGAGTCGATTGGTGCGGTCTTGCTCATAAGCCGGAAGGTCATCCCATGATGGCAAAGACAGCAATCGATGGATGATCGCATTACGGACATCCAGAAAGCGCTGCTCTTTGGAATTGGTCGAGCAGCGTCGCAGGCACTGTGACATGAACATGTCCAAACAAGGGAGATCTGAGAAGAGTGTGATGGCTTTCGCAGGGAGCACATTGGCAAGGCGAGAAAATCCAGCACCTGCAGTGCACGTAAACGAGCTTTCGGAGGGCGGACTGGAAATGATTGACTCGTAGTAGTCCGGCAAGAGGTCTGACACATGAAGATCCCAGTAACAGTCAAAGTCAGGACGGATGTCGTGCACAGCTGAGCTTCGCCGGAAAATGTCTACTAGAGCGGCCATTGGTGCCAGTCCAGGCATCTGCAAGGCTTTCAGACCTCCAAGTTGATTGATGAGGAAAAACGCAGTTCGCTCGTGTGCTTCAATGGCATCTGTGCGTCCCCAGCACCTAGATTCATTAGACGTGAAGGGATGTGGCGCCTTCATTGGCACTTACCTGAACCAGTTTGCAGAGGGCAAATGTGGTCGAAATGGGAGAGCCCGTTCTTCCAGATGTCGAGGCTCAACTTCGTGATTGGAAAGAATGAGCATCCCAAAGATCAACTTTTCCTGTTCGTGCCGAATCATTGTCGCGATTCGCTCAATACCTTGTCGGATGAGGTTGATGGCTTTGGATTTATGTACGAGCGTGCGATTATTGTTAATGTGGGTCAAGTCGTTCTCGAGATAGGCCAAGTAGGTGTCCCCAGCGGTGCAGTGCGCATGGAACACGATAGGTGATGTGCAGAAGTCCTCGAACCACTGTCGACTGATGGCATCTCCGGCCACCACAGGCCAGACCACAGAGGCCATGAGAGAGCCTGTGCCTGCTGACAAGGTATCGCTGACCGAGTCAAATGTCGACAGACCGCCAGCACCGTAAGCAGGGGAAAGCGATTTCGCCAACGGCAAGGCCACCGCGCTCGAGACATGTTCCTCTCCATCGGGCGAACACTGGGTCTCATCGACAACGCTGCTGACACTATCAGATCGATGGTGCTGGTGCTGTGAAGAAGCCGATCTGTTGCCCGGGCCGCTGGAGAAGCTCTCTGCGGCACGGAAATCACTGCGTGAAGATACACGATGTCTCATCTTGCTTTTGGCGGCCTGTTGCGATTTGCGGTAGCCTACACTTGCGGCGTGGGATCTCGCGGCCCTGCTGCGTCCGCCTTCATTGCCAGCATCTCGCGGCTGAACAGTCACGAAGGCGAATTTAGCTTGTCTCTTGCTGCCGGAGGCGTCCATAGCGCCATGTCTCTTCGTCAAAGGTGGGATGGGATATAGTCAGAGGTGTAGCACACGCAGTCGTCAGCGCCCGGCCGTGTCTCTCTCGTGCATGTGCACGGTCAGTGCTCCCAGCAGGAGAGAGCATCGTGACAGAGGATGCTGCATCTCGTATCAGGAGATGGATGCGAGAGTGCGCGGGCGTGGCGTTTTCCTGTTTTCTTGGGTGAGGTCGAGGCTCTGGCAGCCAGCGGAAGGGCAAGCTTTCGCCAGTCAGCTCACGTCCAACTCGCGAAGCAACGACCGACCGCACCGACAACACTGCGTCGCATTGGCCGCTCGAGTCCATGGCTGCTGCACCTCTCACGCCCTCCCGACGGCAATAGAAGACGCCATGCATGGCGCAACACAACTCGACAACGACCCCGGCTGAACGCTCCTCATGGCTGCTGCCCACCAACCGCCGCCTGCGCAACCTGCTGGCCATCTCCCTCCGCAACATCTCGCTCGGTTTCGCCTCGCCGGTGCGCCGGAAAGACCAGGCCTACGATGACGATGCCCTGCCACAGACTCTCACGTCGCCCGCGAAGCTGCTCGCCCTCCAAGAGCAGAAGGCATTGGGTCATTCGCGAAGCTCGACCGATCTGCGGGCAGTTGTGGAAGCTGCAGCTACCGATGATGAGCGTCCTCAAGAGGCCACTCCTGCTAGTCGAAGTCCGACAGCCACGTCGAAAAAGGGCAAGGAGAATGTATCACAGACTGCACAAGCATCTCCACGACGGCCACAGTTGAGGAGGCCGAGGAGGCGAAGTACTCTGGAATGGGCCAATGCTACGCCGCAAAGGCGACAGGAGAAGCTGCAGGCTACTGTCACTGGGCGCATGGCAGATGCATTCTTCAGCTTGCATGTGCAGGGCGTTAAAGGTAAGCCGTGATGGGCAAAGTATGGGGGCATCACTGACAGGTGCCGAGCAGAGCCTGTATATGTCTCTGAAGTAGTCGAGCAAACCATGAATCCCACCTTTCGACACATAGACTGGACAGCATGTGCCCCGGGAGTCACGCGATCGGGCAATGTCAAGCTGCGTGTCTGGGCCAAAGGAGCCAAAGCTGGGAATTGGCAGCAGTTGCTTTCCGTGGACATTGCATTGGATGGCCTTTACTACTTGGGTAAAAATGTATGGCTGCCTGGCATCTTGAGCGTGAACCCTCGGGGCAAGATACACCGCTGATTGCTGTAGATGGACGCCCTCCACACGAAATTGCCCGAGAACGCTGTCATCATGCATATGATTGACGGCCTTTACGTTGCTCCCACCGGGTCAGTGGCTGAGCTCACGTCGTCTCGACCAGGCTCAGCTGCAACAGCCTCGTCTGTGCAGTCACGAGCGGTCAGCACTTCTTCCTTTGATGCGCTGCTAAGGCTGTCCAAACTGGATGACAGCATTCAGGATGCCCTGGCCACGCGTAACCAGATCGCGGACGATCTAGAACGGTTGCTGCAGGCGAGCAAGGCAGCTTTGACAAATCGTGATGCAGTCGCCGAAGCCGAAGATCGCATTAAAACGATCGATTACGCCAAGAAGACTGTGGAAAAGCAGCTCGAGAAGGCTCGCAAGCAGCAAGAAGAAAGACGTGCGGCGCTCAAGACTAGACGCGATTTGATGGCCTCAGAAGCCGCCACTCGCGAGAATCACGAAAGGACCATGCAACAGGTCAAGCCTGAATTCCCAAGTATGCGAGATGAGCACGAGGCCAAGAAGAACGCAATGCAAAACCAACGGCGACGAATTTGTGAGGACCTGCAGCACATATACCCCATTGAGCAGGTTTCGGGCAAAGTTCTGTCCTTCAGCATCGGGGGCCTTCACCTCCCGAACTCGGACCATCTGGACTCGGAGCCCCCAGAAACTGTGGCTGCTGCACTTGGCTATGTTGCTCATACTCTCCAGCTTCTGTCGTTCTACCTGTCGCACCCACTACCATACCCGGTCACGCCACGGGGAAGCACTAGCTCTATTCATGACCCCGTTAGCATACTGCAAACCAAAAACCCGATCACAAGCGAGCAAGCCGAGGATAAACTACGAACGTATCCACTGTTCAGCAAGAGCATGCCAAGGTTTCGTTTCGAGTATGCGGTTTTCCTGCTGAACCAGAACATCCGCATAATCTTGGACAGCGCTTTCAGTCTTCGGGTACTGGACATACGGCAGACATTGGCGAATTTGAAGTACCTGCTCTACGTTGCAACTGCGGGTGATGGAGAGCTTCCAGCTCGCAAAGCTGGTGGCATCCGAGGTCTGATGCGAGTGCCTGCATTGGAGCGAACCGGTAGTGCCGACTCAGCGAGCAGTGGTCTCTCAGGCCTCACCTTGTTCAGTAACGGCAAAGCCAGAGCACATGGAGGTGCTGCAGATAGACTGCGGGAAATCAGTGCCAAGGTGTCCTAGATGAGATAGATCATGCAGATCCAATCCGTTCAAATCAAGGTCAGAAAGACGCCATAGGCCTCGATAGCTCCGCAAGATTCCAGTCCAGTAAGCGAATATCCTTCTGCGTCGACTCACTATGGAGTATCGTGAAGTGTATTGTATTGAGAGGTGAAATGTAGGCAGCGTAAGGCGCTTGTCAAGCTTATACCGCGATGAAATGAAGTCGAATGTGAATGTGCTCGCTGCCCAACTGCGTCACGATAAGCACGTCCAAAGAAGAAGGTTCCAAAGAAGAAGTAGTAAGCATGTCTACAAGAACAAATACAGAGTCTACTCGTCCCTGTATTGTGAGGTCAGCCAGACCTCAAACCCCAAAATCACCCCAACGCCATGCATTGCCCAATCGTGAAACATGTCATATTCGTAGGCATATCTACCGCAGCGTGTAGAGATTCATCCACAATAGCGGCCGCGATTGGCGAGACCCAATGGCTCCGAGTTCAACGGTGCTTACGCAGCCTTAGATGTCGAGCCTTTCGATTCAACTGGCTCGCTTTTCGGTGTCTCATTCTGCTTCGCCGGGTCCGGGTTCAGAGGTTTCGACGGATCGTACCCAACAGCCTTGACGATACCAAGACCTTTGGTACGTCCCTCACGGAACAGTATCCTGTCGCCAACAGCTAAGAACTCTGGACGTTGGACGAAGCGGAAAGCCACTGTAGCTCGATCACCAGTTCGGATGTAGTCTCGGTCGATGTCGATGATGGCACAGGTCTGGCTCACAGGACCGACATGCAACATGGCCTGATACTTGGTCCGGATGGTGGTAGCGTGCGAAAGGATAAGGACCTCTGCAACGAACTCGCGGTAGACCTGTGGCTTTGGAGCCTCGAGATGCGGATTTGCATCGGATTTGGCCAGCAGGACTACCATTCCTTTCCGCACGTCCTTGCGTCGCACTCGTCGAAGTGCAAACGAAGCACTTTGGCCGGCGGTGGCAGCGGGAGTGCTTATGCGTTTTCGTTCGATGGAGCGAACTGTAGTCGTGGTGAATTGGCCCAGCCCATCCGGTCCAACCATGACGGTGTCGCCAGCATGGACGATGCCCGACTTCACGACACCGGAGACCACAGTACCAACGAATGGAACCGAGAAGGTGTCGTTGACGTGGAACTCGAAAGGAGCATCCACGTCGTACTTGCCGTGGTGTGGCAGGATGTTCAAGAATTCTCGAACCAAATCCAGCGATTCGCCTGTGACGTTGGAGACTTGGAAGATTGGGCATATCCTCTGAGAAACGAACTGTGTAGCAGTGTTGATACACTCCTCGCGGTTCTTGATGAAGATAGGTATCTTGCGTGCTCCCGGAGATTTGAGGATCTTGGTCAACTGGGTGATGGTCTGCTGCAGGATCTGAGGCGGGCAGATGTCGATCTTGGTGATGACGACCATGACTGGTACATTCAGAGCCAGGGCAATGCCGAGGTGCTCTTTCGACATTCCGATCAGGCCATTGTTCGCCGCTACCATAAGCAGGCAGTAATTGGGCTCGCTGGACAACAGTCCAAAGACCGTTGTCCGTAGGTAGCGCTCGTGCCCGGCCAAGTCTGTGAACGAGATGACTTTGGCGCTTCTCTTTCCAATCTCCTCCCAGCTCAACTTTCGGCCAGGTACTCCAGAAACCACGACCTCGCCTTTGGTGTCAAATCCCATAATCTCCATGCCCACACTCGATGTGCGACCAGATTCAATCTCGTGCTTATGCCGGAAGAGATTTACCCGTGCCTTGCCACGACCATCATCCAGCCCGCCCTTAACCAGCACACCGAGTAACGTGCTCTTGCCTGCATCGACATTGCCCACCACAGCGATACGGGTCTCAATCTGGTCATCGACATCGGTAGGTCGCCGTCTGATCATGATCTTACCCACACATCCTCGCTCTTTCTTGTTCTCATTGCCCACGTCGACTGGGCTATTTGGGACGTTTTTGGTCATCAATACCTTCCAATCGGCCTTGAGCTTGGTGGCGATGGCCTGCAGCCGCGCGAGAGCAGCATCCCATTCCTGCTCGGTCAATTGCTGGCTGTCGCCATTGTCCTCCAATCCGACATCGAACAAGCACTCATTGTGCCCCTCATCTAGTCGCGTACTGATGACAGCTTCGAGCTGCTTCGTACTCTCATCCTTTGTCGCATCATCGACATCGAGCAGAAGGTGTTTTAGCCGTACTTTGGGCTTGTCGTCTCCGAGATCTAATGTGTCGAGAATGTCGAGCTCTGCATGTTCGGTTTTGGATGCGCCGTTCGTCTTCTCCGGCCCATTGATCGGCGGGCGCCGTAGCGCTTGCTGCTTATTGACATAGTCGGCGAAGTCGCTGAGTGCCTATCACGACAGTCAGTCAGAAAGGAGCGTCGCACCAATGATCGTTATGCAAGGGATGCGTGAATGTCAAATGGAATGAAGAGGATTGCGAATTGCAGCACATACATTCTCGCCAGCTCGGCGCTCTTGAGCCGACTGTGGCACTTCCTTGTACCGCTCTGCTCGTGTCGCCATGATCGCGGGAATTGTGTTTGTCGGTTACGCTGCTATTCGTAGGATCATCGCTATGCGATCTCGCGTAGGAAAAGTGATCAATGGAAGTTGTTTGCAGGGAGGCGAAGCAGGTACATGTCGCAGGTGAGCTGTCCATGTCCGGGCGTGACTATAAGGCCGACTGGTGGGGTGCGTGAGTCGAATCAAGCAGTCATTCATCGTGGGGAAGCCCCACTGCTGCACTGCTGCTTTGGGACGACCCTTTGACCACCGCTTTCCTGCCTGAGAGACCGGACAAACAAAAAGTGACTCAAAAGCGATTCCAATGACATGCTGTGGTCACTCATTGGAATGATTCTTCGTTGCTATACATGCTATGGATCACGAGTTATTCTTCGCCTCCCTCAATGCCGCCATGACATCAACCCGCTCAGTCTTGCCTGTGAACTTCTGCACTGTTGGATCGTCGAGCCGCATGAACACGTTGTGCTGCTTCTCGTCTCCGATTGTGAATTTGCCTTGGGTTTGCTTGTTGGAACTTGCGAATGATTCAAGCTTCTTGACCGGGTCGGACTGCAACACCTTGATACCGAATTTCACGTTGCCCTTCGTGTACTCATGCCCTGGGAAGACTTTGGTGTCATCCGGAAGAGCAGCAAGAGTCTTGTTCAGTGCAGCATCCATCTCCTCCGCTGTGCCTTCGAAGAATCGCCCACAACCGCCGATGAACAGAGTGTCGCCGGTGAACACGGCTCTGTCGTTGCCGTCTTCAAATAGATAGCAGATGCTGTCTTGTGTATGACAAGGAGTATGGAGAGCCTTGACTTTGATGCCCTCTCCTATGGTGAAGGTCTCGCCATGGCTAGGAGTCTTCGTAACTTGATCACAGTCTTTGCCACCGATGATGGGTAGCTTGTAGGCCTTCAAGATCTCCTTGTTGCCGCCGGCGTGATCATGATGGCTGCGAAAAGATCAGGATTCGAACCAACATGCGGGATGCCGAGCTTACTGATGTGTGTTGATGATATTCGTCAGCTTCACTCCTCCATCGACAGCCTTCTTGAGCGATGGCAGGACCCTGAGTGTTGTCAGTACTCCTTCTCGCATGAACCGCTGCGTATAATGTATGATCGTACTCTGGTGGGTTTGCCGGATCGATGATAACTCCTTCTTTCGTCTTGTCGTCCGTCACGACTAACTTGCGTCAGCGGCATTCAAGGCATGATCCTGCAGGATATACACACGGTAGGCATAATTGTTGCCAGTTCCCTCCCCTGGAAGTTCAATGTCAATGCGCTGCCGAGCCACCTTGATGTCTCAGCTTGCTTACACATGGGAATGCTCTCGATATGCATCTTGCGTGTTTGTTGCTTCGAAGAATCAGCCAGGAAGAAGTATCCGATAAGCAAGGCGATGCTTACAACGAGAATTGATCGAAATACGGGCTGCCTGATGGTCTGCTTGAAGGCGTTCACAAAAGTCATTTGCATCGACAGCTATTGAAAGTGATCGCGGAGTCGCAAAGCTGCGATGAGCTTTAGCCGTGGCGATGATATCACCCAGCTTACCCTGCCTGCGAGTGGGTCGTGGCTGGTGGAACTTGGAAGCTCTGTTCGCTCCATGAGCCGGGCGCAAGCAACTTCTTGAACGGCAAACCAGATCATCGCGCCAAACTCAACATCACGACTGTCAACCTCCTGGACCTCCGAACAACGTGCATTTGGCGCCGATGCTTGGACAATGACTTCGAGGCTGCTGTCCTCGCGGCTCGCGCAGCGAACCCCGACAGCCCTCGTCCCAGCACCGCGACCCAATGTAGCCACCCTCTACAGCAGCAGCGTGCTCGCTGCCAAAAGGCCCATAACACACTCCGCATTATCTGGATCAACAAGCGTTCTAAGAAGATGGACTCAGCGGAAAGCCTGGCCTGCGGGCGCGAATGCCATGCACAATCTGCCAGCAGTCCGCCATGCCTCGTTCGCTCGTGTCATCCCGAAACTCTTCATGAAGCTGGCTCGTGTACCAGCGATGATGGGTTTGACGATGGTCGGAGGTTTGGCATATTTGCAGTATCAGACTGCCCAGGCTGGAGCGTATGCAATGGATGTATTCGGTCGGGCAAGGGACGCTACCGTGGGTGCGGCGAATGGTGCGATGGAAGGAATGGGAGGCATCTTTGCACAGATCAGTCGAGGTGCTGAGAAGACTAAGGAGGATGCAAAAAGCATACAAATGCCGCAGTGGATGAAGGACATATATGAGGGACGGGCAGGAGGAGAAGGAGGCGAAGGTGGAAGTGGTGGCCCGAACGAGCCCAAGCAGAGTGGTGTTGGCGTCACCGGAGCTGGTGCAGCCACCGCTGCTGCGTTCGCGCTTGACTCTGAGGGACAAGAGGATGATAGAACAGGAGACGAGGCGGCAAGAGACGACCAGATGATGCTGCTCACAAGGAAAATGATCGAGATCAGGTCGCTATTGCAGACTGTGGGACAATCAGAAACGCTCACACTACCTTCAATCGTTGTGGTCGGATCACAGTCCTCAGGAAAAAGTTCTGTCCTGGAGGCCATAGTTGGACACGAGTTTCTTCCCAAAGGCTCAAACATGGTGACCCGGCGGCCGATTGAGCTTACCCTGGTCAACACTCCCAAGGTGGCCGCAGAGTATGGCGAGTTTCCTGCGCTGGGTCTTGGTCGAATGACAGACTTCAGTCAGATTCAAAAGACACTCTTGGACCTGAACTTGGCTGTGCCAGAGAAGGATTGCGTCTCGGACGATCCTATTCAACTGAGAATTTACTCGCCTAACGTTCCTGATCTTTCTTTGATCGATCTTCCGGGTTACATCCAAGTGGAGGCCTTCGACCAGCCCACCGAACTACGCACAAGGATACAGGATCTCTGCGACAAATATATCAAGGCACCTAATATCATTCTAGCCATTTCCGCAGCGGACGTGGATCTCGCCAATTCGACAGCCCTTCGTGCGGCAAGGAGAGCGGATCCGCGAGGCGAACGGACGATTGGTGTTGTGACGAAGATGGATCTGGTCGACCCGGAGCGAGGGGCTCAGATCCTCGCAGACAAGAATTACCCTCTGCGGTTAGGCTACGTCGGCGTGGTCTGCAAAATTCCGCAGGAAACGAGGTCTCTGTTCTCGCGAGGCGCACAAAACATTACAAGCCTGATTACGAAGAACGAAGCGGCCTTCTTTAATGCCCACCCGGACACTTTCGGACCGGAGGCGAAGTCTAATGTTACGGTTGGCACTCCAGCATTACGCAAAAAGTTGATGCATGTTCTGGAGAGCACCATGTCCGCGTCGTTGAAGACAACCAGTGAAGCCATTCATCACGAGCTCGCCGAGGCATCGTACGAGTTTAAAGTGCAATATAACGAGCGACCTCTGAGTGCTGAGAGCTACCTTGCTGAGTCGCTGGACGTGTTCAAACATGGCTTCAAGAAGGTTTCCGAAGAATTTGGGCGGCAGGAAGTTCGTGATATCGTTAAGCGCGAGCTTGATCAGCAGGTCCTCAATCTGCTTGCACAAAGGTATTGGAACAGGCCTGTGGAAGATCTGCGGCCAGTCGATCAAAACTCAGAATCGATTCAAGAGCCGCTCGAGAGTCTGCCCAAAGCAGACCCAGAGAATCCTCTTTGGCATCTGAAGCTTGACGCTTCGGCGTCCACACTCACAAAGCTGGGAATTGGCCGCCTGGCAACGACAGTCACCGCGCAAGCACTACACAGTGCTGTGCAGGACCTTATACAAAATACTCCATTCGCTTCGCACCCATTTGCCGTGCAAGCCATCACAAGCGCGTCTGAAAACATCCTCAAAGACCTTGCGTATGACACCTCAGACGAACTCGAAATCTGTGTCAAGCCGTACAAGTATCGAGTTGAGGTCACAGACCATGAGTGGAAGCAGGGACGCGAAAACATCTCCAAAGGCCTGAAAGATGAATTGCAGTCCTGCGAGAATGCCCTGAAGGCAGTTGAAGATCAGATTGGCGGTCGAAGAAAGGCCAAAGACGTGTTGTCTTTCATCGATCGTGTGAGAAAAGGTGACATCGTGCTGGAAGGCAATGGCGTTGGAGGCGCAGGCGGCTTCTCAGCAGCTCTGCTTGAAAAGGGCAAAGAAGCTCTCTTCCTCCGCGATCGTGCTGACATATTGCGCATGCGCTTGGCAGCAGTCAAGAGTCGGCAGTGCGCGCAGCCCAAGAATAAATATTACTGCCCAGAGGTTTTCCTTGACGCAGTGGCGGAGAAACTCACGTCCACGGCTGACCTCTTCCTGGACGCTGAACTATTATCCAAGTTCTACTACCAATTCCCTCGCGTGCTGGAGAAATGGGGACGCGATCTGGACGAGAACACAATTGAAAGATTCGCACGTGAGGATCCGAAGATTCGTCGGCATCTTGACGTGGTCAAGCGCAAGGAACTGCTCGAGCATGTTCTGAAAGAAATGGAGGGCCTCAGACAGCTCGAGGCTCGCGAGAAGAGGAACAGCAATCGTGGGACACAGACAGAAGAGAAGAAGCGTCGCGGCTGGTTGTTTTGATTGAAGCACAGCATGTACAGACCACAGGGGCGTTTTTGAGTGATAAGGGTGGGTCGTGACTAGAAGGACGAAGATACCATGATTCGCGAGTTGTACTGATATCCCACTCACTGGTTAGATGCAGCGTTCTCTTCATAAGTAATTCGAGCATTCAGCGGATGGCTTCCATTTCGCGAGCTCCATGTCCATGTTCAAGATCGACTTTCCTCGCCACCGCAATCACCACATCCACCACCTCAGGCTAGGAGCTCCATTGTGCCAGCCTTGCACGCGTGCCAATCCTTTCCGAGGACAGATACTCCTGCTACCCTGGATGCTATCCCTCAGCCTTTTGAGATCACAATGTGCTCTTTCCGTAATCAAAGCAAGCTGACCCGTCTTCGACCTCTGCGAATGCAAGTCCTTTACCATTTCAGTACTCAACGATCTCCATTCCTTCACCGCACCCGAACAATTCAAAGGTCCAATTCCAGACTCAATCTTTCGCGCAACGATATCCTCGATCTTATCAACTTCCACTTTCGGCTCGGAACTCAACGGCTGTTGGTCCGGGATTACTTCCACAAGCTCTTCCCAAACAAGCACATCACGCAACCAGATGCCAACACACTCTATCCGAATCTGTCGATTCGTAGCGAAGAAAGCCGGTTCACGAAAGCTGAATTTCTTGCAGCGTTTCTTTCGCTCTTCTAGTTCGGCGTACATCGCGAAGAGAAAGATTGCATTCCTGAGCTCGCCGGGTAGCCGGAGGAGTCGTGACTGTGCATTTTGCAAGGCTAGGATCCGTCGGTGAGCTGCTTCTAATTGGGTTCTTGCGTTTTGAAGTTCGGTATAGGACAAGTTGTCCAGTTCTGTGAGGTCCATTGTGTAGTTTGCCATGATTAGGGTCGATGCTTTGAAATGTTTCTTGCAGTTTCTTGGTTTTTGTTGAAGTTTGGAACAGTTCTGCGTGAAGGTAATTTGGTGAATAGAAAATATGGAAGGAGTACCCATTCAGCTGAATGGGCATTCGGTACTCCAGCAAGGTGCTCATTCGGGTCCGCGATGTCGGGTGATATAGACCCGTTATCCACAACAACTGTGGGGAGTGTGGGGAATTTGCGAGGGGGTCACAAAACATGCAGAGTCTATAGCAGGATGCGTTAATGTCATAACAAGAACATGCGATGTCCAGCGCAGTTGCGTTGATATCGGGGCTGGACGAACGGAACCGATGAGAGGCTCAAATGCCTAAGTCGGTAGACTTGTGACTAGTTCTACATTCTGCTAGGATGCCGGCCTACCGAGGAATCGCCCGAGTACCTGTATAACAATGCCAATCGCTTTTCCTTTGACCACGACCCCTTTAAGCAGGCCACGCCTCTCGAAGTCGCTGCGACTCTAACACTGCAACTGCGAGACAACACTCATCGTCTTAGACAGCGAGCCGACCGTATAGTGGGTGTTCAGCGGTCTCTTGAGTGGGCCTCGCTGATCTCGAATGTGATCGACATACGTCTTCAGCTGCCGCGAGGTATGGTCTCCTACTGACCGCGCCGCGGGGTGACGCTCAGGGAATGATGCTTTTAAAGTCGAGCCCTGTGAGAACGAGTCGTGAATTTGTGAGAATCGATGGCTCACGGATAGTTCATGATCCGACGCATTATTCACTTTGCTTGGAACATGCAAGGTACGAGACGGCAACGTAACAGCTCTGGCCTTACACGCAAACCTGCTGGCTCTGTCCACAAGTTGCGTGCATGGCATAATACTCAGCTGACATCTCCGCCTGCGCAGAGGCGTTTCGTGATGGCGCGCTGTGTCCCGTTGTCGCATTCGTCTCGAGTGCCGAGATAAGGCCATTCGATATCTGATAGTTGAAGCTGAGGCCTTCTTCTCATGACCCAAGTCAAGGGCGAAATTCAGTCGAGAGTCTGGAGTCGACTGGCACAGAGGTAAAAGTCTGAAGCACTTCTGGCTGAGACACCCACGCTGAATGAGTTGTTGTGTGCCACTGTCTGCGGGTCTGAGATAGTCCACAGCAAATGTTGGGCAGCAATATGGAGAGAAGCAGTCCTGCTTGAACTTCAGGCGCCTGACATGGTAGGCGTTGACCCTGGAGGATTGACCTGTTTGTTTCCGGGCACGCGGATCCAGAAGACTGCAGGAACGACGCTCGTTGCTCCACCTAGTTTTGCCAACATCCGTCCACGGGGCCGGCGAGTCTGGCTGCCGTGAGCCGGCAAGGAGTGGTAGGAACTCGTCGTCGGTCAATTGCATAATTTTGACCAGATCTAGTCCAGTACCACTACGCATCGTGGACTTCCGTGCCGGGATGGTCTTGACAGTAATCGAGCTGCTGAAGCGTACAGTCTTCGCACATCGTGTAGCTCTGTCCTGTGGCTTCAACAGCGATGATTTCCTTGGACAATGTGCATCCCGGGAGATTATCAGAGCAGCTGTAGCGCTTTCTAGCTCGTCATCTAGCTTCTCGATGTGCAGTGCAGGCGGCGAAGGAGCATCGTCAACGAGCTTCCCGTGGCGCTGAATTGAGTAAGATTGGTCGAATACGTCCTCGTATGGTATCGCTGACATTTTCTCAAGATGCAAAGTCGACCTGTCGAGTATGCAGTGTGTGAGTAGCGTGCAGCACAGTGAAGTCCGGTGCTATCCTGTAGGACTAAATGAGCAACGGATATCGAGGAGTGCAGTCTGATGGCAAAGTGAGGCGTGAGAAGCTACACTAAAGTGAACTTGTCAATACTTGTAGGCCGTTTGCGCGCCTGCCCGTTTGTTCTGTTTTGTCAAAGATCAGATCAGTCTCAGCAATGCCACGTGCCGTGCTCCAATGCGAGGGTGCCAGACAGGGGTTGACCACGTTGACGTACTGTCGGCCACTTCTCCAGCCAGCACGCGCGAGACACCATGTCAGGTGAACGCCGAGTGTGAAGCCCGCTCGTGTCTATGTCTGCAAGCACAAGGCCACTGCGCGGTCCGAGTGAAGGAAAGGAGCGACTGCGACCGCATCGCATGCGCTTTGTGAGTACATTGACACTTGTTAGTGTCAAAGCCCCGCTCTCTTGAGGCTCAAATCGGTTCATTCCGACAGGACACGAGGCAGAGGAGCAGCGGATGTCTGAGCAAGGCAAGACCTGTGTGAAGGAAGCGGCCAGGTGGCGACGAGAACTGCATATTCAGATGCGACACGGGCAGAATCAAGATGCCTGTCCGGCTAGGGGCAATGCAGAGACATGTCGGACCAAACGGGCGAACACGTAGCGAATCTCGATCTGCGCGGGAACGGCGGCGACCTGTCTGCGGTGCCAGCACTAGCAGATAGAGATGCTGGGTTCCTGAGAGGGCGACACAGTCCAGAAGGCGACGCGAAGTGTAGTTTGCGAAGAGTGCAGAAAGAACAGAGGGATGCGCTCGAAACGTGGAAGCCGCATGGACCCTGCGTGCTTGGCAGATGTATTGTAACTTGTTCTTTCCTCGTACGGCGAGTTGACAGTTGGACTGCGCCGAAGACAGTGGCAGCTGGCCTCTTCACTTGTTTGCTTTCTCACTTTCTGAACTTCCAACTCCCACCACTCTTTCTCCGCCTCATGATCACTTTCTGCACGAGTCGCCCATCGATACCAACGCGCCCGAGCGCACATCCACTTCTCTGGACATCACTGCTCCAACAATAGCGGACGCGTGCCAACATGTCCAACGAATACAATTACGACAACGATGCCCAGTTCTTTCCCTTCTTCGTGCTCACAGTGACCTCTTTGGTCACTGTCCCTCTTACATACACCCTTCTCAGAACGCCGACAGACACTTCGCTACTCAAAAAGGCCGGCCATATCGAGTCGGCGTACAAACCGCACAATGAAGACATCATTAATGCGCAGCGGGCGAAGCAGAAGCGGAAAGAGCTGCGGATGAAACGTATCGTCACGGCAATCACAGGATGGGCCATTATTGCATACATGGTGTACTTGGTGGCCACGACCACACGAGAGGCGGCCAAGATCTGGAACCCTTTCGATATCCTAGGCGTGCCCATGTCTGCCACGGAAAAGGCTATCAACTCGAAATACCGCAGACTATCGATCACTATGCATCCCGACAAGCGTCAGCCCAACCCGGCATTGAATCAGACCATCGAGAGCATCAACGATGAATGGGTGGAGATCACCAAGGCCTACAAAGCGTTGACGGATGAAGAAATACGAGCTAATTGGGAACAATACGGTAACCCCGACGGCAAGCAGAGCACGAGCTTCGGCATAGCATTGCCTAAACTCTTGGTTGCCGAGGGTAGTGGCAAGTATGTTCTTGCTTTCTATGGTCTGCTGCTGGGAATCGGCCTACCTTGGTTGGTCGGCAGATGGTGGTATGGCATGCAAAAGGTCACTCGTGAAAAGATCTTGGTTACGAGCGCTGGAAATATGTTCAAAGAGTTCAAGGACCGTATGGACGGAGGCGAAGTGCTAGCTGCGGTAAGCACAGCGTCTGAGTTCAAAGAAATCTTGCACGGAGCAAATGCGGACACGGGAATGGGCAAGGTGGAGAGCAAGCTCGCTTCGACAGAGACCAGTGACGCTGTAATGCTTCCAAAGGATAAGACGAAGTTGAAGGAGCTGGAGGATCCTGTCCGACGCAAGACACTTGCTCTGCTTTGGGCGTACTTGACACGACTGGATCTTGGGGATGCCACGCTTGAGGCGGAAAAGTATGAGCTCGCACCAACAGCTGAGAGGCTCAACCAGGCCTTCGTGTCCATGTGCTTAGCCTACGGTTTCACTGCCCCAGTCCTTGCATCGTACGGTCTCAGCCAGTGTCTGGTCCAGGCTATCGCACCAACTCCTGCAGGAAAGGCGCCTCTCTTACAATTGCCACACTTCACACCGGAAGCGATCCGTGAGATCGAAACTGCAGTCAACGACAAGAAAGAGCACATGACGATACAGTCATTTATGGCTTTGCCAGCTGAACAACGACAAGCTCTAGCCCAAGCAGTCGGCATCACGAACGACCACCTCAAAATTGCCGAGGACGTTTCCAAAAAGCTGCCGTATCTCAAGGTAGAAAAGGCATTCTTCAAGGTCGCCGGCGAGAAGTACATCATTCCGTCCTCACTTGTGCAACTGGTCATCAAGGCTCGATTTATCCCTCCTGGTACACCCGCCTCCAGCATTCCAAAGGTCAACCCAGACGACTTGCTCGATATTGATGCTCCCGAGGGTGATATTCAAGCCGCGAAGAAAGAGCCCGAACAACATCACATCCCGCTGGCTTATGCACCATACTTCGCCCGTGATCGTGCGCCCAAGTGGCACGTTTTCCTCGCCGACAACCGACAAGGCAAGATTGCAGTACCCCCATTCAATTTCGACACCTTCGACAAGAAGCCTTTCGATGAGAGCGGCGCGCCGACTTTCAACGTTGTTACCCTCAAGATGCAATTCGGAGCACCACCACAGGCTGGCGAATACAAGTTCCAGATGCACATGGTGTGTGACAGCTATGTTGGTTTCGATCACAAGCAGGAGATCATCATGAACATCGATGATGCCAGCCGAGCCCAAGAGGTTGACGACGACGATGACATTTCTGAGCCTGATGAGGGTGAGTGGTATATCCTCTAATAATACGTAGTAGAAACTGACCGAAACACAGACACAATCGCAGGGCAACTCGCGGCACTTAAGGGCGACGCAACTGCTCAGGATGCTCCGAAGCGAACGAAGAAAGCCAAGATCACAGAGGAAGACAGTGACTACGAATCCGGCACAGACGATGAAGAAGGAGCATCATCAGGCTCTGAGACCGACACTGATACCGATTCTGAAGCAGAGGAGGAGCAAGCCAAGGGCAAGTCTTGGTGGTAGAGCGCCCTGCCTTGAAGAAGGCAATGTTGCAATCGTATCTTAACCATAGCGCGGCGTTAGGAGTTCGCTTGGAGTGGAATGGAAACTTCACATCGCACTGTAGACCGATCAGAATAACGAATCACACGTTGGAACGCGAGATACCCAGCTGAAAACGTCACCAGCATAATAGTACGGAAGACTCGAAGACAGGACGGCAGTGGTAGGGAGAGTCCGAACGGGCGAACGTCTGGCACAACGAGGCTCGAGCTACACAGGGCAATGTGGTCCCGTACAAATAAAAGTTTGGGAATGAAATGGTCGCCGAGCCTCAATCGCACCAGGTTCACTTTGCGGACATGTATATTTTCAAAGTCAGGTAGGCTTGAAGAACGCCGTAACGCCATGTGCGATGTGTACCCAACGATGCCGATGATTTCGGTCACAAACTGGCAACTACGTCTACTTGAATGACCAGCTATAGCTCTGACGCGTAATTTGCAGTCGCCAGCAAGTCACCACAGCTTTGGTCGGCCGATGGAAGTTGCAAGGTCCGTTCATGCATCGCGAAGAAGAATCGGCTCTCTTTATGCCGGGAGGAGGGATGAGATGGCTTGACTGGCGCTACGCCGGGGTCTGATTGAGCTTGCAGAGTTCGGTTCGGCCGAGCAAGATCCAGCGCCTCGTGCTGCATCCCATCATCAGTTGTACCAGAAACTCGTGCGTGGCTGAACAAGGCAATCTACCAGAAGGCACGAAGAACAAGCTACGATTTCTAGCCTGGTTGATGTGGATACGATCATCACGGTAAGGCTTGCGCGCATCTATGAATAGCAGTGTACGTATGTACAACATCGGACATGCGACAACAGGCAGAGCATGCTGAGTAGTCGTGTCCGGTGCGGGCTGGAAGGATATGGAGGTCAGGATGTCGGCGCGGCGCCCGCGAAGCGGCTGAGAGGGACAAGCGTAAAGTCTCCAGCGGCCAGGGAACAGAGTTTGGGTGTGACGCGACAGTCCGCTCTGGAGGCCGCAAGGCTGCGTTCAACATGGTCCAGGTCGGCGATGGGCTTCGCGGACTTCAGCCGCTTGCTCTTTGGCGTCAGCGACAAAAGATGGAGTGCGCCCGGAGCCGCTGCCTCGTTGCTCATGTGCCGTTCCACGACTCAAGCGTCGCAAGCCACCTTCACAGCTCGCAGCACGCCGGTCTCAGTCTAGGCCCAACCTCCGCAACCACCTCCATCTCCTCTGCGACCTTGTCTGCAACACACCATCCATCCCTCCATACTCGCGACCCGACAGCACGCAATTGCTAGACAATACCCACCGCGGACACCGGAGACGCTCTGCCGACGGGCACGCGCAGATTGAGCCACAGGACCTCGGCGTGCTGCAGGAAGAGCAGGCCTCGAGTGGAGCACGTGGCCAGTCGTCGAGGACGTCGCTGCTTGCTACAGCCCACACAAAGATTCGAGGAAGCGGCAGCTGGTTTCAGAAAAGCACTCCGTATACCTTGGCCAGTAAAGGACTCGTCGGAACGGCAGCGCCTTCGTCTTTGCGCAGGAACAACATACCGCATGCCCTCGCCATTCTGCCTATCTGAGACACGCGCACGGGACTGGCGGCTGCATGCGCATCGATGAAAGACACCGCTGATGGGGCGGTCGGCACAGGCATAGGGCTACATGGCCAACGACCCGCCCTGCAGGTTATATGTCTCGGCAATAGTGGTGGCCCCAGCGAGGAGAATGTCACCGCATTTTTGGTTCGTTCAATAGCGAGCGAGTGGGCTAAAGGCTCGCTGCTGGCAGTTGATGCTGGATCACATCTCGCACCCATTACGCGAATACTCGAGAACCACTTTCCAACCACGAGTCGTGCACGAGGCTCGAACAGCAGCCATGCGACCGCAAGTGGCAGGTCGGGATCCCCCATTGATATGGACATGTTTCCCAAGCCGGAGCCAACATTGTTACAGGCGGGTCCTTTTGCGGGACTGAAGTTTCCCAATGAGTCGGCTCGCGCAAACGCTCTCCATGTGCTTCGAACCTACATCTCCACTTATCTGATCACACACCCTCATTTGGACCATCTCTCTGGATTCGCGATCAATACCGCAGCCTTCAACGGCACTTCGCGGCCGAAGACGTTGGCAGCGCTGCCAAGCACTGTTAATGCCATCAAGCAGCATATCTTCAATGATGTGATTTGGCCGAACCTCACAGACGAAGACGGCGGCGTGGGCTTTGTGACTTTCCAGCGTCTCAAAGAAGGGGGCGATGTTATGATGGGCGAGGGCGAGGGGCGAGGCTACATTGATGTTTGTGACGGGCTTGCTGCGAAAGCCTTCAAAGTTTCACATGGCGTGTGTACGAAGAGTCCCCCAAGCCATCAGCACCGTGGCAGCATTGCTGGAATGTCGGATTCGATGCCTCCGTACAATGGATCCATACAAGGCATACCTCACGATCAAATTACTTCGAACCGAGCATTGTCTATGTCGGCTATGCATTCGCAACCCGGCACGCCAGGTGGAACGCAGCGGTCAAGCTTCCATACACACCAAGCTTCGCCTCAATTAAGAGCAGCCGACCACGACACATGTGTAGTCGATAGCACGGCCTTCTTCCTCCGCGATGAGGAAACACAGCGCGAGGTCATCATATTTGGCGATGTGGAACCTGATTCTCTGTCACTCACGCCCCGGAATATCGTGGTGTGGCAAGAGGCTGCACGTAAGATTGCGCAGGGCGTCCTAGGTGGAATCTTCATCGAGTGCAGCTACGATGATAGTCAAGCTGATGCAATCCTGTTTGGTCATCTGAATCCGCGGCATCTTATAGCCGAATTACAGAATCTTGCGAGCCTGGTGCTTGACGCCAAAGCCATGCGTGCTGCTGAGAAGGCTGGGACGAAGCGCAAGCGCTCAATTCCAGGCCACACATCCAATGGCTTGGATCCATTTGCTCGCTTGAGCATACCGGAGACTGCACGAAAACGAACTCGGAGTCTTGCCAGCAGAACGGTATTGGATGAGCGGCGACGCAGTAGTGCCCCTGATCACAACTTTCCCGCGGCCGCTGCCTCCGGCCTTCCCACTTCGCAAAGCCCCGGTTCCGCTTCTGTAGACGCGCTGAATCATTACAACTTTCAGGCATCGGAGCCGGCACTTATGGACCACGCCGGTGATACGGTCACGTCCCCAAAGGCCGTTGCATTTCCACAGAATGGCCCCGGTAATATCGACATCAACGTAACAGGCGATGTGAACGAGGAGTCTGCAGCACAACCGCATCAAGAAGCGCCTCTCAGCGGCATCAAAGTAATTTTAATACACATCAAAGACACTTTCAAGGACGGACCTCACGTGAGCGAAGTCATACTGGAGCAGCTCCACGAACACGAGGAAGAGCTCCGCGCGAAAGGAAGTCCGCTGGGCTGCGAGTTCATTGTCAGCCAGAGTGGCGAGTCGTATTGGTTCTAGGGTTCTCCTCCGCACTTCAGCTTCCAGCACTGCCACTGGCCTATTGTTTTTCGATCTCGAAACTAGTCTTCTGGCAGCCTAGTCCTTCGCGTGGTCTAGAACGTGGTTGTTGTTAGGCCAAGGACCAAACTGAACGGAACATGGATCATTATGGAAGTGCGATTCAGGGTCTCACCCGGGGTGCGGGTGTTCTTTCGTAGCGGGTAGCATGTCATCAGTTCCATGGGTTATGGTATATGGCGGGGAATGGCGGATGCTTCATGGACGATGTTTTGTCGTCAGCAGATTCATGAGCACATAAGAGTCACGGGGACAGTACGTGTACAGAAAAAAGCAATCGGTGCATGGAGTGAGCAAAGCATAGCACACACACGAGGAATCTCAGCTTTCGAGGTGATTTTTAGACTCAGCTTTGCGATCCAGTGCACAATGTATGGCTACACGAAAGCATGGCAGGCGTTGGTTGTGCAGGGGAAGTAGTCCCCATGACGAAACGAAGCCAGCACGGGCAGTCCTTGCATGAACGGCATGATAATGACCAAGTTTTTGGCTGAAGTTGGATTTACACGTGCAAACATGGCTGAAAGAAGGATCTGGTTGTCGAAAGGGTCCATGTCTATTTTCTAGTGGTTACCAAATCATAGTTTTTGCACAAATGTGGTAATTCAGCACGTTCTCCCATGTGACCCGACCCGAATATATCATTGCTATATTCCGAGACATACTGCTCACAGATTTATCCAGTGCGAAATAGATTGCTGAGCAAGATTCGTTGCTGTGTTTAGTTGCGCGCCATTCTCGGGGTTTGATATGAAAGTTGTATAAGTTGTGCAATACGAACTTTGTCGAACCCGCGAATAGTCAACAATGGCACTATCACGATATGATCAAGCCAATGTCAAGCACAGATCGTTCTATCGCAACGTGGCTTCTTCGCTGTGAAGTCGAATCAAGCTATCTCGCTTGCCCACGACTTGGCTCGCGAAAGTCGACGACATGTGTGATTATGCGCGCATGCACAGTCCTCGTGATGGTGGAGCTGTCAGTGGAGCTTCATAGCACTAATTGTTGCTCCCTTGTTAGCGTTGACTGAACCCTTCTAAATTAGTTCTAATGCCAGAAAGTTGTTTGATAGACCAGAGATCGGCAATCTCGGTGCACGCAATACTCTTTATCCGAGATACACACCCTGCGCTTTGTGTAATAAACGAGGCGGCGCGTTCGATGCATAGCGGCAGAGGCCCACATGCCAAGTGCTTTGCACGCATCTTGTTCGCACTTTTCTCCAGATCCCCGCTCGTGGTGGTGTGGTTGCTAGACCGCCTCATCAATGTGCGGCTGCTGCTGGCGCTGAGATTTGGAAATGGAGCCATGCTTGGATCAGAGCTAATTGCTTGGTGGACAATGTGCTGAGGATGCCGGCTCTACCGTCACTTGACATGGCGTTTTTCCGCAGCTTCACGTCCAAGGCGAGGCGTGCGTGTAGCATTGTGCTGGCGGTGACGACTGCTGGAAGGCGGAGAGCCCGTCGAAGTGGTCATATCCATCAGTAGATAGTCCGTGCAGTCAGTCGACGGAAATTCTTGTATACTTTTCGCGTGCAGACACGATCATACGCCGGCATGGCGCACGACATCGCTAGCTCTGCTGGACCTCGTCCGATAGGCACTTAGCGTGTTTGCAGGGGAGCTGTAGTAGCTTCGAAGGCAGAGTGCTGCATGCACCCACCTGGGAGGATGGCGCAATGGAGCAACGCGTTGATGAGCGTAGCAACATGATCGAGACCGGTTTATCATGCACATTGGAGAGGAACTCGAGCAAGCTGGTGTTGCTGACCGCGTACGCGTCTGACGCTTGGTATGCCTTGTTTCGAATGGCCCTGCGTTTGACTGGAGCTTATGGCGGCAAAGGAGGTGCCATGGGTCTAGTCCCATCTGCGGAAGATCTGCTGGCGGGCGCAATTCTGTGGCGCGTCAAGTGCCTGCAGGCGGTCGACGATGGATGCGCAAGACAGATTGTCCATTCCAGTAACCATGGGCGTGAGCGTGTTTGTGGGAGGCATGTGCAAGTTGCATAGCGCGAGCGTTTCAGCGCAATTCTTCACGCCAAAGGGACGGTGGTGGGCCAGGGCGCGGCAATTGGCCACAGCAAGGCCCCATCCATATGGCAGGCCGTAGGGGACGTGGGGTTTTGTGTGTGGATCCGTCCTCGCATGCACGCGTGTCGGGTCAGAGCTCTCACGGTGGGCGGGCAGCACAGCAGCGGGTTGCGCAGCTCGCAGCAGCAATCGCCCGGACGACACGAGGAGGCTGCGGTACGATCCATCGGGGGCACAGCACAGCGCAGCACAGCGCAGCGACGGAGAGTGCATGTGGTGCTCCAATGGCCGCGAGCCTGCGTTTGCGACAGAGTAATGGCAGGTGCAGATACAACCGTAATGAGAGGGGTCCGTGTTTCATCCCGGCCGCCGCTGTCAAGCACGGCCATTGCGGCAGCGACGATGGCAGCGACGGCAGCAGCGGTGACGGTGACGGGCGCGGTGTGCGCGACGGCGCCGTCATGGTATGGAGCAGCATCCAAGTGGGTGCGTGTCTGGTGTGGTCAAGCATTAACTTAGAAAATGGGCCGTCGTATTTCAGGAACAAGCACATCGAACTTTATTTCCAGGCGCGCTCGGGTGCACCCACTTGCACAAGCGAATCACGGTGAGTGAGGTGATGCTGCTGCTGGGCCTGGCAGCGCAGGCACATGCGCGTGAGAGTGATGGGAGAGCGTGAGAGCGAGCGCGCAACCAAGGCATGCTGCAGCAGGAGCAGCTGGTGGGCGCGGAATGCAGCCTTCGCACGCTCATGCAGGCGGGCAGCAGCGCGATGGGGACGTTGACCACCGCGCAGACTGCCTTCGACTGACGGCGCGGCGTGATTGGCCGCACGGGCTGGCAGCGCTCCCGTGGCTTTGTCGCTGTCTCTGTCTCTGCCTCTGCCTCTGCCTCTGCTCCTCCTGACGAGAACTCCGACCGCACACCCACCGACATCTCCTCGCCACTTATCCTTCTCTTGCCTTGTATTCTTTGTTCGACCGTTGAACCCGCGCGCCTTGTACCACTGCTTCTTTGCCGGCGCGCCTGGGTGGATATTGTACACATTCCACTTGCTCCAGCTCCCGATCCCAGCGGAGCCACTCCCCTTCTCCCGACCGACGACACGACTACGCTTTCTTCCAACACCACCACAGCACGCTGCACCGGGCAGTCTGGGTAGCCGCTGCCTCCATGCGTGTCTAGAGATTGCTCCAGTCCCGCTCGGGACCCCGTCGACCAACTTCCTGCCCGCCACCGCCGACCGGTCGTGCGAGAAGGTACGTCTCCATTCGCTGCTGCTTCTGCGCGAACATTCCTTTTCCCTCTCCCACTGCACTCGCACGCCCAACCACTCAGGCGAGCACACACCGCTCGACATCACGCGGCCGCCGACGAGCATCGCCGACGACTCGCCTTCGCCGCTCTCCCGCGTCCCACACGACGCCGATCGGGCGATAGGGGCGCCGTTGTTGCACCCATTGCCGCTGCATTCACCATCCGCGCACGCTCCTTTGCTGCCAACTCCGCGTCCACACGACCATCAACAGCGCCCCCTATCATCGCGAGCACCGCTTATTCGCCCAATACTGACTGCTGGCCGGCTCAGACCGTATACTTAGCCTTTACATCTCCGCCAAGCCGCGATTCGACCCATTGATCCTTCGACCATCGCCGACTTCACCAACGAAACCCAGCCGGCTGTCACCACGGCCGATCAGATGGCTGAGGTACTCTCGCCACTTTCTTCACCTTCCAGCACCATTACGATGCTGCATTCTCGACCTTCATCCTCAGACGCGTTCAACGGCTCGTCTCAACAATACTCTTCTTCTCCTCGGCAAGGGCAACAGACCCGAAGCATGCACAATGGACAAAATGGCAGTTATCGGAGCACAGCCGCTGCTCCCGTACAGCCTTATGCCTTCCAGAGCACACCGAATCTGCGGCAGGAAACCCGCAGCGTCTCTCAATCGGCGGTATCACATGGCGTTATCGGTCAAAAGCCTGCACACACGCACACGCAGTCTGTGTCGAATTCTTCGACCACATCATCAGATACCTCCTCCCAACCGTCGGCGAAGGACGACTCGGTGATTGGGTCGAAGAACTCGTCCTTGATCAATCTCTCGTCGAGCGTGCCTGACTTATCGCTCACCACTTTCGATCAACCTGCGAAGCCGTCACCCGGTCGATATCGTCGAGCCGGACAGCGGACTGAGTCTGGCACCAGCACACCAAAGGCTACGACACCGTCAATTGCGACGTCTGCCGGACCATCCACATCCAACAGTGGCGATACTGGTGCGGAAGTATCAGTTTCGCAGCCGGTTCAGCGTAGAGAGAGCCAAGATGACATTGCAGTGAAAACGGGCAGTGCGGAATTGGCAAAGCGTTATAGGAGACGCAGCATGAACACCATTGACACCGTGTCGCACACGGGCGCTGGCACTCAAGGACCCGCGCCGTCACATGGACCCAGCTCCTCAGTGGCGACTACAATACGCCCGGTATCATCGCACACGCGGTCGGGAAGTGATGAAAGCTCAGCATCAATCAGGAAACTCGAAGGAGCAACACAAGATGGTGCTAAGAACGCAAGTGGACTCCGACCAGAGGGACTGAAGGCTGTTGCCCCTGGAACATCTTCCGAAGCCAGCAAGCGTGCGAGAGCACCTTCGCCACTCTCCAAGGAGGCCGAGACAGAGTCTTCGCCCGCAAGCGCTGCGCCCAAGCCTAAGACGTACGCTGCGGCAGCGCAAGCTGGCGTTCAAGCGCACGCTCAAGCACAGTCCGCCGCGGCCCAGCAGCTGGCTGCCGTGTCGGATAAGGATCTCAACAAGGGCATGAAATCACGTCTGCGACGTGCCTTCTCATTTGGCAGCGCACAAGAGCTTCGACGTAGCGCAGCAGAGAACAGCGATGCTGCTCACGCCGCTGCACACCACGCCCAGCAAACGAGAATGCAGCATCAGCAGCATATCGATGATGAGCTCGACGCCGAACAGCAGGAGATCGCTCGCAAGCAGGAAGCCGCTGGTCTCGGTAACAGCATATATGCCAACACGTCGGTGGCCTTGACTGGCTCAACTGACAACATCTCGATTTCTTCGACCGCATCATCGGCATCGATGATGTTGCGCAAGATGGGTAGAGGGGCCAAGAAGAGTGCTAGGAGCATCAAGGGCCTATTTCGGCCGAAGTCGGTCATCGGCGTACCAGCAGCTGACGGACCAGTATCGACTCAAGCCCAGCCTAGCGTTGCGCAAGTGTCCATGGTTAGCGTGGAAGCTGAGCGACAAAAGGTGAATGTGGATGCACATCCCGCGGATAAACACGGGATTACAGGCTTCCCGAAGTTGGAGCGCAATTCCATCGACGCTGCGAACAACATTGGCGCATCGTCTACGCGGGGATCTGGAGACCGGTCGGACTCCTTTTCGCGCCGCAGCATCGTGGGCAGCGATAAAGACCGCGCTGAAGTGCTAGCCGCAGTGAAGAAGGGTATCCTGAAGCGCTCAGGCACAGCTTCTCCCACTGCTTCTCCAGTGATCAAGCCGACCGACGCCCAGAACAACTCGGAAAGTCCATCCTCCAGCATGCCGAGCACGCCCAAGGACGGCAGTCGCAACGACTCTATGAAGAATGCGGCGAATGGCGACTACTTCAGCCCACGCCTTGCTTCCATGGCTAAGAGCATGCCCAACACGCCTAACGGGTCACGAAATATAAGCTTCAGTCCACGAATACAGTTTCACGACGTGTGGTCCAGCACCGAGTATGACCGCAGAGGCGAGATCGCCACTTGCAATCGACTTACGCCCATGCTCGCACAGCAGATCAAGGAGGAACTCAATACCTTCAAGATGGTAAGTCTCACGCATGAAGTTCTCCGCACAAATACATGTCAGTGCTAACCCAATCACAGGAGATGGAAGTGCACGAGTTGTCGAAACCACACACCCACTTCTTCTAATGAACACAAAATATGACTGAAAAGCTGGCGAAACGACACGCATGAATCGTACGGAGCCATAAGAGCACATCACAACACCTCACAGCGATGCCGCATTTTCTTGCCGACGCAGATCGGGACGGAGTAGGATATCATCTAATCTTTTTGACAATGGGTATTGAGCGACTGGGGTTATCATAAAGCGGGCGTCCGGAGAACCGAGTCTTGTGCAGATGGCGGCGTTCTCTCCTTGTGTAGGCACGGAACAGGATCGCGGGAAAGAGGGGCACCATCCTCATCACTTCACTACTTTTTTGTGACTGGATGTTGTTAGGATTGCATACTCTCTTGCAAAAGTCACAAGCTGGATGCGAGGTGGGCTGAAGCTTGACGACTTAATTGGCAAGCGCAAGTCAAACACGAACGAGTAGTGGTTTGACATGGATGCATACAATGCTATTCACCTTGACCTCGCTCACTTGAGCATACTCTCAGGTTCACACTGCGTGGACACATCTTTTCAAATCTACTGCTCCGAAAGTCGCGTCAATTCGTGAATTGTTCGGCAAGCGAAGCGTCACAGCAAGTAATATGTCATTCCTCGAAACATTGGAGTATGATACGCTGCAGGCGACATTATGAAGTGGACGCTCTTCGTTGGATACACCTGTGCACAGTTTCACGACTCAGGCTCAGTCATGCAAATTGTTCTTACATGTATGGAGCAACATTTTCATCGGCGAGGGCACGGCAGCGAAGAGCCGAAGACGTGGCTGCCCGGAGAATTCGGAGCTTGGTCTTCTTCAAGCTGGCCACGAAACGCTGGTCTGCTCGTGTCAGATGCTGGTGTGTACCTACTGCCAAACACTGGCACTGCAATCTGCTATCCATCTTTCATCGGGCAGAAGTCCAATCTGATCTAGGCTATGATGGCCCCGACCTTGTGCTTTCTGCGTGGAGAAGGTGGCGATGGGGTGCGCTCGGCAGAGTGGCGCGCTGGCGCCGCCTGGCGGCAAAAACAAAGAATGCATGATGCAGATCATCTCGGCTAGTTAATAGCTTCGATCAACGACATCGCTTGCATCGTATTACTTCGTTCGAGACAAGAAGGCGATATTCTGCTTGTGAAGCATCGAGCACTCAGAAATCTTGAAGACGACCAACGACATCTATACTTGGACTCTTGCAGCTGTGCGACTTCATCTTCTCCAGTACAATATCGACCGAGGCCTGGAAATATGGCAGCCGTATTAATCGTCATGGGAGGCGCAATGATCGCGGAACGTGTCGAGAAGAGTAAAGAGAAGAAGAGATTGAAGAAGGAGCATGATGATACGAGGTATCGGGAACTTGTTGAGGAGACTGGAAGGCGGCTCAGTCAGACCGACAGCAATCAGATTATTCGCCACTCTTCTGTGGCGAGCGATGATCTTGTGGAAGATGATGGGGCGACACCACCGCCGTATGAGGAAGTTGTTCGGACGGAGAGTACGCCTTCGACGAGGAGAGGAGAGCAACTGGAGACTCATCAGTCGAGGCATAATGATGAGCCACGCAAGAAGAAGGGATTCAAAGGTCTTTTCGGGAGGAAGTAGAATGTCCAGGCACCGAACTCTGCGGTGCTTGAAGGCTTCTGCGGCTTCATTCTTGAGCTGAGGTGTTCTTCATTCAACAGGCACCGAATTCTACCTACAGTGCTCGACACCTTCCTGCATGTGGCTTGTCTTCTCGCATCGAGGCGTTCCTCGCTTCGAGGATATGGAAACGAAGCTATTGCAATACGTCCAGGCCAATGGAACAGAACTGGACTTTAATTTCTGATGACGACGAAAATTTGGGCAAGATGTCAACAACAATAATTCGATTGTGTTTAACGAAGGATGAAGATACGTACATGATAAGTAATCAACAACTGCAGCAATGACACAACTTTCTCTACAAAATCTGTTTCACCGCCATGAAGGTTAAGATTCGAAGCGATCGTGAAGAAGATGTGATCGACAGCTGTGAGGTACTTCATTGTCGACAAGGTGTCTTCTCGAGCTGCGACGACAAGGTCCCTTTGAGTTTGACAAGGCAGCTCTGTTTCTTTTGCTCGGCAACAATCACCACTCTCAGCGCATCAACGCCTCAAAAGCATCGATGGCCGAGGTTTGGTATTTTGAAGCGTTTTCGATTGTTACCTCGTCTCGTCGCTCCTGTACATTATATTGGCGTCAGCAATATTCTATCTATATCATCGTCAGAACAGCACTGTCTCCTTTTCTCTGCACCTCCTCGCTGACATTCGTAAAGAATCCCGAAGCCATGGGTCCAGAGAATGCCCAGTCAACCAGCATATCCGAAACGGAAATCGCGAAGTCGCGGGAAACTGGCGTTGAGCTGACAATGTTGCAAGGAAGCATCGCTATTCACGGCGTGAGATTGACAAGACGAGACGGTTTTTCCATAAAGTCTGTCACTGTGCCCCTGCCAATATGACAACCAGGTGACGTCGGGATGAGAATGCCGAACACTGGTCGGGGTTGTTGAAGTACCTTTTTTTTTGTGCGTCGATTCTGCTTTTGTACATGTCCTCCTTGTCTCCGAAAGGAACCGCGCTGGAGCCAAGAGAGCTGTGCTTGAGGTATTCGAGTTAGGGCTGTTTGATTGTTGATGGCTTGACGAAGTCGGTCCCGAAACCCTCATGATTGCTCTCGACCAAGTATCACCCCATGTTCCTTCATTCAAAGAAACGGCGGACCATCGGCAGTACTTGATTCTGAGAGCACAGTGGGGTGGAATTTCCAAACCGACAAGCTTGTAACGACTTTCTGGACAACACGGCAACTGGCCCTTGCAGGTGTCATATATCATGGATGATGCTCCCTGGGAAAAGTCAATCCCACTGTCACCCGGTTGTTGCGCTGTGATGCGGCATAAAATACCTGCATACACCCTCGTCCATCGATAGGCTGCAAAATTCCAGAGTGGCGTTCTCCCACCAAAACGCCGCATGGTGTGTGCTGGACCTGCTGGTGCTGTCAGGAGCGCGCAAAAAAGCAAATGTTCAATTCCATGATCCCTGGATGGACCAGCCATGAAAAAGAGGATTCGAGATCCTAGTCGTTCCCAGCCACCAGCTAAGCGCGGTGTCATCCCAATCAGGTCTGCAAGGTGGAGCGAACACGTTACACGGCGCAAGCGCAACTGTGCCGTGGCTTTGGGTATTATTTACATTGCATCCATGCTCTCGTTGTCATTACAGCAAACCGGGTGGACCTCTGGACCAGCCAGAGCCATTTCCCGGAACTCTCTGCCTCGTTTCGCTGTCGCGTCAAAACTTCTAAATCTCCTCCATCCTTGATATGAAACTACTATTAGTCATCTCTTCATGCAAACATCGAATGCGTTGTAAAGGACTGCCCACTTCGATAATAGTGGTATCTTGCGAGAAACACGAGTACAATAGTGTAGCGTGCGCGACGGAGTAACGTTTTACATGCGAGCTTCCAGCAGTGAGCTGAGGGTGTCGCGGTGCGCACGCTGTGCGGCGCAGAACCAGTCACTGTGCTGGCTGTGCTGAGCCCAGGCGGGTACCGTCAAATGTAGCCGGTTGGAGATTGGCGGCAACAGTGGTCGAGCCATACAAGGCTATCGATCTCGTGAGGCAGACGCTGACATTTCTGCGCCGGCAGCGGCATTCTCCGGGTCCAGCACGTTCAGGCACTCTATGAGAACTGCAAGGCATGTCAGCTTCCGCATTACGGGTATGGCAAAGTGTCAAGGAGACCCACGGTCCATGATCTCTTCTTCTGCTACGCCCATCTGATAGTCCACCAAGCCGTGCTTCTCCACGCTATCACAGAGACGGACCAGCTCGCGTGATAGATGCTCGAGTATCTGCGCGCTCATGATTGATTGAGGTTCACGGAGTCCCTGATTCCGAATATATTCTTGAGTGAGCTCGCGCTGCTTCTCGAGCGTCACGAGCCATGCGCGGTTGAACTCATCCCAGAGTCGTATTCGTTCGTCATGCAGATTATCGTCGTCACGCGTCAGCCCTGCAGCTGCGATTAGCTCAGCTTAAGCGTGCAAAAAGGTGATGCGGTTCACTTACCTAACGCTTCAGCGTTACCGAGCAGATAGAGCGAAACGTCCATCAATAGGCCGCCGATTTCGCGTAATGATCCCTCTCGTACATTCGTGAAAAGTGTGCGGATCTGGTTTTGGTAATTGGCGAAAGCCTGATCAACAGATTGTGCAGAGCTCGGGGTGTATTGCGTCGTAGTAGCGTACGAATATGCGCCAGACTGCGTGGGATCCATCATCGCGCTTGCATAAGTGGATGAAGGTCCAGCTGCTGCGTACGCCGAGGCCTGATATTGGGAGGGCAAGTGCGGCGGCGCCATTTCGGGCACTGTTGCACTCGGAAGCGATTGTCCTGCAAGGTAATACTGTGCTGCTGCCGTTTGCGACGCCGCGATTTGGGAAGCGAGCGTCTCGGAAGCAGTTCCAGGGCGCTGGGAATATCGTGAGACCGGATCGTAAGGCGATTGCGTCGATTGCTGCGTGGGCTGTGCCATGCTGTACATGTGGGTGGAACCATATTGCTGATATTGCGAATTATCGCTCTGTCTCTGTACATCTGCGCCTTGCATATCTGCGGAGTATTGCATCGTTTGTGCTGCTGCGGACGCTCCAGTCCCATACTGCGAGCTTTGTCCGAAGCCATACACTTGCGCGTCGCTGCTAGCTCTTGCAGGCGGAGCGACCGCTTGTGGAGACTGCTGAAGATAGCCTGAAGACTGTCGAAATCGCTCCACAGATCCGCCCGGAGTGTTGTACTGGCTGCCGGGCTGAGCGCTACTGCTTTGCGACTGCTGCGGACCATACGGATTTTGTTGCGCGTACTGCCGTCGTGATGGATCATTGTAGTCCATCCCAGAGTCGTGGCGGTCCCCGTAATCTATCCCTTTCCGCGTCGACGCCAACGGCGAGAAGGGCGGTGATGCATAGACAGTCGCCAGGTTGACGGTTAGTGGGTGGGTGGGTGGAGGGCGCAAAGGGATCTATCTGGCTGTCGTGATTGCGAGCTCGGAGAGCACAATCGATGTCCAGCTGTCAATCGATAGCAGCCTTACAGCAGCGGGAAGTTGGCCAGAGTCCGTGTGGATGGTGACCTAGACAGAGAGCAAAAAGTTGAATGTTATGGCCGTGAGGGCGGAAGCTTGTTCCGGCTGCTGCCCAAGGCAGCTGGGTTGGCAGATTAATGCGGCTCGAGAGGTGATGCCGTCACGCGTGAGTGAGCGCAGCATCGACAGCCGGGCCTGGCTGACGTTTGACGGTGTTGCGCGGAAATGGGCAGGAGCAGGAACGAGCAGTGCAGGAGCGAGTGGTCTTGAAGGCGAGCGTGGTCTTGAGCGAGCGACGACGAAGCGAAACAGCAGAGCGCAGTGTGGGCAAGGCCAAAGGAGTGGCGGTGCGCGCAAAGCAGACAATGCACGAGTATGGTTGGGTAGCCAAAGTGTAGTCGAATATCTCGTGAGCAGGGCCGGCCGTGGCGCGGGGTTGATGAGGTTGTCGCTGTCAGGCTTCTGAGTCGTTGCGTCGACGACGGGACAAGGAAGCACTGCCGAGCGAGTGCCCTTGCTCGCGATTAGAATTCGGAAACGCAAGGCGTGAGACGTGAAGCAAGAGTCTGCCGGACGATGGAGATTATGGGCGGGGCTGGAGGTGTCACAGCCCGGTCGGCGTCGATCGAGCAAAAGTGAGGCTCGGCCGGTAGTCAGTAGTGGGCAACAAAGCGAAGGAGGGGAGGCCAGACAAACAGAAAGGGACGCCGCCCCGCGCGCTCGACGAGGGTGCTGAGGAATGACCTGCTCTCATACTCGCCTCCTCGTGCTGTACTGCGGACGTTGTCGCGCTGCAGCGGACCAGGAAAGGAGGGCCGCCGCCGCCGTTGTGAGAGGTGGTATAGCAGTAGGCGATAAGAGCCGTGAGGCTGCCGGCTGCAGAGCGAGAGTCGCGCCTCGCACGCAGGATCGTCGTCGCCGTTTGCTGCCACCCAACCTTCCGGACTCAGGGATCATAACGCAAGAGAGGCGTCAGCCAGCGCGGTGCTGTAACGGCCGTTATTGGCCGGGCGTGTAGGCACTCCGCTCGACAGGATAGCAGCGCAGCACCGCACCCTCTCTGCTCTCATCGCACCGGTGCTGCTCTGGGTGGGCGTGCGCCGGCACCCCCAGCTCGACGCTCCCAGATTGCCGTGCCGTCGACGATCCTGGCAGGTGAGGCCAGGCCGGGTGATAGCGCCAGATTATTGGGGACGGGGCAGCCTTTGGGAGGTTTGCGCGCCGACGAGCTCGTCTCACGCTTGACATGGCATTAGACTTCCGGGTGCCAGGTCAGATGCGTGCTCCATGGGCTCCGCAAGCGTCGGCAGCAGCGCGTCGCGCGGACGGCAGCAGCAGCAGAGCAGCGCTGCACTCTGTGACGCTCGACGTCCGGCGCGCGACCTGCGAACGAACACATGCTGTCGTGGCGGCGGGTGAGCGATCGTGGCCACAAGGTTTTTGGCATCGCCGTGGACGCGCTCTAGCGCTGCATGTCGAGCCCTCGTACCTGCAGAAAGCGTTTGTTTGATCCCGGCTGCTGCCTCCGACTGGCTCTCTGCCGCGCTCCACCGTCCGCCATGCTGCGCCGGCCTGCAATTACTGGTCGCGCGTCTGGAGACCACACGCGATCCCCAGCGCCCAGCGCGGTATTCCTGGCATTTGGGCACACGTCCGCCCGGGCTCTGGGCAGAAATCTCAGCGTGCTGCCTCACGTGGGCCATGCCGTGTTTGGAATATGCGCCGATCACGAGAGGCCGGATGAAACGAGCAAACGTAGCCTGTGTGGTCAGCGTGAGGCTCCATGCGTGTCACCGGCCGGGTGCTCGCCGGCGGTGTCGGATACGCGCAATGTCGACTGACATGCACTTCTGGCTGCTGTGTGAATGAAACGAAACAGATCTCAATTCATGACTAAGACGGCCACACGAAACGATAGTTTCAGCACGCTAACACGATACAGTTTAGCCTCTGATCGGCGCTTTCGGCTGCGCATCGATGTCACAGCTCGCTGCAAGTCCAGACGTCGGCTGGGCAGCACAGCATATGTCTTCGGGCTTTTATGATCTGTCAAGGGCCTGCCCGAGCATGTCCATAGATGACCAGGTCCCCGCCGCATCATCCAGGCCGCAATCATCTGCTCCGCGCCTCGCCTCTGCTGCACCGCCTGCACTGCCACGATGAGGGCTCGGAACTGCACCTGTCTCGGATGAAACGAGTCGACGTGGTGGATACCTCTTCCAGCAGCCCGGTATGCAGTACTGTAGCGATTCGGCCAGGGATCTCAAACCGGCACATCGCACACTTCGACAGATTGTACCTTCGAGGAGCGCTTCCTCTGTGTGCGACACATGAGACCAACTCACGATATTAACCCGCCGGGATAACAGCTCTATGGCACATAGCGGCATTTTAGGATGCTGTGCAAGCGCCCTATATCTGGAGTATTAAGAGCAAGCCGAGCACGGATAATCGCTAGATATCCGTCTCCTTCCGTGTCGTGAGCACTGACGAATTTCGAATCGATGCCATGGAAGCGATCTGGTCGTGAAGGAAGCGGCGGGATTGAGGTACAGAGTGGCATCATCGAGACTGAAGAAAGACTTGGCCGCTTAAACGGGCGCCGAATTTTCCGCTCTCGCAATCTACGTTTTGTATATGCCAGACTCTTTGCATCTCACGTCGTGGAGGATGTGAGTGGTATGGGTATCACTTTTTGCGACAAAAATGTTGAAAGTTGTTGAAACGCCAGGCCTTTCTCTAATACACAATCAACGCTCAAGCGCCGTACGCCTGCTTGGGGAATGGATAACTGTAGTAGCGTCAGCGAAAGAGGCAAGCTATGACTGAGGTTCGGATTGGTAACGTACGCAGGTCCCAGCTCGCGCAGGCTCAGTGCCGCCAACCACTGGCCCATGTCGACGCAGGTCTCGAGCTTCTCGCCCTTCACAATGCCGGCCACGAAGCCTCCTGCGAAAGCATCACCGGCACCTGTCGTGTCAACAATTTCGTTCTTGTCGATGGAGTGGACGGGGTAGCTCTTTGCATCGCCTTCATCCTGAACGGCAACCACAGTCGGGTCGGTGCCCTGTGTGATGATCGCAACACGCTTCCGCTGTGTGTTCTTCTTTGGAAGGTTGGCGAGCGCCTTAGCGATGGTTGGGATGTCGTGGGTATTCAGGTCGTGCGAGTCGGCATATGCAATGGCTTCTGTCTCGTTGCCGACAACGTAATCCCAGTAGGGAGCGGTCTGGTCAAGAGGATCCTTGAAGAACTGGGCGATGAAAGGCGCCGAGAGCGAAAGGATGAAAGGCTGAGGCCGTTGTTAGCAACCAACGCTCGTACACGTGCCCTTTCGGTTCTGAAATTCACCTTGTCTGTCTTTGCAGCTTCCTCGGCAAGCTTCAAGACCGCTGGGACGCAAACCGTCAAGTGATAACCGCCAACAAAGTAGGCCTTGGCCTTCTCTGCCACTGCCCAGTTCTCTTCCAGATGCTCAATCTTGTAAGCGTTGGCTGCAGCAAGATCTGTAACCATGCTCCTGTTGTGGCCAGTGATGATGACACCACATCGACCGGTTGGCTCCTTCTCGTCGTAACGATATCTGACAGCAAGGCCAGCCTGCTTGTTTGCATCTTGCAGAATGTCTGCATACTTGTCCTTGCCAACGCAACCAAAGAAGACCACGGAGTCGGGCTTGAGCAGGTACTACGAGCGGAAGCCATTGTCAGTCTAAAGATCGTGGATATATCTTTCGGCACAGCCTCCCCACTTTATGAGGAACCTGGCCGACTTCTCTCAACGCATATCGGTTCAAGCCAGGTCCCCACTGATGGCATTTTCTGCTTGTATCAACCTACCTGAGCTCCTCTTGCTGTGTTCTGAGCTGCACCTCCTGCTAACAGCTTCGCATCGCGGTTCTTGATCAGCTCTTCGTAAAGTGTCAAGTGCTGCTTTTCAGCGAGGATCGCGTCGTTGGCCTTGAGACCATATTGCTGAAGAAGGGCGTCGTCACTGATTCCACACCGTCAGCAGAGTCGATGGAGCCACTCAGTCCCACGAGAGAAGATGCCCACTCGAGTGAGAATTTGACGAGCTCAAAAAAGTGAGGACTTACCCTTGGCCCTGGATGTCGAGAAGTGGGTTCTCAAGGGCGAGGAGCTCGTAGGCGTGATCGGAGGACATGATGACTGCGAGAAGATTGGTCCTTCAAAATTTTGGCACGAGTAGAGGGTGATGTCGAAGGTGTACCGGCGTCAATGGATTCGACGAGATTTTGGAAGCTGATCCAGGGTCATTGACATTGTCCCGCGAACCTGCCCCGCGTGTGGGTCCTACCGGCGTTTGCGTGCTCCGATACGAAGCGGTTATCGTGAAATGCGAAGACGGTGACCGAGAAGCCATGCTCCCTCCCACTATCACACCGAGCCCTCACTACTGGCCGCGAAGGACAGCAGTGTCAGCAATTCTGCTGGTCTCAGATGGCACATGAGCACTGGACGCGACAGCCAATTCCACACACCACGCGCCAACAGGGGAGACGACAGGCCTGCTCATTGCAACTCGACATCCGCGCTCACCTCTTCGTTGTGTGCAAGCATTCTCAAATGCATCACATCACAAAATCATCCATGCCGAGTGGCCGATGTCTGCCGCAGAACCACACGCCGTGATGTGCTCCACCATGTCTGCCTTCCGTTGTTCTTCCAAACACGCTGAGCACAAAACGTAGGTACGACTGACGCCTCTTGCGATTCGTGAACATGCGATCACCGAGAGCCTCTACCGTCTGCCGTCCGAGGAAGAATAACAATGCTCCCGCAGCATCACCTGCTGGGTCCCACACCTACCTCCTATCGTAAGTGGAGACTGACGACACTACGCCCAGTCGCAGCTTGGCGCAATGGCTTGACCTCAATAAAATCGATTCGGCTCCTAAGGACGACGACAGGTGAAGTGTCATACGCTGGGCTCGATACTTTTGCATCGACTCTTCCCAAAAAGGGCTTCTGACATGGATGCGGTCCCAGCTTCGCGCTCAATGTCCGCCCTGGCAGAGCCCAGCCTGAAGTTCACACGCTGTTACGCGTCACAAGACGACCAAGAGTCTCGGCTTCCAGGAGACGAGTGTGGACCACCGATGAAACCATTCACGCAGAAGACCAAATACTTTCGTCCTGTTCTGAATCCCCACTGGTCCATGTGAAAAGCATGAGGAGTGCTACGATTGTGGCCAACGCCTTGTGCATTTCTACCTGGGCTTCAACATTCTCCTTTGCCAGTGCAACTTCAAAAAAGGATGACCCTGGTCTCTTCCATTTCGTGACTGTAAATCAGACGAACTTGCTGTGTATTCCTCAATCATGTCACTGACAATCCCCAGAGACCAGATCTCAAGCCGCCAAGGTGGAAGGTCAACATCTATCATAAAGAGCTGCTCAGTCCAGGATACTGGTTTGTGGCCCCTCGAGAACCTCTTGGCGCCGAAGAAGTCGTTGGGCCTTGGGTCGGACCAGCGATCTATGATGGACGGGGTGAGCTGATCTGGAGCGGCGCCGCACTATTTCGCAATACGATGACCGATGATTTCCGCGTCAGTAACGTTGGCGGGCAGGATCTGATGACGGTCTTACATCAAGAGAAAGGTCAGGGAGTTGTTGTCCGCCCTTCGTATGGCGTGAGAAACGCCATTCGTTTTGGCGATCCGCGAGCGATCAATATTCACGAGTTTCATTTTGTGGACAACGGTGCTCGGGCTCTTATTATCAGAAGCAACAAGACGAGGGCAAGCACCGAAGACTCCCAATCTGTTGGGATAGCTGGAGGCTGTATCGCAGAGTTTGATGGTTTCGAAGAATTCGAGACCAGCACGTGGGAGTCCGTCTTCAGATGGAACTCTTTTGGTCGCATTGGGCTCAATGAAAGCTCCACAGATGACGGCACTGCTATCGAGACAAAATGCGACAGCGGTTGGGACTTCCTACACGCGAATTCCGTGGACAAGGATGATGCTGGAAATTACTATCTAAGCGCTCGCTTCACGGACACAGTCTACAAGATATCGCGGCTGGATGGAAACATCATATGGCGACTAGGAGGCAGCAGATCTGACTTCGATATGGCTGGTTTGAAGTTTTCCGGGCAGCACAGCGTGCGCATAATTGCCTCAAACCATACGCATACGGTTCTCTCCATTCTGGACAACGCAATCAAGGACGAGTTGCAACCGACTCATCCGTACTCCCGAGGACTCCTGCTTTCATTGCGTACAAATACGACGCCAACGACTGTTACGACGCTCGCTGAATATAGCCATCCGCATGGCGTTGGGGCGTATGCACACGCGCGAGGCAATCTCCAAATGCTCCGCGATGGCAACGTCTTCATTGGTTGGTCTAAGCAAGCAGTACACAGCGAACACACGAGCGACGGCAAGCTCATCATGGACGCACAATTGATTCCCGAGTGGCTCGGATCATATCGCAATTACAAGTTCCCCATGGTTGGCCGGCCACACGAGAGGATTGCTGTGGTCGCGCGAACTACTGAAGATGGTACAAATGTTTGGGTGTCTTGGAATGGCGCGACAGAAGTCACTCAGTGGAATTGCTATAAGAACGAGAGGGTTGCTTCTCAAGAGGTCAGGACACTGATTGCTTCAGCAAACAAGACAAGTTTTGAGACGCAGCTGCTAATTGGTGAGGCGGTGGCCAACATCACACTTGAAGCTGTGGCCAGAAATGGTACCGTCCTGGGCAACTCCGCATTTGTTCGAGTTAATCGTGCAGATCAATCGGGGGCCGGGCAGAGCAATGGCGACGCTGGGCGAGCAGAGAGTGCCATATTTTCTGCACGTCGTGTGAGTTGGCTTGTGCGACAGCATCCTTCGACGTTCGTTCTGGCCTTGGTCTTATCATTGCTGTTTATGCATGTGGCTCGGCGAGGGCGGCGTCTGCGTTGGTTGTCGTTCAGGAGTCTTGGGCAAATGAATAGAAGCCAGCCAGCCATGGTGGAAGGGGCATCTCGACAGAATTTGTACATTTGAAGAATTGTTCAAGACAGCATTTATCTACTGCGTCCATTCTATCACGCCACCAGCAATATTAGATTATTGTGTCACGGAGAGACCTGGGCAAAACATCCCGAAGGCACAACAGTGGGTCACTCCCCATGGACCGATGCCATAGACCTCGAAAAGTGACACCTGCGATGTTGTTGGCGGAGGCAAGAACGCGGCCATATGACCTTATTTTGTGGATTGCCATCACTGCAACCACGACGATATTCGTACAAAAATAGCTGTGGCGCTCAATCCCAATCACTGACTACTGCACGACTGCGAACCGATCGAACGCCCTGGCTCCTATGCCGGGCAAATCGCACTTTTCTTTTTATTCCCATCATACTACTGCCAAAGCGGAGCAACAGTCTCAACAGCACGCTCAACCACAGCGCGAACACGGTCTCCCAACGGCTTGACCGCGCACTCAACTTCCAACTTCTCGAGCCAGACTTTCGCGACGCTCTTATCGACTCGGATCTCCACTCCCGGTACAGGAATACCGATGGAGACCAATCGAGCTAGTTCCTGCTGCTGAAGCTTCTCCAGATCAATTTCCTCTGCCTCATTCTCGCCATTGGTCTCTGGCGTTACAATTTTCGGCTTGTTGATCGGGTTGACGGCCTCCTCACCAAATTGTGCCTCGAGGAACATGAAAAGTCTATTCAGCCGCTCCTCTGGAGTTAGGTTTGCGTGAAGATTTCTCTTGCCAGCGATTGCGCTGTTCCCTTGTGGCGCGCCGTGGTTGTGGCTATGAGGTTTTGAGCTCTGCTTGACTGCAGCGGGCGAACTCTCCACTGTCAGCAGAACGGCCATGACAGCATCTGCAATTGCATCGTTGGTGGCATTTCCTTCCCACTCAAGCTCCACGAGTCCGTTCTCTTGGCAAATGACACGCACGCATCCTCCCATGACTTCGAAAATTGTCGCGTGATGCGATGGAAGTTCTTCGTCGGCTTCCTCTTGTTTGCCATTCGCATTGACTTTCCCGTTCGCGCTATTGCGGGTGACGTCTATCGTGCCAAAGGTGCCCTCCAAGGCCCATTTAATCAGATCTGTAGAAGCAGAGGCCAGTGTCAATCGTTGTCGGCAGACGATTGTAGTTGTTGTGAGACCAGCGTATTCCTTCAAGTCCTCAGGTGCCATGAGTGAAAGCTTGAAATCATTCTGCACTAACACTCCAGAGATGACTTGACCCAGAGACGAAGTTTGATCAAACTCCGATTTGGGCTTCTTGACAGCACCTTCCGTCATGTCTTCGTCCTCGTCGCTTGTTGCAGATGGACTTGGTAACATTGTTGGGGGCTGAACAAGGGATGCTAGCCGACCAACAACTCGAGCGACCTTCTCTTGCCGGAAAGGTATTCGCACCTCCTCGCAGTTGGCTGGGGAGTAGACTTTCATCTTGCCGGTTCCTAACAGTCTAGACTTGAGCCTGTTCATATTGTGCTTCTCGCCATGGACAAGGATGACGACAGGAGCAGCGACTTCCTCGATGAACTCTCGATTCTCCTGGCCATCAACGTGGACGGCAAAGTTGAACTCTTGTACCGTGCACCTCCTCGGAATCTGCTGTCTTTCGCCGTCTGGCCCGCCCGCCTTTTTCCCCAACACATTGCCTGCCGAACGATCCATAGTCACGGCAGTGATGTGATCAGGCTCTAGCAGAAGATTCTTGGCCATTGTCCCCTCGACGCTGTATCCCGTGATAATGACACCGTTCTTCTGGTCCGGTGCCCAACGCTCGAGCAGTGCACGCGAAGGACCATTCTGCAACATTCCGGGCGAGGCCAGTACAACACTACCGCCAACATCCTCGAATCGGTCGACACCTTTGAGTGCACGAACGAATTGAAAGTCCCATGGTCCAGCAGTACCGCCCTCTCCGACCGAGGTGCCGGCGGCACTGGCTTGGAATTTGGACTTGATCCTGTCATTCATGTCGTCGACGTATGTCTGATACACAACCATAACCTTCCGGGCAAGACCAGAAGCGTAGTAGATTGGGAACTTTCGATACTCCTCATGCCTCTGCCAGTGGTCCTCCAAGATCAGAAGCAGTTCCTGGGTGTTACCAACAGCAGTTGTAGGCATCAGAACTCTACCGCCGCGGTTCAAGATTGTTGTTATTGACTTGATGAGCGCATTCTCACGCTCTTGCCGAGGAGTCCTGGTACTGATGCCAAAAGTCGACTCGGTAATGAGACAATCGATTTTGACATTTCGGGGCACGGCTGCTGGGATCAAGTGTCGATCATTCTCGCGAGAGTAGTCGCCCGTGAACAGAATGTTGAGCCCGGCGATCTCGATAAGGTACATGCAGGCGCCGAGGACGTGACCAGCAGGGTACGGAGTGAACCGAATGCCATTGTGCGAGTGAGTGGTGTGGAATGAGATGGTTTGTATCATGGGCAGGGTCGAGAGGATGTCTTGTTCGGTGTATAACTGGCTGACATAGCCGTCTGTGCCAGATGTGGATGAAGCTGGAGTATGCGTATTGTGCACACGCACAGCATCTTGGGTCGTCCATTTGTAGATTGCTTTGGTGGGGTGCGTCATATAGACCTTGCCAGCGAAGTTCGTCTTGGATAAGACATAGGGCAGAGAAGCGGAGTGGTCCTGGTGAAAGCTGGGGCAGCTCGTTAGCTTGCACTTCGACTCGCTATCTAGACATGCATATTGCGGGCAGACGGTGCAGGGGGGTGAGGGTCATAAGCAAAGAAAAGAAAGGGCAAGAGGTGGACAGCTGGCATACAATAGCTACAGAATCTACTCTGCTGCTGTAGGATTTGAGTAGTGAGCTCGACGAGATGCGACATCGTAACGCACTGACTTTCCTCCTTGGCCGCCAAGCCATGCGTCCGACTGTAGCCTCACTGTCCAATAAACTGGAATTCACTTACTGTGTGATTAAGAGCAAGTCGACGGTGCTCAGGTCGAACTCATCGTAGAAGGGCAGAGCGCCCAAGCCCTCGTAAGACGGATGAATGCCCGCATCCAGCATGACTGTCTTGCCCTTGTACTGTATGATGTGACAGGATCTGCCCACCTCGTTGCCGCCTCCAAGCGCGAGGAACATGAGCTCATCTGAGGGGTCTACAGGTTCTTCATCCTCCGGCGCCGCATTCATGGCCGAGTGCGCGCGTTTCGTCGCCATGGCCGCAGATCTCGTGCGCGACGCGCAGCGGCGGAAGGGAGGCGGGTGTTGTCAGCCTGTAACAGTGGCGGCGAGCGCGTCACTTGCAGCGGCGCGTACAAAACGATGCGCTCAGGGCCGCAGCCGTCAGTGAGGTGATGAATGTTGATATGATAAGGTGAGGTGGAAGTTCGAGTGAGAAGCTGTGTGGAGAGCCGCATGGGTGAATGCAGCTTTCTCGGCAGTGCCCGGCCGCGCCGCCGCTCAGAGTCAACTCTGCGCACGCTTCTACCGTAACATCGACACGCCAGCAGCACGAATCCGCCTACACCCACCACCGCCGACCGCGCACCGCCCCATCGCGACCGTCCGACGACCCGAGCGCATCTTTTATCGAACGGCGCCGACGAGCAGCGAGCATCTGATGAGAGCAGCAGGAGCAGACGGCCACTGAGGAGGCGTCACCTCGCGTGAGGGAGACAGGACAGGACAGGACTACGACGGCCGCAGCCTGTGCTCCGTCGTGCTTGGCCCCAATCGCCAGTCGCATCCGCCGCGTCTCCTCGCATCGCCAGAGCGCAGGCGACATCCATTTGTGCCAGTTGAGGCGTCGCCGCGATGGCCTATCCGATGCAACCCCAGGCCCCCAAGCAGCCGCCGAACCCATACCCACCCTACGGAGCTCCGCCATCTGCCTCTCCTCCCGCCCAGTCCGCATTCGCCCCGCCTGCTAAGCGACAGCGCCTGTCTCCAGATCCTAGGTCGCCCGCTGGCAACAGTCCGGTGTATGCGCAGTCGCCCGTGTACGGAAATTATGGCCATTCGCCGGTGCAGTCTCCATATGCGCAGCAATATGCATCGCCGCAGGGCTCCTTCAATACGCCCCAGCAGTATTCACCGCCAGCCGGCCAGTGGTCAGCTTCACAGCAACAGCAGTCGCAGTACCAGTCCATCCAGCAGCGGCCGACCCAGATTAGCCCGCCTCCGCCGTCTAGCTCACATCTGATGCCCCCTCCACCCCGACCCAAGGAGGACAAAGATGAGAAGATCGGAGTCGATGATATTGGGGACAGTCTATTCGGCAGCGGCATTAATTTGAAGGACGAGGAGAACTATCTGCACAACACATGGCACAATCGTCATGCGCAGAATGAAAGCTTTCAGACGAATAATTCTACGTCATTCGGCTCAAATGGCTCGAGCGGGAACAATAGCTACGGGTACTTAACCCAAGGCACATCATTTGGCAGCCAAGGGCAGAATGGCGCCTTCGCAGGAACTACCGGCCGGCCACTGTCGCAGGAGGATATCGAGAGCGAAGCACGGAGGAAGCGAGAGCAGGCGGCTAGAAGACAGGCAGAGCAACAGTCCCATCACTTGAACAACCAGTTCCTGTCGGGAAATTGCGTGAGGAAGCGAATGCACCAGCGAGCGATGGAGAATGGTGTGAAACTCGACATTAATGGCGTGTACGTCCGGAATCCGGAACCGCAGCAACAGCCCCAGGTCATGGTGAACGGTGACGGCACGACAGGAATCGCTGTCGTGAAGACTAAGCCGGAAGCCATGATCGAATCGGGTGTTCCATATGAGCACATGCTTACGCTTCTGAGTCTGGCCGCACAGGAGCGCATGCGAGGAGTGGTAGACGAGGCGTACGCTCTGGCACGTGCCCGACGATATGGTGATCATGGTAGAGTAATTCCTGCCGATTTTGCAAGCATCTCCACTGGGCTGGGAAAGCAGAGTCACGAAACCATCGTCCCGGATAGTGTGACCGGTTCGCAATGGGACCGACCTGCGGAAACGCCTCTAGAAGAGAACAACGGCGATGCACAGGTTAATGGGCTAAAGTCTACACCATCACCAGGACCAGTGCAGACTGTTGCATATCAGGGGAGCTTGCATCTCAAGCTACGTGAAATCGCAGCGAAAGACGCGCAAGCAGAGAAAGAACGTCTGAAGAAACGCGAGGCTCGCAAGCGCAAGGCTGAGTCGGGTGAGGGCGCAACTCCCATGGACATTGCTCCTGATACACCCACCGAGGCAGTTGCCCCAGCCGCGCCTAAGATCAGCAAAAAAGAACAGAACAAGAAAGCAAAGGAACAGACGGCCACTACCGTAGCAGCGGCCTTGACTCAATCAAATCAGACGGCTGCCATGATGGCTCTTGGAGGCAAGAAGAACAGGTACTCGTGGATGAACAAACCAGACAGCAAGGATGGGACCACCAACCGCTTCGCCAAGCCTGCCAGTGGAACATCGACACCAAAGCCCCAGTCTGGGCCGCAAAATGGTCCTGCTGAGGCTAAAAAGGTCGAAGAAAAGAAGGCACCCCAGTGGGGCGAATGGCGCGAAGATGATGTCCATGGCAAAGGCGTTGAGCTTCGCGACCTCATCCTCATTCTGGACCGCGACGGCAAGGACAAGCGGACGTTGGCCAAGGCGTTGATGAAACTACCCATCGACTCCAAGTAGGGCTTTCCGAGTCGACTCCGGCGAAGCCTTGGGCGCAAGCCTGTCAGAGCAGCCAGCGGAAGACTCCTTACAGCTTGATGCAGCGGCTGCGTCTCACCTGTTGCCCCTGATACGCCAAGATTGATTCATGGAATATGATGCTCGAGCCCTGGCCTTTGACATCAGGACGCCGACTACGAGGACTTGTAAAGGGTTGGTCACGAGCTTTCAGATGTCCTTTGTTCTCATGACTCTTTTGAAGTTTCTAGCGAGGCGTTGAGGATGGGTGGGATGAAAAGCAGAAAGACTGCTTATGGAGCACAGAGGCTCTTTGTATCTACACTTCGAGACGTTGTCCAAATATTACTTCAACTCCTGAGATGACTGAATGTTGGGAGTCCATGGCACAATTGAATTATGCCATGCTTGAGGTATACGACTGAAAAATGCAAAAAGCGAAACGAAAATACTTCGAGAAACATATAAATTGGTAATACTAGGTGCTCGCTAACCGAAAGATCTATGTCTTACAATAGTACAGTCCACTCCTTCAACGCCACGCCAGTAGTCAGACAGAGGATTCGTAACTTCGTGCTTACAGCGCACAGCACTGTCGTATGCTTCATCGCCTTTCTGTTTTCCGGCCGTCGCATTCACAGTTGCTTATCAAACAAAACGCCGCAGCAAATGCTTGTACCTGTGCCAAAAAGTAGGTGTAATCAGGTTCCCTCTGCACAGCCTCTTTGGATCCTAAATGATGCATACTCAAACAGTTCAGCTCCATCAATTGTTCAGAACAGCCCATTCCAAGACCTCGAGCGCCATGAGCACAAGCAGAAGCGTGCTTGGGAAGATGACGACCACGTAGCTTGCCACGAGCAGACTTGACATCGCACCCATGAAGACATTGTTCAATTGGCAAATTTGAGCCAATTGCAATGCTGAAGGTGCACCTGTGAGCAAAAAGCACACAATGATGAAGATCGGGTCGTCGAGAATCGACACCGGCACAAATTTTGCTGTCAACGCCAAAACGGGAGCCATGATGATCACTGGCATGACCATTCTGCTCAGGAGCGAAGCATAAAGCAGCTTCCGTTCTTCTTTCTTCTCCTCGGGTGTGCTTGCCAGCTGGTCCTGTGGGAGGGTCGATCGAGCGAGATTTGCGCCCAAGACGACCAGAATCAACGGAACGGCCACGTTACCGCTCTGTTGAATAGCACGGGTAACAGAATTGCGGATCAAGGTACCGTCGTGGAAGAAGAGATCCTGCAACTTAGGAATGCTGGCCACAATTAGTGCAGCCAACATTGCCCAGAGTGGAGGATTCATTTGCCTCCATACGCCGGCCCAGAACTTGCTGTTGTAGTAGTGGAACGTCTTCAAGACCTTCTGCATTGGAGTGGGAAGAGCGCGGAAGAGGTTGGTGAAGAATCTTCCGACTGTGGCCCAAAATCGCCTGGCGTAGAGTACAATGGTGTTCTGAACACGGTACAGCGGAGCCTTCCATCCGCCAGACTCATCTGCTGCAGAACGCGAAGATTGTGTTCTCGAAAATTGCGGAAACTGGGTGATGGAGTTGGTCGACACGGAACGAATGCTATCGGCATCTTCACCTCGATTGCGGCGAGGCAGTTTTCGGGGCTCGGTGCTTATGTCGTTGCCATTTGCCGGCGCGGCAGGTACGATTTCGTGTCGCAGGTCTTCGCGCGAAGCTGTCAAGGATGAGCTGGGCGTGCTCTCAGAAGCACTGTTGAAACCAGAATCGCTGCCTCCGATCCCCTTGATCACATTGTCGTGCTCGTCGGTCCAGGGTCCATCCTCAATCAATCGATCTCTCTCTTCATCGTCATCTCCTCGCTCAGATGGAGTGTATGCGTGAGCTGGCTTGAGCAGCACACTGTATCCCCATGTCCATCGTAGAAGCTGGCCCAATTGTTGAAAAATCAACAGATACAGGATGCCTCTTGCTCCCACTTCATTGTCATTGTCACCCGGTATCCGATCCCAGTGTAAGCCGCTGATAGTCTTGCTCAGACTGAGCACCAGGGATATGGGCAACGAGTTGGAATTGCCAAAGACGCCCATTGCCAGCACAAAGTTCTTCTGCATCTTCTTATCCTTCTTTCCAAAGCCAAAGAGGCGAGCCATTATCTGTGCCGATATGTACGACACTAATGTCTGTACCACGAAAATGAACGGAATGACGGCGAGGTCCGCAAGCTTATCGGCATTTAGCTGACTTGCCAGTTTGGTGAAGATGAGGCATGGTGTAAAGACCATGGTGTTCAGCTCGGCCAAGAATTTCTGACTGTTGGCATCGAACATGCCCGTAATTGCCACCAGGTATCCGGGTAGGGCGACAAATACGACTTCCAGCACTGCTTCTGACACCAGGCCGGCCAAGTGCAGGAAGTTGGGATGCGACTCATGGGCGGTGGATGTGATGGCGTCCATGGTGATGTTGGCAGCAGCGTCCCATATCGGATAGCTCGCTGGCATCGATTGGTCCGTCACTGTGCGCCGTTGCTTGAAGGCGACAAGAGAAGCGCTGGCGAGTTCGCGCAATCGGAAGGATTTGGGAGTGTCGAAGAGCATGGCGGGCGACGGTCAATAGGGCGGCTGGCTGTGGGTCGGATGGGCGGCGGCGAGCCGGAGTGGCTTTGTGCGGTGTGCGCGCGCTGCTTTGTCCTCACGAAGATGAGGCAATGGGCGAGAAAGCGAGCGTGAAGACGTGTAGCGGCAGCTGGCGCTAACTAGGAAGCTTCGAAAGTGTTCCCGGCACGCTTCACGCGGCCCACGTGGCGGTGGTCGACATGTTCAACAGGATGTAGGCGGGCAATGGGGCAGGTAGATGGCAGAAGTAGTCGGGGGAGGAGGAGAGGGCGGATTCGGAGAATGTCGCTGGGTGCAGGGCGGTGTTGTCGCAGTCTAGTCGCGCTTGGCTTCATCACCTCATGGTCTTGGCTGCTTGCCCCAACCCTGCTTGAGGTGCACATCTGCAGACCACAGGCAAAAGTTTAAACGATGCTCGCGCCTCACCTCGCTGCCGCGCCTTTCCACGTTGCCGGTACAGTATTTAACCTTAGGCCGCGAGCCCCAGCCAGACCCAACTGTTCCACACATGTGTTGATGACCTCTTTCTTGTCTGCAATATCGTCCCATTCACTCATGCATGGCCTGAAAGACACTGCGCCCTCTGCTCCGTTTATTGTCGGACATATGGCGGCGAGTGGCTCCCACAATCAGCTGCCTATCAGAAGCTGTGTGACGAGTAGCGACCCAGCGTTATCGCTGTGCTGTCCATCATGATGGCCATCCGCATCAGTGGACTGTGCCAAGCGGTGATGCAAATGCTCCAGCGAGCACTGGCGCTACAGTAGTCCATGTTTCCACGCTGAGCCGATGCTGTGCTGCAATGCGATCAATGGCGCGCACAGGCAAGCCACAGCGGAAGCAGTCTCGAATACTTCATCAACGCCCGGCTCTTTTGCACGCGGGAATGTGCGATGCAGGCCTGCGTTGCGCAACTATGATGACTTGCTTTCGCGCTCGCACCGCCCTGTTTCCCCCGCTCGTCTCTGCCTTCCGCTCCGGAGTGTCGATGTCCTCGGCTCCATTTCCGTTCCGCCATCGAAGTCTACATGTACTTTCCACTGCACCTGTGAACACAAATCCTATTCCCTCTGCGCCACACTGCCGATCGTGGCTCTGATCCGTATCCCGCCAAATCGCACGCACGCGTGAACAACCTTCGTCTGCGTGTCCCTACCCAGCACCACCGCCGCTGCTGTTGAGCGGGCCACGGCTGCCTGACGCCTGCAGAGCCTGCGACCGGAGCGCATCCACCTCCGCCCGCCAACCGTCACGATCATCGAGAACCGCGTGGGCTCCGCAGCCAACCAACCACATTGACCATGTCGTCAGAACCAGAGTCACCACTCAACTCTCCCTCGCCGCCCACCTCGCCCGATGAGCTCAACTCTCCGCTCACCAGTCCTGACCCAACACGAGTGACCTCGCCAACAGTGCAACGGATGCAGTCGGACACGAGCGTGCCGTCCAGCATGGCCAACATGACTGCTTCTTCCACCGCGCGGGGCCAGCTGGACGCAGCACGTAGACCGGCGGGAGCGACATTCGCGAGAGGGAATCCACCTACCATGAATCCTGATATTGCCGCGCGTATGAAAGCCTTCACGCTCAATAGGCAAGGCCCAGCTACGCCGCAGCCCGATCGCAGCCCCATCAGTCCGCCTTCGGCTGGTCAAGCAACCCCGGGAGGATTTCCCTCGAACTTCAGACTACCGCCTGGAATGCAACGACCCTCTCCAGCACCAATGCACTCCTCGCCTGCCGTCACGGGAGCTAGTAAGCCCATGTCTCTGGCTGAGAAGCGAGGTTTGAAGCTGCCTGGAGGCCTACCTGGCTCTGGTCCTGCTCCTGGCGGTCCAGGTGCTCCTGCCGGCAGGCAAAGGCCACCAGGAATGACCCTCTCTAGCATGGGTGGTGGTGCTCCGAATGGTGACGCTTCTGGTCAGCAACCCGCGAAGCCCGAGACCGCTATGGATAAATATGCGGATATGATCGACACCAAGACTGGAGCGCTCAGGTTCAAGGGAAAGGCAACGGTGCACGGTGGGGGCATTGACTTCACGTCAGGCAAAAGCTTTAGCATCAGTCTGGATGAGGTGGACACCCTTGATGAGCTCGGGAAAGGCAATTATGGTACGGTCTACAAAGTGCGACATGCAAGACCGAAATTCAGAAAGACTGGCCAAGGGCTGGCAGGCAACAAAGCTCGTGGACCCCTCACAGAAGAAGAGCAAACTCCAACATCGCCTACACGGCCCAGTAACGCCAGTACGACTCCCACCAACGCTACAGCTCAGCAAGCGTATGGAAGAGGCGGGACAACTGGCATCGTCATGGCTATGAAGGAAATGCGTCTCGAACTGGACGATGCAAAATTCCAGTCTATCATCATGGAATTGGACATCTTGCATCGATGCGTTTCACCCTATATCGTGGATTTCTATGGCGCCTTTTTCCAGGAAGGTGCTGTATACATATGTATGGAATTCATGGACGGCGGCAGTTGCGACAAAATATATGGAGATGGTGTTCCGGAGGGTGTATTGAGAAAGATCACGTACTGTACGACGCTCGGCCTGAAATCGCTCAAAGAAGAACACAACATTATCCATCGCGATGTGAAACCTACGAACATCCTTATGAACACGAGAGGACAGGTCAAAATCTGCGACTTTGGCGTGAGCGGGAACTTGGTGGCGAGTATAGCCAAGACGAATATTGGTTGCCAGTCCTACATGGCACCGGAGAGAATATCAAGTGGTGGCGGCGGCGCGCCAGGAGGCGCTGTCGGAACATACAGTGTGCAGTCTGACATCTGGTCACTGGGTTTGACGATCATTGAGTGTGCTCTGGGACGATACCCGTATCCACCAGAGACGTACGACAACATTTTCTCGCAACTCGCTGTAAGTATCAGGGGCTTCACAAGAAGGGTGACACGACTGACAATTAACACAGGCAATTGTGGATGGTGAACCACCTGACCTGCCTGCAGACACCTTTTCGGAGGCTGCACGAGATTTCGTGGCAGGCTGTTTGAACAAGATTCCCAATCTCCGTCCGACATATCCTATGCTCCTACAACACGCCTGGCTGGCTCCTCTTGTGAAGCCTGAGACCATTACAGAAGAAGATGAAGATGCGGAAGCGGCTGCAGAAGCGGCGGCGGCAGCTGGCGAAGATGTTCCCGAGCCAAGCTCCCAGCTTTCGAGTGTACCTGCGGAGGACGACGGTGGCTTCGTCGATCGCGAAGTGGGCGAATGGGTGATTGATGCATTACGGAAGAAGAAAGAGGGCACGCTGGGGCAGCACGCCAAACCTGCTCTTCACGCCGCACCTCTGGACGCAACTGCCAGCCGGTAGTGCGAGCCTGAGCAGTGAAGACTAACGGCAGTTGTTCTGTTTTGATTCTCTTTTCTGCATCCATGATTGTTCCAAGTTCAGCGGAAAGGACGCTGGTTCGTTGCGAGTACGCAATTTGGTTTTGTTAGAGTCGATATTACATGGCAGAAAGCGATACAGTAGCATGGGATGGCATGGCGGGCAGATGGCTGGGTGATGCGTATGTATAGATGGGATATCTGGGCAGCCTGCGAAGACACAGTGTAGAAGAACAAACAATAAAGAGACCTGAGATGAAGGGAAGCATTTCGCGAAGCAATCTCATACTGGGTTTTAACATGGCTCGCATAATTCGTCTTCATCCCAAATATTCAGCGAGCAAGGAGTCCATTCGCTTGTTCTGTGACTGTACAATATCGCTGGCTGACCGTATCGTGAGTCCTACTCCATAAACACAACACAATCATGCCAGCATGCGTCGATAGAGTGCTTCCGAATTCCGACAAGCATGAGTCTCTCGCCAGTAAGGTGTTGTCATGGCGTGAGCATGTCGTTGTGTATGGAGACACAACGGAGGGGACCTGCAGTGCTCTGCGGGTTCACGTCATGCTTAGTCATGCACGTGGGGCTCGATTTCCAGGTTCGAGGGCGTGGAAGTTGCTGGCGGATTCTCCATACGTCGGGCACGAACCCGCCAGCATCGTCCAGTAGGATTGAGCAACTTCCACGTCTTTGGGCCGAAAGGCATATCTTTGCATCCTCTGTGACTGTTCCCATCCCATCTTTCAACTTTTGCCCGAGCACACACGGAACGTAGACTCACACTGCTGCGAGCTCACAAGAGCAATACTCGATACTCGAGACCTTCGATTCTCCTACACCACTTCTGACTTCCTGGTTTTCAACACACTACCGCCAACATGGCGAGCAACATGTCCTTTACAGATCGTGCGACCCAAGCGTTAGCAGAGGCACAGGATCTAGCACAACAATACCAACATTCGCAATTAATGCCTCTGCATCTTGCAGTTGCACTCATCGACCCGCAACCAGACCAGTCGAAAGACCAGCAAACAAACAACTCACACGCATCACATGCTGCCAGCTCAGCACCTTTGTTCAAACAGGTCATTGAGCGGGCACATGGTGATCCACAATTGGCTGAGCGAGCACTGAAAAAGTCTCTGGTACGGATACCCTCACAGGACCCGCCGCCAGAGAATATCAGCGTAGCGCCAGCTTTCTCGAAAGTCTTACGGAGCGCGAACGAGCTTTCAAAAACACAAAAAGACTCCTACATCGCTGTCGACCACTTAATACAATGTCTGGTGCAAGACACAACGATACAGAAATGTCTCGCCGAAGCGAACATCCCCAACACCAAGCTTGTCGACCAAGCCATTCAACAAATTCGAGGAACGAAGCGAGTTGACAGCAAGACTGCAGATGCTGAGGAGGAAAACGAAAACTTGAAGAAGTTCACAATCGACATGACGGCAATGGCACGCGACGGCAAGATTGATCCTGTCATTGGCCGTGAAGAGGAAATCAGACGAGTGATTCGGATCCTCTCGCGAAGGACGAAGAACAACCCAGTACTTATTGGCGAGCCTGGTGTCGGCAAAACAACAGTCGTCGAAGGTCTGGCACGCCGAATTGTCGATGCCGATGTGCCAGCAGGACTTGCAGCCTGCAAGCTCCTCTCGCTCGATGTTGGTGCGCTTGTCGCCGGGTCTAAGTACCGTGGTGAGTTCGAAGAGCGCATGAAGGGTGTTCTGAAAGAGATCGAGGATAGCAAGGAGATGATTGTCCTTTTCGTGGACGAGATCCATCTGCTCATGGGAGCTGGTAGCTCAGGCGAGGGTGGTATGGATGCGGCAAACCTGCTCAAACCTATGCTTGCTCGAGGACAACTTCACTGCATTGGTGCCACGACACTCGCCGAATACCGAAAATACATTGAAAAGGATCAGGCGTTCGAGCGTCGTTTCCAACAAGTTATGGTCAAGGAACCCTCAGTGGCCGAGACAATCTCCATCCTGCGTGGCCTCAAGGAGAAATACGAAGTGCATCACGGTGTCACGATCCAGGATGGTGCAATCATAGCTGCGGCCACATTGGCAGCTCGCTACCTCACTCAACGCAGACTGCCCGACTCAGCTGTCGACTTGGTCGATGAAGCTGCAGCCGCGGTCCGCGTAGAACGCGAGTCTCAACCCGAGGTTCTCGACAACATGGAGCGTAAACTGCGCCAGCTGGAAATCGAGATCCACGCACTTGATCGCGAAAAGGATGAAGCGTCACAATCACGCTTGAGGGAGGCTCGAGCCGAGAAGGCCAACATTGAAGAAGAGCTCAAGCCACTTCGCGAAATGTACGAAACCGAAAAGAAGCGATCAAAGGAGATTCAAGAACAAAAGATCAAACTTGACTCGCTTCGCAACAAGCTCGAGGAGGCCGAACGAACACGGGACCTGCAATCTGCTTCGGACATCAAATTCTATGCCATTCCAGACACTGAGAAGCGCATCCGAGAGCTGGAGGCACAGAAGAAGCAAGCAGAGGAAGAGGAGGCTGCTCGTCGCGGCGCGGCTGGCGATACTAATGCTCTTGTTGCCGACGCAGTGGGACCGGATCAGATCAACGAAATCGTCGGGCGCTGGACGGGCATTCCAGTCACGAGACTTCGAACCACCGAGAAAGAGAAGCTCCTACACATGGAAAAGGTTCTGGGCGACCAAGTGGTCGGCCAGAAGGAGGCAGTCACGTCCGTTGCGAACGCCATTCGATTGCAACGCTCTGGTCTCGCCAATCCTGGTCAGCCGCCGTCATTCCTCTTCTGTGGTCCCTCCGGTACAGGCAAGACGTTGCTCACAAAGGCCCTGGCGGAATTCCTGTTCGACGACCCCAAGTCCATGATTCGATTCGACATGTCCGAATATCAAGAACGACACTCGCTCTCACGCATGATCGGCGCACCTCCAGGATATGTCGGACATGATGCAGGCGGTCAACTCACGGAGGCTCTTCGTCGCAGACCATTCAGCATTCTTCTCTTTGACGAGGTCGAAAAGGCCGCCAAGGAAGTCCTCACCGTCCTCCTGCAGCTCATGGACGATGGTCGTATCACCGATGGCCAAGGACGCATCATCGACGCCAAGAACTGTATCGTCGTGATGACATCCAACTTGGGTGCTGAGTACCTGGCTCGACCGAATGCAGCTGATGGCAAAATTGATCCAACGACCAAGGAGCTTGTCATGACAGCCTTGAGAAACTACTTCCTACCAGAGTTCCTCAATCGTATCTCCAGCATCGTCATCTTTAACCGCCTCACTAAGAGGGAGATTCGCAGGATTGTCGATGTCAGATTACAGGAGATTCAAAAGCGGCTGCAGACCAATGGTCGCAACGTGCGCATCGACTTGTCGGACGAAGTCAAAGACTACCTTGGAGCGGCAGGATATTCACCCGCCTACGGTGCCAGGCCGCTCGCGCGACTCATCGAGAAGGAGGTCCTCAACCGGCTGGCCGTGCTTATCCTTCGTGGCTCAATCAGGGATGGCGAAACTGCGCGAGTGGAGCTTGAAGATGGACACATTGTCGTCCTCCCCAACCACGGCGAGAGTGAGGCTTCTGAAGACGAAGAGATGTGGGATAGTGAAGACGATGCCGTTCAAGAGCTAACGAACGGCGATGGGGAGATGGATTTATACGATGACTAAAGCATTGCATGAGTGAGGACGGATAAAAGGCGTTGGCTGAACTGAACAGCGTTCTAGCGATGGGTTTCATGGAATACGGTTAACGAATTATGGTAATGGCAACGCACCTAGTAGATAGACCATCGAAAGTATGAATTGATGCTTTACTTCCAGCGAATGTGCCGAGTTACAAGTTTCGCGCCTATGATCATAGTGTCTCAGATATGCATCGAGTAGACATGGGACTCTCGTGGCCTTTGAGCCTGGGCGAACCATTGCTTAGTGCGAACATGTTGATTGAACGGTAGTTTGTGCAAAGGAACAATGGCAAGCGGCGGACAGCGACACGTTGCGCGAAGGGTGCGTGCGTGGGTGTTGCGCAAGCACCACACGACGACGGCCCAGAATAGCAATGCTTGGCCGAAGCGAGCCGCATCAGGCGAGGCCTCCTGGCGGTCTGATCGGCGTCTGGAGAATGTCGCGCGTCCAGCATCACGACCAGCACCGCTGCTTCAGCGCCCCAACGCCCGCCGCTGCTGAACGTCGCCCGCCCACCGCAGTATCACTATCACACCACCCCGTCGTGTCATCGCCTCGCGTCGGCAACAGGCATCTGCAGCGCACGCAAGACAGCTTTTGTGACCACTCTCTCCGCCTGGGCAGGGAGGCTGCTAAGCTTCGGCAAATCCGCCCGCGCGACTCGACAGAGGACACGTCCTCCAGCCCTCTCAACACCCCATCCCTGGCTCCACACCCAAAACGCCTGATTTCGCCCTCGACGACCACGCCAGCTGGATCGCATAACACCGAAACCCACCTCTCCATCACTACCACCCGGGCCATGGTTGCCCCGTGACCTCTGCACCGATTCACCGAGGAGCCCGCATTTCGCCAGCCCGCCCAAGTCTGCGAGCCACTTTCTGCCAAAGGGCGCTGCGCCCCACGACTCTTCTGCTCCCATACAACCCATAATCCCATAATACACCGCCGGGGCCATGTTAGAAGACAAGTACGTCGGCCTGCTGCTCGCCGTGACATCGACGCTGGGCATCGGCGCATCGTTCGTCATCACCAAAAAAGGCCTTAATGCGGCTGCGCAAAAGCATGGATTCGAGGGCGATGGATTCGCATATCTCAAGAACCCCATATGGTGGGGAGGCATCATTACCATGGTCATTGGAGAAGTGTGCAATTTCTCCGCATATGCTTTTGCGCCAGCGATTCTGGTCACCCCTCTTGGAGCCCTCAGTGTCTTGATCGGAGCGGTTCTGGGCAGCTATTTCTTGGACGAGAGGCTAGGAGTGTTGGGGAGAGTTGGATGCGCGATATGTCTGATTGGCAGTGTGGTTATTGTGCTGCATGCGCCTCCGGACCGGGAACTCAAGAATATCGATGAATTATTGCATTATGCTATGCAATTGGGTACGTGCGCAGAGGTGGCTTGAACTGGAGTATGCGAAGTGGTGGGCTAACGAGTCAACAGGCTTCCTAACGTATTGCTTGATCGTTACCATCTTTGCGCTGGTCATGATCTATAAAGTCGCTCCAGTGTATGGCAAGAAGAACCCAATGGTTTATATCAGCATCTGCTCTACTGTGGGATCGATATCCATCATGGCCATCAAAGGCTTTGGAATTGCGCTGAAACTCACACTGGGCGGCAACAACCAATTTTCGCATCCCTCGACCTACGTCTTTGCGATCGTCGTGGTGGTGTGTATTCTTACACAGATGAATTATTTCAACAAGGCGCTGGCGACTTACAGTACGAACATGTGAGTTTCGTGGGATATTTAATCGAGTGCTCCAATCGCTGACTTTTGCCAGTGTTAACCCGCTATACTACGTGACATTTACGACCTGCACGCTGACGGCCTCGTTCATCATGTTCCGCGGCTTCAATACCTCGGACGCCGTAAACACAATCTCCCTCCTCTGCGGCTTCCTCACGATCTTCACCGGCGTCTACCTCCTCAATCTCTCACGCGAAGATCCGGACGGCATCAATGCAGGCATAAAACCCGCTCGGGACGGTCGAGGCGAATACCACGATGTAGACGGGATCCCCACAGATGGCCTCACAGGACTACAAACGCGATTAAGCATGCAAAGTCGAAGGAGTGGAGAGCACAGAAGGTCAAATAGCTGGAGCTTAAGAAGCCCATCAATACCGACGCGGGCCGAATTTGGCCATGCAAACGGAGGGCGAGGGGAACAACAGCACATGTTGCATTCATACGACATAGAAGCAAACGCGCTAGGGGACCTAGCAGAGGACAGCGACGAAGATACGACGAACGGGTCGAATCAAAAACGAACGAGTTTTGATAATGGGAGAACACCGAATGGGGAGACGACAAGTCTTTTCAATCAGCCCAGGAAACCTTCGGGTGGGAATGTGAATTTAGCGTCTGGGAAAGGGTTTGATCCGAAGCGGTAACATTGAGAGAAGAGGAGGGAATTGCAAGTTCAAGGAAAGGAAAGGAATAATTGAACAAGAACTTTTCGCATTTTGGCCAGGCAGTTGTCCAGCATATCACGCGCAGAGAGCACGCGCGCACGCGCAGCGCGAGGGGTGGTTTGTGGGTCTGATGATCGGGGAACGGGTTTGCTGCCTGCTCAATTGTGCAGTCGCAAAAGATCTGCGCATGACGATATCCGTGTCTCACTTAAGCCGGTCAGCGAGAACAGGAGAAGGTGTCCATGGCTCGCGAAGGCGGTGAGAGAATGAAGCAGCAGCGGCGGCAGCATGGAGATCCACGGGCAACCAGAAGAAGCCGAGACTTACTGTACAGGGCGTTCATCATGGCGTTTCAAAGTCGCGCGGATGGGCATTGGGAATGGAGAAGAAGGACACCAACAAGAAGAGAAGAGATATATCTTCACTACTACAGAGCAGCGTGCCAGGAGATTAAAGCACGTGCAAGCCACAAAAGGTCAATGACCGAGACGGACTTCACGAAGAGGCGTTGGAAGACCAATTTTTCGGTTTCTTGTTTCGTTCCCTTCTCGTTGCATATATCTGCAAGAATACTTGGAATCAGCAAGTGCGATGACATTCGCGCTACCAGCGAACCTCGATCGAAATATATTTGACTCTTTCGATCGCTTCGGCTACATTGGTAGTTGGGCAAATTTATTTGCAGTTTCGATAGTCGCAATCGCTTTCCGCCGATCCTTCCATCGTTTCTTCTCCCGATCCTGTCTGATTCGTCCACCCACACAGCGGACCTTTCTATGCACGCAAGCACGTGCGCCCTGGCCGTTGTTCTTGTTTACGGCGGGCATGTCAGACATTACTTCATGATGATAATGTACAGGTTTTCGCTAAATCCAACGCGTCGCTCAGATGCTGATGTACGCCCACAATGCAGTATGCCGATAAGAAAAATCCCTTTTTGTGCTCGCTTCAAGTGATGCTGCTGCTAAGAAATCCGAGTTCGCTGAAAATGGCCTCGGCCATTGATCCTTCGTCATCCCGCGCGATGGATGGCAGTGGAAGCGATGGCGTATCTTCCTCTGAGGCTCGTCTAGAGTGATCTGTGATCGTCTTCGCGAGGGACTGGTTGCTGTCTGATAATATGCTTGGTAAAGAATAGTTGAGACCGAAAGGTGGTCTCAGTCTGGCCAAACCTCTTTCGAAGAGACTTGGTCGGCGTCTCAGATCGCTTTCGTCAAGCATCGCGGACGCCTCATCAGGATCATCTCCAGCACTGATGTTGTACGAGTACCCGAAGTCGCGGTCGTCGTGTGATGACAGCTGAAATGGCGTGTTGTGGCCGCCAGTGCTCACGGTGCTTGCCGTGAATGTTGGAGATGAAAGCTCGTCTATCGCGGAACAGCCGTCAATGCTTTCGGGAGCACTATTGCTCTTTTGCGCATGATCCGGTTGGTCGTGAGCGTTCGAAGGCAAGAATGTTGCCGATAAGGGTGATGCTGCTGGACTTCCGTCGCTGAGGTTCGAATTCGGGATCGAATACGTTCGTGGCTGGTATACATCGTCACTCTCGTTCACACTCGTTCCTGGTCGCGACCCATAGAATTGGACATTCTGCACTGAGGCCGGGCCGCAGCTCAAGGTGGAGTCCCGTCGTCGTCTGCTTAAGGCGTTCGTGCCATGTGATGCTCGAGAGCGAGCGGGTTGGATTGGTTGAGCGTTGCTTGAAGCGAAGAGAGCCGCTCCCAACGCTTCCATTGATCCGAGGGGCGCAGCATATGCTTCGGGATACTCATAGCATGAAGACGCTTTCGATTGCGGCGTGGATCGTTGAGCTTGGCCGTCAGCCTTGTCGTCGCTCGCCGTTCTGCTGGCAACGGTCGGAGATGGGTCCAGCGGATCAAGCTTTGAGCTGCCAGCGTCCTCGAACGACTTATGCGACAATGCTTTGGCAGAGTCTCTGGTCGCGGGAGACACTGGCCGGGACTCTGGGGCACCTTCACGGGAGTGTGTCGCGGATATCGGAGAGACTGCTCGTTCGACAGTGATCCGTAGTTGTCCTTCGAGTCGCCCATCCAGTTGATCATCAGACATGCATCGAGAGTGCACCTTCGATATGGGCGGACGCTCCACATGTGCATATTTGTCGGCGGGATCCAGAGTCTTGCGTTCAGTGAAATCTGTGAGACTACCGACAATGTCGTACCCACAAGCACTGTGGCTCCTCGAAGGCGGCTCTTGCACCTCGCAGGGCACTTCCATCACGTTGACGGCTTGCCCGGGCAGGAGCGGACAACCGGTCGTGTTGGGTAGCCGGTCGTCGAAGGCATCGTTGGCATAGTCGAGGCGATAGTAGTACCAGTAGGTCGAACCTTGCTTCAAGCCTCCGGTTCGTGGTTTGTCTCGTAGCACCACCTCGCCGTCGAAGATGATATTCTCGAACTTGAAGCAACCCGTGTAGAAGTCGGAGCCTCGTAAGCGGTCGTGGTGCATGCGATATGGCACTTCGAAGTTGTCCCACGAGCCGAGCAGCTCAACGATTTTGACGTCCGGAGGGGCTCTGAACATGAAAGTGACCAAGGTGGTGGGATCCATGGCGATGATCTTGGCCCAAAGCGGAAGGAAGTCAACAGTCGCGAGCTGCTCCGGGGAGGCAGTGGTGAGGGAGGAGGCCAGCGGACGTTGCAAGTGCAACTGCAACAAAACGATGTTAACAGGCCATGAGGGCGTGCAGAGCAGAGTCAGGCCGGGTCGTCAGTGTCAGTGGTGAGAACGTGCACTGCATGCGCTGGTCCCAGCACAGGAGGCCGGGGCGTCAATGAGAGATTTGCGGCTCGCGCCAACGGCTGCGCAGCAGATCGCCTCCAGACTTTGGGGATCTCACAGCAGCGGGAGAGGCGTCGGCGTGAAGACGGGCGATGGTGCAAGAGGGCGCTGGCCTTCCCCTGAAGCAGAAGGAGAGAGGAGCGAGGCGCCCGGGAGCGATCTCTGCGCGCTTCATATCCGCAGCCCTGGAGCGTGGTCGTGCCCGCCGATAGTCCAGCAATATTGATACCGCATCGCGCCCAGCAACCACACGCTCTCCGCCGCAGAGTTCATCATCCATCATCATCACGGTGGAAGGATGTGGGGGCGTGCGCGCTCGTGCAAATCATGCCAACTTTTTCGCCGAAACATCCTGGATTTCCAGCGGCCGCTGCGCTACGCGTGATGGTTCTGCAACTGTGCCACGGCGCCTCGCTGCCACCACGGCCGTCCAGCTGCGTCTGCGCTGCACTGCAGTCAGCACGCCGTCGAGTCGCACGCCGGCGATGGCTGTCAGACAGAGTTCAACGCGCGCATCTCGTCCGTCTCGTGGCGAGCGTCGCGAAACAAACAAACCGCGCGACCCCTCGTCCAACCCTCGTCGGATACCGCCCGGATCCTCGACGGCAGCGGAGGGCGCGCCAGGCACACGACGCCCGTGGTTGGTGAGAGCCCCATGCTTGTCGCTCGCCTGTGCGATCCCGGTCAAAAGTGCTCCTTCGCCTGCTCTCAATCTCGGCCGTCGGCTTCGACTCTGCCCTCTCCTATTCGCTGGACCAAGCGCTTGCATGTGCCGGAGCGAAGACGACATCTCTCGTCTTCAGCGGTTCCCCTCAAATGCGAAGCGCCTTGCCCACGTTGTCAGACGTCGTACCAAGGAACGCCCCCGGACTTATGCAGCAGCGACGACGAGGTCTGGCCTCCGACATTGCGTGGCTTCACACGCTCGACAGGACGTCCGATGCTCTAGAATGTGACGAGTCTGCCGTTTGTGAAGCACGCACGAACCCTCTAAAGTTTCACCTGTCGGGACAACCATGTCTGCAATTCGCTGCGCCGAACTGTCACGATTTTCGTCATCAGCGGATCCTGGCTTGAACACGAGTTACATTGGAGCAATGGCCGTCGGCAGCCAATGTTTCAAAGCTACTTCACACACTACTCAAACTGGACCTTGCACTTCATGTTGACTGGACGAGCAATGACTACATGAGGAAATCACTCGCTGCGTTACGACTTCTCTCGTTGGAACACGCCTCGATCTTGACCGCGTCAAGAATGACCTCGAATCCATTCTTCCTAGGCTGTACCCTCAGTCGCCATTGCGCCTTGCTCACAACCCAATTGGTTGCTTGGCTAGCATTTGCGTTCACGTCCTGCCTCACTTTCCTGGCGTTTGCCGCTGGCCGCTGTGCATCGTCGACATCCATTTCATCGACAGTATCGATCTGGTTGCCGATCGCTTGTCGGTGACCATTAACAACGACGTCAGCGTCTGGCCCAATGTGCATTTTGATCGTGCTGTGAGCCGGAGCACTATGCTGCGATTGGTTCTTGATGCCATTGTAGGCTCCAGTTCGCCCTGTCGCTATCGGCTCAACGGGCTGAATATGAGGTAGTTTCACCTTCTCTGCTATTGCACAAAGCAGACGCCCAAGAATGATCGTTGTTTCGTTATGTAATGTCACTCGAGCCATGCGAGCATTTGTTGTTGACGAGGCTGCAGGTTCTAGCTCCACGGTCGTGCTTTCTTCTCCACTTACCTCGACAATGAGAATATGGGCTTCTGTGTCAACGTAGGGCCGCTGGTAGCAGACCCAGCCTGGAATTGCAGCAGCTCCGCCAGCACCACAATCTGACACGACGCCGACGCCGTTCTTGTGAACATCCTGTAGTCTTAGCAGGATCTCGCTTTTCTGACGTCTCAGATTGAAAGCAATGCGGTGAGGGATCAGACGCTGTTCCAGCCCCTTCAAATGATAGTACCTTGCATCTCGAAGGAGTTCGGCTCTGTGCTCCTCGTCCCTGATGTGAAGGTCATACCCTTGAAGTAGATGTAACAGGTCCAAGAACACTCGAGCCGAGCGCGTGGGAACACTGGGAGGTAACAGACTGGGAGGTCGAATTAGTGACTGTTGCGAAAGACCAGGTAGCCTGTCTGTCGGCGTGGAGAAAAAGCTCGAAAATCCCAGAGAGAAATAATTTGGCGAATCGCCCGGGTTGCTGAACAAGTCCTTTGGAATCCGAAATTCTTGCTCTCCTACACGAACATATATTGTCGAAGCAAACAGCTGTGCCGTGAGCCGTGGCAGGCTGAAGAATTGTGCATCGGCGAATAACTTGACAAAGTGCGCGCCGTCTCGTGGTTCAATGTGATAGCCCTGTAAATGTAACGAAATGTCTTCGAAGGTTTTAGGGTCTCGGTCGATGTATAGCGTGCGGCAGCTTTCGGCTCCTTCGTTGTTCTTCATCTGCTCTTCGAAGAATTGGGAGAAGTAGGAAGGTGCATCGCTGGAAATGCTGGCGCCTGAGAGGCGGAATAGTTTGTCGCCTATTTGGATGGGAAATACTTTGCGAGCGGGAAGGACCATGGTGATACTGGGGTCGATGAAGGTTTGTTGTTGATGATTGATTGAGCTTGTACTGCCTTCCGTTGGATGTTGTTGGGACTGATGGAACGGTGCACTGCTGTACATAAATTCTTGGTCCGAAGTCGACATGTCCCGGTGGGCTCGTTTCGGTGGAGCTGATTCAAGATCCTCTTCGTGATCTCGTTCTGATGGTAGAGTGTTTAATGCAGTCTCCGTAGGTCCTTGAAGTGCCGTAGCAGGATTGGCGCCAGCTGCCTGCCCGTGAGTCGTGTAATGGCCGCGAGAGCTGGAGATGGGGTGAGGAATACTGATTTCAGGATCGTCTGTACTTCGACCTGCGTGCTGTATGAGCTCGCCTTGGGGTTCGTAGTAAAACAGCGACGATGAGTTCTTGCTGGGCAAAGGATATTCTTCCTGTCGGATGCTTCCTTGCCCTGGTGCTGAGCTGCTCGCTTGTGAGTCGACTGCCCGCGATAATGTTTCTGCTCCTGTAGTGTCGGTGCTGTCGCCTCTAGCACTGCTATGCTCAACGGCATAGCCATCATTATGTACCCGTGCGGGCTCGCTATCGTCCGAATTCACCATCCTGGGCATATTCTGATTACTGTCCAAACCGAAGCTGCTTCTGGCACAATCTTGCACCCATGGCTTGTAGACCGACACACAAGTGTCAGCCACAGACTGTTGCTGCCAAATGTGATCGAAGATGGAGTGTAGTTGCAGCGCGGTCCATTTGACATTCCCACTGCTGATTCGTAACTCCAGCGCATAATGGGTCAGTAAGCACTCGTATTGTAGGCTAAATCCAGCAATGCATTAGTGTTCTTCTCGTGTCGTCTGTGGGGGAATCAGATACGGCGAAAATATGGAGTAATTAGTCTGCTTTCGATGTCGCTTCTCGTCGTTTGCAGGCTAAATACCGCAAGCTGTGCTGGGTTCACATCGGGTTCATGTTGGGTGTGATCATTAAGCTCGCAGCTCATTGCGCCACGCGCATTCCCAATGCATTTGGCGGTCAATTTGAATATTAGTCGCAGTTTCGAAAAGACGGAGCTGAGTTCGTGCTGCTAGCATAGTCCGAGTGCGTCTGCAGACATTGGACTTAGCGCCAACAAAACATCGCGAGGGTATCTAGGTATTGAGGTGCGCCATCCAAGGTGCACTTTACTTCCTGGCATCCATCATCGGCTGGAATTTCTCACCCGTGACTTCTTCGATCTTCTTGATAGAAGCAAGATAACCTGGATGCTCTTCATATCGCTTGATCAGCGCTGTCAATTTGGGAAACTTCGTGGAGTCGATCTTGCTCTTTCCTGCAATGAGTGGAAAGCTCATGAGGATATCGGCAGCGGTCAAGTCTTTTCCAGTCAGCCATTGGCCTCCGTTTGGCGAAGTTTCCAACTGCTTCTCAAGGAATCCGAAATGTGCGTCATAGTTGCGGTTCAGGAATTGGTCTTCAACACGGCCAGCAATTGTGCGAGTGATTGGCTTGATGAAGAAGGGAACTGGGGCATTCTTGATCTCTGTGAAAAGATCAGCAGATGTTTCTCACACTGCGCCAGAGATACTCACGATCCATGAAAAGTCCGATTAAGAGAATAGACATCAAGCTCCCTTCGGCATAGTGCATGTAGAAGCGGTAGCGTAGCCACTCCTCCGTCTCGCCGCCAACCTGCTTCTCCTTGCCCGCCTGATATCTAGTCGGCTGAAGATGCTCCGCAAAGTGATCGACCAGATATTCAGTCAATGTGCCGGACTCAGCAATGACAATTGGCTGTGGTGTGTTTGATGACTTGACCGAGATGACCGGAGATTTTCCTAAGGCTAAACGTGATCGGAAAGTAAGCATTCGTTTGAGTGAGCTTATATCTGGCGCTGCTGGCATACAGCGCGAGATACAGGAAGTGTCTTTCGGCGACTAAACATACGATGAATCTTCTTCAATTCTGGACCAGCGAGCATGTCCTTGCCTCGTTTGAAGACTTCAATGTTGTAGTCGGCACCTTTGCATTCTTCGAGAAGCCATACTACACGCTGAGCACGGCTTTGCTCCAGCCTATGAGGTGGTCAGCGGTGATTACTATTTATTACTGCAGTCGTGCTTGCATATGTTGCAAACGATATGACAGGGTTTCGCAAAACTAACCAATAGAGCGTGATTTGGGGCTTGTCACCGGCCGGAGCAGTCGCTTGTGCAGTTGTTTCCGCCATAACTGTGAATGAGTTCAGAGCAGAATGATGGGAGTCAGTTCAGGATGAACAGAAGGCAGCAAGATTTTCGATCAGGACATCGATCGTTCAATCTCGTTCCTGCGCTACTGCTCACTTTCTCCGAGCATCCGAGGTCGACCACAGCAAGAGCAACTGTGAACGCACATGCAGAGCCTGGCGGTCCGTCCCGCTGCCGGTTGTGTCACGTGAACACTGCACCCGACGTCAAGTCTCCATACCAGCGGAGCATTGAGGCCACGACGAGAAGCACAACAACCACGACAGACGCAACATGGTGCTGCTCGGCGCATTCAGACCGACGCTGCGGCGGATGGCTGGACACAATGGTATGCCGCATCGAGACCCTTGCGTTGCGCCATGGCGGACACACAGCTGACTGACATCGTGCAGCCGTCAACTTGGATCCCGCGCTGGTCAAATATGCCAGTGAGTATACCCTCGAACCCCTCGAACACGACAGCCAAGCATATCTCGAACATGGAAAGAACGGACGCGCTCGCAGGCAGCGCTCTCGGAGGAATGGAAGACTGAAGATTAGGGGACTGATCGGTGGTAGACATGTACGTGAAGCGACACGAATACTTCAAATGGACACCTCGCACCGCATGGATCACCTTCACCTACGTGATGGCCATTCCTGGCATCGCGCTATATTACGCATGGACGACAGACGTAAGTTGGTCCGGATTCGTGCCAGATATAAGTGCTGACAAACCTGTAGGGCAAGTGGGAGCTACGTGGGAAGGTGCGAGGGGATGTGATCTCAGAATTTTAGATCACTGCAGCGCTGGGAGGGACGCAATGCTAAGAGAGAAGCTCGCCGGAGACGTGCTACAACACCGAAGCAGGAAGCATTGTACACAGCCCGCCAATCACCAAATTTCTTTGACTGTTTCAAGCTCCGATGCCAAAGCGAACGAAGAGAGTCCACTAGGTTCCATGGAGCTTGCATGCGATATCGTGACCGCGGTTGCCCTGCTCAAAGCGGCCGTAAGTGACCAAAATGGCGGTCTCAACACGGCTCGTGTGTTATTACACGATCACGAGCAACATGCTTCGGATTCTACGGTGATCATTCCAGTCGCGGACTCCTGCTCCAAACGCAGAGAACACTCTCATGGACTGGTATCAATGAAGACGTGACGTCTCAATGTTGTCCGCCGGGTATTGCACCTGCTGCCGCCCACAACACTGATTGTGACTGAGACTATCGCTATGATGACCACATAGACATCCACCGGATGCTTAGATGTTTCAGGAAGGTGAACCGTCGTGCTTGTGATCTTGCACACAAGCACAAATGTCTCTACTCAGATGAAATCAATTTTCAAAACTGAATGTTGACGTGGCTCAAAGCGTCAGAATACATGTAAGGGTACTGCCTTGAAGGTGACTGCAGGTTTTGCACATTAAGGATTGTCCACGAGCGGCGATGCACCCATGAAATTCCTGTGTCAATCGTAACTTCGTGCTTCGAAGGTTCCATTGGTTCTCATCTATTCCGATGTCGCTTCAGGATGGCGTGGATGCATGCAGTTATTGTGAGGGAGAGAAAAGCCACAGTGGTCAGTCTTGTGGACTACAGTGAGGAACACCAGAAGGTTCGCCACCGAAAGTCGTCAGCGACGATGCCTACGACATTCTTGCCGTGTTTGATCAGCAATGTAAACGCTCCTTTCTCACCGCAACCACGCGCGGCCGCATTTTTCCTCGCCATCGACACAACCTAACAAGCGGAACTGATAACCCAAAACACACCTGCAGCTCGTCCGCTGATCACAGCCCGCACAAGCACAAGATGGACGTCGAGCTCTATGTGTACGATCTCACACGGGGCATGGCAAAGGCTCTTTCAAGACAATTTCTTGGCATACAGATCGACGCTGTGTATCACACTGCTCTTGTGTTTGATCGCATCGAGTATTTCTTCGGCCAAGGAGTCCAGACATGTTACCCTGGCACAACACATCATGGCCAGCCCATGGAGATTGTGCCTTTGGGCAAGACCGAGCTGCCGCTTGAGACGATTCTGTACTATTTGGAGAGTCTGAAGGAGATTTATACTGCAGAAAGTTACGATCTCTTTGCCCACAATTGCAACAACTTTACGAATGATTTCGCCATGTTTCTGGTCGGGCGCGGCATCCCTGAACACATAACAAGCCTTCCCAAAAAGGTGCTCGAAACACCATTTGGTCAAATGCTGAAACCACAGATTGATGCCAGTATGAGGTCCATCACACAGGCTCCAGTGCCACCACAGAACAGGCCACCGGCAACCAACGGACATAGTGTCCAATCAACACCAAAAGCACCTAACACTCGGGCATCACCTGTCAAAGACAGTGCAGTGCCCGCAGACAATGTTCGATATGGGCAAGTGATCAGCTTGACAGACAAGAATGCTCTCGACACACACTTGGCAGGCGCCGCGGACTCTTGCATCACTATCTTCTTCACATCGTCGACGTGTGCTCCGTGTCGACTCGCGTATCCTACATTTGACATTCTTGCCGAAGAGTATCCGCAAGCACTGTTTATCAAGATCGACATCAACTTTGCCCGTGAGCTCGCAGAACGATACTCAATACGAGCAACACCGACATTCATGACATTTGGAAAGGGCGGCGTCAAACAGGAGGAGTGGACAGGGGCTGATCCGAGCCTTCTGAAGGCGAATGTCGAAGCTCTGATTCAAAAGACCTTTCCTCCACATCCGCACCTGACGCTCAGTGTGCCTACCCTGCAGTATGGCTCGCTGAAACCATATGTCTTCAGCAAAGTGCCACCTCTTGACAAGTTGATGGGTAAACTGGGCTCTGCAGCCAGCCATCGGGACATTGTGTCCCTTCGTACATTTGTGGAGCAAAGAAATGAGCTACCACAAAATGCGGCAGTTCCTGATTTGCACAGTGTGTCGCAGACGTTCGCTACGGAAGTCCTCGCGCTGCCGTTGGAGGTGCGTTTTGCAGCTGTGGACCTTCTCCGCTGTGCGATGATCGATAGTCGAGTCAGCGGCTACTTCGCCGAGGAGAATCAGCACCGGACAGTCACGACATTGGTGCAACACATCAATCGGCTCGAGGGTTGCCCGCACAATCTTCGACTAGTCACCATTCACCTAGCCTGCAACACGTTCTCGTCTCCGTTGTTCGTCAAAGAGCTGATGATCAGCGGAGATACGACCATATCTGACTTGATACAGCTCATCTCATCATCGTTACTGGACGCGTCGCATCCGACGACGAGAGTAGCTGCAGGGAGTCTAGCCTTCAATCTCGCCGTGTCAAATTATCGGATCAGGAGGGAGCAGCAAGAAGAGGCTCTGGCAGGCGGCGAGCAAGTCGAATTGGCTGCATCAATACTGGAGACACTCGTCGATGAGAAAAGCGATGACGCGTCCAAGGTGTTGTTGCTCGCTCTGGGATATTTGGTCTATTGCGCGCCAGAAGACGGCGACTTGGCAGACTTGTGCAAGGCGATGGGAGCGAAGAAAACAGTAAGAAGTGTAAAATCGCACGAGAAGCTTGCGCAGGAGGTAGCCAGTTTGATCTGGTAGGAATAGAAATAGATTAAAGAGGGGATAGATGTACACACAGTCTACTGCCAGAAAGCGAACTGGAAACCATGGCCAAAAATGCGTACCTCTCCCATCCTTCGCCACTCATATGTCTGTTTTCTGAAGCATGCTCAAGGCACTATGTCTCGTGTAGCGAGTTAGGCGCGTCACGGGGCTGCGACGAGAGCAACATTTGTCGTTTTTTGCGAGTTTCCGTTTTCAACTACACATACAGTACACGTCCAACTCATGCGCCTCTCGGGACGCCACAACGCCACATTTGATCTGCACTTGGGAAAGTCTATTGGAGGTAGGGGTCGCGGTTGAGCGATTGAGGGACACTTTTCTTCCTCCTTGCACTGCTGGCCAATCCTCCCATCTGCCCTCGATTTCTTCCAGCACCATTTGACGCGGATGAACAAGTCATGAACTAGGCGAGATCTAATTTCATGACCCATTCTGCACAGCAGAGACCGTAAGCGCAAACCTTCTCGACCCTTCAGCTTTCGCATCTCACAACCATACTCCTGCACAGTTCTGTCTGGTCCTACCTTAGTTTCTCAGGTACCCGTCGTCGGTCCTCATCGCTCGTTCTGCCAAAGCGCGAGAGCGATAAGCATACCTCCGATCCTTTCGAGAAACCCGACCGGCACGCCCCACACAGACAACCTAAGTCACCTTCCATGCAGGAGAAAGTGCAAGCCGCCTGGATGAATCAAGGCACGCGAGCGCGATATATCAAAGCGTCCATCCTTGGATTCTTCGTCCTCGCTGTCATCTACTATGTGAGCAGTCCAGGCTCAGCAGCCACGAGCGCTATCGGACTGGGCAAGTTCCCAGGCGGAGATGTCGCATCTGACCCCAGCGTCGCCACGACCAAATGCACGAGGAGCTACTCGAAAGACAAGCCACTCATACAATATGCGCTAATGGTCGATGCCGGCAGCACGGGAAGCAGAATCCATGTATACAGATTCAACAACTGCGGGCCAACGCCTGAATTGGAGAATGAGGTGTTCAAGATGACGGAAAAGAAGAAGGGCGGCAGTGGCTTGTCAAGTTATGGTGCCGACGCCGAAGGCGCAGCAAAGAGTCTGGACGTGTTACTGGACGTTGCCGTGGAGAGCGTGCCGGACAAACTCAAATCGTGCACTCCGATCGCAGTCAAGGCGACAGCAGGCTTGAGGAAGCTGGGACCAGAGATGAGCGATGCGATACTGAAGGCCGTCCGAACGCGACTGGAAACCGTGTATCCTTTCCCGGTCGTCAGCGAAGAAAAGGGTGGCGTGGAAGTCATGGACGGAAAAGATGAAGGTGTTTATGCCTGGATCACAACCAACTATCTGCTCGGGAAAATTGGAGGACCTGATAAGACACCCACCGCCGCAGTCTTCGACCTCGGAGGAGGCTCCACGCAGATCGTTTTCCAGCCGACGTTCAAGCAAGCTGCCGATGGTGGTATGCCCGAAGTCTTGAAAGAGGGAGACCACAAATATGACCTGAAGTTTGGTGGTCGCGACTTCACACTATACCAACATTCGTATCTTGGATACGGCCTGATGGAGGCCCGCAATAATTTGCATCGCCTTTTTGTCGAGGGCTGGTACGAGAACAACAAGGATGCAGGACCGGGAGCAGCGAAAGAGCAGCTAATGCTGAAGCCCATCGCTAACCCATGCATGAACGTGGGCATGTCCAAAGAGGTCGAAGTTCCACTGGGCGAAGATCATCCTCTTGGTTCTTCCATCACCGTCAACATGACGGGGCCTCGAGTAGGCAGTCCTGCACAGTGTCGGGCGCTCGCCGAGAAGACACTCAAGAAGGATGCAGAATGCAAGCTCGCGCCATGCGCCTTCGATGGAGTCCACCAGCCGTCACTGGAAAAGACATTCGCCCGCGAAGACGTCTATCTGTTCTCATACTTCTACGATCGAACGGAACCACTTGGCATGCCGGAGTCATTCACGTTGCGCGAGCTTAAGGAGCTCACCGCTCGCGTCTGTCAAGGTGGCGATGCGTGGAAGGTGTTCGACGCCATTCCAGGGGCACTTGAAGAGCTGGCAGATAAGCCCGACATGTGCTTGGACCTGAATTTCATGCTTGCGCTGCTACACACTGGATACGAGATGCCAATCGACAGGGAGGTCAAGATCGCAAAGAAGATCAAGGGTAATGAGTTGGGTTGGTGTTTGGGCGCTTCTTTGCCGCTGCTGAATCAGGAGAGCGGATGGCAATGTAAGATCAAGAAGGTACAGTAGATGCTATGAAAGAACAGCTTTAAAGTGGAAAGGCATTGGCAGGCGTTTGAACTGTAGATACAGATATTGGCATGAGCAGAGCAGGATCCTGCGACACTTCAATGTTGGCCTACCTCCATGCATGCCGCTGTTCGTGTTCGGTTGCTATTGCCAAGCTCCACATGTGCCTGCATTAGTGAGTCCGTGCCCGCCCCACTATATAAGGTACCTCCAGCAGCGGTTGCAGCGCGCTCTCCCCAAGATACAACTGTTGTTCATATTGCACATATCTGCTTCGCTTTCCCATCAACCTCGCTCGGACACAAACCCAAAATCGCGACGAACAAGACAGGACGACTGGCCCGAGCATTTACAACCTGTCTTCCGTGACGCCTCGCCAGCAACTCGATCCCGCGCGCTAAGTGAGCTCGCCGACAGCATGGCGGAATCCCTAGCGTTTCGGGAATGGGCTAAGAACGAAGGTCTTGTGAAAGCAGTACCCATCTCAGATTTCGAAGACGCTGTGATCGGCTATGATGCAGAAGACTTCATCAATATTTTACTTGTGCAAGAAGGCACAAGAGAGCCTCTCCTACCCGCTCTTGGCGGCCTGCCGTTTGCCCTGAGGTCTCACATAGACCGCGAGCTCGCAAACATCGAGAAGTTCACTAAGAAGAAACCACTATTTGTGTTTAACGGTCTCGACCTCGATCTCTATGACCGTAAGTTCATCAGCAAAGAAAGCGAGCGAGCTGTCAGAATTCTGGAAGAAGCATGGCGAGTGTACGACAATGGAGATGGCGATGCTGCCGTGAGAGCATTCGAGAGAGCGTGTAAGTTTTTCCCGATGGGTCGAAACCACTCTGCACGCTCCTACCAAGTACTGACTGTGAACAGGCACATATCGCACGGGTCACATTCTGCGCTTCCTGTACCACTACCTCCACGAAAAGGGCGCCCACGTAATGGTCGCGCCATACAGCGCAGCAGCACAGCTGGCATACACGGACGGCATCAGAGGTGTGGCGGCCAGCCATGGCTCCGCATCATTGCTCGCATTCGGCATTGATAGATTTGTTCTGCACTTCGACTGGGACGCGCAGCTGGCCCACTTCATCGACCGCGATTCAGCGTTAGCGCAGCTTAACATGACCACAGAGCAGCTGACGGACCTGCTCATGTTGTCAGGCCTGCTGATACTTCCACCAATTCCCGAAATCGTCAGAGAGGGTCAAGTGCCGAGCATTGCTGCCGCGCGACAAGTGCTCGGGCAGGCCGGCATGAATGGCTGGCAAGCCGCACAGCAATCGAAAGACAAGGACTACGAGACAGCATTTAAGAAGGCGAGGCTTGCAGTCAAGTGAGTGATCAACGTCACACGTTTCTATCAGGTGCAGTTGCTGACAGCGTCAGATTCATGATTGTTTGCGAACGTAATGGAGACTACAAGCAGCTCAACTTCAGTGAATCACCAAATGATCTGGCGCAAGTAATTGGAACACGATACCCGATCGAAATCTACCACTATCTGAACCGGGGCGTCATCGGCCCTCGGATTCTGAATTGGCGCGCGCACAAGGAGATATTTGAGTCACCGCCACTTGATGGCGGCAGTGCAGCGGCATACCGTGAGCTTGTGCAAAAGAAACTGCAACCTCTGCATTTACGTTCGATCGTGATACTGAGCTCGCGGTTGGGTCGATACTACCAGAGTTACAATGTCGACTTAATTTGCTGGTTCAACGAGAAGGACAAGCAGACGCTGGATATCAAGGGCAATCCGGCAGTCAGCACACCGAGCAAGGAGCCTGAAAGTTGGCACGTACGCGACAACCTGCGACGAACATCGTCCGCCGCAGAACGCATTGATCTCAACGCAAACCCGATACACTATGCCATCACGTGGTTGTCAGACGATACACTGGCGAAGAAGTCCTTGACTAAGAGGGAAAAGGATCAACATTCAGTACTGACTACTCCGGCGGAGTTGCTCTCTAATATTACCTGGCGCTTCCTGCACGATCGAGGTTACATCAACTCCTCTGATCATACGCTGACAGCGTGGGGTAAAGCCCTCAAGGCGGCATTCGAAAAGGCCGCAGCAGACAAGTATCTTGGCGCTACAACGCCGCCGCGCGAGGCAGAAGAAGCTATCTTCATCGCCTTCGAGCTATTGCGCCTGGATTTACTCAATGGCAAGGACCTCTTTCCTGGTGTCTCTGGTGGTGCCTCTAGAGGGACAGACCAGGACAAGACGAATGTGCAGCTTATCACTCGTGTTGCTACACTGGGATCATTCAGGCATCAAAATATCGGGTATACCGGACCTCTATCGCGAAACACGCTTGCCTATCATCAACTCGCAGCTGCGGTACGCAACAGCCTGCGCGATCTCGTTGAGGTACATGCAGTGAACCTCCTGCTTGGGGGCAGTGCGGTGCGCGTCCGCGACTCTGAGGAGTATGTCGAACTAGGCGGCCGCCTACCATTCCTCAAGGAGCCCGATGTTGGGCTCGCGTTGGTGGTTAAGAGTTACCTTGATGAGATGTGTCAGCCACCGGAGCGCCGAACCGATGTGCGGAAGTGGTTCACCCACGCAGAAGATATCGACGGCGACATTCAACGGGCCTGGAAATTGTGGGGTGCAGTGAGTACATTTCCCTTGGTACGTGGGAATTGTTTACTAACCTCTTGCAGATCAACGCAGGCATTCAGGCTGCCGATGGGGCAATCGTGGGCCCCGAGACTCGCGATGCGTTCGAAGTTGCTGATAGCTGGCTGCAAGGAAAGCACGTACCACACATGAACGGGACCAACGGGGCGGACTAGGATCTCCTCGGTAGGAAACGGGTTGTTGTTGTTGGCTCGAGCCTCACCTGCAACATGCTCACGCGCATGCTGAGCGAAGACTATCCTTCTCCTTGATGTTTTCAGGAGGCCCCAAGTATGTCGATTGCGAATCGACAAGGCTACACATCATGGACTGGGGGGCTTTTCAGATCTTGCAGCGGTAGAGGATGTGAAAAACGAGCCAACTCATACCCCAAAGGCCGAGGCCTGCTCATTTTGCCAATTCGGGTGCCTATCGTACATTTCATGTTCTCTGCATTCATTACACCCAATGTCAGCAGCCCTGCCAATTACCGGAGGCTATGTGCCCCTTCCATCTTCGACCTCTATTCCCGCCGTGCATCTACAGAGTGAATTTCCAGCGCGAGTAGCACGCCTTTCCTCAGCACATAAGGTGTTCTGCTGACGTTCGCGCTTCCTAGCTCCGGGTCGTGGAGCTTCTTGACATCGCGCTGAAGGTCAATGTGCGAGAAGCCGTTCGGTGGAAATGGGCCACCCTCAACCACTGGTATTTGCGGCAGATCTTTAGCCTCTGGCAAAACCCCAGGCGGCCGCTGATGTTGCGGCATCTGTACCGCTGCTGGTCTCGTCAAGGACTGGAAATGAGTAGGATGGACTCTACATGCGCAGCAGATCCGGATCGTGGGACAAAGTTCCTTTTGTCGGGCTCGCTCCAGGCGTGTATGGCGTAGCAAGAAGTAATGTTCCCGTTGCCGGTCTTGTTCCTGCGGATTTGAGTCTTGCGGCTCTGGAAAGCAATTGTCCGGATCAAACCCTATGAGTTCCTGCTCCTCGTCTGCTCTGGCTTTCTCTTCTTGCGGACTGCACCAGTACGAGCAGTATACGTCCCTGATGCCATCGAGCAATTCGTCCAAGCGCGGATCATCCACCCAGCTCTTCAGATTGTGATCGGCAGAATGTGCATGGTTCCAGCGCGAGCTCTTATACCTCAGACCTAGGTTGCGTAGGTTCGGGAAATCGAAGCGTAGCGAACGAGTGGGATCTGTGGTGTTCAGGTAGGACATCCACATGCGTATGTCGGCGGCTTTGACATGCAGTGAGAGGCTCGTAATTCGGATGCCGAAGTGGAGATCGCATATGGCGCGGACGAAGACATTGGCGTCACTCGGATGGTGGAAGGTCAGGTTGTTGAGGGAGTAGAGCAGCGGGGCGGCTTCAGAATGCACGGCGCGACAGGTCCTGAGCAGCGCGGTCTGGATGTCGTAGGGGTTGTGCCTGCGGTGCGCCTCTGACCGCGGCCATTCGACGGGCAGACCATCGCGCGACTGCACGCAAAGGGCGTAGATGCGGTCGCGAATCTCGCGGGGCAGTGAGAAGAGCAGCGAGTGGGCGACGCTCGTCGGCAGTGCCTGGTCGTCTTCTTCGTAGGCGGGAATATCCTCCATGTTCACCGAGCGCGCCGAATCGCTGTCGTGCTCGGATTTGCAGGCCCGTTGGCGCATTCGTTGGATCGCGAAACGGTAGACATCATCGTCGAGCTTAGTGGGTCGCTCGCGGTAGGTGAGGCGTGCGGGCTGTGGGTGAACGGCGGCGTTGTGATTGCTCATGTACGAAACGGGGCGCGACGAGGTGGTGCTGGCGCTGTGCCACTGTGCGCCAGAGTCGGTCTCGATGCCTTCCATGACCGTATGCTGCCTGCTTCACCCGTGCATCCCCGTGCCGTTGCTGCTGCTGCTGTTATGCACGTCGGCAGTGCCGCTGTGGTGGGCTTCGGCGCGCCGTTTAGAAACAGATCGGATCAGGGTTCACTGCCCCACGATTCTCCCTCTTTGCCTTGCAAGTTGCAGCCCATGCCGTGCTCGTGAAAGGTCATGCATTCTGGATTGGAGCTTACTACTACTATTGTGCCAGCATCGCAGCTGAGTCTTCTGAACGCCTCATACATATTGAAAATGGTATCACAGACTGTACATTTCATCACTCTTTGCCTTGCCGTGCTCTGTCCGGCAGACTCCTGTCCCTCCCAGATTGTTCCCTCCTCCGATCCTGCATATCACCGTCACCGTACGCTTTCTCGTGTGCCGTGCTCTAGACGTCCGCAGTTGCATCCCACAAGGCCTTTGTCTTTCCAAGTCCTGCAAGAGCTCCAGCCGCACCCATGAGACCCAAGTTGAAGCCTGGGAAGCCGCTCTCGTTCCAGGCAGAGAACTGGAAGCCGACTGGGAACCAAGCCAGTGGCACAATGAGCTCCGCGTACCATTGGGCATCCTTCTTCGCATCCTCCTTCACGGTGCTTCCGTAGCTCTTCTCCACCGAGCTGCGTGCGTCTCTCCTCTGCCTCTCGAGCTGCGCCTCTCGGAAGAGGCGGACAAAGTCGCAGCTGAACCCAAGGAACCAGGCTCTGTATGCAGTTGTGTATATCGCGGCTGCCTTACCGCCATGCTTCTCTGTCCAGCGTGCTGTGAGATGTGCGGGCAGGATCTTGCTATCCGTCAAAAGTGCCACGTTCTCGAGGAACTGGAAGGTAATGTACAATGCGCACTGCGTCGCTGCAGTCGCATACAGGACTTGGTCTTGTCCTGGCTTAGGGCCGTGCGCCAGTTGACGAGCCCAGGCATAGAGGGGCAACAGCCCGAACAGACGAAGAGTGGTTCGCGTCGCCGAGAGGAGAGAGCCGAGCGCTGCGATGGGGGATGGCTGGCCCGGTGGCGGCGGAGTGAACTTCTGGTTCAGCAGGCCATACAGCCTCTCCTTCAATGGCGTCGCTTTTGCGTCCAGGTGTGCAAGCAGGTACAAAGTGTAATTGAACGTCGAGAGGAAAGAGCTCAGGCCGCCAGGTGAGGCAAGCAGTCTGCAGACATGTCAGCAGAGGTGATGAGCAGATCGCGGTGGTTCTCTCACTTGTTAAATCGCAGAATGATGCGGTCTGGCCCAGACAGAGTGCTCTTCACTTGGGCCGGCACCTTCTTCTGCACTTCCTTAGCGACACTCTTGTCGGCAGCTGGGAAGTCCTGCTTCTGCGCTCCATCGGCTGGAGCTCCTGGCTGTGAGGCTGGTTCGGACATGGTTGTATATACGGTGTGTTAATGGAACGGTATTGTATCAACGACCTGTAGCTTGGAGAAGGGTAAGGTCGTAGTTGGCAGAGATGGATGACGGGACTAGGAGAGTCGCGCGCAACGAGCATCCGATCTCATCTAATCCCATCTGTTTAACCTCGGCCGCTCGACCGAAAGTGGAGAGGCTGCATGCTGCAAGCCTGGGCGCCGGTACCTTTGCGCAGGTACCTCATGACATGATCTGCGAGCGTGCAGGTTGGTCGTGGCAGCAGCAGTAGTAGTAGTGTACACCATACCTTTTGTCGATGAGATGCAGTCGAAGTTCGCTGGTGTTGCAGAGCTTTGGCTCGACTGACAGGGTTGTGCCAACGGCCAGGGTTCACGGACTTGAGTCCGACAATTGCTTCAACTCTTTCAAGATGGACACCGTCGTCTTTCGAGCCGCTGCACGCTCGCAGCCTCCATAATCTCATTTGTCGTTCGACAGCGATCGATCAAAGCTGTCCAGCGGCTTAGCTGAACGAAGAACATTTATGAAAGTGTTGTTACTGTGGCCTCGAATCTGACGAAGCTCCGCTTTCCCAAACCGGAACTTTGTTTGACGTCGCGTCTTCACAGCGCGTCACTTGCGCTCCAGAAACATGCAACATGCAATCTCACGCAGCACCATCGCCAGACGGCAGCTATGTCGTGTGGACGGACACCAATAAAATTTGCTGGCAAGACATACGTGGTCGACATGCGCCCTACTTTACGCTCGCCACAAATCGCGGCAAGGTGATCGCCTACAGATTCTCCTTCGACAGCAGCCAATTCCTCCAGCTCTCCGAAGGCGGGGTCGAGATACTGACCAGGAAGCTCGAATGCCGTGCCACTCTGAGCAACGGCGGCGGCGGTCTCGGCAAGGTCGTCAATGCCCATTTTATCGGGAATCACCACGTCCTAACTGCTTGGGAGTTCGGAAAAGCCAAGTTATGGCATCTGAATAGTGGGAAGGCCACGGACCTTCCAGATTGGAAGACGTGTTGCAGTGGCAGAGATTGGCCGAGTAGACCAGGATACAGCACGCCTCCTCTCTTCGCTCAGCTCTCTCGAAGTGGTGCCGAGGATCATCTAGCTCTGCTCTTCACCTCAATAGAGAACACACCTTCCTTGGTCAAGCTGCCGACTACGGATGCACAGGCGATATCTTGGTCGCCTGAAGGCCGGTGGCTGTCGGTATTGGACGTACCCACAGTCACGCCTAACCTGCACATTTTCACGCCAGATGGACACCTCTTCCGCTCGTATCCTTCAGGCAAAGACTCCGGGTTTGCCTTGGGCATCAAGGATCTCGCTTGGTCGCCCGATGGGAGGACTCTGGCGCTGGCTCGCCACGACAATCGGGTGGAGCTTCTCAATGCAAGGACTTTCTCTCTTCTAGCGACCATCGAGCACAATACCACCATCGATCAAAGCGACTTGCCAGTGAACTCGAGAGCGCCAATTTGGCAGGAAATCGTTTCGGCCTCCAATGAACGCGCTTACACTTTTGCGCCACAGCCCGTCTCGCCGCCACAGTCCCATGCGAAGCCGGGGTCGGAACCCACTGAATTAGGGATCGTCGAGCTGTGTTTCAGCTGCGATGGCAGTTTTCTAGCCACCCGCGACGGCCGCATGCTCAATACAGTTTGGATATGGGACATTTCGAAGCCTTCGGCGCACGCTGTGCTGATTCAACACAGCAACGTCCGGAGTTTGCAGTGGCATCCAACCAGAAGTTCCACTCTCATGATAGATTGTGCAGAAGGTGTGGTGCATTTGTGGGATGCTTCAGCAACGGAGCCACCTACAGCACACCGCACTACCAGTCCGCCCACGGCCAAGCTTTCATGGATCAATACCTCCGCTGAATCGAACGTCATTGTGATGGTCACTTCGCGATCTAAATTCGAGCTCGTGTATCCGGAGGGACGCGACGAGCACGAGTTGAACGGCTCGAGTACACCGCCGTTACAAGCAAATTTTGAAGAAGGCGCAAGTGAGGACTCACTCTTCGATGTTCTGTCGGGCCGCAAACCCCTCCCGCCTAAAACAGAACCTTCCTACACCGAGCGAGTAGATATGGATGTCGAAGATGAATACACTGAGCAGGGAGCACTGGAAGATACGTTCCGTGAGAAGCGGAAGCCTCTGGCAGAGGAGTTGGATCCGCTTGACGATTCCGATATCTTCTAGAGCAGACCACATTCGCTAGGAGTCAGCTTCGTCAAGTCAAGGCAGCTCTTCCATTCGCGACGTGGTGGAATGAAGGATCTTTCCGTTCGAAACTCCACCGCTGAGGACAAGCAGGATGTGGATACCGCACACGTTGTGGTCTCTTCCTTCAGAGTCTCTCACTCCGACCGAGGATGGCATCAGACCTCACTTGTCACATGAGCGTTGCATGCCTGCGCAGCACATGCAACCAGTGGCATCCGTCGCTGAGAATTCACTGAGGCAACCGTTGGACCATGGCGGTTTTGTCTGCTGAAACCTCACTTGACGTTGATTCTTATAATGCGTCGTTGGCCGCCTAGTCCTCAACCTACTCAACCCTCACCTATGATCGCCCATGAGCAACTGATCACGACGTCCAGCATCAATTGCAATGGCTAATCTCCGAAGGTCGCAGAGAGCTCAAGCTGCGGCATACGACTCCAACGGACGTGATTATATTGCAACTGAATTGGCATGTACGCGGGCAGAAGTCGAGCACTGGCTCGCTGCGCCTGAAGTTAATCAACATCTTGTGCTGTGGTACAACCTCTGCGTCCTCGGCCGCCGCAGATACAACGATGCCATTGACTGGATTACCGATGGCGAAGACGGCTACTTCTACAACAAACAAGGGCTTGAAGAAGACCTGCTCCTAACGTGTTTGGGAGAAGGTGATGCGAAGGTCTTCAAGGGACAAGAGCGAACCGATTTCATGGAAGATGGCATCCACACCTCGGACTGGTCGACTGCGAAGCTGTGGGCAAGAGCAGCTTGGCGAATTGCGCAGAGCAATTCTTCTGAGGGCCAACACTTCCACGCAACCATTATGCGCCATCCAGCAGCAGTCTATGGGCTGACGATCGACATACTCTGCCTTGCATTCCACTCCATCGCACATCGCAAGGCTGAATCAATCTGGCATGGTCTGATTACGGGCGACTCTTCGCAGCCGATGGGACTGTCGTCGGAGTCAGGTTCCTCCAGTATCGTTGGGGCTGTCGAGCTTGACCAAAGTGATCGCGATTCTACGACCGAGGAGAGCACCACTGACCACGTCGATGTCGTAAGCTATGCTCTTTCGGTTGCTTCTTCTGAAGACGATGCCAGCGATTTCGAAGATCCCAAGACTCCTCTGAGAGCAAAATGCCGCACCCACCTTTCGCCACCACCTGCTCCCAAGAAGACGACTACCCGGCCTTTCCACCCCCGAAAGGCATGCGACTGGGTCGACTCACTTCCATGCCTGACATCGCCTGCTTTTGGAGACCCCAGCAACTAGGGTGACGCAGAAGTCTGATTGATGACAGCCAAGCTGGTCGGTAGAGAGGCCAGCACTCACGCCTGCCAGCCGCAATCAAATTCTCGTGGCTTCTCTGCGCAGGATGCTGAGACCATCCTGAGCTTGACAACTAATTTGGGGAGCAAAAAGCTGAGCTGCATTCTGTTGAAAGTAACGCAGACTGGAAAGCGGTAGGATGCTGGATTCCCGGCCTTCGACACAGATACATTGGGTGCAGGTTAGCGGACGGATGATCTGGTGTCGTTCAAACGCAGCCATTATGTGCGACAGTGGGGACTCTGTAGAGGCCGTGTGGCAAAGATGGGCGAGTGACAAACCTGGCTGCGCCCCAGGAGGACATTGAAATTGGGACAAGCAGTACTACCTGACGCAATTCAAGTCTTGACATTCTGACGAAGCTTCTTCAATCGTGATCGAGTGCTATGCTTTCTCTATCTTCATGCTTTTTGGGTATCTTTACAGTGCTCTACTTCTTTTCATTGCTCTTTCTGGAGGGTTCGACTGTTGTTGGTGAACACCTGATTTGCTCACTTCTTCGAGGTAGCGACCTTGGCGAGGTCGGCGAGAGCCTCGCGACGCTTGAACTTCGCATCCTGAATGACACCTTGGGGAATGGTCAGTAAGTGCTCAGAGTAGGCGAATTCAATGCGACTTACCGGCATCAGCATCGTTGGAGAAGTTTCCAGTCCACTCGACGAAAGTCGAACCTTCGAGCTCGCCGCTGGTGATTGCGTAGGCACGAACGGTGCTCACGACGGAGGAGTAGGACAGCTCTGGCTGAGCAGTGATGATAGAGTAGGTAATATAGTGGTTGATCGACTGCCAAAATGTTAGTTCATCTGCTGGATATGGCTATGACCATCAACACCGCTTACGCTGTGCTCCTCCTGCTTGACTTCGAGGACAGTGCCATCCTTGAAGGTCCACTTGACGATGTCTGTGTCTGGCGAGGCTCCCTTGACGAAGTCGGACTGCTTAACAGCACTCCACCAGTTTCCAAACGACTCAAGCTTGATGTGGTGCCAAACTTGACCGAGCGGGGCTTTGATGACGGCCGATTCCACGACGGTGGAGGATGTTGGGATTGCTGAAGACATGTTGGTGTTTGGTTGAAGTAGACTTTCGTGAAGGGTCTGTGTGAGAGTTGAGGTGGAGTGAAGTAAGTACGAGAGCAAGTAGCTAGCAGCCAGCAGAGAAAGTTGCAATGTGCAAACGCAGCTGCCAATGCTCACCCCACCAACGATGACATGGGTCATGCATCAGGGTCCGGCCGATCGCCTTAGCTTGGCGTGAGGCTCAAAAAAGTTGCGGACTTCACTTACTTCAGACTTCAGATCTTCTCGAGCGCCATTGACGACAAGCTCAATTACGACATTGACGCACAAACCTCTCACAGTATCGGTCAAGAACGACCGGTGTTTGCGCGAATCGAACATGGTCACTCCGCCGACCACAGATCGCGACCAGCAGGCGCAGGAGCTCGCTGTCGGGATATCAACATTCGTCCGCCCAGATGTGCCAGGCTTTTCATGCATATTGAAGCAGCGCTACACAGATTTCTTGGTCAACGAGGTTCTCCCCGACGGCAAAGTCCTGCACCTTGTCGCAAATGAGCCCGACCCAGATCGAAAGCGAAAGCGCCAAGACGACAGCGGCACCTCGCAGAAGAAGGTGAAAACCGAGGAGCCCCAGGGAGGAGCTGCAAATGCTGCGGACGCTTCTGCCGCCACGGCCAAAGTGGGAGGCTCTCAAAGTGCATCCGCGTCAACGACGGCCGAGGACCAGGCCTCCAGCGCGCAGGCGAAAAAGGAACAAGCCGTTGCTAGCATCTCTGACGCAGACAAAGCTGTGCTGATAGATGTTTTTGGTGAGGATGCTACAGCCGCTATTATCAACCTGTACGGCTCGATCATTGCTTTCCCAGATCGCAAGCCCCGCGAACATGCCACAGTGAATTCTCCGCCCATCGAGGAGAAGTCCAAGCGTACTGAAGCTCACTTGTGCGTACGTCGAATCTTCGACTCCAAACTCGAAACTATCACTGTCCAGGATCGGGACCACCAGTCGGGACCTGGCACCGTCATCGCGATCAAAGCGGCACCGCCGAGATCGAACACGAATGGCAACGCAAAACGCGATGGCGAAGCGCAGCGTGGTAAACAGAACTGGGCAGAGCTTGGGGGTGAGTATCTTCACTTTACTCTCTACAAAGAGAACAAAGACACCATGGAGGTTCTCTACTTTATCGCATCCCAGCTCAAAGTCAACATGAAGCATTTTGGCTTCGCGGGCACGAAAGACCGCAGAGGAGTTACCGTGCAGCGCGTATCAGTGCATCGCGTACTCCGCGGCCGTCTGGAATCCGTCAACAAACAGGCTAGAGGATGGAGAGTCGGCGGCCCGTGGGAGTACAAGAGCGAGGGTCTGACTTTGGGCATGTCCAATGGCAATCAGTTCTTGCTCACACTTCGTGATGCTCACATCGAGGGCGAGAACGAGGCTGAGGGAATTGAAGCAAGACTTCAAAAAGTCAAAGCATGCGCCGAGGCAGCTGCGAAGAGTCTTGGTGAGACCGGCTTCTTGAACTACTATGGCCTGCAGCGATTCGGCACACACAGCACTGGAACTCACGCAGTTGGCATGAAAATCTTACAAGGAGATCTCAAGGGCGCCGTGGATTCCATTCTGGCGTATGACGAAGCACTATTACGTGAAAATCAACCTGCGTCCGACGCGGAGTCAAATGGCGCCAATGGCCATGGACAAGAGCGGAAGGTCCCCCAGGACGACATTAATCGCGCCACAGCCATTCATGCTTTCCGCAAGAGCGGCGGTTCCTCGGAGGCACTATCTATTCTGCAAGGCAACCGCTTCTCAGCGGAAAAAGGAATGATCACACATCTTGGAAAGAAGGATCGCAAGACGGGGCGGCGACCGAACGAGAACGATTTTCAAGGAGCTTTGATGACCATTCAGAGGAATCTGAGATTGATGTATGTTCATGCGTACCAAAGCTTCGTATGGAACACCGTCGCTGGAAAGCGCTGGGAGCTTTACGGATCGACCGTCGTTGAGGGTGATCTGGTTGTCGTTGGAGAAAAGGACACCGCCGAAGGAGTCACCAATGGCGGAGCACTCACGAAGGAGGAAGTCGATGAGCACGGCGAGCCGATCATACACCCTTCTGCTTCCGCGGATCCTGGGAACCCAGGTGCCACAGGCGAGCTCGATGACCCCTTTGTCCGGGCACGACCACTCAGCAAGGAAGAGGCCGAAAGTGGTCGCTACGACATCTTCGACATCGTGTTGCCGCTACCTGGTCACGATGTCATCTATCCCAAGAACGTGCTCGGAAAAGTCTACGAGGATTTCATGGCCTCCGAAGAAGGCGGAAAATTGAACCCTCACGACATGCGCCGCACCACAAAGGACTTTTCGTTATCCGGAGGCTATCGCAAGATGATGGCACGCCCTCTCGGAGCTGGAGTGGAAGTTGACGTCAAGACGTATAGCAGTCCTGAAGAGCAACTCATTGAGACGGATCTAGATAAACTGAGGAACTCGGGCTCGGAAAACGAAGCTGATAGACAGAACGGAAAACAGAGTGTTGCTGGAGACAAGGACAAGGTCGCTGTGATCCTCAAGCTACAGCTTGGAAGTAGCCAATACGCCACGATGGCACTGCGTGAACTTACAAAAGGCGCAGCGATGGGCTTCACGCCAAACTATTCTGTAGCCAACCGCTGAGCAATGTAACATAGCATGCACGCGTGTTGATGTTCTCAACCACTGTTACGGCGCTCAAACGATTCCCACAGCGCAAACATATGCCGAGCCTCTCGGGGCAAACTGCGTCGGCATACTATGTCACGGCGTTCAGTGCGGAGACGCATGTTGTACAGAAGTGTATCATTACTACGGATTGATCCAAAGGGGTATCAGAGAAATACATCGAAGCAGTATTGCAGTAGCGCAAATAGTGCTGAAATGGATGAAAGCTCTGCAAGCTATCTCGTGGAAGAACTTTTGCCAGGGGTATCTTTTGTGCAACAGAACGCCAATCCTCGAAAATGCCACTCCACCCATTTTTCATGCTTTCATCCTGGTTCTGCCGGTCCTCCGGTCTGTGCTGTGTGTCTGCGTATGTTAGAGCGATAATGACTCACCGTTGGGTCGCGACATTGTCGTTTCGGGCCGTATGCCTCCGTGCTGGGCGGTGGCATGGACATGCTATGGTTAGCACCTGCTGATTAGTAGATACGAGATGTCAAGGTTACAGCGCAGAGAGGCGGATTCTGGCTCGCAAATTGTGTCCTCTCTGCCAGGCCTTTGCAGCGGGCAAGAAAGTGACCTAGTCCGCCCTCGCTTTCTTCAGCTCTGGCTCGTCGAAGTCAATGTGGTCCTCATCGGCCGCCTCGTCGAGCGATCGCTTGCCCTGACGTGGGGTCAAAGTAGTGGGTGTGGTCGGCGCATCTTCGTCGTCATCAAGATCAAATCCGATGTCGTCCTCATCGTGCTCGAGGGGCTGAACCGGAGGTACGGCTTCTGCTGACTCTTCGTCGTGATCGAACGGCTCGTTGCCATCATCATCAAGAAGGTCGAAGGCAGGGTCAAAGTCTTGCTCTTCTTCTGCGTGATGCAACTCGCCATTCGCAGTGGAGATCAGTCCTTCCCCATCGTCGTGGCCGAGTTCGGCAGCTGCAGTGGCAGTCACGGCACCTTCTTGGTCGTCGTGTTCATCAGGATTGTATTGAGCATCGGCATCACTACCTCCGTACTGCTCATCACCTTCATAGGAGAAGTCCTCGTTGTCGAACTCCAGAGCATACGGATCCGCGGCTACGACCGCTTGATCCTCAGCTTCTTCGAGTAGCCCATCGGCAACAGCGGCTTCCTCTGCTATCTCAGTCGAATCCTGGTTCAACGGAGGAGAAGTGTCATCGTCGCCGGGATTCTCATACAGCTCTGAAAGGCTCGTTGTCAGATCGTCGTTGTCAAAGTCGAGCTGGTCGTCAAGGTACTCACCAGTCGTGTCGTGCGCGGCGGCGGCACTAACAGCGGCCGAGCTTATATGAGACTCTGGGTCGACAGCACCTTCATGATCTGTTGCTCGCAAGTCCGACTTCACAGCGTCCTCGGCTGCCGCTCCATCTGCCTCTAGGTTCTCTTCAGCGGATGGTTGGTATGCCTCGTCGTATTCATCTGCTTCCTGCTCATGGGTCTCGTAGTACTCAGTGTCTTCTCCGTCATTGGCCGGTTCCTCTTCTTGGTAGTCATACTCCTGGTTGTATTCACCCTCGCCAGCGTGATCCTCTGGTAATTGCTGGTGGTCCTGGTCCTCGAAGTGATCGTCGACGTCCTCGTGCGTACTTGCCTCAGGTTGGACTGGATGGACCTCTGCCTCTGTACCTTCCGCTTCTTCGGCATACTCGTTTTCTTCTTCTTCGTTCTCGACCACAGGCAGACCGGCCCCGGTCGCCGCGAGATGCTTAAGCGTCGCGATACTGTTGCTGAAGTTCAGTTGTGTCGTTAGTGTTATCAAGAGGGGTGGCGCGTCGTGCTCGGGGATGCCGACGTTGTCATGGAGCTTTAGGTATACGCTGAGTACATCGTTGAGACTTGCAGCAGAGGCATGTACCGATGACTGTGTCAAAGTCAGCGAAGAAGCAGCGGTCCCGATTGACGGATCACATACCTCGGCGACCATCAGCCCAAATATCTCAAAGTTCAACACAAGCTCTCGAGATTCTGCGATCGAGTCGTCCTCGTCAAGTTTCAGCTCTAGCCGACCTCTAAGCTCGCTTATGAGGTCAGATAAGCTGACGTTGAGTAGATTGTCATCTTTGAGTAGGCCGTCAGGCTGTGAGCGCGACTTGAACAGTGGCCACACATGATCACGATACTGTATGGAAATGGCGTGCAAAGTCCAGTCTGTGGGAGTAGGGGGGCCTTCGGGTACGAGCGTACTGGACACATCAATTGCTCCTGGAAGAAGAGGTGCTGGCTTAATTGCAAGGTCATCAGCCTCTTGCTTTAGGCTCTCTTCTTCGGCGGTGGCTTCAAGCTCCTGCTGTTGAGGCAATTGCGTATCATCGCCAGTCTCTGCCGTCTTCGGTTCGGATACTGCCGAATAAGTAGCGTCTGCTTCTGTGGCTCCTTGGCCCACGCTGTCTGCTTGCTGCACGGAATCGTTGTGGACTGCTTCACTTTGTAAGATATTGGTGTCCTCTGCCGACGTGGAGACAGTCTCAGTGTGCTCGGTCTGCGGCTCAGGCACAGTCTCTGCTGCCACATCTTCGGAGACTTGCGCGATCTCTTTGACAGCAGGCTCGTGCTCTACGGACGCTTCCAGGGGCGCAGGCACGCTCTCTTCAGCTGGCATCGTCGATACCACAGTCGCCACGCTTTGGGCCTGCTCCGCAATTTGAACATCCTCGCCAGGTTGGCCTTCTGCGGGGTTGCCGACATACATCTCATCATCTTCGTAATCTATGAGTTCTTCGTCATCCATCTGCTCTTCAGCCGGCTGTGTTGCATCATCACTGTCTTGCATCTCTTCCTCGATAATGGTCGGGACACTCGTGACGTTGGCATGTTCGACATCGGCCATCAAGTCATCAGTTGCCGCTGTACCAGGGCGCATCATATCGCCATCCTCTGACATATGGTCGTCATCGTGTGGCACGGTCTCAGCTGGATAGTCGTCAAAGACTATGTCGATGTCGCCGTCGTACTGCTGTCCTGGTGCTGGCGATGACATTTCCATGGCTTCCTCCATTGGGGGCATGGTCAGAGAAGCAAAGGTCGCCATTATTGTACTCGTGCCGCGAGCTGCAGATCAAAGGGGAGAAGATGCGAGCATCGGCCAGGCGGGGTCTCAGCGTTGTTGTGTGAGGGACAAAGAGAACGGAAAGACACGTCCGCAACGGAAAGCGCGTCGAGTGTGGTTCAAGCCGTCGGCTTTGTCACGTTCTGCGAATCACGAGTCAAGCGTGATGGGGCGTATTTCCTCGAGTCGGCGCCTGGAAGCCTGATCAGGCACTTGTCACGGTGTAATGCGGCGTTCGTCACGCGTGTCGAATGGCGACGCTCAAGAACGAGCGAGAGATGGAATTGTGAGGGAAAGGAGCTGGTGCGCGGAGGCGATGTGAAATGAGTGACGGGTGACTGAAAGCGGGAGGCCAGCGGGCCACTTCCGTGCAGTGCAGACCCTCGTCTTGGCGATCAACTTGCCATCGCCAACTGGCTTGTTGCAGGCGCACAGGAGACGAGCAGCTGGACTGAACGGACCCTCACGCATTGCACACCACAACACACACTTGCGCAGCTGCGACAGCATACTCCAAGCGGTAATCTTAGCTGTCTGCCAACATGGTCAGTCAACTCTTGTACCACACATCCAATGCTTTGTGTGCTAACTCACATCCAGGTGGTACTCTCCGCAGCGATCACGACCCGGTCGGGCAAACCTATTCTCGCCAGACAGTTCCGTCAAATGCAGAGATCGCGAGTTGAAGCACTCCTCGCATCTTTCCCCAAACTTGCGGATACGGCATCGCAACATACCACCGTCGAGCAGGACAACGTGCGATTTGTGTATCAACCGCTGGACGAGCTATACATGGTTTTGATCACGAACCGCCAATCGAACATCCTCCAAGATATCAACACGCTTCACCTGTTCGCGCAGGTCGTCAGCACAATATGCAAGAGCCTCGATGAGCGGGAAATCGCAAGATGTGCCTTCGAACTTCTGTCAGCCTTCGACGAGATTGTCACATTAGGTTACAGGGAGAACCTCACTCTGAGTCAGATCAAGACTTTCCTCGACATGGAATCGCATGAAGAGCGCATTCAGGAGATCATTGCTCGCAACAAGGAGCTTGAGGCATCGGAGGAGCGCAAGCGGAAGGCCAAGCAGCTGGAGATGCAGCGCAAGGAGATGTCTCGCGCAACGAGGGGCGGAAGTGGGAACATTGGTGGCATGCCCAGGGCACCGAACTACCCTACATATACACCACCTGCTTCAACTCCAAGCATGACCGACTCCTACGACTCCTATAATGCAGCAAAGAACCAGTCTTTCAGCAAGCCATTGGCCACAAGAGGCAAGGGTATGCAGCTTGGCAAAAAGAAGACGACAAACACTATGTTCGATCAGCTCGGAGCTGAAGCGGCAGAAGCAAGTGCGCCATTAGCCGGCGTGCCAACACCAGCAGCTCCTTCCGTGCAACCTTCTGTGCCAGCCGGCAGGCCAAGCACGGATCGCGAGGGCATTCATGTGGTCATTGGAGAGGCCATCTCTGCACGCCTGTCACGAGAAGGTGACCTAGAGTCATTCGAGGTCAAGGGTGACTTGCAGCTCCGAATCACAGATCCCAGCCTGACACAAGTCAAGCTTGATCTGGCTGTCGGCGACACAAAAGGAGCTCAGCTTAATGCTCACCCGAAAGTCGACAAAGCACAATTCAAGAACAACAACACGATTCAGCTCCAGGATACGACCAAGGGCTTTCCTTCCAACAACAGCATTCAGGTCGCACGATGGCGGCTTGCCGCAAAGCCCGAGAACGTACAGGATCCACCAATAGTCTTCAGAGCTTGGCCTTCTGAGACTGATGCCGGCACGTGGAGCATCACTGTCGAGTACGAGTTGACTGGCGGCGAAGCTCTGCGGGATGTCACAGTTGTAATTCCGTACGCTACGTCAGAACCTTCGGTGTCCAGTTTCGATGCTGTCTATGAAGTAAGCGGAGACAGCATAGACTGGACCATTGGTGACGTGGATGACAGCAATGCTTCTGGGACTTTTGAATTTGAAGCGCAAGCCTCTTCAGCCGATGACTTCTTCCCAATGCAGGTTCGGTTCAGCAAGAGCAAGCCTTGGGTGGAAGTGGACATCAGCAGCGTCACATTGCTCAATGAGGACCAAGATGTCAGTTTCAGCAAGGACGTCAGGTCGGTGGCAGAGAACTTCACAGTGGTTTGATGTGGGCCGGGTGCATGATATAGATCTCACCAGTTCGTAGAGCAAAAGCAAAGACGTGACGGCGCGTCAATTTCGCGTCGCGCTAGTGCAATAGCGTCATGAAACTCAGTTCAACTCAGCCTACCTTGTAAATGACGACTTGTTCTCGACGCAAGAGTTAGAACACGCGACAATCACATGCAGTATGCGCGTCAGCGACCATGACGACAGCTTCTCAATTGTCATCACTCAGCACGCTGTCCTCAAAGCGCCTGCCTCAGTCGATAAAATTCCCGTTCACAGCATATTCGCATAAACATGACCTGCTCGCCGTCGTAGTGGGACCATCAAGCGGCGAGACAGCATGGGAGGTTCAAGTCTTCCGCATTCTTTACGGCCAAATCGCGTTCTCCATTAAACGTTCGGACGCTGCGTTCTCGGAGAAAGAAATTGAAGTCACGGCCATCTCCTGGAAACCAGATGGAACCAGCCTTGGCGTTGGCTGGAGCGATGGCAAATATGGCATCTACGATGGAGGAACTGGACGACAGTTGAGACTTGCGGAACTTCCTATCGAGAGCTCAAAGGAAGAATATGCACTGGATCTAAAGCTCCCGCTGAGCTTCCCGGATCCCGAGGATGAGTCGGAAGCGCGTGGCAGGTATGTCGCGGTGATGGGGTTCATGGAGCATCAGGTTCCAGAGAATAAGAAGACAAAGCAGCAACGGAGTCCTTCGAACTTGTACTCTACTGAGGATTGGTACGAATCTATTGACTCGAATGAAGCGGATGGCGGCAATGCCTGGAGCAGTCTTCAGCAGTCAAATGGAGACAAAGCTGTTATGGATTTGCCACGAGCAATCGCGGCTCTGGACATCGCGACAGTTTTACCTCGACTCAGTGCCATACCATCACATGGCTTGGTGCAGCCAAAATCTGGTGCCGGAGCCAGCAAGTTTGGAACTCAAGCTGCAGCCGACACTCAGTTCGATGCCCAGAACAGCTCTATACCTGGTGTGGTGCAAAGCCTCGTAGTATGTCCGCATGCCGGCACTGTACAGGTGCTTGTAGATGAGACGGTCAACATCGGTGACGTTGCGAGCACAGCGAAGCCGGTGGCGCACGCAGCTCACCCAGAGGTGTCGACTCATGCTGTTCTTTGCCAAGGCAACGAGGAGGGAGAGCCGATGCAAATGACCTTTCTCGACTTGCCATTGTCGACTTTGAACGGCTCTACTCTCCATACGATTGCCACGAATACGAAACGCACACAGACCTTGCTCGACTACATCGTCCAGACAGCACGATGCATACAATTTGACTACGCAACAAACGTGGTTGTACCTTCACGTTTTGTCAAAGTCCTCGAGATGGACTTGGAAGACAAACACCCGAACGATGGCGATGCGCTGGCAAATTTGTATCATCTTGCCATGACTGGGTCGTTTCACCCTCAAGTCTTGGAATGGATAGTCGACATCGTGAAGGACACGAACATCAGACGATGGGAGACACACATGAACACTTTGTATGGTAATATACAAAGTCATCTCTTCATCAATCTACTTCCTGCGCTTGATCGGTTCAGTGTGGCGGTGACCGCTCTGCGAGGCCAGGCAAAATACCATGAGAATGCGACCAGCTTCGACTGCTCACCAAAGTACTTCGATGCGCTGCTGGAAAACATCGACTGCATACGGCTTGTTGCACAAAAGATGCAGTTGATAGTCCAAAGCGAGCACAGGCAATTTCGAGCATTTAGTAAATGGCTCAAGATGCAAGTGGACATTGCAGTCGCGGAGCCGTTCTCACAGAATGCCATGGAGACAGAAGAACGAGAGGTTCCCAACATCGATTACGCTCTCGTGCTGACTTACATCAAAAACAATCTGCTGCAGAGTGATCTCGCGGTCTTCATCGAAAATCGTCCGACCGCCCAAGAAGGCGCAACATGCGATAGAGATGGCTTCAAGTCGGCAGTCCACATTCGCGACATGAGCTACGAACGTACAAAAGAGGTCGTCAGTCAAATGAACAAGGGACAAGAACTCAAGGTCAAGGACGTCGCAGACCCAGAGTCCTTGGTCAATCTTTCGGCTCTGGTGTGCGGTCTCATTGGGCGCACAGACATCGCAGTCAAGCATGTCACTGAATGGCAGAACAGACTGGTATTTCCGCCCACCGATCCACCCTCGATCGTCCTGGACAGATGGCCTGCCCAGATCAAAGCACTGGGAATGACGATGAGTCCCTCAGGCAGAGACGGCTATGTCACGAATGTCCTCGGCATTGAAAACAGTGCTAGCAACGAGTTGCAGCTTTTGTCCATAGCAGCTTTGACAAGACCTGCCCGATCCTCAGTGGGAAATGGCAACAATGCGGTAAGACGGCAGCGGCAATGGACGCAACAGAATCGTCAACTTTTCATGCCTCCAGGGCTCGAAGGCGAGTTTCTGGATGCGACATTCGTGCCGTTCAGCACTTCTATCATCATCGCATTGCTTCGTGCAGAGCAAATCGAAGATGTGTTGCTTGTCGCATACGGTATTGGGGAGCTGGCGAGCGAAGCCCCTCGGATCGTGCACCAATTCTCTACTGACAATGCGTTCCGGCCGGAGAAGTTGCTAGTAGGAGGAAGGCCTGGCAAACAGCTCTGCATTGTGTTTGGGAACAAGGGTCGGGAGTGGAGAGCCCTCGACCTTCAAAGTGTGGCTGCAGTACGAAAGGGCGAAGACATGGAGGTTGGCTGAACAGGTGTTTCAAATACTCTTAGGCAGTATCAGTGCCAGCTTCACGAATATGAAGAAGTGAGACAGACTACAGTTTTCTGTGCCACGCTGGCAGTTTGTACCTGTGGTATGCATGCCAGCCACTGTATGGCGTGAGAAGCTCACAAGATACTACAATCCTCATCCATCTTCAGGGAGCACAATTCATCCGCGCTGGCATGCCCATTTGCAAATCACCTTATCGACAGTCTCATCAGCGTCCCATGGTCATCAATTGGTTGCGTTTGAGCCCTTTTCGATCTTGCCCGAGAATCTGCCAGTGCCTCCCGGGAGTAGTCCATCATACTCAACCTCCTCCGCCTTCGCGCGGTCAACCCAGCCTTGGCTCAATCCCCAAGCATACTGTAATGCGTTCAGCTCATGCTCTGGCATATGCTGCACAATACGGCCGATGTATCTGTCATTGGTCGTCATCATGGCTGGTAGTAGTGCCGCCTGACGACCACGGAACCAAGGCGACAAGTGGTGATCAGACCCAGCCTCAATTGCGAGTTGATCGATCGTGGTGTTGTTGATTAGCTTCACGTAGCCGCACGATTTTAGTTCGATGGTCTGCAGGTTGGTCAGCGCTCGAGCTGGCAATGGCTCCTCCCATGACTGAGGCTGAGGCAGGAAGTCGCTGAAGATCGGTCCGGGAGACAGCTTGTCTAGCATCTCTGCCCAGGAGCCTTCGCGATGACCTTGTGTCCAGTGGGAAGGGTCAGCCTGATTGTGCTGTGCGGCGAAATTCTGCTGTGCTGCGGCGGCATTTGCTGGAAGCGCTGGGGGTACGTTGAATGGGCCCAAGGCAGGCGGTGGGACAGGCTGGACAGCAGGGGCAGCAGCAGCATTGAACGCTGCGACAGCAGCGTTGACCTGCTGAATTGCCTGAGCGTGAGCATTGTTTTGCTGAGCTTGTTGTTGATTGAACAATTGCGGCGCAGGCTGAGCAGCAGGATTTGCTGCCCAGGCGAGTTGCGCGGCCTGCTGAACATTGTTCTGGAGCAACTGCTGCCAGCCAGCGGGAAGTCCCGGTATGTTCTGTAGCCATTGCGGCATCATCGCTTGTTGCGCCTGCCCTGCTGCCGCGGGCAACGCTGCCAAAGCCTGGAGAACTTGATTCTGCATGGCAGCCTGACCACCGGCTGCGAAACGAGGATGTGCAGTCAGAGATACAGAATCCAGAGTCAAAGTCTTCAGTGATTTGTCTGCGTGACTCTTGATCAGCCCCTCGAGGGTGACCGGGGTAATCCAGCAGTTGTGCAATGTAAGATGCTCGACGAAATTGAAGATCAAGCCCAGCTGATTGTTCACAGCCGTGCTGTGGTCGAGCTGTGTTATAGGAGCCGGAAGAACATGATTGTTACGGGCAAAGACTCCTTCAGCATGCTCCCCACCAGCTGTCCAGCCGATATTGAGCTTCTTGATGGTAGACTTCAAGCAGAGACGGTCGCGAAGTATGCACCGGTAAAAAGTGGTGACGGCCTCAGACGGGTGGCGCTGGCAAACCTCAGCGTATCCTGCGTTGTCTCGCTCAACAGTCCTCCAGTCCGGCTTGACGTGAATGGTGACATCCGTCACACTCGGAAGTGCTTCCCAGAACGCTTCTCGTGACAGAATCGGCAGCAGTCCACTGGAGACTTTAGCAATAGTCAGTACCTTGACCTTCCCAAAATTTGCTGGATTGTCCATGACCGCAAGCATATAGCACTCCAAGAAGGCGCGCTGTGCCCAATCAGTCTCCATAAGCCATTCCTTCTGCTCTTTTCGGAGCTCAGCAGGTACCAGGGCCGACTTGTCGTAGGCAGCAGAAGTCGTTAAGTCTGCTTGACTGATAGAAGTGTAAAGGAGTCCATAACGGCTCTCTGAGGACGCAGTTCCAGATGAGATTGCTGGTACTGCTTTACCTGCCGCAATCGAAGACCAGGCTTGGGTGTTCGCAAATTTAGAGTCCTGAATTCCTGCGATCTCAGGAGGTGCCACGCTGAGTATGCGACGATCAAGTGATACCTCTTTCTGATTTCCCCGAAAGCCGATACTTGCATGACAGTCCTGAAGTGCCTGCCAGAAGGTCTGTGCGTCTTGCGCCTGCTGATCTGGCGTCAATCGGGACGGTCCAAAGACGGGCGACGGACGCTGAAACACGCGAGCATGTATAGATCTGTCTGGGCCATTGAGCCAGCCTAGACCAGAATCAATTGACAGGCCCAAGTCCTGCACTTTGCCCAAATTGGAAAAAGCCGCTTTCATTCTCAGCGTCTCATCTGCCGTACGTTCGAGACCTGCGAGACCAGCAAACCGCGTGTATTGCTGGTGAGGCCATTCGTATGAGCCATAGTAAGCCGTTACGTGGTCGAGCTCTTTCTTCATCGGTGGCCGTGCCAGTTGGTCCTCAGCGACTTCGAAGCTCATTCCAAAACGTCGAAAGTACGGGCCAAAGCCTCGGAAAACACGAAGCCCATGGCCTTTGTATACTTTGCCCTCGGCGTCGTGTTTGGCATTCTGCCAATGCAGACCTCGTAGAGACCTGTCACTAGGTTGCTCATTGGAGTCCATTGCCTTGGCCTTACCTTTTGCCTCCGCCACAGGGGTCGCTCTCGGCATTCTGTGAGCGGCTTTACTATCCTCCTCGATCATATCGTAGAGTTCTGTGTTAAATGGCACCACTGCGGAGGCGAACAGATTTGCGGAAACCTTTTCTTCGAACTCCCTGTTGACCAGGCGCATCGATTTCAGGTCATCGCGCGACAAGGACGATGTGATCAGGTTGAAAATCTCCACGGGAAGTACCTCCCTTGGCCAGTCTGCCTGGCAGCGAGAAATGGTCTTGGTCAAATTGTTGATTCGCTCACCATGGCTGGGCAGAACGATCAATTCTGTGTCTTTGGTGATAGCTTCTGGTCTGTTGACACTGGACCTAGGGCACAGAGGAAGGTAACGTAGCTTAGTCACACCATCAGGCATGCCACCAGTCAGTCCACTGGCCTCTGTGCTGAAGAGGATTGCAGAGTAGCACTGTAAGAGCTCTGCAGCAGATGTCGATGTCTCAGTCAGCTGAGCGCGCACGACCATCATGGCGTCGGTGAATCGCGTTCGTGGTGCAGGACCTGCATTGTTGATTGGAATGGCAGATCCTGCTGCTGTATCAGATATGTCCATGTCGAATAGCTCAGTGTCATCTTCGTCGTCTAGAAGCGCTGACAATCCGGCTTCGAGTGTATCACCAACATTGCTTGAACGCGTCAGAGGGCCAGAGCCGAAAACGTCCTGAGCACGTATGATGGGATTGTCTGGCGATCCACGATCCAGTCCAGCTGTGCGAGCACTCGATGCAGCATTCTTGCTCGGCCTCGCCAAGGATGATGCCTTTCTCTTAGAAGACATTCTGCTGGATGGCACAAACTCGATTGCCTCTGGGTTGAAGGCTGGCGGGCTTCGACTACTCCCTGCTCGGATATCGTCGCTGGATCGAGAAAATCTGCTAAATACGCGGCGACGGCGCGCAAGTCTTCCCGGGGTTGAAGGTGGGGATGACGCAGTGTTGAGGCTGCTCTGTTCAGCAGCGACTTCATTCAGTGGTGATAATGGCCGTCCATTAGGCGCGTGCCTGTCCGTCATTTTTTTTGCTCTTGACAGGCAGCGAGTCGGCAGAAGTCAGCTGAGCGGGCTGTAATTGCGCTCTGTAGAGCCTGGTGAGTGCACAAAAGTTGTTGCTCAGTTGAGCGACCACAAAATGAGTGTCATGTGAGGTGAGCGAAAGCGATACATGTACGAAGCCCCGCTGACGACAATTTTGTTGGCCCCGAAGCGTTGTCTGTGAATGGTGGTTTGTGATGACGGTTTCGCAGTCACTGTTGCCGACAGGCATCTTCTTGAAATCGCAGCAATGCACGAGCGCAAGCAAGATCGACACGGGGCTGACGGGCTGACGGGCCGCGCCGTGTGAGCCGCAGCGGGTCACCAATCACATTAACCACCGGCACAGAGCAGGAACGAACGTCGAGACTGTTCTAGTCATACAGGAGAACAGCTTTATTCACCGCAATGCGATGCGAATGCTTGACTACAGGAAGTGAATGCATATAGTACAGCAAGGATTCCGTGGCCAGCATTGATGCTTTCCATTAGTGTACAATCCCTTAAATTTATTGCTTGCATCACTCGTGAAGCGCATCAGGAACCTGCAGCTCCTTGCGGCGCACTTCGGCGAGGACGTCTTCCAATGCTAACATGGTCACATCAGTGCCAGAGTTCGCCATATTGCCCGCCATCAATCCGGCTGTGCCCCACAGACCATTTCCATCATCCCAATGCCTGAACATCATTTTCACATCCTTCGGAACTCCGTTGAATAGCACCAAGCACTTGGGTATTTGCGGTCGGTCTTCCACTGATGCCGACATTATTGCATAGTCGGCCGCCAAAAGTAGGGTCTGACCCAGAACAGCATTGCGCGTATGCTCAGGGTGGGAAGCAAACAGCGGCCCAAGGAGAATGTACAGTTCGCCATAGGCATCGAGCAGGTATACGCCTTCGGCTTCCAGCTGAGACTGCAAGACCGGGACAATCTCCTTCGTCTCCACCTTGACCTCCATGGCACCGGGAGATGGAGTGGATCTGGCTGGTGAACGGTTGTTCCAGCTCGGTCGACGGTTCCACAGCGAGCTTATAAGACCCGTGCGCTGCGGCGCTTGCTGTACTCGGAACAGCCGAGTGGCAAACTTAGCAGGTGCGACAGCTTTCTGAACCCACAATTCGGTCGGCTTCGCAATGCTGGCTGTTGTGGTGTTGGTGCCAAAAATCTCCAAGAACGACGCGGGTTCATTCCCCCCGTCGACTTCGATAATCTCGCCTGTCTCGCTCAAGTCCATCGCAGCAAGTCTTGCGGCGCTGATTTCTTCCATAGAGCCTGCCGAGCCCTTCCATAAGTACAACTTCGTCTCCTGCAGGGTCAAAGGGTACGATATGAGATACACGAAGCCTGGGCATAAGGATCCCACGGCAAAGTCCACCTCGTCGAAGACAATATGTCCCAAATGCTTGCGGCAGCATACTATGAACTGTCGTGGGGCACTCTCTGCTGCCCCTTGTCTGGTGATCAGTATGCCTCCAAGACTCTGCAGGAAAGCTGACGTCTCGTGTCCTTGCCTCACGACTTGGATAGGGGCTGAGCCCTGCTCTCTCGCCATGCGCTTAGCATGTGCTTGCGCTGCCTCTTGAGTTGACTCGAATGCTGTGTCGCCGCACCAGACGTAGATTTGGCACCCTTTAGTGCCGTGCTCGTCAACGAAGGTATGAGTGCAAATAAAGACCGATTCATCGTAGAGTGTGTACTCTTCTTGTGATGACAAGGATCTCACAGATCCATCCGCAAACACGGCAAGTACGTTCCTACGAAGAGTCTTGATGCTCTTCACCTCTGTGCGGTGTGTCTTGCTTTGAATGAGGGATTGAGTATCGATGGCCAGTGCGTCGAAGTATCTTGGCACTGTATTGAAGGTTGAAGCCAGTAACCCTCGGGCGGACTGATCGGCGGACGAGACTCCTTGGCGGCTGTCAGTTCCAGTACACAACGTGAAAAACAACTAGGATGTGACTGCAGTGCTACGGTTAGAATTGGATTCAAGGAAGTTGTGTTCTATACTGATTCGCGACTTGGGGCAGATAACTGACCTTTGTTTGGAGACGCTTCTGCGAGCTGCCCACTGACCACCCTAGACGGTTTAGCCGGTTTTGATGGAGGGCCACTCCTGCTGGTTGCCACACTGGAGGCAGGGGAAGAGCTCCCAGCTAGCAATTCTGCCGATCGCATTGCAGCCTCTTCGTCTTTGGCTGGAATCTGTGCAGGAGGGTCCTTCTTGACAGGACTTGAACGCCTTCCCCAAAGTGAGGCTGCAGTCTTGACCGAAGGCAAGCCGTCACCATTCTCCTTATTTTCTTCGGCACTCGCGGTTGATGCAGCCGTTCGAGACGATCGTGAAGCGATAAAGCCTCTGAATTCAGGCACGTCTGTTGCTGGCGCGGGACTCACTGCCGCATTCGGGGTCGGTGCAGATCCGGGCGTCTGTCGAGCAGCACTCTGCAAAGGTGTGGAAGGTGTAGAAGGTGTGTCCATGGAGGTCTTCATCGAGAAGCGGGTTGAGCTTGGCGCATTTCTCTGCGACTGTGCCGTAGCAAAGGAGTCACTGGTGGCTTTGTTCTGATCCAGGTCAATAGTCGACGGCCGCGACGTCCTCGCAAGCGATGCTGTCATTACAGATGCGACCGAACCTGGTGGAGGGCTGACCTTCTTCTTCGCAATTTGCGGGAATTCGGAGGGCTCTGCTGAAGCCTGATTGAAAGCACCCGTAAGGCCCAGTGAAGGGCTTGGGCTACTCTTTGTCTCGGTTGGGGCAACATTCGGCTCTGCCATGGACGGCTCCTCAGGCGAGGGCGCGCTCGGCTGCGTTGCAGCTTTCCTCCTCTTCGGACCCTTCGCACGATCTTTACGTACGTCTTGCAAGGGCGCACCGGCGGTCGGCGCCGTTGACGAAGCAGCATTTCGAGAAGACGATGCGCCTTCATGAGCAGGCGATGCATCGCGAGACTGCGGCTGTGAGGGTGGACCCCGAGCCAGCATAGCAGCTAGCGCTGGATTGAAGCGTGATGCAAGTTTCGAATTTTCTTGGGTCTGCCTGGGCTCAGGCAAAACAGGCGTATTACTGCGTCCGCTCGATAGTTCTGGTTCCGCTGGATCCTTGGTAAGAGTCTCCTGATTGGAACTTGCATCCTCCTCTGGCTTCTTCTCGGTGACATCCCTTGCTTTCGTAGACTTCAGACTCTTCACACGAGAGAGCGCTTCTGGCGTCGCTTCGCGTGTTTTCCAGGTGTCGGCTGCAGATGCAGCTGATCGCCCACTATCTGATCGACCTAAGAGCTCGCGTTTTGCTAAGGCCTCGGGCTTCACGGGAGCGGCAGGTGGGCTTGTTGCAGTGAGTTTCCGTGCGTGCAATGCGCCAGGTAAGTCTCTTCCCTCTTCTTTAGCCTTTTTGAACTCATCTTTCTTTGCAAGCAGATCCTCCTTTAGCTCGTCTCGGCGGGCAGTCTTGACAGGGCCACCTGTTTGCGCCAGACCAGATTTGCCACGGAGTATGTTGTCCTTAAGCACATCTGGAGCGACAAATTTCTCTTGCTGCGTTTTGCGAAGGGCCCCAAATTTGGCCAGAAATTCTGGCTGCTGGTCAGTCTTTGGTTCTGGTGGTGGCCTTGATTTTAGCTGAGCCCTCAATTCAGAGGGACGCGTGCTTTGACCAGGTTTGCCTGGCGACATTGCAGGGTTGTTCGCTCTCGAAGGGCTCTGCGGAGTTTTACCCAGTAGTCCCACCTTCGGTGTCGACGGTTGGCTAGATACAGACAGGGCTGGCGAAACAGCAGGTGCGGTCTGAATGGCTGTGTCTGGCTCCTCTTTTGGCACAGGTAGCGCCGTTTCCTCTGATGACGCCACTGACTCAGGCATTCGGGGTTCGTGCTCCGACTCGTCCTGCGGCGGGGCGGTGAAGCTTATAGGTTTGCCCAGTCTCGCACTGGCCTCCGTCTTCGCCGGCGACTGTGTCGTTGTGGCGGAGGGCTCTGATCGCAGGCCGGGCTTCGAGCCTTCCAAGCTGTTCGTGGATGTTGCTGAAACAGGAAATTTAGATTTATCCCGCGATCCTGCCCTCTTGAGCATGCCCTGGCCGAATGGAGACTCTTTGAAAGGAGACGTTGGTCTCGATCGTTCGCCTCCAGCACTTTGGGGCGTACCCAGATCAACGCTGCCGCGCTGCGCTCGACGAGTTGCGAGATCCGCCATCCAGCTCGGTTGTGTATTTTTCGCAGGCGCAAGCTTGGGGGACTCGGGCTTTGTCAATGAGCTTTCCAGCCAGCTCGATTTCAGTGGACTGAAGCGTTTGGAGGGGCTGCCAGGCGACGCAGGCACTTCATCATTGGTGCTGTAATTAGAAGCGACAGACTTGCTGCGGCTATGCCTCTTACTTGGGGATGGTAATGCTGGCTTCACGAAGCCGTCTCCGTCCTGCTCGGTTACCAGTTTGGTCAGGTTGCTGCTTGAGCTGGTCGGCCGAGCTGTGTCGTTTGAGACGTCCGTGGCCGCGGAGGTGGGATCCAGCTTGGGCATGCTATGTGAACCCTGGAGCCCGCCCAATCCACTACGGTTGCTCACTATCGAGTTCGATCTGCTGAGTCTGCCATTGGGTTGTGCGCTCCATCTTTTGTTCTGGCTATCCGATCGTTTCATCATGGCACTTTGCACAAATCCGCCCATGCCTTTTGTTGGTGACGCAGGACGATCCAGTCCCGCAATGCGGGCTTGTGAGCTCGACATTGTCAGTGAACGAGCGACCCCAGTAGATTCCGTGCTGGCGACTGAAGCTTCAGGGGCAGCATTGTAGCTCGGAGACACTTTTCGTTGTCCCTCATCTTCCGCGATCAGTGCCTTAAGGTCTGGCTTGCTATTTCTATCGCTCACGGTCGACGTAGCCGAGAACCTGCTCCCTGCTGATAGAATGCTGCCGCGAGCAGAAGCATCGCGAGACGTGCGATCTGACCTGAAGCTTGTCGAGCTTGGTGGGCTGGCCTGGCTTTCTGTCTCGCCAGGAGGTTGTTGAAAGAGCCCAGGCAACCCTCTCCGTTCACTGACAGGCGCCACTGGGCTGCTGTCTGCTCCATCTTCCACTTGACTTCTCCTGAATGCTGCGGAGCCGACTCCTCGATCCGGAGTCTGCTTGAACCAGGATGGGTCCCTGGCACCAAGCGATGCTGCGATCTGCTCTCTGCTGGGCTCCGGCCTATTTGAGGAGTCGATGCTGGACTGCGCAGCGTGCGACTCCACAATTCCCGATGACGGTCGATCACTGATCTGTGATTGTGGTCGGCTGCCGCCAATACGTGACTGGGGTCGTCTGTTCCAAGTCAATGTACCTGAACGCGCCAGGCCCGCCGCACTACGCTGAGTTGGCTCTGAAGTGGCTTTATCTGAGGGCACTGGATCGGTTACCGCTGTCGCGGCGGACGTTGTCTGCGCACTGGACTCCGCTGGCTTCTCGGATGTTGATGAGCGGAGGCTTGATCTGCTCGACACTGATGCACTGCTTCTCCTTATGCTTCCAAAGCCTTTGAATTCGGGAACATCGGCGTCCAACTTCGGACTGGCCTCTTTCGGGGCCTCCATGGCCTTCGAGTCCCGGGTCGGCGTCGTGGTCATCGGAGAAGAGGCGAGAATGGCATTGGACGTGGGGTGGCTGAGAGGACGACTCAAAGGCGAGGGGACGGCGTGCGGCTTGTCTGGCGAGATGGATCGCGTCGCGAGAGCGCGCTCTGAAGAAGGCGTGTATTAGCGATGGGTCAGCCCTTGCGCGGAGCGGCGAAAAGCTGTTGTTGACATTGAGCGGGCCTTGGTGCCACCAAGCAACGCAAACAGCCCACACAGCGGAGCGGAGCGCTTTACGGGTGCATTTCATGTGCGCGGGGAGGATGGAGAGTGAAAGGGCTATGTAGATACACACCTGCTCGCCGCGCTGCCCGCTCTTGACGCTCCTTTTGCACCTTCTCCTCCAGCTGTCTGTAGCGCTCAGCGTCCTCGCGCTCGCGCTTCTCCGTCAACTCGCGGACTGACTTCAGGAACGCGGCCGGATCGAGGTCGTTGTCTTGCGCAGCCGACGCAGCGGGCGCGGCGTCGTCGACAGCCATCTCCAACGCCTATAGCAGCAGCATGCGTCGCCCTTCCTTGCTCGACAACACGCGCAGGGATCTCGTCTTCGGCTCCGGTGGCCTTTCGCTTTCCCCCGCCAACCGCAGCAGACCAAGGGCGTGTCAAACAAGGAAAGGCACTGGTGGCAGAGAGGCTCGAACACGCTCTGGGCGTCAAACTGTCGCGCTGGCGTCGTGGACGAGAGACAAGAGATGCATGCCCTGGATAGAGAAAGAGCGATGATCGTGGGCAGGTGAACCCTACTGCATTCTGCGGTGATGGCTATCGATCTGTCTACCACCACAAGCGCTGCCGCGCTCCGCAATCCTGGCGGCAGATCCCACCATCTTTGCGCGGAATGTGTGGACTGTCAACGTTGCCATCCGCCGTGTATTTGCTGCGGAGCCGCGACCTCTTGTTGATCACAATGCCCCGACCAGATTTTGGACTTTTGCAGGACCAAAGTGTAGAGCTCCCCTGTATCCCCTTTGCATGCACGCAGGAGCAGGGCTTCCATGCGCGTATGGCGTGCAGCAGCACGCCTCCCAAACATTGTTTACGTGGAAACCCCGCTATGCCCAAGATGGTCAGGTACCGCTTCAGAGTTCTGGCCAATGACTCGACGATGACAACTGACAGCCTGTATCCTACGATCTCCGGCCATCAACCTGTTTTACAAAGCACGACAGCAGAGGTGTAGACGGCTCTTGGACTCGTTGCTACGGTCGCCACGTCATCGTTCAATGTACACATGAACATCGAAGCTCTCTCCTCGTGCATCCTCAACCCTCAACCACCATTGCTATTCTTAGCCACGCTGTGCCAGATTTCATGCGCCAACAACCACGACTTGGCCGAGTCAAGCGAACTGGAAACTTGAGCAGTGTCAACAGTACGTGGGCTGCATCAGACTCATGCTGTCGAAAAGCACGTCAAGAAGCGAGCGAAGTGAAGGTGTGAGGTAGAATCCGGGGCAATGCCCACAATGTTCATATCTATCAACGCTTCGCACACAGCGTCCCCCATGTAGATGTTGCAGTGCCAAGTTGTGGAAAATTGTGGTGACAAGCGCAGTCTCTAGATCACTACCCAACACAGCATATTGTGACCGAGAGATGAGACGCGAGTGCCAGCGTTAGTAATGCGAAGCAGTTGGCAATAAAGATGCTTCCAAACCATCGATGCTCAAATCACCAAACGAACCACCCAGCACACCGAGGCCATCAAGTCCGTCGTTCAAAAGACCAGCATTAGCCAAGTTACCACTTGGTATTGTTGGCGGAAGGAGACCAGCTAACCCGCCGCTTGCTGCGAGTCCTAGAGGAGACCCAGACTGCATTATCCCACCAGACGTGAGCAAATGCCTGTCCATATGCTCTTGCCCCAAGATGGTCCTTCGTATGCCGCCATTCCCTCCAGCTCGAAGCATAGCATTCGCCAGCTCAGCATCTTCTCTGAAAGCGCGACTCTGTTCCAGCAACTCGCGAAATTGCTGCGGATATCGCGTCTTGATCTTGCGCATATTCGAGATGGAATAGCTGCCAGAAAGTACACCTCGGGCATGAGCCAACGGGTGCACGGAGGGCGTATCTATCAGAGACCCAATGTGTGAGCGGCCAGGACATCGGTACAAAAACCGTCTTGCCCATCTATGCAATTCTGAATGCAGCGGATTCTTCGAAGGTGGCTCGATGTTGTATATTGCTTTCAGCAGAGCAATCGGATCCTCACTTGTAACTGGGATCCTGTATAGCTGCTGGATAGCACGAGTCATCAACTCTTCGAATTTCATGCTCTCACCAGCTTTGAAAACTTTCACGTGCGTAATCGCACTTTCATCCTTGTTGATCAGTGCCATTTGTTGCAGCCGAGGATCTTGGGGCATAATCAGCACTGGAGGACCGTGGCCCTGCGTGATAGGATATTGTGCTGCCTGATCCAGTGGGGTGGCGAGGTACCCATCTTTGTTGATGAAGTCGTAGATACACCTAAAGGTTTTGATATCGCAGCTCGGTATTGCGAGTTCGAATTTCAGGAATGTTGTGAGCGGTTCTTTCAAGCTTTTGAACTTCAGAGCCTTTTCTCTCTTCGCCATGATTCGTTTTGGTTCGGCAGTAGTGCCATCGTCGTAAAGCAGCTCTATGTATGTTGCAGAAGGCGGCGCATGGATCCTGAGAAACTCTTCAAACGTTTCCCCATCTGTAAAGTCCCAGATTTTGTCGCCTTTTGCCGCCATTTCCGCCTCAAGAGCTTTGGAGTATTCAGTGACTTGCCAATTTTTGATTTGATGCCTACTGACGTGGCGGTTGTCGTGATTGCAATGCGTCCGCCCATCATGCAGCATTGCGGCGTGTCCATGCCCTCGAGGGTCCACAGCAAGGAGCATGCCGTCCAGTGGGTATAGCGGAGGCGGCGGAGGCACAAAGAGCGTGTTGTTCTGCACCATGCGTCTTTTCGAGGCGTGAAAAATGAGGTCCAATGTTCCATCTACACAATTAACCGTTATGTCTCTGATGGTCATCAGGATAACACCAAAATGTAGTCCGTCCATCATCCTGTCATCTGGTGTATCGTCTTTGGGTTGTGCACCACAGCACACGAGCAGGAATGCATGAATCATTTGATGTATCATGGCGCATAACAAGTCGTCAATGTCTGCTGTATCATCCTCAAAAGGCGTGCGGTTGAGATCGATGCATACTCGTGCTATCTCAGGTATGACTTTGGGCGCAGAGGTGACTCCAGGCAAATTACTCGGCATTGATCTCCAGCGAAGATACACTGCGCCTTGTAGCTTTCCAGCGAAGAGCTTGTCATCGAGTAGGTCGAAGAACATGTATGCGAAATCCGGGCCCATGTAGTCATCGTCCAATTCTCGTAGCGTGTCGATAGCATCTGTCACTTCTGTCGCGCTGCTGAACAGATATCGATAGAGCCACGCCGTAGCATATTCCAGCGTCCAACCCAAATCGCCAGGTGCTGCGATGCTTCTGTCTGTTAGGCAAGAAATGCCTTTGCTTCCCCTCAAGAATCTTCCTCCCCAAATTGCAGAAGGATAATGGCTCGCGATTTGTACATTTTGAAACAGCCCACCACCGGGCACTGGGCCAGAGAAGCACCTAGATGGTATTCTGCGCCGGACGACTCCTCCAAAGCCTCCGTAATGTATGTCTGGCTGATTGTGCGGCCGGGGGAATGCCACTATGTTGCTGGAGCCTGGGTACCAGTTCGACACGGCCATAGAGACGGTGCAAAGTTGGTGTGACGCCTGCAGAAACGGAACCAAAGGCACGCATTGTGGAGGTCAAAAAGCCAGGGCAATTTTTGTGGTGCTCTTAAAAGACAGCCGTTCGTCCCTCACCGATATCTCGCCCGAGTCCGACATGATGGCCATGGAGTGTGGTATACGCACGTTTGACTAACACCGCATGAAGACAACCAGCGGGTTCCACGTCATGCGCAGTTTGCGATCACAGCAGCGTGGCTATCGCCCGTCACGATTTCTCAGGTGTCGCTAGTGCACAGAGCCGCCGGTTGTGTAAGATCTGATGCGAAAGTCGACGCGCGTGTCCGTTGTCCTATCATCGCTCCGGCTCGATGCAGCAAACATTTCGGCATCCCTGTGCGTTGCTACGTCGCATATTGCCAAGCCAGTACCTTCGTGGCCCATTAAGTTAGTCCGTCACAGCGGAAGCGGCTGTGTACTTGGCCAGTCGAACGGAATCGTTATCCAATGGGTTTGTTTTCGCAGTCACCGCTGTAAACTTACGTGAATAGTGTCGCCTGCTCGCAGTGTCAACAAATTCGTTTAACTATGTACGCTCTCACCTGGAAGCACTAATGAGCATGCCATAATTACAAGTCGTTCATCCGTGCAACACATCATCGTTCAAATTCTGTCTGGCACAACACCACGTGATCGTGGAAACCCAAATTTTGCAGTCCACTCATCCACGGCGGGGCAATATACCAACTTAGTATGCACCAGGAGGACCTCCTGGGCGATAATCACTCCTTCCGTCGCTCGTTCGGCCACTGTCCTGGTACTTCCTTCGCAGAGCTTGCAGTCGCTTCTTCTTGGTGTGTGCATTGATGTATGTACCAATGATGAAGCCGATCAGGTTGAAGAAGGGGACCCAGACTTCATTTGGCAGGAATGCCTGCGCGAATGCGAGGGCGATTGGCGAAGTTATCCATGAGACTTTCATGACTGGCATGAATCCAGCTTTTACAGTGGCTCGAATCTGGTGGAAGGTTCGTGCGCCTGCAATGATAGCCATTGAGGTCAAATAGACGGCGTTTTGAATCGGCGAGATCTGCTAAGGTCAGCAACGTTGTTTCACGTTCGAATCACATTGAAGCATACGATGAGGTTTGAGACGAGAATCTGCAGAATCTTGGCGCGCAAGCTCGTCCTGCCTGCAAACAGCTTTTGCAGAATTGAGATCATGACATGCCCCAGCGGAGCGCTGATGAAAGCACCGTAAACAGCCATCTTGGGCACACGGCTGGTGAAGTAGTGACCGTGCTTGCTGCGGTCCTTCGCGATCCAGGACGCGAGAAACTCCTGAGCTCCTGCCAGTGTTCCAGATGTGATCATCTTGGTACGCAGAGGGTCATCTTGCAGCTTCTTGAGATACCACTATCCTTGTCATTAGCACTCGCTCTTGCCCGCGTCCCTGACGTGCTTCGTGCTCACCGCAAGGTATCCATCCGGGCTGCCACCTTTGGTGATGGCTTCACCCACGCGATGCGCGAAGTCTTCTTTGCCAGCCGGCGGAGAGGGCGCGGCCTTACCACCCGTGGTCGTGCGGATTGTCTCCTTTTGCTCGAACTTGACTTGCGACATGACGGCGGTGGGAGTGGGGAGCGCGAGACGCGACCGGGCGTGTTCACCGAATGTCGACGCGATGAGATCGGGCCAGCGAAGCAGAGAGGGTTCCTGGGGCAGGTTCGGGGCACAGAGCCGTTGGTCCAAGCGAAGAGAGAGGTGGAGGAGGTTGGCGCGATAAGCAGGATGCGTTGTTTATTGCCTGAAGCGGCACATGGAGTTGGCCGACACGGCAACGGAGGTGCACGCGCCAGTTCACTCAACAGGCCGAGGGTCTCGCAGGCAAGGATTGGCGTGTCGGCAATCAAACTTTGGCCCTGCACCTCACGTCTGACTTCACTTCGCACGACGCGTCGAAAGCTGTCGTTGTATACTGCTGAAGCGTCGAGATTGAGGCCGGAGCGGAATGGCTCGCACGTGGCATCGGCATGTGGCTCATTACCACGCACCCTCCCAGCCCAATGGATCTGGGAAGCAGTGACTATCGACCTCCAGAGCAGCGACGTTGCGGACGCGTGCTTTCGTGAAGCGGGCAGCAGCCGAGCAGCAGCCGCTGTTCACTGTAGGAAGTCGCTGAGGCACACGCGCTCGCTGCTCGAGCATCGCTCCCTCTTGCACGCCGCTCGATGTTCGATGCTTCATCCAGATGCCACATACGCCTGTCGCAGTGAGGCCTTTGGACCCATTGCTACAGGTCGAAGCGCTGCCCGTCGAATCCGAGACTCTCCTCGCTCACTTCCATTATTTCCTGCGAGCGATCTGACCCCATGGCTGCCTACGAAAAGGTGAGTGGACACTTGCCCATGACCGCGACCTGACTGCCCGTCTTGATGACCTTATTGATCTCGCCGTCCCTGCGACTGCGTGATTCCCCTTCATAGACGAGCGGCAGAGAGAACTGACATGTGTGAAGGCGCTCCCAAGACTGCCCGCCGCCATGCCTGTGGTGCCATCTCGACAGTCCAAGTCTGTGGCTGCATACCGGCGCCCGCAATGCACCCACACGACTATGAACCGCGTGCGTGGCGTTGAATGCTCCATGTGCGGCCGGGTGCCCGACAGTGGATGGGTATACCAATGCCGACAGGACTATATTCGAAAGGAGGACAATGTGCCGGCTCCTCTCAGCGCATCGTCTGATGTCGATGGCAGCGACTCTTTCGCCGACAAAGCACGTGTCGCGGAACAACTGAAGGTGGGTGAGGGCGAGGCAGTCGATTTTGTTCGCGTGTCTGAGGACTGACTGGATGCTGCTGTAGATAAACCCCAGCGTAATCAACGGCATTCGTGCAGGCAATTTCACCACAAGCCAAGCGAACAAACTCATCGCACAGAAGAAGAATGTTCTACGCGCAATACGTGAGCAGGAACAAGGATTGCAGAAACCTCAGTTGATGCCCTCGGCCAATGGCATCATCGCAACTGCAGGCACATCCCAAGTCACACCAGCGAAGCAGACGTTCACCAACCGACGAGACAGTGCAGCCCTGTCTCCGTTGGCCCCACCTGCAAAGTGTAACTACGCCATCTGTGCAGCTTGTCGGCCATACTTCTCTGACCGCCTGTGGGCCAGCTTTGAAACGATACTCCACGAACAGACGCAAATTACTGCTGCCGATGCTGGAAGTCTGCCAATGATGGACCCTTTCATCGCTCGCACAATCGGCCTGCGTCCATCGTTCGCAAATACTCTCCGTGCTGTGCCATCCCCGTACAGCACTGAGTTCAGCGATATGGAAGCCGAATCCGCGGTATCTGTTGATTGGTCCGCTACGAATAGTGGCGAAAGTGACGCTGGTTCCCCAGAAGTACCGGACAGAAACGAGCCTCTCCCTTGCCCTGGTCCCCTTCTCTGTCCCGTTTTCAGTCGCAATCTTGGCTGCGCCTATGAGAATGAAGGTTTCGACGACGGCAAACGCTCAGAGAATCATGCGATGACTCCAGAACATTCGCGCAGCCAACTAAGCAACTATACGTATTTAGCACCGAGCACTCCGGGCGCTGCATCGACAACGGCGTCTTCGGTGAGCCTGCCAAGTACGCCGACGGCCTCTTCGATTTCCATCCTCGGCCCCGAAGATACACGCAAGACGGCCCGCGAGAAGCAACTGGAGAATGGTGCCCGTCAGCATGGCAGCACGCGCCTTGATGTAGAAGAGGCTGCGGCGCATACGCAGAGCACCGACAGCTCGAAAAACGAAGTGGATGATGGAGGTGGCGTGGCTCTCACTCACTAGAGATTAGTGTTTGCTGCAGGGCATTCGCGACAAGCAGACATTGACCCCCATAGCAATTTCGTCTGCTGTGCCATTGACTTTGTCAAAGTATTCGTACGTGGACACATCGCACAGAGTACCGATCTCGAAGGTGAAGGGGAGTGTAATGGGGAGTGGAGGGAGAGATTGCGTTACGTGTATGGTATGAACAGTATCATACAGCGACGCTTCAATCACAGTCCAATTGCAATTATCCAACTGTTCCCCCTTGGCCTACTTTCGAGGTTGCCTATAACAACTTACAAGAGCAATCCATCAGTTGACAGTGAGCAGGCTTCCTTGGCAGCAAAAGCATCGCCTCTTGAGTTCTCGGTCCGTGAAGAGACAACCGGTCGAGACGTCGACCGTTGTCGCCATGGTTTGCCTGGTAGACGGGAGCGAGCAGGAGACAGATTGGGCAGGGGTGAGATTGGCCTCAATGGGTCATGAAGGTGTGACAAGGAAAGATTGAGGTGGTACAGAAACGTCACGACACGCAGAGCAATCACAACGCGGCCGACACGCGAAGGGCATCACTGGAATTGCGGAAAGAGACTTGCGGTCGCACTCAAATATTGATGGGAGTGCTGATTGCCACATTCCTCTGTCACACCTTGCAACTTCCGCCGCCTTGCCCCTTCCCTCGCAACTTCTAACGTCGTCACTGATGATGCTTAAGCCTACATGTATGTAAACATCCTGAAACAACAGACCTCATCTCACCAACATCATCGAACATCCGGCGAAGCACTTCTACCAGCACCACAACAATCTGGCCGACTCTCCGCAACAATGAGATACCTACAGCTCCTTGCTGCCATCTTCGCGGCGTTCCAACATGCTACCGCTTTGCCTTCAGCCAACAACCTCCCGCGCAATTCGCCATCCCCGACGCTGGAACGCATCTTTCCTAAAGTCGACAGCTTGAGCCACCGCCTCAACACTCGTCAATCTAGCAATTCGACTTCATCAGCAGTCAACGCCACAGTTGAGCTGTGCACCGAGCCTCAATTCCAAGGAGAATGCGTGAACTCCACCTGGCCAGTCAACACTTGCATCGCTCTCAATGGATAGTACGTGAACTTCACTCAGCGCTTCCAGCATCATAGACCATACTGACAATACCGCAGTGCCGGTGCAGTCAGATCTATTGACCCCAAGCAAGGCTTCGAATGCCTCCTCACTCAAGGCCGCTGCAACGTTGCAACCCCGTACATTTCGATCGGATCGGACCCCACTGACACGGCCGGTGATGACCTCAGCTCTCTGGCTTGGATCGGGGAGTCGAACAGCTACATCTGCTTCACGGAGATCGAGATGCTACGTCGCTATGTCAGGATGCGATTGAGGACGCCGGTCAGAGAAGCTACCTAAGCCAGCGTGGCGGCGGATATGGTGGGAAGTGAATTTGCTACGAGCGCAAGATGAGGCGTAGGCTGGTGAAGAGATGGACTTGGATGCTAGCAGTACCCCAGAACGTGCGAGCGGAAGTGTGAAGGTGATCAAAAAGCAACAACGATGATGTGGGATGCACGAAGGATCGACAGTGCGACATAGTGGGCATCAGGGGACTTGGAGTAATGTCAAAACAGAGATGGAACTTTTGTATGCTATGTTGTTTTTGCCTGATTCTCGAGCGAGACGCTGTGACTGGCTACAACAGTGTCACAGGCAGCGCTAGTAATGGCAAGGCAAGAATTCAAGGGAAAGCAATCGCGGAGCCGTCTCGAGCCCTATACTTTGATCCGCGCTCGCCCTTCTTCAATACACAATCTGAAACAGGCACCACTTCCTGATGTGGAAAGTAGTTCGCGAAGATCGACGACCCATTTCGTCCGACCCTCGTTCAGCGATGGACGTCTGCTGCTGTGTCAGCATCTTCGAGCGTATTGCCCGTAACGCGCACGAAAATAGTCTTGGTGACCGCTTTCGATTGTTTGGAGCCAATTTGTTGAAGTGTGCCAGTCTCCTTGAACTTGAGAGTGCCGGCCAACCAGCGGCGGATCTGCTCGTGCCGCTGTGGTTTGTCAGACGGATAGAGGAAGTGGACCACAATGTTCTTGACTCTTCGATTCGGCTTTGCGGCATCGAGATCGTCGCCGTGTACGAGATACCCACCTTGTTCGTTGTGGTCAGGGTCGAGCAGGCTCAGCATCTTGTCCATGAGGCATTTCGCGATACCTTTCATAAGGTGATCCTTGTGGACGAACACTTCGATTTTGACGCTGATACGATAGCTGTCCGTGCCAGTACCGTACTCTTGTGCGCGGATGAAGCCGACGATGGTATCGGGCAGCTGCACTGGATCTTCGTCGTAGCGATATCCTTTCTTCTTTCGGCCCTTGACGACTTGACCCTTCTCGTAGGCAACGAGATACGGCAATTTGCTGACGTGCATGATCTCGCCGAATTGGTCTCGAAGTTGCATGACAGTCACTCTCTTGGTCTCTGGTACTGACGCTGTGAAATCCACATAGTAGTTGTAGATGTCGCGCACAGCCTCCATATCATCGGAGAAAGCGTAGCGAAGGAACAGTCCTTTCCCAGAGTGCTTGACGGGCCTGAGATGTTCTGGCGTCAGCCCTCCGTTCGCTAATTTTTCTGCTGCGTTCCTGGCGTCCCTCTCAGCCCGTCGCTTGACTTTCTCAGCTGTAAGGCCTCTCTTTGCAAGCTCGTACCGTCGCTTGTTGTCAGCAGCGAATTGACTGCCGAAGTCATTCTGACGATGCATCGTCTCCAGCGTGCCTTCGTCTGGACTTATGCCCTTGTGATCGTGTGTGTTGCATGGCTCAAGGAAGCTGCCGCCTCTCACGAAGCGCACCCACCAAGGCTGGGCGCCGACAAGGTCCTCATTGTCAACCGGAGGAGGGGCATTCGAATTGATGTTGTCCTGGAAGAATGTGGAAAGGGGTATGCCACCGAAGAAATGTGGCCGCACCCAATAATGCGGAACAATGTCGCCCATTGTAACGTATTTCGTGCCCTCGACAGGATCTTGGGGACTTCCAAAAGTGTAGGTGAAGCCGTCAACGACAGAGAGATCATCGATGTTAGGCTCTCGACTGATTCCCCGCATTGCCACTCCCTCCATCATGTCTAACCAGGTTTGGATCTGCTGTGAGCTCTGTCCTTTGCGGAAACTCGACCTGGAGTCCCAGTGCAGGGGTGCGGGAGGCAAGTCACTGTTCCAATTCTGAATGGTCCAGCCACCACTGTCGCGAGATGGCTGGTAGCTTGAGGCGCAGCTGTTGTTATCCTGCTTCGACCTCTTTCTATCCCAGCTGTTGGACTTGACCCGCCTGCCTTTGTCTTGCGCGACTTCATTTCGTCCTTCCCAGTCAGTCTCCCATCGCTTAGGGTCGCCTTTTGGGATATCGGAGCTCTTGCAGAATGCGGTACCACCGCGAGCTGTCGAGTTGCGCGGATTATTGCTGTGACCGCCATTGGTACCACCGCGTCCTCCTCGTCCTCCTCGTCCTCCTCGACGACCTCTGGTAGAAGCACCGCCACGTTCCATCGTCGCAGTTGATCTCGCTGCAGCGAGAGATCTTGGGTTTGGCAAACTGGACTCTGTGCTTTCGTTCTTGATCGAACAACGACTCCAGTTCAAGGACGGGTTCGGCTCTATGACCTTGACACCGAGAGATTGAAGTTTCGGGAGGATATCTTCGCTTGTGGTGGGAGATTTTGCAGGAAATCTCGAGTCATGGCTAGTGCGCTTGTTTGCCTTCGTCTGATCAGCGGCGGGAGAGCTTTCGGCCGCCTTTCTACGAAGATGCGGTGGGATTGCCATTGTTGAAGTGAGCGTTTGGTCAGTCTTGATTGTGTCGCGTTTGGAAGGGTGCTTGTTTCCCTGCAATGTGTTTCGAAGCCAGGTGGTGCGTCGTGGCTGAGATGAAGCCTGGAGTGGGGACTTTGAGTGTTGCTTCGCTGCCGAAAGTCGGTGGCTGGGGGCTTTCGACAATAGTCCACCGGTTGCTGCTGCATGCCCATTGTCGCATGACACATCGCAGGCTGTGGAACCAACCGCAGCTGGCGGAGACGTCATCTCGAGTGGTGCGTCGTCTCCATCAGCGCCGACAACACTGTCCTTGCGTGCAAGAAACGTCTTCATTTTCTTGCCGCCGCGTCTGTTCCGACGCCGCTTCGGCTGTTGCTGGGAAGCGCCTCCCTGCAGAAGCCACGACCCATCGCCCGGCTGTGCTTTTGCGTTCGACTCGTATGCCATGATGAGTCACTGCGGGCTGCGTGTGTTCGGATGATGCCTGAAAGAAGCGGACAGCCAGGAGTCGCTGAGGAAGCCGGTGGATCTCCTGACAACTTCGCATTCAGTTCGAGCACGAAAAGTCGACTTCGCCCGTCACTTGAGGCATGTACGTTTCTCACTCTACCAGAGAGCTTCCTGTAAGTGTTCAGAGGTTCGACTCTAGGTGGAGAGTGGCTGACGCAGCTTGCTGTGCTCGACGATCAATGTGTCGTAATGAGCAATGTGCAGTCCGATCGAGGTGAGAGGGTAGAGGGTGCACCTGTGCGTCCCGCCGCGTCAACGGGCAAAGCAAAGAGCTCCAGCCGACTCCTCACAAGTTCAAACAGGCAGTATGCCTTTTGGCACTCTTGTCGGATACTGCTCCCGATGAGGCGGCACGTGACCTAGTCGATTAGTCGCTCTGACTTTGCCTGTCTTCTCTCTTGTTCGACAACTGCTGCAAGTTCGAGATGCTGTCGATACTGCGCAAGGCGCGTCTCAAAGACAAGGAGATGCGGATTTTGATGCTGTGGGTGAGCCGCCGTGGAGCTTGATGAACTCGCTGATTTGTGAAGTGGTCTTGATAATGCAGGCAAGACAACGATTGTGAAGAAGATCATGGATGAGGATGTCACGGAAGTCAGTCCAACTCTTGGTTTTATCATCAAAACAATTGACTACGAGGGGTAAGCACAAGCGCGTGTGTGAGATGCATGTGATTTTGCTGATGGAGTGAGTAAAGATACAAACTAAACATTTGTGAGCCTGCTCATCCTTGTAGCACGTCCCTGGTCATCAACTAACAGCGCCCAAGGGGATGTTGGAGGCCAGAAAACACTTCGAACGTACTGGAAGAACTATTTCGAAAAGACAGACACTCTCATCTGGGTTGTTGATGCCACAGATAGAGAGCGGCTCGGAGATTGTAGAGACGAGCTCAAAGGCCTTCTCCTGCAAGAAGTCGACGCTTCCGACCATGGCGTAGCCTGGTGAGTACTTGCTGACATGTAACAGCGTCTTATGGGAGCGTCTCTGCTCATTTTCAAGAACAAGAGCGATATTGAGGGCTCCATGACAGAGGACGAGGTTCGACAGGTGAGTCCCCTGAACTGGGTTTGCAGTCCCGCCGGTTCATCGGCTCCAAAGCCAAGTCGCTGAGTAAGAATCTTACAGGGACTTCAACTGGACAACATCCGTACACACAAGTGGCACATCCTGCCTTGCTCGGCCATGACAGGATTCAATCTGCAAACTGGACTTCAATGGGTCGTGAAGGATGCGAAGGACAGGCTGTTCCTTTACTGATGCGATTGGCGGCGAGAGCAACCCGTGACTGGTGCAGTCAACGGCGGCGAGCGGAGCCATATCACAACACACATGATCCTCTGCTGGACGCTGAGAAGAGCAAGGAGGTGCGTGATATGAGTAAACATGGCAGCTTTTCCGGCCCTTGACAGGCTTGTGATGAAATGAAAATACGCCAACCTACATCTATATCAATGGCTCAGCTTCCTTTGTCGCAAGTTTCGCGGCCGAGAGCTCGGCTTGTTCAGCTGCCTCCCGATCTTCAACGGCCTTTTCGTGCTCTGTCTTGCCATCGAATTCCGCCTGATCAAGCGCAAACCCATGTGCTGGGGATGATGTACCACTCTTTGCAGGACTGATAACGCCGGAAGTCACAGCTTTCCCAGCATCGGCTTGTAACGGCTGTGGTCCAGCTTCTGCCTCTTCGGCCTGCTCTATAGCCGCTCCCGATACCGAAGTCGATGCAAAATTATCGCCGAGGGGCGTCGAAAGACCAGCCGATGCTACGGCTATGTCCTTTTTCTCCACATCGCTATTTTTGCGTGACAATTCCTCCAATTTACCTTGATCGACTACCATAGAGCCTTTGACTGAGGCGGAATCGGCGAGAGATCTGAGCGAACCAGGTTCTTTAGCAGAGCTGAGTCTCAACAGCTTTTCTCGAAGCTCTTCTAGACTTTCATCAGCTTCAGGTGTGGCTTCCTTCGGCTTTGTCTCGGTGTCAACCACTGGGGCAGTGTCTTCCTCCACCTCGATGCTCCCATCAACCATGCTCGCTCCTGGAATTGCTGAATCTGGATGATCGTCACTGCTTTGAGCGTGGATAGAACCTTGCGTAGCCGCGGTATCCTCCGCTACAGCCATAGCGGGCTCGCCAATGCTACGCTGCCCGTCATTCGCGATGTCGTGTGAGTCTGGTCCGTTACTTTGCTCACTAGTGGTAAGAGTCGAACATCAGCATTTCGCAAGTTCCACAATGCGTTTAGTCAAGCTGACGCGCAGATATGCACACGACATGAAGGAAGTGTGATGGACACACTTACACAGGTTCAATTTCTCCTGCCTCATTCGCTGGTCGAGTCTTCTTGTGTTCTCGTATGCCCAGGACAGTACCTAAAAAGCCGACCTCCTTACGATTTTCGACCTCAGCTTTGCGCCTTGCTCTCAGCTCGCCTGCGGTTGGTACTTTCTTTTTGAGACTGACCCTTCCTCCAGAGAGCCACCAAAGGGCCCTAGGGACACGTTCTTCGTCAGCTAAAGGGGCTGGAGGTCCTGGTTTGACGAAATGCCCAATGTATCTAAAGAGTCCACAGGTCAGTAGGATGTGCGGAACCGCAGCGGAGTCAAGGAGCTTAACCAAGAAAATACTACACATACGCCCGAGCACTTCGTTCAAATGGCAAAGGTCTCCCAGAGCTGCTGTCTCCACCTCGCAATCGAAGCGTCACCTTTTCTTCAGGGACTATGTCGGCGGTGCCAGCAGGTACAAATTCTCTCTGCTGAAATGTCTTGAAGATTGACGGCTTCGGCTCATGAATCGGTGTCTGATGACTGTTCTGGTCATACAAGAAGAAGGTGTCCGCCTGCTCCAATTGTTCAAGCGATCCATTCATGCGCCCGGAGAAGAACTCCCACGACTTTGGTCTGGACAGTGTCCGGCGTCGTATTGTGCTCTCGGGCGAATAGCCTTTGCCAGAGTGCGAAGACGATGTGATGTGAACGTCAGGGGTGAGTAGGAGCACCTTGAGCGTGTTCAGCAGATGCGGGATCAGCAGATCCCTGAGGGAGTGGAGCATCGCATGCTTCTCCATGTCTGATAAGCTGTCCGCTAGACTCTGGATACGGCGCAGAGGCTCGACATTGCTCTGGTGGACCAGCATGATCTGCTGTCTTCTGTCCTCCGACTGGGCAGACGTGAACGGCGTGAATGTTGCACATCTGCCAATCGTCCGCATGATCCTGTACACTTCGCCTTCCACCGGACTCAGGAATGCTGTATCAAGAGTGTGTGACAAGCGCTCTGTTTCTGACATTTGGGGGCGCCTAGGAACCGGACCCTTGAACTGCGGCTGTGATGAGATGGAGCTATGCGTGGAGGGTGTTCCTCGACGTGCCTCCTCTGTCTTGTGCCACGATGTCACATGCTCTTCTGGCAACTTCCGGTGTACTGGATTGTGCAGTAGCTGACTCGCCGGCGTTAGATAGTGCCCTTGGACCCCGTTGCAGGCCGTTGTACTGGTGTCTGGCTTCGCATACTCCGGCTCCTTGCTCAATCCTATGCTTCGGAGAATTCTTTGGCCTAGAGATGGTTTCTTAGGCATCGCTGCCATTCCGGCTTCGAGACGCCGGCTGGCGTTGAATATATCTCTGCTTCGAGGAGTATCATAGTTTTCCGGTCCACGTAAAGGTACCTCCCCGAAACTGGCGCCAGGTGCGAAGTGTTTGCTGGCGCGAAGCTGCCGTCTGCCTAAAGGATCAATGATGCTCATGTTTGCGCTGGATGTGTTGTGTTCGAAGTGCCGCAATGCAGGTACACATACAATCAGACGCTGTCTTCAATGCGGACCGAGTGAGACCAGGCTCGACGCCTTCGCAACAGGGAATAATGTTAGCATGTGCAAAGCGACAGACACTTCGAGATCACCTGGCTTTGCAACAAAGGCCGTGCTGGTCAATCTTGACAACTTAGTTCCAGGACGAAATCAGTACACCGTACCAGGTCATAGTCTCTGTAAGATGTGCTATACATAAGCTCTACTTTCAAATTGATCTGTGTCTATGTCAGCCGAAGTTCGCAATTTGTATGGTACGAGTGAGCACTCACAATCGAGTGCTCAAGAACTGCTCCGCATAGGATGTCTTACACTGCACTATAACCTCCTCTGTTCCCATTACTACCCATTTTCCCAGCTACGCCACTCGTCCAGTCTTTCACAATGTACGGAATGTCACGTATTGTGTCTCCGTGGGGAATGAGGTCCCAACCCCGTGCTCCGTAGCGGTTGTAGTTCAGCCATGAGCCGAAGATTATGTAGGTGGCGATCAGGAGGAAACCAATGATCAGAAACCATGTGAAGAATCCCCAGCTCTTGCTGCTTGACGGCGGCTTCTCCGCGTTTTCGCAAGCATACTTTGTCTTCCACTCCAAACGCAGCACACCCACATCACTCTCGTCCTCGTAACTGATCAATTGCAGTGCCTTTCCTTCATCAAGATCTGGTAGCGGTTCTTGCTTGTCGTCTCCATCTTCGCCATCCTCTCGTGTACGCAGGCCACCATCGTTGAGGGATCTGGCCATCTTTTCCTTGTCATCGAAGCCTTCAGTTCCCTCTTTCGCTGCATCACACACGAATTCAACAATGGCCTTCTGCTTGATCTTCTTCTTATCTTTGGTGTGCTCTCCGCCATGTAGCTCCACTCTGAGGCCTTCCTTCTTCGCATCCTCGTTGCTTGGGCTGCCTTTTAATCTGGTGAGCTTAGGCTCCAGCTGGCCACCACTTGACGTGGTGAACTGTCCTGCCACTGGGAAGACCGCCATGACAACCCCGTCTGCCGCCTGATCGTTGTAGAGACGCTCCACAGCGCATACTCGGCTGCCGTTCGGACATGATGTTTTCGCCTCGTCGCCTTTAGGCTTCTTCAGCGTGTCGCACACATCAATGGTAAATGTGGTGTTAACCACGGAGAATGAGTCTCGGTAGAGCCTGTGCACCTCTTTCGGCCCTCCCAACGCCTTGAGATTGAACTTCTGGCTGTCTACAACGACATTCTCACAGTCGAACGTGACGGCGGAGATTGCGGCTGGCAGCAGGAGCCAGGCTGACAGGCGTGAGATGGAAGGCATCGCTGCCTGCAGAAGGAGTCGTGTCGCGCGTCAGGGAAGAGGAGAGTCGCAGTCCGTGTTCGAAACGTGTGCAAAAGAGCGTAGAGAAGAGGTTGAAAGTTGCACAGACGATGCAAGACGTAGGCAGTGCAATAAGTTGAAGGTTGCTGGATTACGGATGAGCTCGTGCTAGCTCCGTGAAACCACCGGCCATCGTCATCTGGGGAGGCAGGCAGACTCCAAGCGCCAAGCCGTATCCACTCACTACTCACTCCTGCTTTGGACCCGACCTGAACATGAACATCAACATTGACACGAGCGCCGAGTACGGAACAGATCTAATCATGTCTTCACGCGTGAATGCAATCGATCCACAGTCCGACAGTTCTCTGATGCAGCTGCCGCAGGAATTGCGAGACTGCATCTACGGCTATGTCTTCTCGACCACCCGCTTCTGCTTCGGCGAGCGTGCTGTTGGCCGCATCGATATCGATACTCGCCGGGTCGTATCTGCGAACAGGGGAAAGTCCCTCGCTCTGCTGCGAGTCTGCAAGCGAATGCACTCAGAGATTGGCACCAGCTGGTTGTCTCAAGCCCTCTTTCACTTCGAAGATCCGACCGCATTGTTGGACAAGCTAGCTTCTGTAGACGACCACACCCGCAGCCATATTCGACATCTTCGAGTCTCTGGGGACCCTCTCAAAGTGACATGGGGCTATGATTGTGTTCATTGGCGCACATCACAAGCGCTCAAATTGCTTCCCGGCCTCAACCTCACAAGACTCACTGTTCTGGGAAACAAATACGCCAGGACTAGCTATGAGACACTCGATTCGCTGATCAAATACAGCAGCGGCTGGAAAGAACTCTACTATCTGACACACAACTCGGCGCCGCTGGGCTTCCGAGCTGTCTTTGATGCCCAGTCCAATCCGCGCATGCCCCAGCCGGATACCTGGCAGCAGGCTATCAAAGCTCGTGATGGTGAAGGTTCCTCTGTCACACTTTACCGCAGTAAGAGCCCCACGAGAGGATCTGTGCTCGACCCTGCCAAGCGTACCGTTTTGCGTCAGCATTTACGTCCTGGACAGACTGCTGCAACGTATGGCAACACGAAAGACCAGAGTCTGATGGTGCCCGGTGAGCGTGAAAAAGAGCTGCTGGTCGTTGTCGAGCGTGGCAGTGGCATCGATTGCGCCGAGAAGAATCCAGCATCCTATCTACCTTTTGGTGATCCTCGCATATTCTCTCCAGCTCGGACATGGTCTGAAGTCAAGGAATTGTCGCGAGAGATGAGAACTCTAGAGAGCTGCGGTGATGCGTCTGATGATGACAGTGAAGACGAAGATGATTGCTTACTGGACATCTATGATCATGTTGACGATTACACCTGGCCTCCTTTCCACTTCGTGAGGTGATTCCTTTGGATTACCCTCACAGGTCAAGACGTCGGATTGTCGCCAATCAATAGAAGTTTGTGAGCTTTGTCTGCAAACACGAAGATGTCGCTGCTCATCTTGGCGCCCAACAGGACTGCGCCGCGAAGATCCGTCTGACATTCAATCACCTTCTGCAGATGACTTTGGGACATGACAGCTGTGAAGCGGATATCCCAGCACACTCTCGTCTGGCGTTCGCATCGTATACTTTGAGCAAGCCTCGGCGATCGGAGACCGGCTGCCCAGATGCATGAAACCGCGAGTGGAGCCCAAGCCGTGTATAACTGAATTTGAAAGATGCAGACAAGGTACAAGTTGCAAATCCGATGGATATGGTTTCACTGAACACGTGGTGGGGTTGACGGCCGCAGTCTCAAGTCGTCAATCGATGCGAGAAGTGTTCGCCTCGTCGAAACCGTATCCGTAGCTAGTTGGGCCGAGTGTGACAGGACGAAGGTTCGGCGAAAGTAGAGACCACCGCGTTAAGCTATACCCCAGCCGTAGAGGGAAATTTGAAGTGTGACCGAAGACTTTCTCTGCTAATCGCTGAAAAATAAACTGGTTGTGCCGACCTGTAATTTCAACACAGTCCGCCATCAGGGTAGATTTGTGGGGTTCAAACAATGAGGGTATCACATCGAGAAAGGGTCTCCTATTTGTAGGTTGACAGCACTCGGTCCGAAGGACTAGCCAGCTTGTAACGAGTAGATGGCAGACCAAAAATTCGGAGCTCAATCAGACGCTCGAGCAACCTCTGTCTGAACTCTGAGTCCTGATTGCAGCTTATTCAGCCTTGAAACAGATTGCGAGCTTTCCAGGTTTCATAAGCTATCAGCTAGCAGTGCTGGATGTCAAGGGAACATTTTAATAATTTGAGCTGTGAGTGTCGATCAACTCTGAATAGAGTGTGATACATCATACCTGGAGGTATGGCAGTTATGGCTGTCGATCTCAACCAAAGCTTGATTTCCAGACACACGCAGGGCAGTCCTTCTACAATCGTGTTTCGGTCGTCATCTCTCGGAGACGCACCCACAGCTTGCGAACAATGCTTGTCTGAAGGCATGTTAACGATGAGTGTTCCGCTTATTGAGATGCGCGTAAGTGTTGTGTTGTGCTAAAGAGTCGCCGTCAGCATAGTCTGAGTTGGTATGTTTATAGTTTTTCTAAACTGGGCGATGGCCTTGTTTGCATCTTGCTCGTCTGGAAGCATGTGTGATTGCTGTGATGGCAAGAGAAGACATTGCCAACAGAGTTCGAATGTGGAGCACTATGTTTTCTACTGCAACTCTGTGGTAATTGGAGGCATACAGGCAGCCAGCAACGAGGGAAAGAAGAACCGGACGCCACGAGTGGATACCACACTCAGTATATGAGTGGAGCCTTACCGCAGTCAATGATGATGACAAACGATTTCCCCTCACGGCATTACCAGATCCTACTGACCCAATCGATATTTGTTGAGCTTCCCGTAGGTACGCGGCCGGTCTCGAAAGGGGATCCTTGCGAATTGCAGGAACGTGGCACTTAAGACAAGCCACTATAGGGCTTCATTCGCTACCAGTGACGCTGCACTCTGGAGCGCCACGGTTGCTGCGCCTACATCGTACCTGCTTAGCCAAGTTGTTGAACTGCGTGATACTAGTCTTGGAGAAGAGTGTGATGTCGTGACGGATCCTGTTCAGACGACAGCGAACGCGCGCCCATACCCACGTGTTAATGAATGTCACGGAGGATCGTCAATGCACAAATGGATCAAGGATCCATAGAGTGGCATTGCTTCTGTTGCTGGTGTACGAAAGCGAGTCGCGGAGCAAAAGGCTGCTTGTAGGGTCATCCGTGATTGCAATATTGGCATGAGCCGGCCAGCAAGCACGCGTATCGGACGCCAGACATCGATACGCAGGCTATTCCATCCGGTTTATCGGTTCCTGCGCCGTCGAATGGGATCGAGGTGTCGTGGTGGTAGGCAGGAGCACAAGCGCGCCACTGCAGTGTGTCGACCAGGGTGCTCGAGGCTCCCGGCCGTTGCAACGGCAGACCATAGGAGCGGGCTGCGCTCGACATTGGCAGGCAAGCATGCGAGGCAGCGTGGCCACGGCCGACGCGGACAAGGTCGGACATGCAAGGCACAATGTTAAACGTGCTCGTCGTCAGTCGAGGCGGCGGACAGCTATCGCGACATCGTCGACCCCCGCCGAGTCAATACCACAAGCTTGCTGCATGCAATCGAGGGCCGGCACGCAAAGGCTCTATTGTCTGCGCCAAGCCCAGACGATCTCTATTCCCTTCGGGAGGCAGACCGTTGCGAGTCGGGGCTGAAGACTACTGCTGCTCACTGCTGCCCTCACTGCAGTCGTCGCTGTTGTCCGCCGCATTGAGCATTGAGCGCGCGCTCTCCCGTGGTCTCGATGCGCTGATGCACCCGCCGTCCAGCGCTGCGAGCCCGTCGCTGTCGTGGAACTAATCGCACGGACACTGCCGCCCACACGACCCACAGCAGCGCGAGGAGCCTGGCGACAAGATGCAGCAGCAGCAGACGCTCGCCAGTGATGCATATCCCTCCTCCAACAAAGGATCCTCTTGGCTCGCGCGCGTCTCCCACCGCGCTTCACATCTGCCCGTGGGCAGCAGCAGCAGTAGCAGGCCGCCGCTGAGCCTCCGCCCAACACCATCGGCGACATCCACCTCTGCCGGCGCCAGTCCTGTGCTCCCCCTGGGCACCTTCGCGTCATCCGGCTTTGCGGACTCGCTCGAGCAGCAGCTGTACGCGGTGCAGCAGCGCAACTCGCTCGACCACGAGAAGGACCAGCGCCCCGCTGCCGCCGCGAGCCCGACCGAGACGGAGTTCCAAGCGACGCCCATCGACGCCAGCTTTGGCGATCGCATCGACCAGCAACACTCCGGCAGAACCTCGTCTGATCTGCCAATCTTCCCGACGCAGCAGAGGAGTCGAAGCGGTACCGTCACGCGTGAGGACAAGCCCCTGCCCGCGCAGCCTGCACACGCCCACGAGCACAAGGACAGCGGCATGGACAAGTACACGCGGCAGGCGGGAGACAGCGCCTACGACAGTGACGCCGAGGCCGACGACGAATTTGAGCGCTCCGTATTCACATCGCCGAACGTGGGCACGCATTTTGACGAGCAGAGCGATCACCCTTCGGATTCCGAGGACGACCAGTCGCTGTTGGATGGCGAGGACACACCGACGACGCAAGGCTGGGCGGACAGAGATGGCAGGAGCCCAACTGGGAAGGTGACGCAGTGGAACGAGGAGGAAGTCGCGGACTACATAGCCGCGCTATCGCCAGCATTGAAACAGTATGGCCAGCAGTTTGTGGAGGAAGGCGTCAATGGCGAGGCTCTGATAGCTTTGGGGCATGACGAATTACGAGAACTAGGAGTGGCGAGTGTGGGACACAGACTCACGATACTCAAAGCCGTTTATGAGCAGAAAATGCGCGCGGGTGTGAAAATTGAAGAGGGGGATTACGTGCCACTTTCAGCGGAGGGAGAAAAGGCAGAGATGAACGCGACCCAGGATGATATTGCACGCATCATTGAGTCGCTCAGGCAACGTGACCAGCGCATTCAATCTGCAGAGGCGGAATTGAAGGCTATGCGGGACTACCTGGAACGAATATCAGATGAAAACAGGAAGCTGCGGGAAGAGACTTTGCCAATCATGAGATTAGTGAAGGACCAGAGGACACCATTACCGGACCCGGCCGGTGGCACGATTCCCTCGCCTCGCGAGACCGACCCTGCCAACAGGCTGATGGAGCAAATCCAGAACAAGGGCAGCTCGCTAAGTCGGAAATTCTCCACAAAGAAGCTGTTCCTGAATAAGGACGGCACCAAGCAGAACTCGCCTACGCACCCTCCACAGACTCGAGAAGTGAGAGACGATGGAGGAGGACATCTTGAGGCATCAGCAGCGGCAATGGCCGCAAGCAGTCATCTCACAGCGAGCATGACTAGTCAGGCCAGCCCGAATAGTATTCACGGCCAACAACTGAGTCCCACAAGTCCAGCTTACAGCACGCACCCACCCCCGAGCACAACCGCCCGATCGTTCCCTCAGCACAACCCACGCGCGTACAGTACCGATAACGATGCTTCGTACGCGAACAACCATTACAGCCAGGCCAGCACTCTCAACGAAGACTCTGGGAGGAGTCTACGGCAACAAGATCGCGCACGGCGACAAGCCCCGACACCCAGTCCGCGAGAAGAAGCAACGCCAGATGCTGGCAAAGACCGAGACAATCCGCAGGTTGAGATATTCAAGAGCTTCCGTGTGAGCATAGATGACCCTTGCCGAGTGGTTTTGCCTGTGGTCAGTTATGCAACCCTTCTTCTTGCACCGCTCTGTTTGCTAACACATCATCCCAGGCTCTCAAGCGGTACAACATTACAGATGACTGGCGGCAGTACGCCCTGTATATTGTACACGGTGATCAAGAACGATGTCTGGGCTTGGAAGAGAAGCCACTACTCCTGTTTAAGCAACTGGACAAAGAGGGCAGAAAACCAATGTTTATGCTTCGACGTCATGCTTCGCCGCAGGAAGGGTGGAGCAACACTTCTGGGAGTGGCGCACCAGCGCATGCCCAGGAGCCGAAGGTCAGTCTTAGCGGTGCGAAGCAGGCCTATAATGCGAGGGTCCGCTGACAAGTGCGCAGCAAGTGCCAGGGGGAGTATTGTAAGGACAGTAATTTTCAATAGTAAAAACATCGTCAAGACGACACAGCGTACACGATGCGGGGACGCCAATGCTCAGATGTGCAAGAGCTCAAGCCGCGTAGTATTATCATGAGACACGAGACGACGTTCGCAACGGCGCTTTCCAGGCCATTTTATTTTGTGACTGACTTTTTGCACGCTGGTGCGATTATGAAAGGGGTATTTACGAGCACTTTGTCAACTTTGGCGAACAGTTCAGAAAGGCAGACAGGCTCTTTCTAATGTGGGACGAACAAGCTTTGCGTCTCGCAGGATGCTCAAACGCTGATAGTCTTGAAAACGCCGAAACCACTCTCACCTGTGCTCATCAATGTCCCAGGTATTTGTGGGTGCCAGTGAGCTTCCTTGACTCCTTTCGAGTAGTGGTTGAAAAGCAGCTGTGGTGGCACATCCTTTGCATCAGCTGTGAACTTGCTTTCCTCGTCATCCAGCTCCACAGCCAGATCCCACAACGTCACGTTGTCATCGCCGCCGCATACTGCGACCACGGAATCGTCTGTAGGATGCCATTCCACGCTGGTGATTTGCCCCAGGTGAAATGCGAAATGCGCGACTGGTTTCGATGTCTTAGCCGCTTCGGGCGACTTCCATTGCCGGAGATCCCAGACTGACCATGTTCCATCATCATGGCCACTGGCAAGGAGATGAGCTGTTTGATGCGACCAGGAGAGAACATTGGCATCACTTTCGGAGACCTTGACGGACACCGCGTGCTTTCGAGATTTACTTCGAGCATCCCAGATCTTCACTGTGCCATCGCTGGAGGCCGAGGCGAAAACGTTGCGTTCTGTGGGTGACCATTGGAGTTCCTCGACGGAGCCAGTGTGGCCTGTGTATGGGTTGGTGTCTGTGACGAAGCCGCCACCGTCAGTGCGAGTGGTGGCAAAGATCTGTCCCGCGCTGTCGCCGGTGAGCAGCTTTCCAGCAGGAATCAGGGGTGACCAGTCAAGGGCATATCCTTCGTTTCGTTTGTGAGCTCGAATGGTCGACAAAGCTTTGTTGGCATTTGTGGGGAGCATGAAGCCGGGCTCGTCAAAGGAGCGGAGATGAGGAGTTATATCATGGATCAGTACTTCACCAGATTCCTGCATGGCGGCGGTGATGGTCGTTGGTGGTGTGGAGGCGCTGGCCTGGGGTGATTGATGGGCCCGGATACGATTTGTCGTCGATGTGAGGGGAATAGATTTGGTCTCCAGGACTGGATCGGAAAACTCATCGTCGTCAGAATCCTCATCATCAGAATCGATATTTTGGAATTTGTCGTTTCGTGATAGACCAGAGAGCTTCATAACCATGATTTGATTCTCCTTGGCACGATCGTGTGCTGCTTGCGTGCCTGCGACTGCGTAGGCTGTAGCTGGGTAGGATTTTCGATTGTCGCCGAGGTTGTCCTTGATGATGTCGAATGACAGACATGGCCAGGTCGGCTCCAATGTGTGCAGCATCTCGTACACTGATAGATCCGGCGCCAGTGTCTGTCCAGCTTCTAATTTATGTCGTCCCGGAACGAAGGTCTGCTGGTCGACGTCCATGGCATTGGCAGCCTTCTCTTCAGCCTCACGCTCGTCATCGGGTCTTCCATCGACACCAGCTTCGATAATCTCGTCCTCGCTCTCATACTCATCCTCGAATTCGTCTTCGAACTCCTCTCCATCGGCCAGTGGCGTCTGGGCAACGGGACGGTCGCCAGCGACCAGCCGCTGCGGCTCGACATCTTCGGCAGCGCGCTTTGACATTTTGAAGGTGGTTCAACTTGGGTTGCAGACAGCTGTATTGCCCAAGATGTCTCAGAGGACGTAATGCCGTCGCGTGCGCTTGGGTGCAAAGATGATGCAGTGCCAGAATCTTTTTGCAGCACATGCGTGCGCCGCCATGCCCGACGCGGCCTAGCGGCTGCAGCCGGGTGGACCCCTGCTTGCCTGTGTTTACTTGCTGTCAGGGCAGTGGATGGGCATGATTGGGCTGCGCAACTCCTCGAGACCCGACCTACGCCTCGCCGCCAGCGTGAAGTGAAGCAGTGAGAGCGCGCGACGGGCCTCCGCTGAAGGTGCGAGCAGCGGCGCCGGCCTACACGACGGCGCGCGAGGGTATTATACTCCCCGCCGGCTCCATTCCCACCCAGCATCATCATCACCACCACATCATCCCCTCCACCGCCGCAGCATCCCCACCCGTAGTCCGCGAGTGACACAGCCAGCCGCCCCAGGCCCGCTGCACTGCACAACGCAACGCAACCTGGTTTGACTTTCCCTGCGCTCCGAGTCAGGCAGCGCAGCACAGCGGAGCCTCCACGCCCCTGGAATCGCAGAGTCGCTGCGACCACGAAACCGTAATGGACGTCGAAGCCGAGGGCGACAAGCAGCCGCCGCCGCCCACCAGCCTCGACGACGCTCCCATGCACACCATCACCGCCCACCAGCTACCCGCTCCCGACAACGATGGCCGCCCGCGGACCTCATACTCCGACACGGGCTTCTCCCGGCCCTACTCCCAGTCGGCAGACAACACGCCTGACCACCTGCAGAACGGCAATGGCCTGAGCAGGCCGTCGTCCACCCAGAGCCAGGGTCAATTCGGCGCCGATGGCCAGCGGCAGCAAGCTCAGAAGAACTCGTCAGTGGTCATCAAAGTCGGCATGGTGGGCGACGCGCAGATCGGCAAGACCAGTCTCATGGTCAAGTACGTCGAGGGGAGCTGGGACGAGGACTACATACAAACCCTGGGTAAGACACGCGTAGTAGTTGGGCCTCAATGGACACGGCACTGACTTGGTGGACCAGGCGTCAACTTCATGGAGAAGACAATATCGATACGCAATACCGAGATCACATTCTCAATATGGGATTTGGGCGGTCAACGCGAATTCGTCAACATGCTCCCGCTCGTCTGCAACGATGCAGTAGCCATATTATTCATGTTTGACCTCACGCGGAAGTCGACTCTCAACAGCATCAAAGAGTGGTACCGACAGGGACGCGGCTTCAACAAGACCGCTATCCCATTCCTAGTCGGTACCAAATACGATCACTTCGTGAACTTCCCTCGAGAGGAGCAAGAAGAGATCTCACAACAGGCCAAGCGATTCGCAAAGGCCATGAAAGCCAGCTTGATCTTTTCGAGCACAAGTCACAGCATCAATGTGCAGAAGGTGAATCCGGCCTACTTACTACAGACGATCTGTAGCTGACCTTGAAACGTTCCAGATCTTCAAAATCGTGCTATCCAAAGCGTTCGACTTGCGATGCACAATACCCGAAATCGAGAACGTGGGAGAGCCACTCTTGATATACCAGAGCACGTAGACCAAAGGCAGCGAAATTCCGCTTTTACGCCGCCCTGCCCGCTGACAGAGAGGCTGGACCATCCTGTCACGCACCACCACGCGCCTCGAGAAGATAGGCGGTGGATTGGCATGACCTGGGCCACAAGCTGCCTGGGACGTCTCAAACACGCATTGAACGGAGGACGACTTTTACATGCTGAAATGAGGAAATGAGAAGAAGAAGGAGGGGAGACGCAATTGTGCACTCGAGGATCGATGATGCAAAGAAGGTGCCTGGGAGCGTATTCAACTGCATTAACATTGGGGAAACACAGCACTGCCTTACTTACTATTGAGTAATTCCGTTTGTTCGAACAAATGAACCACCAACCAGTGTTCCACAAATAATGCAGGCTAGTGGACATTACTCCGCGTTTGCTGTTTCTTGGCCGACGCTGTTTCTAATCTGCACCCGATCCTTTCGTACAGAATCCTTGTCTGATTCGGAACGAGTGATGAGTTTGAGCAGGATCAGAGCAGATGGATCAATCACTTGAGCCTCCTTAGCCTGTCAACCTGACTGGTTTATGAACGCAATCACAAACGTATTGCACGACATCAGAAGGCTCGTGTTGGAAATATTTCGCTTTTGGGAGGTATTTTGCTTGACGATATATCGCATGCTACTATGCTGCTGATCTCTGCAGCTCAGCCGGAAAATCTTCATCCGACGGCGGTCCTCCAACCGACAGTGCTAGATCAATGTACAAGACCAATCGCAAGAACAGCCGTGGCCGTTTAAAGACCAAGTTGCCCCAATCGAGCTTCAACTTGGCTCCTCCTTGCGCTCCAGACATTCCACCGTTTCCATTCATATCTTTCCGATCATCTCTCCACGCTGTCATCGAATTGACAAACTTCGCATCATCCTGTGCGTAAGCCACGATATTCGCCAACACATCTGCGCAGAAATCAGAGCCATCGAAGTTCTGTTGTTGTGACTTCAAAGTGCGAGTGAAGACGTCCAAGCGGCGAATTTCCACTGCCTCCATTCCTGATCCGCGTGCTGCTGCGACATTGATGGCTTGAAGGATTAAAGGTAGAGCCAGTACAGCTGAAGCACTGATGGGGAGGTATTTGACCAGTCGGACTTGCACCAGCTCTTGCGTCCGCCTGGAGACGTCGTTGTGCGCCACTTCCATGGCCTCCCGAGCTTCTTCGATCGAGAAGAGCGAGTGTGAAGCCGGAAAAACTTCTCGCAATAGGATGAGATAGGTGTTGAGACCAAATACCGCCGATGCGTGGTATGAGAACATCATGTTCGCATACACACAGATCGTCTCGTGGGCGTCGTCCAGGCTGATGGGGAAGGGGAAGGTCCGAATCGCTTGGTCGTGCCAGTGTCTGAGGGCACCTAGGGCTCGCTGAATATCCGTGACTAATGCTTGTAGAGATCGGGAAGCGAATTCGAGACGGTCGTCTAAGCGCTCGTGAGTGTATAGAATGCGACTCGCATGTGTAAGGCACTGCATGAGACGGCATGTCGTGCCGACCATCTCGAAGATGCGGAGTTGAGTCTCGGTATCGTGTACTAGCGAAGAGCCGAGTTCTGACTGGAAGTCGTCCACGGTCAGAATGTGCTTGTCGGTCTCCCAGTCGTTGATTAGCGGAACTTGTATGGATCTTCGCAGGCCCAGCGAGAGGATGCGATCTCGGAATATAACACCCCACCATATTCTCTTGAGTAATCTTGCCCGAACTGGGTCTTTGATGCGGTAGTATGAATCCGCGCGAACAATCTTGGCAAATCGTATGGCATTCGTGACCCAATACGTGTTCAGACGGAGGAGGTTGTAATTCGGTGCATTGTAGGATAGCAGCAAACACGCCTGTGCATTCGCCACTGGGTCGCGTTCGATGCCGAAGTCGAAGAGGAGCTGATGAAAAGTAAGCACCAACTTTGCCCCTATAGTGAATATCTTACCTTGGCGTGGCGGTAATGAGTGTTCCTTGCTTCGCGTTTGCTGACGAAGCCGACGCTGGACAACGTCTCCAGTTCGGTGTACTGCGAAGATGTCAGCTAGATCAGACATCGTTGGAAATCACGCTTACCGAAGTGGCTGCGAAGACCATCGCCCTCAGTAATAGGTACGAAAAGTCGCCAACACGGAACTCATCTCCATTCCATAGTGCCCAGAATTGATCTTCAGCCACTATAGGCAGATTGGGATGCACCATGCGAAAGTACATGCGCATCATCGGCTTCAGCACGTGAGGCGGCAGTAGCTCGAAGCACCCTTCCACTCGCAGATATTCCTGATCCCGAGGATTGAGTCCAGGAATCTGCACTGTCGATGCTCTGCGCGGAGGAATATGAGAGTTGCCATTGAGTGCCATTCCATTGGGAGCTGGGAGCATTGGCGTGGGACTGAGATGCTGCGGAGGATAAGTCTGTGGCAGCGGAAAGTCCTGTCCGGGTGTTGGAATGGCAGGCATGAATGAGTTGCCCGTGAAAGTGAAGATGTCATCGAGGTCAGTCAAGTGGCTAAAGTCACAGCTTGCGGACGACGCTTCGACGATGCTTGGATCCCACGCGAAATTGCTGGGCTGCAATTCCTGCCATAGTTGGCCATCACCAGTGTTCGGGGAGCCTGAAGACTGCGACCGCGTCTGTACGGAATAGCCATTCTGATCAGAATGGACCCTCGCCACGCTGGGTCGGCGATCCAGTGTGGTGTTGTGAATCCACGTTGCTGGGATGCTCGTCGCTGAAGGCGTTGCAGACGGGGTCGGTACTCTCCAACTATGCGACTGCTGATCCAGAACAGCCGCCTGCTGCGCTTCGTGCGGCGGAGTGCTGTCGCGCCTGGCCAGAGATCAGCATCGATACGTTCGCACGCCGAGGACAGGCCGCATTACTGACCGTTGATTCTTTCGGCGCCTGATCACACAGTTGGTGCCAGCGTCTACGCAGTTGGAGCAGGGCGTGCCACTCTCCAGCACATTGCATCGGATCTTGCCTGCGCGCGTGTTCAGATCAGCGGGTATGAAGTATGTGCAAGACGCTGAATCGTACGTGTATGGCAGTGCTGACAGGCTTTCCTGGATCGTCTCTGCTTGAGCTTGCCTCGCAGCGCGGGCGTTGCGCCTGGCGGATTGACGATAGAAGTGTCCTCGGCGTGCAGGCTCCCCATGCTCCCGGCGCGCTGGTCGACTAGGGCGCTGGTGACGGTACGGCAAAGGTGGTGTTGACGGTGAATGAGAGCCGCATTTACCGGGAGAGAGCAGCAGTGCGTTGCAACTATACAGAAGCGCAAACTTCGCAGCACCTCGAGGCTAAGGTGAGGTTCGGACGGGGCAGTAACTAGGGGTCGAGACCTCGCGTCCGCCACACACCCACACACTCGCAGCCTGCCTGTTTCCCCGCCATCGATGCTCTGCGGACAAACTCTATTTCCCGAACTGGCAGTGCCGTTGTCGCTCGTTCCAACCGATGCGAATCACTTCGTGGAGGGCCAAAGCCGAGAATCCGACAAAGCGGAGACGAGGCGGGCCTGCCTTCCAATGGCAGCACGCTCCATGGTCAGCCGACGCCGTGGCTCCAGCACGTCAGCCTGATGAACAGAGCAGCAACTTGACAACGCCGCCAAGCACACGCATATCGGACACCATCGTCTTTGGTTCTATGCCGACGAGCTATGAGATTAATGAACAATCTAGCTGGTTCTCGGCGAGATGCAGCCAAAGCGAACCCGTTAAGCAAGAAGTCCAGAACGCAGAAAGATCTAGACCAGTCCTATGCGAGCTGTCTCGGACGTTCCAATCAAACTTCGTACCAAATTCACGTGAGAAGGCGAAGATGCCAGTCAAATTTCCATCTAACTCAGGTCATTTGGAGCCAGAGAGAAGCATTCGGAGGCCAGATGCTCTCGGAATCTGCCTTTGACGCCGAATCACGCTGTGAGCTGAGCAACGGAATGAAATCTGAGTCTCTGCAACCAGTCTTCTGAATTGCTCATACACGTGCAGAGGGATCCAGAGTTGGGACGGTAAGTTGAAACAATAGATTCTTCACAGCTGACATCTCGATTATCTTGATCTTGTGTGCAGCGCTCCCGCCCTTGTGCTTTCTATCATCGGAACGGAAGGTTCAAGCTCCGTGCTCCCATGAGCTGTAATTCGTACTGCTGACCAAGCTTCACTTACAGGACTCGTGCTCGGAAGACCGCCAGAAAGCGAGACCGTCGCGCATTGTACGAGCTCGCGTTCGCATTGGAAGATGAGGCTTGTGAAGCTCCAAAGAGGTGCGCTCTTGCCAGCCAGCATCGTCGGGTGAAGCTGCGTGAAACACGCACTGTATCAACATACCTCGTTTACTCGTATGCATGCGCTGTGTGGTCAGCATCTGCTTCCTTCTCTCTTCTATGCACAAATCACTCGTTCCCGAATTGTCCTGCTACTTCAGCTTTGAATTATGCTGCCTGGCATATTCGCAGAGCACAATACCGGCGGCAGTCTGGACATTCAGACTTCTCGTGATACCCACTTGCGGGATTTCCACCAGCATGTCACACTCAGAGAGGATCAATGCCGGAATGCCTTCGCGCTCGGATCCCATGACCAAAAGGCACTTCTCTGCCAGCACACAATCTGCTGAGCCGAGCATGACAGATCTATCAGTCTGCTCTATGCCCACGACACTGTAACCTTCCTCTCTCTTCTTTTTCGCCAAGAATTTTTGGATCTCTGCTGGGGCAAGCGCATTGATCGCAAGGTGATAGTGAGAAGACACAGCAGTAGACGTGAAGTCTTTATTGGACGTGACGCGAGGATGTTCAAGGTAGAGGCCTCCCGCGCCGAAGATTTCGCTGACGCGTGACAGTCCGCCCAAGTTGTAGGGATTGTCGACAAGAGAAGCGACCACGAACAGATTGTTGTGGCGTTTCCGTGCTGACTCAAGGTATGCACCGCCTTTGGTTTGAAGAGCCGTAGCAGAGACTGGACCGCCATTGAAAGACCGGGAAATTTGGTCAATGTTCTGTAGCAGGCGCCGTTCATGGTCGATCGAAGCTGACGATTCTCCATTTTGATCTGAATTTGTCGGCCGGGCAGCAATCGGGTCACCCAAAGATACGCAGGACGGCGGAAGAGTTCGAGATGGATCGTCTTCCGCGTACAATGCCAAGAAATCGGCATGAGAGCACATGCGCTGCTCCGTATCGTCCAGATCGTGCCAATGGCCCTCGACCAAGTGAGCAAGGTTGTGGTCGTTGATCGGGTCAAACACGCCAATTTGTCGCTCTAGAGGTGGGTCACCGTACACTTCCAGGCTGCGAATGAACTCATCGAGGGCTTCGAAAGCTTTATTGCTCGTGATGGCATCGATCTGCATCTGACGCACATGATCGAGAAGAATGGGCACCTGCCACTGCGCCTCATGTCGGATGACGACCTTTGATGAAGCTGCGAGTGGCACGAAAAGAGTCGCCAACTGCAGCGCGAATTGCTCATCGGCACCTTTGGCTTTGGCGACTCTCACACCAATTTTCATCAACGACGCCAAGAACTTTGGGTTAGCGTGATGATCTTTTGCGCGCAGTTCCTGGAAGATTACATCTCGCAATTCGGGATGATGAATGTAAATGCGGGCGACAATCCATTCGAGCAGATATCGATACCGTGGCAGAGGTTCGAGCGACAGAACGTATTGCATGTCGGTAAGTATCTTTCTCGCTTCTGTGCTTTCTGCAGAAGGGATGAATTGCTCGCAGCAAAGCAGCATGACTTGCAGCTCCAATATCGTCTTCCACTGGCTCACCACGTTTGGTGGGACCTTTTGTGTCAGCCATGGCTGGAACAGTGCGTCGAATACTTGTCGTGGCAGCTCAGCATGGATAACGCCCACCCGACTGACGAGATCCAGAAACGTTGCGAAGCCTATGCTCTCGGGTGGCCCGAAGTAAAACTCACGGTTTAGTGATCTCAAGCTTGGGCTGATATCTGAGATCAGCGGCACCAGGACTTCCTCAAGCTGAATATCGATCGTGGCCGAAGGCGGGTGCTCTGCTATGTGCACTATCAGATCAGAGAGCTGTAATGCGGTTGCTGATTCCGGGATGGCGGTCACCACATCTCTAATGAGAGCGACTAACGGAGATAGCATATACGATCGAGGTTGGGCAAGCTCGAGCAAGCGCTTGGTTTTTGTCGCGATCAAACCGGCAAGACTCTGGTTCTCCGGTTGTACTGCTAGCCGTATCAAGCTGTGGTGGAGGAAGAGCTTCCCCATGGTGGCAAGAAGTCCTTTCGGCATTTCCAAGTACTCAAGATCGTTCCAGATATCATCTAGCTCTTCTTCTATGATGTCGATCGTCATAGATTTATTGCTGTCGTCCAGCGAAGTAAGAAAGGCGCGGCATCGCTGGAGTGCTTTCTGCTCGTTCTTCTCTCGGTTTGATGGGGCCACGGCCATCGACGCGACAGAGCCGTGTTGCTCAGCTGAAGCTTTTGGAGGAAGCTTGCTAGCCTTTCCTGGCAGGCTCTCCCATTTGGCAGCAGCTTCATTCACAAATGATTTCGATGAGGCGACTTTCTGTAGACGGTCGTAGGAAAGGCGCCAAACTTGTGCAAAGGCATAGTCACGCGCTACTTCCGTCAGATTTGCCCATGTGGCAATTTCGTAAATTTTTTCCAGTTGCTGATCACTAAGAGTGAGTGCCGAGTTACTGCTGACAGCTTTCGCGATGCCGTGGATTAGATACACTTTCGCTTGGGAAAATCTGTTTCCATACCTGCCAGAGATGCTGGCGAGTATTGCATCCACGGCTGGCTCGAAGAGCTCTGGGTTGTTCACGAGCAGGCCCGCAACAAAAGCAGCAAGTTTGTTGCCATGTTCGCAAGTTACGACGCCATTCTGTCGTCGTAGAGTGTTCGTGAAGAGGTTACCTAACGTGGCCCACGGCAGGAACGACTCTTGAAGAAAGTCGAGATATTCTTCCTTGCCATCTACGCGGGGATTAGCACGCAAGGCCCACAGCCCCACGAGCTTTCTGTTCGATTCCTGCATTCTCTGGTCCAACGCACACGAAAGCAGCGTGTAGACCCAAACCGGCTGAACAACGGATTTTGCCGAACAGAGAAAATCTAAGTCAGCTTCACATTCCTGTACCTGGTTCAGATAGCGGCTGAGTACTACAGTCTCGAACACCGTGCAGTAGCGAGCATAGTGCTTTCGTACTAGGTCCGATGCTAACTCCTAGTTAGCACTCAGCATTCACGACACTCACCTGCACCACTGCTCGTGTCTTGCTTCCTTTGCTGGACTTCGACAGGCATGAGCACTTCATGTTTGGTGGCTGTTTGCCATAACTTACATTCCTGATCAGCTGATTGAACAGTAATGGACTTGAACGCATCAGGACTTTGACTGGCCGCGTCCACTGAAGCCCTTAGGATCTGAAGACAGCTTTTTCTGCGCTCATTATCGCCCTCACGGAGGCCACTCATGATCAATGCCCAGTAGGTCGGCTCGATGATGCCGCCATCGACCAGCGCTGCTGTTGAGATCCATCGGAGCCAGAGGGAGTAGCCAACGGCTTTGAATGTTTTGTCTGGGAAGTTGATGAGATCTTGTACCCGCGCCCAGATACATTCTTGATCTGCGTTGGCGTGGATCATCTGAGTTGACAGAAGGAATGACAGTGTTTCTTGTGATTGTATTCGAAGATCACGATTCTCGGCCCCGAGAAGAACCAAGCAAGATTGGAAGAGTACCTGAGTACGATCGTCACCACATCCAACAAGTGATACGCGGTTGGCCAGACGTAAGCAATTAATCGTCCGCTTCACGATGCTGACAAGGTGCTGATCGTCCAGACGCAACCCTTCTTTGGATCTAGACTGAGCATTGGAAGATGCCACCACAAAATAGTCCCTCGAAGCGTTCCGAAGTGTGTCCGCTGCCTCTGTGATGAGGGTACAGGTTCGAGCAATAATCGCGCCATTAATCTCCTCATGCTCAGCACATACTGCGACTACTTGGTCTAGCTCGCCTTGGTCGATGAGATGATCGAGGTGCTCAAATACTGTCTTGGACGCCTCTGCGTCTGGCCTGAGCTGCAATACGGTCGCCGTGAAACTGAGATCGGATTTCCCGCTTTGAAGACTCAGCGACTTTGCCAGATCGCGGACCAGGGCGATCTGCTCCTCAGGAGAGATACGGTCCAGCAATAGGCGAGCTGTCTGCGCCCGAATGGTAGACATCCCGAAATTCCTGTATTGAGCTCGATATTTCCTCAGCACATGCTTGCTTCTGGGAGGTAGACGTAGGAAATGTCTCATGAAAAGGCCTGTGCAATGTCGCGTGTTGTGTCGCCCATGTCCACGTCCAGACGACGCGAAGTCAAGAAATTTGTGGAGCGGCCCGAGCTCAGGAAAGTTCACGACTTGCAGCACGCGTCATCGCGCTGCTTCTTTGACTTCGCGCTCGGCATTCGGAACGGTGCTCCAGTAGTCGCGTCTAACGACAGTCATGTAAGTGACAGACACATTTCATGTTGTCTTCTTCACTTTTCTCTTAGTACACTTATCTGTCGAGATGCCGCCAGAACGCAGAGGATCCACAGCCGAGACCGAAGCTCGAGGGCACAAGGCGAACGTTGGCGAACAGCAGCGAGGAGATGTGGACGAAAGACAGCCTTTGCTGCAGAACAGAGATGCGGGCGAAGAAGTAGACGAGCGCGAGCTGCTCGCATTCGACAAGAACGATCCCGAGAACCCACGCAATTGGCCTTACATGCGAAAGATGCTCAACGTGGCGACTATTGCCTCAATGGCCATCCTATCTCCCTTGGCTTCCTCGATGTATGCCTTGCCCGTTCACCCCTGTCTCATGATGATACGGTGAAAACTTGGGTCATCTTGGTGATTGCAAATACAGCTGCATCAGAGTGTCATGCTGTGAACAATGCTTACCAAACACGCTTAGGTTTACTCCAGGCATCGAACAAATTGCAGATGGGCTCGACACAACAACTGACTCTGTTATCGCTTGCACCACAGGCTTCGTGGTGATGCTTGGTATCGGCCCTCTGCTGCACGCCCCACTCTCGGAGACCTTTGGTCGGAGAGTAATGTATCTCACATGCTTTGGAATTTTCACCTTGTTACAGATACCTTCTGCTCTGGCGCCCAATATCGGCACGCTCATTGCCATGAGAACACTAGCAGGCTTCTTTGGGAGTGTCAGCATAGCCAATGGCGGAGGATCGCTTAGCGATCTGTTTGAGCCTGGTCAGCGAGCTGGCATCTTTGGCTGGTATTTACTGGGTCCTCTCATGGGCCCGACTCTTGGTCCACTATTCGGTGTGTAACATGTGGACTTTGTTAAGGGACATTTGCTGATCATGCTTCTGGCGCGACAGGCGGCATCATAGTACAACGTTTGTCTTGGAGATGGATATTCTGGTTCTTAACGATCGTCTGTTTCACTAATACAGCTATTGGATTCTTCTTCTTGCGCGAGACCTACGCTCCTAAAATACTGGCACAGCGTAAGGCACGACTAGAAAAGGAACAGAACACGCGCGAGCGATATCGCTACGAAGGCGAAGATCAGCGACCTCTACTCATAAAACTGAGGTACTCTTTGACCCGACCTTTGCGGATCCTGATACAGCCAATCGTTCTCACGATGAGCATCTACCAAGCGATTCTATTCGCAACGACATACTCGCTGTACACCAACTTCCAGCCCATCTATCAAGGCGAATACGGCTTCAATACAGAGCAAGTCGGTCTGGCCTACCTAGGACCTGGACTTGGCTTTTTGACTTGCGTCTGGTTCGTCGTGCCACGAATCGATACAGTCTACAACCGACTTGCAGCTCGCAATGATGGAAAAGGTGTGCCGGAGTACAGACTTCCATTAGCCAATCTGGGAAGCTTTCTCATTCCGACTTCACTCTTTGCATTCGCATGGAGCGTGTCAGATCACAGACACTGGATGGTCTCGATCATCGCGGCATACTTTTACGGCATTGGACAAATAATCATCTTCAACTCGACGACGAATTATTACATTGACTGCTTTGAAGCATATGCGGCATCAGCTATCGCGGCCGGGGCTGTGTTTCGAGCAGTGGTAGGAGGAATTGTCCCGGTGTTTGCGCCGTCCCTCTTTCGAGACCTCGGGTACGGTTGGGGCATCAGCGTCTTTGGATTTCTGGCACTGGTGATCGCGCCAGCGCCTTTGATATTTTTTTACTATGGCGCTACCATACGTGAGCGTTTCTGGATAGACTTGTAGCTGCATATGCCAATCCGCTGCTTTTCGTGCATCTAGCGCCGCAACGTAATGGGAACACCATATCTGTCGTTCCCTGTGTGAGAAACGTTCGGTCTAGACTATACGAGTCAAAGTTTTCTACCTCTTCAGCGTCTTCTGCTTTTCAGCAGCCTCAACGACCTTCTTCTTCACTGCCAGACCCTTCCGTGCCCTCACCTTGTCAACATATTTCAAAGCGACATTCTCCTTGTCAGCCTTTTCTCCTAGATCCTCGAGCTGTTCCTCTGTATAAGGTACCCAGTACGGGTCCTCATCAATCATTTCGAAACCCTCAAATACCAACTGTGGTGCCGCAAAACCACTCGTCCTCTGTCGCATCTCATCCGAAAAGCCAAAAGACTCCGCCACTGGTAGCAGTGACAGCACAGTGAAATTATTCGTCGACTCCAGCATTTGCTCGTCCACAATACGGCCGTTTCGGCGTCCGATCACGTTGTACACTTTGCTGAGCACTTCCGTCGAAGCTTGAATTTCACAACTGTACATTGCAAGCATGATACGAGGTGACCAGTCGAGGAAGCCTTGACGAATAGAATCCCGAACGGTCCGGAGCACTTCGCCGGTGAGACGGCCCATGTTGGCACTGATCTCATCTTCGGACAATTCGGTGCTGACGTCTTCGAGGAAGATGGCAACACCTTGCATTGGTTCGTGGCATAGTGGTCCTTGATATGTGGCCAGTTGGAAGGCATAAGTGATTTTGTCGGCAAGAGCTGCAATAGCTGATGTGCCGTTGGCTTGAGCTTGGTCGTTATTTTCGCGGAAGAATCTTCCACAGACACCAGCCGCTGTCGTGTCGATGAGAACATTCGGTCCAACGCGCCGAGGGCCAAATGCTGCAATCTTGTCAATCGCATCCTTGAAGATCTCGCGATCGGCCTTTTCTTCGATAAATGCAGCGCCAAGCTGTTGCTTGAAGTCGGTCATTGAGAGGCCCTGGTCGGCGACAGCATTGCTTTCTTCAGCTTCAACATCCTGCTCACCGGGCTCTCCAGCCTGATCTGTGTGATCGCTGGTGTTCGCTCCAGCAGATCGTTCCTCTTCCTGCGCTTTCCGCTCCGAATACAACCTCTTGACCGCACCCGTGTGCTTGATGAGGAAAGCGGTGACCGGCGCTGGGAGGGGTCGCACTGCTAGGCGGATGGTCAACTGCTTGCTGGAGGTGACACCCTCAATTCTGCCGCGACCAAGCGCAGGGTTGCTAGCCTCTTTCATCTCTTCGGCTTTGACAATAGACTCTCGATATGGCACCATAGCCTCGCCAGCTTGGATCTCGCATTTCGCGAATCTCTCCTGGAGATCTTTCATGCAGCGTTCCAAGTGCAGTTCGCCCGCTGTCAGTATCACGTGCTCGCCGCTTTCAAGTTGTTCGTAAGAGACGGCAGGATCGGCCTGAACAAGCAACTGCAAGCCACGGATCATCTTGTCCAGGTCTCCAGGATGTGCCGGCTCAAGCGCGACGCGTACAATAGGTGCATTGGTAGATATGGCTGTGGTGGATGACAGATTCGGCGCTCCTTCCAATTGCGAGGAGATTGTGCCTGACTTAAGGATCGCGCCTTCCAGCCCAGCGATGGCGACAATGTTGCCAGCAGGTACTGAGTTCAGTGACTCGAGCCCACGTCCCATGAGCAGATACAATGCAGTGACCGTGACTTTCTGCGGCAGTGGTTCGGCATGCGGTTGCGCAGGGGTGTATTTCGGTGGCAAGACATATACCTCGTCTCCGACAGTCAGTGTGCCGGAAAGCAGACGAGCGAAACCAATCAGATGTTCGGGATCATCTTTCTGGTCATCATCTTCCGCGGGAGCGTCCAACTCATCTTCGTCTCCAATCGCTGCTGTACTCAAGGCATCGGCGACGTTGTCAACATTGGCCTCGCTGTTGGCCAATGCCTGAGCACGTGCAATTTCCGCTCTTTTCTTCCGCCCAAGCTCTCGAGCCTCCTCGGCTGTCAGAGCACCGCCGCGCCTCTTATTCGATGGCAGCTCGCTTTCCGGTATTGACACCATCTTACTGACATAGGCTACTATAGGCTTACCGATAGTCGGGTCCGAATGGGTCATTGCGTCCTTGATCGCACCATCGATATGCTCGGCGCCAGGTGAGTTCTCCAACAAGGCTGGTACGCGATTCTCTTGGGCTGCTTTGGGGGACGGAAGGCCCATGATGACAGATACAAGGACAGCGGTGGACAGCGGAAGCCAGTTTGTAAACACGGCAGATAGCAGTGCTTTAGGGTCTTTCGATCTCAGAATGTGTGCAGGTATCTTGATACCAAGACTTTTGGTGATTTTCTCAAGTAGAGCCTCGTCGCCTTTGTTGTTTGGCCCACCGGTCGTAGCTTCATAAACTGCCCAGATCTGTTCCAGCACCAGTTGCACGAACATGGGCTTCAGGTTCCGACCCTTGAGGTGCTTCGAACTCAAGACACGCTTCGACTTGGGGTCCAGGTAGAAATCGCCCCAAAGGACTTTTTCCAGAAGATTACGCTTGACGCCCAATTTCTTCTCGTACAATGCTGCGAACTGCCGAGGAGTGAAGGCCCATCCATCAATGGCAGTGGCGAAAATGACATTGTTTTTTTCCGGCTCGAAGTAAATGTCTTCGTCATCCTTCTCCTCGTACTCTGTCGAGGCATCACCCGTGACATAGCCATTGTCGTCCTGCACGACACTGCCCTGTCTGCTACGCGCATCATCTTCCTGCGCCTTCGCCGCTGCAGCTGCACTCACCTTCTCGTCCATGCGCTCACGCCACTTCAGATCATCCTCCATGCGCTCGCCGAGGGCGAAGCTGCCGACGACTGCGTTGACCTGCTCGAGGAGTTTCGACAGATGAGTGTAGGCTTCGCCTGGGCTCAACTTCAATTCCGTAATGAGACGGTCCATCTTGTTGATGACTAGGAGAGGCTTTAACTTTTCCGTCCATACTTGCCGCAGCACTGTGACTGTCTGAGAGCACACGCCCTCGACAGCATCTACGAGCACAATCGCACCATCGCAAAGTCGCGAAGCTGTAGACACTTCGGAGCTGAAATCGATGTGGCCGGGCGAGTCAATGAGATTGATCAGATATTCTTTCTGCTCCGGCTCCGCGTCAGGAGCACTTCGCTGGAGAAGTGGGAAATACAACGATATGGCAGAGGACTCCATGGTGATGCCTCGTTCCTGTTCATCGGGCCTCGAGTCCAAGTAGCGGACCTTGCCGGCCTGCTTTGGCGAAATAATTCCATTGGTGGCGATGAGGCTATCCGTTAGAGAAGTCTTTCCATGGTCCTACAACTCGTCAATACACGTTTCGTGATAAAACGGGGGGCGAGTCGACGTACAACGTGAGCAAGAATGCATATCTGTGGCAGGTTAGCTTGGCTGCAAGTACTGATCAGCAATTTCAAATGCTGGCTTTGCTCACGTTGCGAATCGTGTCGCCAGCCTGCTGGAGCTTGACCAGCTTTTCGGGCTGGACGACAGGCATCTTTTTGCAGACGTCCCAGCCTTCGGTGCGCTGCCGTGCCAACAGACCAGTGTCAACGGCGACGGTGGCAGCAGATAGCAGGCAGAATTGAAGGACAGCGGCCCGTTTTATGGCATCCCCGACGCGATGATTCAAAGTGAGTAATGTGGGATGCAATTGGAGGAAAGCTTCTGCGTGCCGCCGCAGCTCCCAGCATTCGTCCAAGTCGCTGCAACGGCACGACACGATTCACCGAGGCGGGCAGGGCGTGTTGACACGCTGCATGCATACATACATGTAGCCCTCACAACACGCCGGACGTGCCATGCGCCGACTGCGATTGCCTCGCTCGCCGTCCTCTCACTTCCTCATCCCGTCGTCGCAGCAAGCATCAGCGACGCGCCTGCCGCAGAAGGACGACCCTTTTCGCCCCCCTTCCAATCTAGCACCCGCCGTCGATCGCATGTCCATTCGGCCCGCCCACCACTGCCCACGAATGCAGCCCGACGTCGTCGACACTGCTGATGCCCTCGCGACGCGTCGTGTGTAGTATACCGTCTTCATCATGGCCGACGGCGGCGTCGTTCCCCAGCATGCGCCCGCCGTCAAGCCTCCCGCCTCCACAGCGACCATCCCCATTCCGACGCAGAATCCCAAGCGATTGACCGTCGACACCTTCTCGCCCGTCACGCAGTTCGGCAGCTACGAGTACGACAGGATCATCAGGCAGGGACCGGTGCTCAAGCGCACGCGGAGAACCAAGGTGGGTGATTGAGCAATGCGCGTCGAACGGGCGTTGCTCCGTGCTAAGCACAGTGGAGCAGTCTTGGAAGCCCGTCTACATCGTCCTGAGGGCAAACCAACTGTCCATCTACAAAAACGAGAAAGAGAGCAAGCTACGCCATGCGGTCAATCTCTCCGAGCTCACCGCAGTCGCGCGACAAAAGGACCCCAAGCGGCAGAACAAGCATGTCTTTGGCCTCTTCTCGCCCTCGCGAAACTTCCACCTCGAGGCCGCGACAGAGAAGGAGGCCCAGGAATGGGTAGAAGCAATACGACTGCAGGCACGTATGGATCAAAAGGAAGAGGAGATGTACCTTGCCAGCCCGTCTGGTGCGAATGCGAGCTATCGCGGCTTTGAACGGAGCATCGATGCCAATTTGAGCCCATCGGCGAACGACGTTGTGTCTGGATACAGCTCCTCCGACGCAGAGGCTCTCAATACCACTCAAGTCCTGCCACGAACGCGAGATCGAGCGAGCATGAACATGACAAACAATCGCAAATCCTCTGCTATCGAATACTCGGGGGCCGAGCATGGATCGTGCTCCGACTTCTCCGATTGGGGTGGAGGACCGGCTGCACGCATGTCTGCACTTTCGCTGTCACACTCTGAGATACGACCGTCTACCGGCAATACTCAGCAGATCAGTCCTGTCTACGGGCAAGCGCCCGGGCGGCCTTCAATGGGTGTGCGGAATCCAAGCCAGGTGTCCGGCATCAATTTGGGTTCCGAAGAAGGTGTCAAAAAGCAAGCCGTGGCTGATGATCCAGAGCGTGTTATTTACCACGGCTGGATCTATCTACTGAAGTCCAAGTCCGGTGTCCGACAATGGAAGAAAGTCTGGATGGTGCTGCGGCCGAAGCAACTCGCAGTCTACAAAAATGAGGAAGAATACACGGCACTAATCGTCCTGCCCTTCCCAAGCATCATCGACGCTGTCGAGATTGACGACATCTCGAAAACAAAGACTGCATGCATGCAGATCCTCACCGAGGACCGGAATTACCGATTCTGCGCAGTGGACGAAGACAGTCTCGCGAGGCTACTAGGAGCGCTGAAGAGCTTGTTATCAAAGCGGAAAGCGAAGGCTGTGCTTCAGCAGCAACAGCAACCTGTCGCTGCCACCTAGCACTGCTCTCGAGCATTACGACGCCATTGACGGCTTGACGATGACGATACTACAAATACCCCCTACGAATCCGTTTGCGAACATGTCCTATGCTTTGGTGTACACAATTGGCTTGGCGATGGTTATGCCACGCCGTCTACCGCCACCAGGACATTCGCGTTGCTAGAATAGCAGTATAGTTCATAACTGCGAAACCTTGTGTATACCGTTGTCGGTCTCCTGTAGGTTCATGTGCCCGAGCCCGAGCCATTCAAAGGATCTGGCTAGTCTTGGCGAAGATGAATAATGACGTCGCCCAGGGACGAGTATGCTACTTTCAACGCCCGAATGTCCGTTGAGAGCGATGGTTATCGGTGCGAGGTGCGAGGCAGTATTGCGTTGCACACAGTGACTTCACAATGAAACAGTTTCATTGCGTCTATAAGTAGAGTAGGACGCATACTCACAAAGGACATCAACTACTGATCTTGAACATCATTGCATACCCAACATGACAACTACTGGTACCGCTGCACAAGTCCTTGGCATATCCGTGGCTCTTGTAGGAGCTGGTGGTATCGCTGCTCTCAGTCTTTTCGATGTTCCCGAACTCCAAGCACAACCGGCAGATCGATCACTTCCTGCCATCAGATGGTTGTTCTCAAGAGGCTCTCATATCTTTCCGCAAGCTGCTGTGAGTATTTCCCAGACTTCTTGAGAGATTTCGCTCGATCATCAACTAATGAGTTCAAAGGCCCTTTCTGCGGCTGGCTTCGCCTATGCAGCATACGACACCCTTCCGCAACACACTAGATCTCTAAGCCAACTTCTCAAAGGCACAAATCCCAAGACCAACGGCTTTCTAGCAGCTGCCGTATTGGCGATCTCGATTGGGCCATTTACGTCCTACATGTTGTCAAACAATTTTGCACTTGTCGAAAAGAATGAGAAGTTGGGAGGTGCGCGTAGTCAGAAGTCTGCTGAGCAACAACGTCAGCAAGGTCGGCGACCTGGTCAAGGCAGCGCCGAGGATTCCGTCAATAACATACGTGGTGTTGATGAGTTCCGAGATCTGAGCAACCCGATGGCAAAAACTGATTTATCGTCATCTGAGGCAGATGATCGTGAAGTGAGGGAGAGGCTAGGGAAGTTTGGTGGGCAGAATATGGTGCGGGCGGTCTTACTTGGAGGGGGTGGCATTGTAGGGCTCGTTACTGCTTTACTTTAAAGCGGTGGAGAGCGAGCTTATGTGGAGGATCTTAGTGCAAATGGTTTTGGTCGTCAGTGAAAATATGTAAACTATCGTTCATTACACATTCGGCTTGACTACATGTTTTTCTCAAATTAGTATTTCGAGCTATTGAGCAAGCCCGATAATGAAGTCAGCTGCCTGCTGAGCGTACTTCGAGACAGTTGCAGAGTGCACGTCCAAGTCAAGACCGCTTGCGCAAAACGGGTCGTTCTCATCACAGTAAGAAACCAGAACGTTAGCCCACGTGCCAAGCGCTGCCAGACTGCTCTGTCGAGCGAAGATACCACTGCGTGTCGATGTTCCTCGAGAGTATGGTTGACCAACGTTGAATCGTGGGTCGCCAAAGACTGCCACGCCGATAACTGAACATGTCGTTAGTTGTAGCGCGTTAGATAGGTCAGAATAGACTTACTGTTCTGTCTGTACTGCTCAGCAATTGGAGCTGGCTTCCCGGTGCCTCCAGCCAAAGTGTCGGTCATGACATTGCCTCCCTGGCTGTAACCGATCAATGCGATGCGTGAGTTGGGACCGCAGGCAGCCACATAATCCTCAATGCTCTTTTTCGTGTCCTCGATCCCATCAACCACGCTCGTAATGTAGTTGGAGTCGAGGGCGATGATTGTCGCCGGGTAGTCGATGGCATGCGAGTATGAGCCTGCAACTTGTGCTTCCACAAGGTTCGCAACGGGTCCGACAGTGCCCTCGCCCACGGGCTGGTTACTGCCACGAGCAACGAGGATGTACAGACCGTTTCCAGTCGCACAGGTGACTTGTCTCTTCTCCAATGGGGCGGCTTGTGTCAGGGCCACCAGGCTACCCAATGCCAAAGCTGAGATTCGAACCATTGTGGGAGATGTCGTCTCACAAATCGGGACTTGGCTCGAGTGTGAGGTTGAAACGAATGTGAGCAACGAGCGTGGGCGACAGGTGAGTGGCCGGGAAGACGTTGACCGCGTGGAAGAGGCGAAGTCGTTCTTTATGTCTCGGCGCGCGAGTCGTCGGTCTGGGGACCATGCAGATCACCAATCTCACTCATCGTGTCGGCCTATGGAGGTAGTGTAAGACGGAGCCAACGACTTGTTTCAGTGCTCTCAAGGGCACCCATGGCACTCATTGGCCTCAGACGTGGACTGTCGTTCTTCATCGACCTATCGTTGGCGCAGGTAATCTTCTCGTACGCATACCAATCCGCATCGAGTGGCCGGCTGCGTGCATGCCTGGAGAGTGGTCACTCAGAGAGGCAGGTGCCGGGTGGTGTGCACGTCGATCCGTTCAGCAAACCCTGCTTCGCTAGGCTTGGCTTCGCGAGTGGACCAAATAAAGTATGCGACCATAGCTTCTCTGGGATAACACTCCGCTGCACGCTGCAGCTATACCTGTTGTCGGCCGAGAATGAGGGCGCTGTCCATTCACAGCTCGACTCCAACCATGTCGTCCCCAGCGGAGGACATTGCGGGGGAGGTGGTCGAATTTCCTTGGCAGTGGTTGCCACGCCGGCAGAAGCAGTCCGTTGCCAGCATTAAGCGAGCCGACCGACCTCCGACCTCCCGTCACTACTCTCGGAGCGAAATGTGTCCTACAACCACCCGACAAGATCATCAACATTTGAAGGCACACTGGCCATGACCGGCTCAGAACGAGGCTTGGCTTTCCAGGAAGCGGCAAAGCAACTGACATGTTGACAACCAAAGTGAGCGCGGCCGCACAATCGGAAGACAAAAGCTATTTCGCTAGTTGTGCTGGACTGGTATGCAATAATAATCAAAAACATGCAAAGACCGGTTCTCCGCAGGCACTCGCAACAGTCAGCCGAAGTCCGCACGCAAGGACTAAACCCACGCGCACTAATCACAAAATTGATTGCGCCCAACTCAACTTTACTGCAAGGAATCTAGTAATGAAGCAGAACGCCAGACTGTCAATACCAGTTGCCGGGGCTCTGTTGAATTCTAGACCATCGCAAATGAAGGCATTTGCTGACTGATCATCGCGTATATCCGACTGAATCTGCAACACTGTGCGAAAATCGTGCCGCAGGGAGACGGACTCATCCCCTCCAGACGTGATTGATCATCACAATCTATTCACACGTACTGTAATGGAGGGCTCGTGGGCTAATGCTGCAACAGCTCCACAGCTGGGGCTATCTGCAGAGTCGTGCAGCCATATACCAACACCAGCACATTCAGACCCACTAGGCCTCGCAACAAACAACATCCTTTGAGCTAGCACGAGACGAGCGTGAGCTTCCGGAAGAATAGTTTCCAGCCGCGTGTGCCTGCTGCACCTAGGAGAAGTGCGAGAAATTCGTTTTGTCCTGCATGAGAGTCTTGATCGTGCTGCTCCGGGCGCGGGTGCGAGTGCTTTTCAAGGGATCAGATCCTCGGTGTTTGACCACCAATCCAACATTCGGTGTCATCGCTCAGAACGTTCGACAATTCAGAGCATTGTCTGTTATGGTTGTGTCTACTGACACGGCCCCAGCTGCCGTAGGCCACCAGCAGCTTCACATTTATTCACCTCAATTCGTGGGCAAGTCTTCGTTACCCACGTTCGCCATCAGTGAATTCACCCAATCGTTGCCTGTTGTCGTTCCAAATCGCTAAATCCTTTATACAGTGCAGAGGACTGTTGACCCCTCGCAATATATGGCCAAAGTGGACCCGAACTCGTATGCACAAGAGCAGGTCTCATCTGCTTTGAGGCTCATTCAGAGCATACTGCGTACTCCCTCGAGTCTCCATCGAACATCCTTGAGCACTTTGCTACTCGGCCGCCATTCTTCAAATTCCTTGACAAGTTCTTTGACTTCCACTTGAAGCTTTGAATCTCTTTTTACTAGTTCTTCTTCGAGCATACCTCTGACGGCCCACGGTAGGACAAACGGATTCTTCTCCGCTGCACTCGCAAGAGGCGCTGGCTCAAATGCACTCAGGACGGGAGCAATGCCCGGCGGTGCCAAGCTTGAGCTACCCAGTGAGCCGCGGCGCATGTGATTAGCAGCTGCCAAGTTCGTTGGATAGCCCACGTTCGACCCACGACGAGACAGTGCCCCTTCCATGGATTTTCGAGTGTCGGTATTCGCGCGCCTGGAATCACCTTCGAATGCCGCGGGCGAGACATCGCTACTTTCTAACGCGAACTCTATCGCTGTGCAATATACAGCAGGATCATCGTAGACTCTGCTGTGGCCGGCGCCGCTGACTATACTGCCTGCAAGAGGCGCCGAAATCTCTCGTAATAATCCGTGATCGCTAACCCCCAAGTTGCGAAGTTTTGCGGCAAAGATGACGAGGTGTATGAGGAAATTAGAGGTGTGCAATTGTCCATCGACAAATATGGTCCGATTCACGTAGGGATGGCTTAGCGGGGCGTGAAGACTGGATTCCAGACTCACCAATTGATCATCGAGCCCGCCGACATATGTGATCCGGACACCGTGTCGCAGACAAGTGTCCAGAGCGTCAGAATACGCGATAGAGACTTTCGATTTCCTATTAGAGAAATCAAACAGCTCCAACGCGCTTCCTCCGAAAAAGCGTAGATTGTACTCAGGGAATGGACCGAGATTGATGCCAGCCATTGCACAAATTCCTATACGTGTTGCTGGATTCAAGCAGGCCAGGTCCAGTAGCTTTTGCACCAAGAGTGTGGCTACGGGCACTCCTTGCGAATGACAGGCAACCATGATGAAGTCCGCCTGCCGGAGCTCTGTAAGCCAATTCAGGAGCAGCTTCCACAGTGTGTTCACACGGTCACGAACCAGCCCTTCTCCTTCGAGCGCCACTTTTTCGATCTGCACATCTTTGATCTCAGGTTGATGATCTGCGCACCACTGTTTGATTGAAGCTGCAGCAAAGTTGGCAAAACGAATCGAGGTCCCTGTCGGAGCTCCCAACACTCTTTGAACTAAAGCTGCAGGGAAATAGCCATGCACGCCAATAGCAACAGCCCTTCTTACTTTGCGCGGCTGATGCAAGATATGTGGATGCTGTGCAGGCTTCGCAGGTTGTGTCAAATGTAGGGAACTGCCAATATATTGCGTCAGGCGGTTGATATACCCAGGACTACTCTCACCAGGATACGTGTCCCTGAAGGTTGGCAACACGAGGTTTGGCGCAGTCTGCTTCAACTTTCCTCGCTGAACAGGTGCTGGAGAGCCTTCAGGGGTGTCGTTCGGGGTGAAGAATGCGGGAGTCTGCGCTTGCGAGCCTGAGGGTGTAGCCGCTGCCGTTGTGTCGCCTGACACATCCGTCGACTTTTGTTTCCGCCCCCTTCGTAGAAGCGAGTTACCTCGCTTGACCTCGGCCTTCGAATCCCGCTGTTCATTGTATTGCGCTGCCTCGGGATGGCTTTGTGAAGGTGTGTCCGCAACCGCGATCTCACCGACCTGTTTCTGGGTGTCTTCGTTGTTAACATTGGAAGCATCCTGCGGCTTCTCCTTCGACCAGAACGCCCAGCCAGATGACCTAGGTCTGTCCGCATCAGGCTTCTGGTTGGGTCCCTCGCCGGTGTTTATATCCTGCGCGATGCTCTCTGGCTCCGTGGGCACCTGCACGGCTGGCGGAAGCTGCTCTGGTGGATGTGAAGTGGGCTCGCCTTGTTGAACTGGCTTGTTTTCTTCCTGTTTCTGCTGTTCATCTTCTGCAGCGTGTTCTTTCTGTGCTTGCTCTTTCTGCGCCTTGCTCCACAGTCCGAACCAAGATCTTGTCGAGTTGTATCCGACATTAGTGCTCATCTCCTCTGCTCGTACTTCGTTCGAGATATCTTCTGACCCATCGCTTTGATGCACTGTGGAAACGTTTTCCGCAGGTGCTACTTCCGGGGTTTCGGGCAGAGGCGTGTCGCTCGCTTGCTCTATTGCCATCCCGTCAAGTGCAGCCTTGTTCTTACTCTTTGATTGCCCGGCATCACTGCCATCACCATCCGGCCTGGACCACCATCCGAACCAACTGCCGGAGGACGGTCTCATGTTGACTGTTTCCGTCTTCGCATCCTGCTCCGCGGGTTCTGTCTGGGGCTCAGGCGGCAATGGAGCTTCTTCGACTCCAACTACCTTGCTCTCTGTCGGGAGTGGCTTCTCGGGCTGCTTCTCACTGGCTTTGATCTTCTCGTCGGCACCCAAGCTCTTCTTCGATTTCGGCACGCTCGCAGGATCCGGCACAGCATAGACTCTGGTTTCTTCGGCCACCAGCGGAAAACTCTTGCGACTGCTGCCCTTGAAGCTTTTGCTGACGCTTTGACTGGGCCTGCGATTGTTGTCGTCTTTGCTTGATGATTCGGAGGAGACGCCCTGAGCTACGGATATGCTCTCACGGGCGACTTGGGCAGTGGGCGAGGCCTTTGATTTCCACGAGGCAGCCGAATACCAGCTGAGCCGGTTCACGGGGACGTCCTGAGGCGGACGTCTCGCGGGCGACGCACCACTGCCGCTGGAGGCAGATGTCTCGTTCGCATGCATCGGTGCAGCGCTGTGTTTGGCGCCATGCTCTACGCCCGTCGTGTTCTGGGCTGATTGGCCGTGGTTCGCCGGGATAGGCTCCGTGTCGTTATCGCCGCTGCTCAGCTTGCTCTTCTTGCGCGCTGGCGCCATCTGAGACTCGGGAACGCCAGGCGTCGTCGCGCGGATGCGCCTACTGTCGCATTGTTGTTGTTGTTCGGGTGGTGGCGCCAGCGGTGAAGAAGCATCAAGTCAGGTGCACAGCGACACCTCAAAGAGGCATTTTGTGTCTATCGGGCGCGTGCAGGGATGATGACGCGCGAACAGGGAACGCGAGCATGAAATGGCGCGTCGATCACTTTCCTCGCCCGCTCTCGTTGGAAACAGACAGCAGGTGCTCTACTCACACGCGCCAGCCCTGAAATCGCGTCGAGCTGTATTCCCAGACTGGCCTCTGGTTGCAGTCTTGCCGTTGTTCATAACGATTGACATGTTGTGCGCCGCCGATGTTGGCTTATCGGAGCCGCGGCCGAGTGTTGCGAGCGATGACGCCACACATTATTGCATCTTCGTTGCGACACTCTCCATATTACTCCCATACTCTTGTTCGAAAATTATCCCTTAACCAGCCCGAGTTCTTTCTGCACTTATCGGACGAGCTGCACGAGCAGAAAGTGGGGATTGCGGCTCGATAGATGGTAGCAGCAAGGTATGAGATGGTGGGAGGTACTTTGTCAATTTTTGTTTTTGGTTGGGTATCTCATTCTCGAAGCCCAGCATCTGATCATGCTCTCTAGTCTTTCACGTCACGCAAATCCGCCTTTTCTATACTCACGACGCCATCGACGCGCTCTACACTGCCTGAAGGACATTCTCCGCAGCAGTCACAGTGACTGATGGTGCCTCATCCTCCACGAAGATGCTCTTGACAACTCCTCCCTCGACAATGGCTGCGTAGCGTTGGCTTCGGTGGTTGCCGAGCAGACCGGACGCATCGAAATCGAGACCTGCTGCCTTGGTGAACTAGATGCATATCAGCTCTGCCATCGAGGCTCCGTTATGAAGACACTCACATCTCCCTTATCGTCCGCGAGGATGTGGACAAGTGGTGAGTTCCAGTTATTCTTCTCCTTCCATGCCTATGAGATATATGTCAGTAAAATTGTCATAGCCTACTTGGGCGTGAGGTTCTCGTGCTCACCTTGGTTGTGAAAGCGTCGTTCACGGCAACAATGTAGATGCCTGTAACGCCCTTGGCCGCGAATTGCTCTGCCTTCTCAACGTAGCCAGGCACCTGGGAGGAGCATGGAGGAGTGAAGGCACCAGGGACGCCTACAACCACAATCTTTCCGCCAACACCGTGGAGGTTGACAGTTCCCTTCTCTGGGTTATCCTCCTTGAGAGGTCCAACGTCAGGCAGCTTCGAGCCTTGTGTGAGGGCCTTCGCGCCCTTGAGCTTGTTCACGATGCTAGACATTGTGTATGTTGTTGGATCTGAATTATCAATATAAATGACTTTCAATGAAGGATGTAGTGATCTTCGGGTTCAAGTGAACTGGGCGAAAAGAGTTTCGCCGCAATGCCTAATGTTTATAGCCCCTCCATGCTGGGCGGTCGGCGAGTGAAACAGGAGGGGTAGCAACGAGACGCAACACATCTACGCGATGAGATCATACTACGGGTCTAGAACAAAGCGCAAGGCGGAGAAAAGTAAGCACAATACCTTGATGAGATGATGTGCTATCGTGCTCAACATTGTGATTTGGAATCTTTTAGCTCACCGGGGAGATGGAATGCTTAAGCGGAAGCTGTCATGCTCGATGCCGTAATTCAGCCTACGCTTGCCATCCCTGCGTACATGCTCAGAGTCGACCCTCAATGCATGCACAAGCACATTGCCTCCAAATTCTACAGCTTGCCTGTACGGAAGTTGTTGCTGACGAGCATTAAGTAAGCTTACAATCACTAGCATTACTATCCACACTATCCGAACGCTACTTGCAGGCTCGGTCTCCAGCATGCAGAGCGAATTGACGGGGTTCCCACAGACGGCTTACACGGCCTTGCTTCAGTCACGAAAACGGGCCTATTCTCGTGTTAAGACAATTTCCTGGGGCGTCTGGTAGACCCCTTTGGGCGGTACACATCTGCCTAAGCATTGAGACAGTCCACAATACCGCTCGAGGGGCAACGTGCCATTAGTTCGAGTGTCCAAGTACTGGCATATCCTTCAAAAATACGTGCCAGTCACTGCCGATACTCTGTCCCAGCCGCGGAGTTCCTCGTCGTCCATTTGACGTTCAGCTTGCCTCAGCATCGCGGGTTTGAGGCGAGAATGGGCAGACCACGTTCAATGTTCATAAGCGAGGAATACCAACCACGGCCTCGGTCATCTTGAACGTATGTAGCCGCACCTGGCGGCAAACCGATGACTGCTTGTTCACTCATCATCTGCATGCTCGTAAGCAAATGGACTCCTAGCTCTAAGGTTCGGGCCATATCTCTCCAGGACGAATGGAATGGGAGCAAGCAGAAGAGCCAGTCCTGCAATTATGCTTCCTGCAGTTCTCGGGCCAAGTCTCTCAAACATGATGTTGCCAATCAATGGGAAGATGGCTCCTACTACATTCCTTGCGAGTCCAATTCCCGCCAATGCTGATGCAGAATAGACCATGTAGCTCTCCTCGGTATAAATGGCTACCATGAAGATGAGTGTGAAAAAGCTCCAACCAAAGAGCGATGTAGCAAGTATAGGCAGGATCCAGTGCTTTGAGGTCGCAGTCCACGCAAACCAGGCGAGGCTAATGGGCAAAGCGACAGCTGCGACTTTGCCTAGCTGGACGCGAGCTTCAGGATTGTGCCTTACTGCACCTGTTCGGCTTGGCTCTAGTAGAGCACTCGCTTCTGATTCGCCTGAACTCCCTGAGCCAGTTGAATATGTCTGACCCACTTGTATTGACTTCTGGTAGTAACGCTCTTGCCATATTCCTGTCACAGGGCCAAGGCTTATGCCGACAATGAAGCCCGTGAAGCAGAGTCCGACGCCCAAGGTGTCGAATCCGTAACCGCGTTCTCCGAAGACCAGGCCAAAAGCGCCATTAAACAGAAAGCTTATGCCGTAGAGGAATCCGTTATAAAGCGCGCCAAATATAACGATGGTCTCAGTAGATAAAAATCGAAAGGGTCGCGCAAGTGTTACTGTGAACAGAGTCTTCAGAGACCTTGCCTGTGCTTCGTCCGGAATAGCCTTGCCATGTCTTCTCGCCCGCCTCCGCAGCAGTACGGAGTGACGTGTCTCGTTCCCGAAGGGCACCAGAACGACCAAAAGCTGAGCCCAGAGGACTGCACAGATGCCAAAGAGCGTCCAGAGAACAGCCCTCCAGCCGTGCGATTGTGCGACCAAAGACATCAGGAAAAAGCCCATAGGGCTTCCACACACTGCAGCCCACAGGAATATGTTCATCGCCGGTCCAACATCATTCTTGGAGAACAAGTCCGCAATGCTTCCACCAAAGTTCGCAATCGTCACGCTTGCAAAGAGCCCTGAGAAGAAGCGTAGCACGAAGAAACCAGGTACATTGTCTATAGCTGCCGACAGAGCGAGACAAATTAGAAAAATGCCGTACGGTATCAGATAAAGGGCCGTTCGTCCATAGTACTCTGAGAGTGGAGCGATAAACATGGGCCCGAAAGCAAGCCCAAGAACGAAGATGGAAAGTCCTATGCCAGCAATTTCGCTGCTCAATCCGAAATGGGCAGCAAAGTCGCCGCTGGCTGGACTGAAGCCGCTCGCACCGAACGAAACTGTCAGGTCGACAAGACCAATGCTCGCGACAATCGTCCATTTCCTGAAGGCTGACCAGTTCCGTGGATTCTGGGCGTCTCCAGGTAGGAACTTCGCTATGTTGTGATCATCGTGCTCGGGAGCAGGCAGTCCGCTGTGCTGTGTCATAATACCGAGCTGTGACATAGCTCTGCAGCTTTGGAGGAAGCATCGCGCGGACAGTGCTATATATTCTGAAACCTATGTCTCGTGGTCTTTGCGGTGACGTGCTGCAGCTAAACGTCGGTAGTGAAGCTGTGCAGCCAATGGAGAAGGAGCGGAGTGAGATTCGCTAAACCCGGTCGGAGCCCTGATTTTTCTTGTGGCTGGTCTGTTCCTCACAAGTCGCAGCGACATCGACGCCGTCTCGAGCGGCTCTTCACACAACTCGCCGCAGCTATGGCGATTCAAAAGAAGCACGCCAAGGCGCGTCTGGACAAATACTATTACCTGGCGAAGGAGAAAGGCTACCGCTCCCGTGCGGCGTTCAAGCTGATTCAACTGAACAAAAAGTTTTCATTCCTGCAAAACTCGAAATGTCTAATCGATCTGTGCGCGGCACCCGGAGGATGGCTGCAAGTTGCAGCAGAGATCATGCCACAGAAGAGCTTGATTGTGGGTGTGGATCTGAGTCCGATCAAGCCCATTCCCAAAACCATCACGTTCCAGAGCGACATCACCACCGATAAATGCCGAGCGACGATCCGAGGACATTTGAAGACGTGGAAAGCAGATTGTGTAATTCACGATGGTGCGCCAAATGTCGGAACAGCTTGGGTGCAGGATGCTTTCAGCCAGAACGAGCTCGTGCTCAGTTCGCTGAAATTGGCCACCGAATTCCTTGCGCCGAATGGAGCTTTTGTAACGAAGGTCTTCCGTAGCAAGGATAGTGCCAAACTGGAGTGGATCTTCAAGCAGTTGTTTGCGAAAGTGGAGCAGACAAAACCACCCAGCAGTAGAAATGTGTCTGCAGAGACGTTCTACGTGTGTCGAGGGTACAAAGCGCCGAAGCACCTGGACCCCAAATTCTTGGACCCTCATTATGCGTTCATGGATGTCAAGGAGAAGAGCGAGAGTGCAGAGGCAAAAGTCTTCAACCCAGAGAAGAAGAAAAGGAAAAGAGAAGGTTACGAGGAGGGAGACTGGACACAATTCCACGAGGCCGCTGCATATGAATTTGTGCAGTCGCAGGATCCGATTGAAATGCTGGGCACGCTCAACAGGATACACTTCCAACAGGACGGTGAGAATAGCATTGCGCAAGCCGCTTTGGACAAGATGCCCGAGACCTCAGAGGAGGTGCGAAGGAATTGTTCGGATCTCAAAGTGCTGGGGCGCGCAGATTTCAAGCTGTTGCTGCGCTGGAGATTGAAGGCACGAGAGCGCTTCGGCTTGAAAGAGAAGAAGACGGACCACACAAAGGCTGCTCCATCGCAAGACAAGGCCGAAGGTGAAGAAGGAGAAGAGGTGGCAGTAGTAGAGTCGATGGATGAAGAAATGCGACTCCGGGAAGAGATGCAAGCGTTGAAGGAGCAGCAAGATAAACACAAGAAGAAGGAAAGGAGACGAGAGAACGAAAAGAAACAGCGGGAGATCGTTCGAATGCAGATGGGTATGACTACGCCTTCAGAAATTGGTATCGAGGCTGGTTTGCAAGGTGGGGATGCCGTCTTCCAGCTGAGAGACGCGGATAAAGATCCTTCGATACGCCGACAAATAGTCAAGGGCCGCATGACTGCTCTTGTGGAACCTGAGAAACCGCAAGAAGAGCCGAGTGAAGATGAAGATTCAGACGAGGACGGAGACAGACTGGAAAGGGAGCTGGACAACATGTACCAGCAGTACCAAGAAAAACTGGAGGATCGCGACACCAAAGCTCGCGCAAAGCGTGCACGAAAAGCCGCCGGCAAAGACCGAGAAGACGCTTTTGAGGGCTTTGACGACGACGAGGAAGCTGCGGACAGCGATGCCAGCGAGGACTATGCGATGGTGCAGGATGAGGATAATTCTGACTGGAGCGACGAAGAAAACGAAGGACTTACAACAGACCTACGTTCAAAACAGAAAGAGGGTGCGTTGAGCAGTCGGGCAGCGTCATTCTTCCAGCAGGATGTCTTTAGCGGTATCGACGGCCTCGATGGTCTTGACGAGGAGGACGATGAAGAAGATGATGCGGATAAGGCACGCGATAGCGGCATCGATGTCGATTCGCCAGAAATTGGTGCTACCGCGGAAGATGCTGCAATGGAGCTATCTGGTTCAGAAGACGGCGAGGACGAGGAAGCATCAGGTTCCGAGATCGAAGAGGTGGCTGGCGAGGACGAAGACGATGACTGGGAAGAAGGCACCACGCGCGCATCGTCGAGAGACGATCATCGAACAAATATCCAAATCAGCACCGCAGAAGCTATGACTCTCGCGCATCAGCTTGCCACCGGAAAGGTCACGAAGCAGCAGCTCCTGGATGACAATTTCAACAAGTACTCCTTGCGCGATGTGGATGGCCTGCCGGAATGGTTTCTCGATGATGAGAACAAACATGCACGACCCCAACGTCCGGTGACAAAAGAGGCCGCTGCCGCTATCAAGGAGAAGATGCGAGCCGTCAATGCACGTCCGATCAAGAAAGTTCGTGAGGCCAAGGCACGCAAGACCCTTCGAGCCGCGAGGCGCCTCGAGAAGCTCAAGAAGAAGTCAGAGGGTCTCGCTGAAGACGGCGAGGGCACTGAGCGTGACAAGGCCAACCAGATTAGCAAGCTCATGGCCAAGGCCAGCAAATCTGGGAAGAAGAAGCAGCCAGTGAAGGTCATCCGAGCTGGCGGCCACAACAAGGGCCAAGGCAGACCGAGAGGTGTGAAGGGCAAGTATAAGATGGTTGATCCACGTCTGAAGAAGGACGTGAGGGGTCTGAAGAGGGCCGAGAAGAAGCAGAAGAAGAAGTAATCTTTAGATAGACAGTTGAGCCATTCTATATCAAAAAGTACAGGCCGCCAGCCTACAGAGGCGCAAGTTGCACCCTCGACAAGCCCGCTTTGAGCATTCAGACCAACATAGCAGAAAAATTCTATACGGAGACATTGGGTTGTTTTAAGAAGAATCTGTGCCGATTCATGTTGTAGCAGAGCTGGGATCGAGTTGCTGTGGTATCAAATCTATTATCGTACAAGACCGGCGCCTGGCTATGCATCGCCACCTTTTTGTCTTTCCGATCCTCCGTAAACGTACAGCAAATACAGTCGTCGAAGGTGAAGCAGCCTCTGTCGGCTGTGTAGCTGTACATGTCATCTTACATTTTCTTCTCTCCATGCCCGCATGTTGCAGGCATTTCACCTCCCCACAAGCACCTCGAGACCATCTGCTCGGCTCATTAAGCAAGTCTCATACCTGCCACTGTTTACAAGACACGAGTAATCAGGCCTGTGGCGACGGTGCGGCCACCCTCGCGCACGTTGAAGCGCTGTCCTTGTTCGAGAGCCAGAGGCTTATTGATCTCACATACCATCTCGACGTTGTCACCTGGCATGACCATCTTGTTCTCAGCGAGTTGCTCTGAGCCCTCTGGCCAAGTAAGTGTGGCAGCCTCGTCAGCTGTTCGGAGGAAGAGCTGAGGCTTGTAGTTGTTTTGGAAACCGGTGTGACGACCACCCTCCTCCTTGGTCAGAACGTATAACGATGTCAAGAACTTCTTGTGTGCCTTCTGCGAGCCTGGGACCGCAATGACCATACCACGCTGGACGTCCTCACGCTTGATACCACGCAGAAGCAGACCAGAGTTGTCACCGGCCTGTGACTGCTCGCACGACTTCTTGAAGGTCTCAATATCGGTGACCTTGGTCTTGATTGGAACAGCATTCTTTCCGACAAGCTCCACCTCGGAATCCCTCTTGAGCACACCACGCTCTACACGGCCCGATGCAACGGTACCACGTCCTGGGATAGAGAAGACATCCTCGACTGACATCAGGAAGGGCTTGTCCAGGTCACGCTCTGGAGTTGGGATCCAGCTGTCGACGTGCTCGAGGAGCTCATCGATCTTCTCCTCTCCAATGTCCTTTTGACGACCCTCCAACGAGCAGAGAGCAGAACCCATGACGATCGGTGTCTCATCACCCTCGAAGCCATACGAGGACAGAAGCTCACGCATCTCCATCTCGACGAGCTCCAACATTTCCTTGTCCTCAACCGCATCGACCTTGTTCACGAACACAACAATTCTTTGCACACCGACCTGGCGCGCAAGGAGCAAGTGCTCTCTCGTCTGTGGCATTTGTCCATCTGAAGCAGCAACAACAATGATGGCGCCATCCATGGACGCAGCACCAGTAATCATGTTCTTGATGTAATCGGCGTGACCAGGACAATCGACGTGGGCGTAGTGGCGGTTGTCGGTTTGGTACTCGATGTGGGCGGTCGAAATGGTGATACCACGCTTTCGCTCTTCCGGCGCCTTGTCGATAGCGCCATACTCGAGGAACTTGGCGTAGCCCTTTTCTGCTTGTCGCTTCGTAATGGCTGCTGTGAGAGTGGTCTGTATATCGTGATCAGTATATCGATCAATTGGACCGGCTGGCTTCATAATCCATCGCGGCTCCCGCTCCCGTCTCCTCGTGTATGGCGTACCTTTCCGTGATCGACGTGACCGATGGTGCCGATGTTGACGTGCGGCTTGCTGCGCTCAAAGACTGTGGCATATCCTCGCACGAACTGCTGCTGACCCCTGGTGTTGAGAGCGCTCTGGATGGGGTTGGCATTGACTCGCAGTGCGCGCGACGTGCGCAGGAACTTGGTAGCGAAAGAAGACATGATGAGACGCGGACCCGACGCACCGAGAAAGGGAAAACAAGACAAGCGCTGAAGCGGCGAGATGGAAGACGAGGTGTAATGGATGGTCGATGCGCCAGACGAAATCTTTCGTTGAAGCCTGAGGCACACACGCTACTCGTCCCCACAAAGCTGTCTCTCCCCCGTCTTCGCCGCTGGCGGCCCTGCGGAGCACCAGAACCTACTCGCCTTTGCTTCGCCATTGAGCCTCGGGTACCAATCGAAATTTCGAGGAACAGAAGACTCTCAACATACACGTTGGCACGGCGGACTCACTGGCACAAGATTCCCAATTGTCCCAGCAGCGGTGTTCTTCGGACTCCTCAGCCGAGGTCTCTGCATTCACACAGATGAAGCTAGAGTAGCTTTACGAAGACCTTATCTTACTCGGACTGCCTACACCACAGCCATCCCAATGCTGTTCCACAAATCTTGCACGAGGTTGGCAACCGCACGTCCTGCAACCATGCCTCTACGCGCGAAGATCCTGAGCCCGGCCATGCAGCAGAGTGCTGCGCGATCAGTACGTCATTTCATGGCGGCAGTTCGACATTGGCGACTGACTGACCCCAGCGACCATAGTTCACGACTGTTTCCGGAATCAAAGAGCAGCCCGGCGATGAACCTAACGATGTCCTCTTTAGCAGTCAGGGTGGTGTACGGAGCATCACGCTCAACCGGCCCAAGAAGCTGAACTCGCTCAACGGCAGCATGGCTCGCAAGATCATACCCCGTTTGCAGGAGTGGAGCAAGAGCGAATTGGCAAATGTGATTACCATCAAAGGCGAAGGGCGCGCTTTCTGCGCTGGAGGTGACGTTGCTTGGCTGGCACAGAGGAATAAGCAGGGGACTGAAGGACAACAAGAGAGCAAGGACTACTTCGCCTTGGAATACAAGCTGGATCACCTCATCTCAACTTACACAAAACCATATGTCGCCCTCATCGACGGAATCACAATGGGAGGAGGCGTTGGTCTCTCCTTGCACGCTCCGTTCCGGATAGCGACAGAGAATACCGTCTTTGCCATGCCAGAGACCAATATTGGTTTCTTCCCAGATGTTGGAGCATCCTTCTTCCTGCCACGAATGGATGGTGAGCTTGGGAAATACTTCGCTTTGACCTCCGAGCAGATCAAGGGACCCAACGTCTTCTACGCCGGTATCGCGACACATTACCTACACTCCTCTTCTATACCTGACCTGGAGGCACGCCTGGCCGAGTTGCAATTCAAGGACTACGACGACCTCAAACGCAGATACCGGGCCGTCAATTCAACAATAGAAGAGTTTGCTACTGGCCTGCCACACGACCAGCCCATTTCGGCACCCGTCGGTGGTAACATTCGAGCCGCAATCGATTATGTTTTCCAGCCTGCGCACAATATCTCAGGGATCCTCGATGCTCTCACAGGTCTTGCTGAGATGTCGCCTGGCGTCCGTGGGTACCCGGAAGTCAACGAGTGGGCGGAGAAAACCCGCAAGGCTATCCTGCAGCGCTCGCCTACGTCAGTCAAAGTTTCGCTCCAGCAGCTGGATCGAGGGCGCCAGTGGTCCATTGGCGAAACTTTTCGTCGTGAACATGCCATTGCATCTCGCTTTATGGAGCATCCCGATTTTGTGGAAGGCGTGACAGCTCTGCTTGTCGATAAGCCCAAAAGAACACCCAAGTGGTCTCCTGGGTCGCTCGAAAAGGTGTCGGACGCTGATGTTGACAGCTTCTTCAGCTATCAGTCGCAATTCGATCTTCTGGGCACAGAAGCTGGTAGCACGGGCGAGGACTACAAAGAGTACCCGCATGCCTGGATTGGCCTGCCGACGGAAATTGAGGTCCAAACTATGGTGCGAGGATATACGCGCGAGCAGATTATCGAGGAGTGTCTGAGGAGGTTCAACGGAAAGCAGGGTGTGAAGGAGAAGGTCAACGAAATCCTGGATCGCAAAACGAGTGTCGACGAGAAAACAGGAAAGCTGGCCTGGTCTCAATAGAGCGCTGAATGCAATTCGTGTGAGACGCTCCATAGATGTACCAAAAAGTGTGCGCAAGAAGCAAGACATTCTGCAGTTCACACTGAAGAGGAAAGGCACCATATCGAGCAGGAAACTTGCTCTTTCGAGCGTCTCATTGGCAGTCTGCCGATTGAAGTAAATATGTCTATGCTTCCCCTCAGAATCTAGACATTTCTTAAGCGTCCATCATGGTATCGTCGCCTCCGTCAGCCATTGTCTCGTCAGCCACCACGCCTCGCCCTCTGCCCTCAAGCAGCTCCCTCCTAACTTCAGGACCGATCTGCTTGTGGCCTCTTACCAACAGCAGGTCGAGCAGAGCTTCTCGCTGATCTTCTGTGATCTCGTTCTTGTAGCGTTGTGCGAAAGCAAGCAAAGACTGATGCCACAATACGGGGAGCTTTGGATCTCCTGCGCCTTTCTTCCCAGGAAAGCCTTGCATCGTTCCTTCCATGCTCACATCATCTCCTCCTTGATCCTGCATCTGTCGGAAACGTAGGAAGTGAAAGACAAGTGCATCGACCACGCGGTACGGCAGCGCGTACTTCTTCTCCAAAAGTGTGCGAATGAAGATGTTGCATGCGCCGGCTGATTCGACGTCATGCATCATCTGATCAGCAGCAATTTCGCATAGTCGATAAAGAGCTGTCGCGGAGTGCAGCACTGGTATCGAAACACGCGAAAGGACTGATGCGATAATGCGAGCCTCTCGTAGCGTGCATGTCCCGGAACCGACCAGGGGAAATAGCAGTCCTCGGAAGAAGGCCGCGGGCTTGTACAGTGCCTTTTTCATGGCTTTGTGCAGGTGTACATTCAATTCCCTCGTCTCGCGGATGTCTTCTCGTACTCTCGGTAATAGGATATCCTGGCAGAATGCCTGGGCGACTGCTGGCCTAGAGGATGTGAATATCCTTGTTGCTTCGTATACGGCGTTCGGTGTCCAGCTGTCAGGCCGTGTGATGTCCAGAAGGATGTCCCACTGTGGTAGTGTAGGAAGAACTTTGAATGGTTTGGGCAGCTTGCCACTTTTGTATCTTGACAGCAGTAGGCCGACTTGTGTATACACCTCCACCACTTTCGCATCCAGCTCAACTGCATCTTCTGGTGCGCCGCCGCCTTGTATTCGCTGTGGTTCTTGTCCTTGGCCGTGGCCTCCTTGCTGAGCCGCTTCATGCGCTGCAATCTTTTCCAGGATGAGATTGGAGAGATAGTCGGGTCCTTTGGGCTCTCCATCCTCATCGTCGTCCTCTCCATCGCCTGGGCCATCGAACAACTTAGATGGATCCACACCACCACCCATGAGTCTGTTCCAAGTTTCGTTGTCTTCAGGATCAATCTCTACTTCCTCGACCTCCTCATCCTCCGACGCCCATGCCTCTTCCTGGTCATAGTCCCCAATCTCTGCCCCGCCTTCCTCGTCTTCGCCCTCTTCGTCTCGGAATGTGAATGCCGGATTGGCTACCGGAGGCCGTTGTGCTTGTCGCTCTGCTTCGTCCTCATCTGCGAGATCTTGACCGAGGTCGAGAATTCGCCGCGACGACTTGCTGTCCACATATCCTTCCTGGCTGTTTCCCTCACGTGTACTCTTCCGCTTCTTGCTGGTCTTTTGCTTAAGTGGAGCTGTTGGCGAATATTCTTCACTTAATGGATTGTGTCGTCTCTCCTGTCGGGAAGACGACGTAGGGCGTGCAGCTTTCGGCATTGTGTGTAGGTGTGTTCAATTATGCGACGCTCGACGTCGGCTCTCAAAAAAGTTCTACCACCGACACGACCCTTCGAAATCTTGGCCGACTGACCAGGATCGACACGTGGGGTCGGCCCGACGTGGACCCGTCGCGGCAGGGACGCTCGCACGCGAAAGTGCAAGCGCGTCAAGCTCGCAGCAATTGTCTGCGGGAAACACTTCACCTCATCTGCAGCAAACCACAACATGGCCGAGATGAACGGAGTCCCACCGCTGCAGGCGGTCATCGATCAGAATGCGCCCAGCGCTCCGTCGCCTCTCAATCCTGCCACGCTTTCCCGCCAGGCATCGCGAACGCCCGCACCACCGATTCAGCGAGAGCAACGAGAAAAGAAGGAGTCGCTGAAGAAACGCGAAAGTATGGGCACATTTGACGACAAGAAACCGACATCGAGCTCAATGGGGAAACGAAAAGCCAGCGCGCAACACACGTATCCCTCGCCAATGCGCTTTAGCGTACCTCCGCCCAAAGCAGAGGCATTCGAGGAGCCTAAGGAGGATTCGATGATCTCACATGAGCCATTCCCTCTGACCATGCCGGGAAGCGAGCGTCAGCTGTACAAGCCGATCGATTTGGCGGAGAACAAGAGAGGGTACCGATACTCGCGCGCCATTGCAGACCCACAGTTTCCACACAAACAGTACTATCGTTCGACTTCTCCTCCACCACATTACGCACGACTGAGCTTCGAAGATGCTGACAAGTGGATGCATTTCACGACAAATGCATTGATCACAACGAATGAGAAGGGCTGGCGGATGGTGAGGTCTAATGTGTGTGCGAGAGAAGGCACGCTGTACTACGAGATCAAGGTCCACCGAGGTGTGCCCAAAGAAGGACCAGATCCAGATGCAAATGGACCAGAACCACACGTACGCTTTGGATGGGCGAGACGGGAAGCTCCATTGGATGCGCCGGTGGGCTTTGACGGCTACAGCTACGGCATCACAGACATAAGATTCGAGACCATGCATCGCAGCCGACCAGGAAAGTTCTACAATGCTAAGAAGATCAAGTCAAAGACAGCAAAGAATGCCCCGACACCTGTTGTACTTGCACCGGAAGATCAGCACGTCAAGGAGGGAGACGTGATCGGCGTTGAGATCCAGCTTCCTTCTCTTTCGCTGCATCGCAAGGTGGTGGACGGTATCTACAATCATGCCGTAGACTCGGGAGACGGGTTTGACCAGGGTTCGCATCAGGACGCAGATACGCAGCCAATGGACATCATTCGAGATCGGATACCCGTTGCATACAAAGGCAATAGCTATTTCGAAGTGCTCGACCATGTCACCTCAAAACCGATGGAGATCTACGCCGATAGAACGACGAACCTGAACCATCTGCCCACCACAGGACCGAGCTCGAATAAGGAGAGCATCAAGACAGCGCCAAACCCACACAACGAATATCCTGCGCTGCGAACATTACCGCACAGTGCCATGAGAGTGTACAAGAACGGCAAGTTGATCGGCACTGCATTTGAAAATCTCCTTGCGTTCCTCCCGCCAGCTAGTGCGCCTAGTAAGACGATGGGTGCGCGAGAAGGATTCGATGACGGCCTGGTAGGATATTTCCCGGCCGTTTCCTGCTTCTTTGGCGGTATTGTAGAAGTGAACTTTGGCGACGCACCTAATGGGTTCTGGGCACCGCCTGCGCATCTTCGAAACACGAAGGACGTGGGGCAGGGACCGGCACAGGGGCCCGATCATGCCATGCCAGACGCGGGCGCGGACGGCAGTGGACACAAGAATGGCTGGAATCCTGGCAGGCAGCTGAGAGGGATCGGTGAAAGATACAAAGAGCAAGTTGCCGAGGACATCCTGTGGGATATCATCGACGAAGCAGACTTCTTTGTGCAGGATGGTGGTTTCGAAGGTACCGTAGGGAGTGGAGCTACCGGCGATGAGAGGGCGACCGTGAAAGGAAGTCGGCTGAAAGAGGAGGATTGAAAGTATACCCACCATAGCTGGGGTACGAAGCTGTAGCAGTGATCGATTGCATACCCTCGCCATTTGTGCAATTCCGCAATGGAGACGTGCGAATCTCGCGTAGGATCGGAGGGGTTGATCTATGATCAGCTGGCTTTTGCAAGCTCTACTCACTAGCCTGCGGCAGAGTCCTAATACATCCGTAGCAGAGTCTGCTTCGTGCGGGAGCTTGACCTTCCAGCGGCATATTGCAGAGCTCGCACTGCTGTTCGACCTGCGCGAGTGCGGTCGGCTGTAATTTCCCTGTCGTTCGCACGACATTGGCGACAATGGAAGGGTATTCTTGCTCCACATTCTCAAAATACTGCGCCATGAGATCGTCAATAGTGGTGTTCTTCGTGCTCACTGCCGGTCTGGCAGATTTAACGACCAGTCCGTCCAGCGGAGGGTCTAAATAGGTCAAATACGCATCAATCTCCTTGTTCAGAACTTCGCGAAGCGGGAAGTAGAAGGCAACGCCGTGAGGCGATTCGCCATCGTTGATGACCCAGGGAAGCGCGAAGCCTCGAGCTTTGGCTGTCTCCGCGAGGATCTGCTCCGCTAGCTTGGTAGTGCTGTAGCTCCAGAGCACAGCTTGACACCTATGTTCTTTCGCTTCGTGGACGATCAGTCTGCGATCGAGGATTTGCTTAAGATCCTGTTGCGAGCTTGCAGACTTGGCTGACGCGAAGAGTTGTGCCAGATTCTCTTCATCTCTAACCTGTGATTGATCCTGGTGTGGCTCTGGCAGTAGCGCTGCGATGTGATCAAGCTCAAGAATTTTCGTCCTCGGGATTGCGTGATACTCGTGCTCTGGATACCTAGCCTTCACCGTAGCGAGTGACGAGTCGGTAGTGGCATCACCTGGCCCATCATCAATTTGCAAGACGCAGAGCTTGTAGCCAGGACGACCGGTCTTTACGATTTGCGTCTGGAGATGTTGACTCAGGATGTGGAGCAGCGCGAGCGAGCCAGCGTCGAAGGACAGTGGTAGCAGCAATTTTTGCTCGTTACCAGGCTCGGAATTGCGCACGCGAAAGCTCTCCATGCGCTTGACCACCTTGGTCTGCACATACCTGCCGAAACAAGATCTGCAGAGGGGTTCGTTGCGGACCACGATGGCTGGCTCGAGGGTCTGACATCTCCGGCAGAGCGCCTCGTTCACGGGTTGCTGCGTCTGTCTTCCCGGCATGGTGGATGTTGGTGGTTCGTCCAGATGTTGGCTTGTGCCTGAACTGCTCACTGAGGCTCTATGCTAGCTCCTTGGCAAGCGAGCCGGGCATCCACTTCACTTGCGCGTGGAAACCACGACCACGACGAGGGTGCAATTGCGAGGCGCACTCGGTGCAGTTGGGTGTGACAGCTGCACGTTGGTTGATCTGGACCACGTTTCCGAGTCCGAGCCGTACAATCAATTGCACGCCAAGCCGTGCTCCTCAACGGCGTGGCGCAGAGCTGTCGGCGAGAAATGCCGCTGGATCGTCGAGGGAGAAAAATAACAGGCGACCCGTGCACGCCACCGCAGGCTTTGTGTTGGGCTGCTGATAATACCGCACCGTGGCCTGCTTCTGGGTCGTTCAGCAGCGCAAGCAAGCACAGCGCTGCCTCGGGCAAACGGCGGCGAAACTGCTCTACACCCATGCGCATTGCGTCTCCTCTCCCTTGCTCAGCTTGACGCATGCCCAGCGCGAGATACCCACTCGCCTCCAACACAACCGCACTTGGCATTGCCGTAGAAGCGTCACAAGACAGGCTAAGACGAACCTTCGCTCGAATTCTTATCGGCCTACATAGATCTACCTTCTCCACCACCTTTCGCTCTCCAGATCATACCACGAGCTTCCTGCTGCGTCCTTCGCGCCCCGCGACGCTCTGTACGTATGCCTCCGCGGAGCAGCACCAATTCCCTCGCTCGACGCGCCGCCGCCGAATCCTACGACGCTCGACTGCTCTTCTGGCCGACGTGATAGAGCCTGGGCATTTGGAGAAAAAGACTTGGAGGTGGATCTTGGCCAAGAAAAGGTCGGCGAACAGAAGACCTCAAGATGGCGTGGGACCAGCTTTCGATCAACAAGCCTCATCTGGCGTACCTCATCCTGGGAGGCTTCACGAGCTTGTTCATGTTGTGCTCGTCGGTCATCAAAGAGCGCTTGTACATTGGTGAGGCCACAGTTGCGACAATATGTGGTATCATATTCGGACCCCATGCTGCGAACCTGATCAACCCTTTCACTTGGGGCAACACAGACCAGATCACCTTGGAGTTCTCCCGCATCGTGCTGGTGGTCCAATGTTTCGCCATCGGTGTCGAATTGCCCAAGGCGTACATGGAAAGGCATTGGCGATCAGTTGTGTTCTTGCTCATTCCAGTCATGACATTCGGGTGGCTCATCACCAGCTTGTTCATTTGGGGCCTGATGCACCAGCATCTGACCTGGCTGGAGAGTCTGGCTGTCGCTGCATGCGTTACCGCCACCGATCCTGTGCTGGCCTCCTCCGTTGTGGGAAAGGGCAAGTTTGCAAAACGTGTACCCAAGCATTTGCGAGACTTGCTGTCTGCAGAGTCAGGATGCAACGACGGTATGGCGTTTCCATTCGTTTACCTGGCTCTATACATCATCAACTATCGACCTCACGCGGGCGAGGTATTCTATCACTGGTTTTGTTACACCGTGCTTTACGAATGCATTTTTGGCGCATTCTACGGTGTGGTCGTTGGCTACATGGCACGTCGTGCAATTCGCGCCGCACACGAGAGAGATTTGATCGACCGAGAGTCTTTCCTCGTATTCTACTTTGTGCTAGCACTCTTCTGTGCTGGCTCCGGCGCCCTACTCGGACTGGACGATTTACTTGTCGGCTTCGCATGTGGCGTCGGTTTCAGCAACGACGGATGGTTCACCGAGAAGACTGAGGAGTCTCACGTTTCGAACGTGATTGATCTGCTCATCAACTTGGCATTCTTCGTATATTTTGGCACAATCATTCCATGGGAGCAGTTCAATTCGGGCAATCTTGGGCTCGATGTCTGGAAACTGGTTGTCATCGCTTTACTGGTTCTGTTCTTCCGTCGCATCCCGATCATGCTGGCATTAAAACCTGTCATTCCAGATATCAAAACATGGCGCGAAGCTCTTTTCGCTGGGCATTTTGGGCCAATTGGTGTCGGGGCTATCTTCGTCGCTATCCTGGCACGTGCGGAGCTCGAAACTGATTCCACGACGCCTCTTGCTGCCTTGCCTCCAGAAAGTACGCCAGAGTACAACGTCATCTACCTCATTTGGCCGATCACCACGTTCCTCGTTGTCACCTCGATTGTTGTGCACGGGTCGTCTATTGCTGTTTTCACACTCGGCAAGCATATCAACACTCTCACGCTGACCATGTCTTACACACAAGCGAACGACCAGGGTCCGTCGTGGATGGATCGCCTACCGCGAATTCAGTCACGGTCTAAGAGCCAGATGTCGGCTTCTTCTTTCGACGAGAAGAGCGGTGTTCTACCAATTGGAGCCCCGGGTACCTTCTTGAGGCGGCAACGTGAAGAAGACAACCCAAGTCGTGCGCAGAGCCGGGCTTCGTCCCGCCGCCGATCCCGCAGAAGCAGAAACTTGGAGAATGGCCATGGGCCAGGAGGACCCATCAGTCAGTCAGCAATTGCTCCTGCTACGCGCCGTTCTCAAGAGCAGGCTGATTGGCGAATGAGCGACTCCGATACGCTCGCTGTGAAAAGCGACCCGCCGTCAGGAGAAGAAAAGTCGTCACCGGAAAGAGACGACATCAGCCCTGGTGAGATCTACGAAGAAGGCAAAAATACCGTCTTCGAAGATGAAGAAGGCAATGTGCTTGCTGTCGAAAAGAGCGGAGAGGCTCAAGGGTCACCGGATCGTGAGAGGAAGGAAGAACGTGAAGGGCGCCGGCTCATGCGACGAGAAGGTGCAAATGGCAATGATGGCGTGGCTTCTACAAAGGACGACCCCGCCACAGATCCTGGACACGAGGCGATCAAAGATGTCGGAGCGGCCGAGCAGAAACTTGAGAGACCCGGGAAGGGCTGGCGCAGTGGTCTCACCAAGATGACCTCGATGACTGGGGATGCGATCCGCCGACGTCGTGAAGAGAAGCCTCCCAAGCCTGAACAGAGCAAAGCCGCGCGTGGACCGGCACGCGCTTATCAGTACGGCAACACAATCATCGTTGAGGATGAAGATGGCGAAGTCATCAAGAAATATGACATTCCAGCTCCTGATCGAAAGGGCAGTGAGACTGCGGATCCGGACAAGTCGCGGCATCGAATAGGGCAGATGAGCAAGATGCTCGGCCTTGGCTCCAAAGACGGCAAGGTTGAGGCTGGTGCTGCTGGGCCATCGTCTGGGCCTGAAACAGGTCCCGGATCGAACGAGAAGACACGCAGCAACGATGATGACGATGATCGAGTCCGGTTCACGATAACGCAGGGAGGCCGTCGAATGAGCAAGGCTGAATTCATTGACCAAATTCGAAAGATGGATCCGAAGAGTCGTGCCCAGGCCGTTGAAGACAGCAATGCTCCTGAAGCCGTGAAGCGCGAAGCTCGTAAAGACGCACGCGAGCAGGCCCAAGCCTCAAAAACACCGCAGGGGGTTCCGGCTTCACAACAGCACCGTCAATCGATACCAGTCGTGCAGGAGCAACCCGAAAGCGAGGATGCTGCCGCTGTTGCAGAAATCACCCGGTCTGGCTCTCAGGATTCTCACGACATCCAGCTGGTGGACTCGCGAGGGCAGACGGTGCCTTTCCATGACATCTCAACAGACCTCAGATCTCGGCAGACGGACCAAGGCGAAACGGCTGCGGAGCGTCGACGCAGACTGGCTCTCGAACAGCAGACTGGCGCAGACTCTGACTCTGAGGATGATGGGACCGAGCGAGTCCCTCCGACACGGCGAACTGGCGGCGCTGCGAGCTCTTCCTCGCCGCACAACAGGCAAATCAGCGATGCGGGCGAAACGGCCGCTGAGCGGAGACGCAGAGAAGGTGCGCTCGGTATCAGCCGCGAGGAGAGCGACAGTGAGGATGAAGAAGTCCGAGAGGCTCCCCAGCCTCGCGGCATACGCTTTGCGGACGAGCCTAGAACGCCCGCTCAATCATCTGAGGGCGATTCTCGTCCACGACAAAGTGCGCTGAGGTGGGGCAAGGACCGTGGGCGATGATCCGGTCGTTGTATGGACGAAGTGGTAAATCCCTTGCATGATAGCGTATGGTAGTACTGTTGGTCTCGCACATTTGTTCAGAAGCAAGCGCTGTATATATCGCCGTTCATTCTGGTTGACCAGGTTCGTCGCTGTCGATATTTACCTCTATCAATTCAATCCCAGCGATTCATCTCGGGTTTGAAACTCGTCAAGACAATGGAATAGGTGGTCGAACTTTTTCTGGCACGTGCTGATATTCTCCCGGAGACAGAATTGGTGCACGAGAGTGTGAATCTGCTCTCTTTGCCGATCGATACGCTCATCGATTCGTCGACGTCCCTCTGCCAGGTTCCAAAGCGGAAGCTCGACGTCAAAGCAACCGTGAATACCAGGAGTCGCCGTCCAGTTGACCGACATCGCGACTGTCACTTTAGCATTTCCACTCTTAACAGCAGTCAGAAGCTTCTTCATCGCCGACGCAACCACATCCGCAGTCGACCTCTCCCACCACGTGAACCAACACCCAAGCTGAATTTCGACCCGAGTGGACCTATCCGCAGACCATCGCAGCCAAGTAGTCAGAACATCCAGTGCAGGTACTAAGCTTTCATCGCAGACTCCTTGACCTTGGACGAGTTTCAAATATTGTCCGAGAAGTGGAACGATGAGCTTCAACTTGTTGATCGATGTGAAGACTTGAGCAGCTTCGAATCGGATTCGATGGCAGACCAGAAGTAAATTCAAACAAGTCAACGGACCAAGCGGTAAAGGTCTTGTGCGAATGAGCTTGTGTGAGGCCTCGGAATATGTGAGTTGTATTGCTTCATCTTGTGCCAGAACGAATTCGTAGATGCGGAGTCGGATTTCGAGTGGAACTTGTTGGAGTAGTATGCATTTGGGTGCGGTAGACATGTTCGGTCAATTAGTGTCGAGGTCCGAAGAGGGATGTGTTCTACAAATGTGATGAATAGGTTGGTGGAAGTGAAAACAGGTATAAGTCCTGCTTGGTACAGTGTCGCAATCGCGGACGCACATCCGGCTTCGTCCGCTCCTGCACTACATCGTATCCGGTTTACTTGGTGCGATGTCGTCGGAGACCGTGCTGCTAGACAAGCCATTATGGTGCTGTTTGGCCTGGGTCGGTTTCGGGCCGAAATACATCGACGAGTTTCCGAATTTGTGCCAATTCCATACTTCTCCTAGCATGGCGGCGAAGACGTGACCAGTCTGGATTCAGCCCCCGACTTTCAGCTCCATCGTGTTTTGGTCGTGAATGAGAAATGTTGAATTGCCTGTATTGCTTGCATGTTGTTCGCCTTATTGGCCTGGCCGGCTTCGTGCTTCTAACAGTGACCACTTGAATCATCCATTGTTGATGCAAATGCTACCCAAACCCTACATGCTGTACATGAACACATCTATCCCATCCAAAGCTCGCTGTGAAAAGCAAAGCTCTACTCTATAGCCAAGGAACGCCTCCCTCGCCGCTTGCCCCTATGCTACTGTCGATATCAAAATATGCCGCTAGGACCGTTAGGAATGATGAGGAAAATATGAAGTGCGCCATGCCAGGAATACTATGAAGACAAGCAGCACGAAGATGATTGACGCGACCCAGCCTAGCATGCGTTCACGCGCCACCATCTGATCAAGTTGGCCGACCAAGCTGTTGCATAGTTCGAAGAGTTGCTGTGCTGTGTCGAGAATGTCTTGCTGCTGGTCTGGCGTCAAGATGGACTCTCCGCGGATCAGGCTTGCCTTGAACAAGGTCTTGATGTCTTCGCCATCTTGGTCGCCGTCGAATGAGAGAAAGGAAAAGCCCGGCACTTCGAGTGAAGGTTTATCACTACCTGCGACTTGGCATATCGTTGATCCTGTCAGCCAAAATTCACGCCCACTCGTGGCTAGTTGCTGGCGTATCCATCGCCCGCCTGCGAAGGTGGCCATATAAAAGACCCATGCAAAAGCGATCAAGATGTGTGGCTTGCTGCGAATACGTGTACGCATTTGAGCAGTCCACTCCTCGTCCAGATCAGGTGTGCTGTAGATGTTTGGCCCAGCAACGGCGCGTAGGTGTTTCAGGTCATGGTTGAAACGACTGGATCTGGCCAAACCCCGCGGCCGAAGATTCGCGAGCCATACGTGCAGATCATGGTCGTGGGTCGCGTCTTCGGAGGCGCGTTGCTGCAGCTGTCGTACAAGGAGATCCCACTCCGTCTCGAAGAGGAAGAAGAAGCTCGCGAAGGGCACGATGCCTTTGGCGAACAGAAGTGGGTTTGTCTGATGCGGCGGAAGCGCAAGTGGCAGACGTTGGACCAGTGAGCGGTTGAGTTCGGTGTGTTGTCTCCGGGTCGCCACGTTGATGAGGGCGCCGATAGCAGAGCTTGCATGCGTGGCCATGGCCGCTGCAGGACCTTGCGCCGCAGCGGGCACAGGCGCAGGCGTGGTCAACGGTGTCATGTCAGGGTCCGTGGATGTCTGCAAAGATACTGAGAGGATGCAGAGTCGCTGCTGTCTGCCAGCGCGGACACGCTGGCCTCATAGCGGCCGCGGGTGGCAGTCATCGCATCGCGGTGGTGAATGATCGGATCGCGTGCGCGGGTCATGCTGTCGTTCTTGCAACGCAGATTCGCGAGTCAGAAGCGAAACGCCACAGCAGGCGCGATCCGATGTCTGTGCGCGGTTGCCCGTGGAGACGCCTATTTACAGCTGCCCCAGGCCAGCGCGACAAGTGCCCATGGGCTCCAGCAGCTGTAGCTACCCAACATCAGCCACGCAGTTGTCTGCTCACCACCACAACCACGCTCACTACTGCCTGCTTAGTGCTCTTCTGCCACACGCCCGCCGACACCTTTTTCTAAATCCCGACGAGCTGCCGCGCACTCTGGTCCTGCAACGGCCACCCAGACAGCACATTCCTCCACTTTTCACAGCATTCCTTGATGCAGCGCCGATAAGGCTTCGTTCAACGGCCTACCAGCCTGCCCACCGCCATGGACACTTCATACTTGTCACAGCAGGTCACTACCATCATCGAGCGCCTGCATGGTTTCTTTGACGAAATTGGCGTCCCCAGCCATGAGCGCGACTCGAGAGAATCAGAGGTATGGCTCCGCGGACTGATGCCCATGGCAGTGCTCTAACAGCTGCCAGCTCTTCTCCGCTCTCTCCGAAACACTACACAACCAACTCAACCTGGTCGCGAAGGAGAAACATGACCTCACCGAAGAGGCCCAGCGTCTTATCAAGACCATCCGCCAGATGGAGCGGTCGCTAGATGACACTAGACCAAAGGACGATTACGAGGCAGAAAAAGATGGGCTGAAAATCACATATCCACTGCTGAACTGCATCGAGCGGCTCAAGCAAAAACATCATACCATTGCCAAGTTGCACCGCGAGCGCTACGAACAAGTCAAGAAGCTGGTGGAGGCATTGGAGTCGTACGCATCACATCTCGAACCCGCCTTCGTCAAGATCAAGCTACCTCCCACAGCTCCGAAAGCCGACATATCCCCTACATTCGACCTATCGCCGACGTACGTCACGAAGCTGGACCACGAGTTCACCCGAGTCTACGACGAGTACAACAAGCGCGTGGCCACAGTAGCGCAATGCGGCGAAGACATCATCAATCTGTATTCCGAGCTGGGTGTCCCGCAGGCGCAAATCGACAGCCAGATTGTGCAGTTTGCGCGAGAATCGCCTGAACAATTGGGACTTCACAAGGAGGACCTGCAGCGACTTGCTGCTAAGCGTGACAAACTTATGAGCGAAAAGCAGCAACGCGAGCGAAAGCTGAAGGAACTGCGAGCTGCAGTCGAAGGCCTATGGGACCGTCTCGGTGTGGATGAGGCCGAGCGCAAGCAATTCCTGGCGAGCAACCGCGGTGTCGGCATTCGTCAGATCAATGAATTCGAGGATGAGCTGGCCAGACTCAACGAGCTCAAGAGACAGAACCTACACATCTTCGTTGAGGATGCTAGGTTCAAGCTTCAAGCTCTGTGGGACGGTTTGTACTTTTCCGAGGAGGAAATGTTGGACTTCGCGCCTGCTTTCTCCGACGTGTATTCCGACGCCCTCTTGTCAGCACACGAGCAGGAGATTGCTAGGCTGGAAGCTTTGAGAGAACAGCGAGCACCTATCCTAGCTGCAGTGGACAGGCACCGTAGCCTGATCCAGGACCGCGAGGACTTGGAGAAGAGCAGTCAGGATGCATCCAGGCTGATGTCGAAGGGCGCCAAGGGCGAGAAGCGCGATCCTGGCAAGCTGTTACGAGAAGAAAAGCAGCGCAAGCGTATCACCAAAGAGCTCCCCAAAGTCGAAGCGGACCTTCGGAAGACTTTGGAAGACTGGGAAGAGGAATACGGTCGTCCATTCTGCGTACATGGCCAGCGGTACTTGGATGAACTTGATGCAGTACAGTCCAGAGCTCCGCCACCACGCAGCAAGACTCCGAATGCCCTGTCTGGATCTAGAGACCCACCAAAGAGCGCTGGTCGCGATGCGAGACCCAACTTGGGGCAGAGCAAGAGTGCTGGAACTTTGCGCGGAGGCAACCCTACTCGAAGTAAGACACCAACAGCACACCCGAACCGCAATCCGCTGGCCGCCTCCACAACGGGTCACTCAGCATTAGGAGCATCGATGCTGGGCGCATCAACATCAGCACATGGTTCGATTCGAGGCAGTCCTTCCAAGATCCCAGGTGCATCGGGATCACGATTGCCCATGGGCGTTTTGCCCAATGGGAACAACTCACCGGAGCGCCGTGCGGGCAAGATGGCATCGAGCCAGGACAGCGAGCTCAACCGCACATTACGAGGCAACATGGGCCCTCCTCGGGCGCCACCGCCAAAGATGAAGGACTTGTTCGTACCGCCAACGCCTACACCTATCGGCAGCAACAAGGAGAATGGCCTTGACCTCGAGCGACCGGGAAGTGTGCTTCGACACATCGAGGCAGATGATCCCTATGACGACCGCCGGTATGAGAACAACCACTACTCCAGCATGCACTCGTCTTCATCACATGGCTCGCGCGGGCATATGCTCAGCCGCTCCGTGGGATCATTTGCTTCAACTGCCTCGCGACCTATGAGTCGGCAGGAGTACCCCGTAGCACCACCGATTTCGCGCCAGGCAAGCAACACATCTTCTGTCATGAGCGGGTCCCAAGTCAGCGGCAGCGAGAACTGGGAGACCTACGATAGCAACTCCGACAACGAAGAGGCAGATGCAACGGAGGCGTACTACGCAAAGATGAAGCACCAGCAGGCCCAATTGAGGCAGACAGTGAAGAGACCCGGCACAGCCTCCGGCCAGCTCGGAGGCATCAAGCGTATCCGAGAGCAGCCCATTGTCGAAGAGGGGCGAGAAGGCAGCGAGGCTGGTTGGACGGATGACGGCAGTGTCGGTGAGACTTACTGACGCTCCTCTCGTATAGTCCGGGAGGATGTTTGAAAAAGAAATTTTTGGCGAACTTGCACTTGCATGGCGTTGGAGGATGGAATCTGGAGAGAACGGAACTGGATAGGAGAGGCGTTTCGTCTTGCTTGAGATTGATATGATCTTCAAGGTTTCGAAGACATGACGACGAAAAACCCAGCTTGTGTGGAATTCGATGCTAGAACGATTACGGCCTTGACGGTCCTTCGACTTTTTGCGTGTGCTTGCCTATATACTTACTAGTTTCACGAGGGCATGAATTACAGGATATTTTCACGAACTCGCTTTTCTTTTCCACTTACTTGCTGTTCTTTTCCACTTACTTCCTCTTATCGACGATAGTGGGTTTGTTGTTACATGTGCGATCAGAATTTTCTTTGCTAGTCGTTGCAGTTTGATGATAAGAGAGTGGCTTCGATGCTCAATGCCGTCATGCAGGAGAGGAGTGATGAGTCGGGCGAACATCGACTCTTTTTGTTCGGTGTTCGCTTCGAGATTGATGGCACCCCACGTGGCCGTGGTGAGGGATGTTGCGTGGCATTTCAGATGATGTCTTCGCGCCTGGAGATGCATATTCGCCTATCCTCGCGAATATATGCATCCACTTGGAGTGAGACACTGCGAATGGGAGCCTGTTCGGTTGGTCGGATACTCTATACTGTCGCGTCTGCTGCTGGATGCATTTCGCTGTATATCGATCGCTGATCTCTGCGTGCGCGTCGATACATAGCACATGCGCCAGGTGTTCCTTTGCAGCGTCATCTTGCGTGACCAAGAGTGACTTGGCGCACAGGCATTTTTCTGGTGAAGCTGGGGACAAGCGTGGAAGGAAGGCATGTGAGCTGTTCTTGAAGCCATGTCAGACTAGTCACGCTAGTCACGATTGACGTGTGCGACGAAGTTCTTGCGTCAATGACTCTTGATCTTTCGCACGTGGTGCAACCGTTCCGAAGAGTAGCCTATCTTTTGCTCACCTATTCTGTTGTCAGCGCTACTGTAGTTCGTTGTAATTGTGACTCTTTTAGTAGAATAGGCGTCTCATGTGTAGAGCTACTGTTGCTAGAGTGTGACGTATTGTCCACTTGACGGATCTATCATCTGTGACCAGATGTTTTGTTGTCATCGGGTTGTGAGATTTGGTATAGGATCATGGGTTGGGCGGAGATGAACCGCTACCCCACGGGTCATATATTATGATCCATGCTGCCGATAAGGAAGCCGGATACCGATCCCTTTGCCGCCTTTTAACGCATAACCTTGTTTAATTGCTAGTCTATATATGGTTTAGTCGCTTGGCGGTAACATACCTTAATCGCTTGCCTCTAGTCGTTATAGAGGTATTAAGAGTACTAGTATTATTAAAATAAGTATTATAAGTATCTAAATAATAGAGTAAATAGTTATCTA